AGCACAAGGAAACAAAGGGGAACCGAATCAGAACAAAGGCATCTGAACGGGAACAAAGGGATGACAGAAGCGGAGCGGTACCGAAGGTCATAAGGCAGAACCTGTGATACGTCCGAAAGGAGGTAAGGAGGGCAAGGCCCAGAGGGGCAGGAGGATGAGGGGAAGTGGGGATGATGACTAACTGGCTAGAATGGGAAGAAGCAGCAGTCCAAATAGGGATGAGGGGAAAATGCGAGAGATACATTACAAGCGGCGAAAGTGCCGAAGATGATCTGCAAAGCTCGGAGGTTGCGGAGCTTACAGAGGTGGGGTTGAAAGTCCGAGGAATATTGGCAATGGTGTTTACATAGTATAAGGTCACCAATGCAATGGACTAAGACCGAGGTGGAGTCAAAGTCCGAGGTAGGAACTAAGATGGAGGCTCGGAGCAAAGGTACGAGCGGTGCCCGAGTAAGAAGTACGGGACAGCGGTGGAAGGTCGTAACTTGGCAGGAGGTCGGCGGAGGAGTACCAGAGAGAAGAGAGAGGAGAAAGGGAAGAGGGAAGGAGTGGTGGAAAGGAGAGTTGTCAGGTCCAAAGGTGAGTATCGGAGCGGATGGGAGAAGCATAGGAAGATGATGGAAGGGTGGAGGTGTGGTGAGGGAGGAGCGGAGGAGTAGGAGGAGGAGTAGTAGGAGGGTGTCAGGGCACACCCGCCTGACCCCGCACCCTGCGCCACACTGCCCTACTCCGCTTCCCCCGCTATCACCCCCCGTCCCTCCTTCCTCACTTTTCCCCTTTCTCTCTCTTTCTATTCTACGGTCGATTTCCCTTTTCTCCATGTACCACTACATACCTAACCCCGTTCCCCTGATCGCCACACGCACCGCGCACACTCCTGCCTACCGAGCGGCCACCTCCGGGATCTCCCACGGAGACACCCGGGGAGGTGTGGCTGTGTGCGGAGATGACGTGGCCTCCTCCACGTGACCCTGACTGCATGTATATAATAGCGCCTGGGGTGGTGTAGGGAATGGATGTGTGGTGATGTGTGCTGTGCACGCTTTCTTTATTCATTGTTTATTACTCTTTATTTCTCGATGTAAACAATGTATATAAATTGCGGGGAAGGGTGAAACAGGTTTTCACTCTTCTCCTCCCCTGTCGAAATTACAGCTCTATACTGCCTAATTCCTGACAGCTTGAGGATAGCAGGAGTCAACACCAAGGTCGGAACCTCAACCGACCTTACAGGTGGGAACAGAAGAAGCAGCCTTCTTCTCAACTTCCCACTTCAGGTAAGTACCATAGCTTTTCCCTTTTAATGATAAATCAACTTCCCACTTCAGCCTAAGTGGTCGGGGATGCTCACCCCACGACGGGACCGCTGCTACGCATAGCCGACACCTGTCCCATCGAGTCCCTCGCGCCGGGACCTTGCCGCTTTCGGAGCTGTCCCTGACAGAGGGTGGCAAGGGGGGCAGTGTTTGGTCCGAGGTGAGTATTGGAACAGACAGAGATAGGGGAGGAGAGGGAAGGAGGAGTGGAGGTGGCATGGGAGGTAAGAGGAGGTGTGGTGCCAGGACCGAAGGTGAATATCGGAACGGACAGCGGTAGGGTAGGACTCCGGAGGTGGTGAAGGAGGAGGTCCGGGAGTCCGGTCGGGATCAGGTATGTATGGATATGACATTTGGGATATCAGTGACCCGGGAATTTCGATGACTGTCACTGAAATTTAGTGGCCCAGCACTATCGCATCCACAAAAGTATTTTGCACTTTTCTCAATAACTCGCTTGTCAATTTAGTCTCAAATTATATATTCTGGAAGCTATTTGAAGGGGCTATCCAACTATGCAAAGTGTGTTGACACCGTTGGAAACAGTCTGGACACCCCTCCGGACAGTGGCCAGCACTGTGCACAGACATGAGGTGGACAGCCACACTAACCCAAAGACTCGCATCCAAAAAAGTGTTTTGTGATTTTCTTGATGATTTACTGGTCAATTCAGTCTCAAAATATATATTCTGGAAGCTATTCAAAGGGGCTATCCATCTGTGTAAAGTGCATTGAGACCATGGGAAACAGTGCTGACACCCCTTCAGACAGTGGCCAGCATTGTACACAGACATTGAGTTGGACAGCCACACTAACCCAAGGACTCGTGTCCAAAAAAGTATTTTGTGTTTTTCTCGATAATTTATTGGTCAATTCAGTCTCAAAATATATATTCTAGAAGCTATTCAAAGGGGCTATCTATCTGTGTAAAGTGTGTTGGGGCCATGGGAAACAGTGCTGACACCCCTTCAGACAGTGACCAGCATTGTGCACAGACATTAAGTTGGACAGCCACCATCAAAAGACTCGCGTCCAAAAAAGTATTTTGCATTTTTCTCAATAATTTATTGGTCAATTCAGTCTCAAAATATATATTCTGGAAGCTATTCAAAGGGGCTATTCAACTATGTAAGGTGTGTTCAGACCGTGGGAAACAGTCTTGACATCCCTCTAGACAGTGGTCAGCATGTGCACAGACCATGGGATGGACAAGTATGGCATTCCGGGACAATTTGCAACCATTGAATCAAACTGAATTAGGACATCTGAGGACATTTACAGTGAAAAAGCCCCATGCAAACGTCCTGAGGTCCCCGACATCCATGTATATCCACAAGCCTTTCATGGTTCGCCGCATTCCAAGCTTTGTATGTATATCCTTGGATACAGCCTCATTTTGGCCTATTAGGCCTATTCTACACAGCCAAGTACCCCCCCTATTAAGGTCCCCGTGAGAGGGTTGACCAGCCTGGCTTTTTTCCTCTTAACTCCACTGGTGTGAATATAGAGCGGCGAACCTTCACGAACATAGGGCTTTCATTTGCCAATCATATATTGAGAAGGCATCAAAAATGCTACATACTGGTCCTTCACCAGAAGTCAATTGCGGCCCAATATTGTTGTGCCGAGCACAGCAATAAGTCCACATGCGCCAAAGTGAATAAAGCCACCCATCCATACCAGTTCGGGTGGGGGGCAGTCAGAGCCTAGAAGTAGGGCTCAGAACCGGCAGATGATCCACTTCTGCGTGATGCCCCTGGCAGCTCATGGTTGCAATTTAGATGATGACCCAAGGATCCCCATTTCGGCTGTAACAGTATACGAAACCTTCCCAAAAGTAACGGAGTCTCGATGGATGGCACATCCGAATTTCGAGGGCTATATCCCGTACTTCAATTGTTTTTGACTCATTGCATGCTATTGAGAAACCCACCGTTCCCCACACCGAGTTGATGCATGGCATAGTGCATCTGGGAGTGAGGGCGACAGCTGGACGAACCGCTGGGCACGTGTCATTCGTGTTGTAACCAGTCAATTGACCCAGACTCAATTACTCAATTCCCCGAAGCGTGGCCGCCCATTTTCAGGGTCGCGCCACCTGTCATCTATCATCAACACACAATCAAAGATCGTGTGTTTCCTGTACTTATAGTTAATGATATACTTGTAATACATCAGATCTCAGTTTGGAAAACAAAGCAGGATTTCCTTTGCAAATCAATCAGAGATCGTCCAAAGTGTGCATGATGGAATCTAGTATATAGCAGTGCATGTCGCTACTAGTACAATGGGCGCAATAATGAGCCTTGTTTCACTTTTAGATGTTTATGAAGATTCCAACCTGATGTACGTACACGATGTATGTACAATTGCCATCCAGGCATGAAAAAGCACTACCCGGACCAGCGTTAGAACGCTGTCACACTGCTGCACGTCCAGGTGGGGGAAAGAGCATCCGTAACACAAAGGAGGCAAGCGCCCAGGAGTTTCGGCTGTGGGTTGCATGATGACTCGGATCCATGTGATATGACACGACCTCCAGTAAGTTTCTGTCACAACCTATGCAAATAATTATTACGATGTTCTGATTAGGGCGGCAAAAAATTCTTCTATATGATCCACGGACTTGCCATCAATACAAATAACTATCCATATTACGTGTTTCCCATCGCTGCAGTGGTGTGCTTGGGATTTGCAACCCGAAGCAGGAACAATTGGATAGAGCTAGAAGGAAAGATTTCGCGATCCCATAACAGTTCATTTGGAATTACCCTTGATATCGTGCTACTAACACACGTACATGACTTATATGACATATAGACAATTTCTAGGCAACCCTGTCGAGGCAAGGCGTAGAAGAACCGCCTACATATATAGGGAGTGGTGCATGGCGTGTACACGTGTTGCGGAAGCAAATGACAATGGAATCTATTACATTTTAGTTGCCCTACCTGCCTCTGCAAATGCGCAGTACGTACGAATAACTAGCCAGATGAAGGATCCATGACTATAGGAATTGGTTTCATGAGATGTGAAGTCGCGTCGCTCCGATGAGAAGGTCGGCCGACAAGCGTCAACAACTGTCAACAGGTTGACCAAGATCGTCCTCAAAATGGTGCTATGTGTATGACTTTATGGGGTGTATGTTCTAGCAGTTGCTCATTCCCAACCGAAACTAAGTGAACGCCGAAGACTCAGGCCCCAGTTTCACTTTAGTAACAAAGGGACAATTGGCACGGGATGATGGACGTACTTGATGGTTGTAATGAAACCCTGGCGGAAGACTCTTTTATTTGGTTACTTGTACACTCGCATCATTAACAAACTCTCCAAGAACACATTACATTTGAGCATTGCCGCCCGTGATGGTTTGAGCGCGCGGGCGATTGAATATACGTTGTACAATTTCCTGTTCGCTGTCTTGCCTGTTAGTATTGCCCCCCTTTTGTTGCATCTACATGTCCCAACCCAAATCCCTGCCGGATCCACCGAGTCTGCCAGCCAGCAGTAGTGTCCTCGGGCGGGCCTGACCGGATATTGGATTCTGAGCCCGAGCGAAGAACTACGCAGCTATTAGCCCCACAAGCTAACCGCTGCGTTAACGCGCCAGCCTTGTAAGCGTCTGATGGCAATATGAGCGAGACATCTCCTCGGTAGACCAGGAACAAGATGCGTTGCCGCCCACACTCCTAGAGATCGTCTCCCTCACGCTGAACCCCCCTATTTCCTTTGACAGAGTCAGCGGGCTCAATCGCTTCTGGCTTCCACCTTCCCTTTATTATTTCGGGCTACGCCATCGGCTGCACACACCCGCAGTTGCCAGTGGACTTTCGTTATCCACGTTACACTCGCGGTTATGCACCATCTGCCCGTCTGTGCTTTTATTACACGTCGGGTTGTCTAAATCAATGTAGGACCCAAGCTAATTTGCATGAACAGAACCCGTCCCCCGGAAACCATCCCATTCATCCGGGAAGGTTCCTAATATACAGCGTCGTGATTGTGAGGCGCTCGACTACAGGGGTGGTGCACAGCAAGCAGTCACAAAATCAATCCAACGCGAGAGGTCCGAACACGCGTTCCGTCAACATTTCCCAAAATTTCTGCGTTTCATACAACACCTCTAGGCCCAAGCCGAACAGGCTTAGCAACAGTTAGACGTGAGAAGCGAAGGGCTTACCGAATGTGGGTCGAGCCCTTCGATTTCTGATAGCGGCGGTAATCTCTGCTTTGCTTATATCTCGTTGCTGCGAGAGTGGCGAGCCCTCAAGAGTGGAAGATGTTTACGGTACATTTCAAGGATAGAGATGGGAGCTCACTATTGGTGGCGCGGAAAGGGGAATGTGTAGTGGGATACAAGAGATGCGGAATCTCTGACAGTCATAGCAGGAGTATGCACTATGTGGTCTGCATTGCTACAATGGAAAGTGAGCCCTTCGTATGCTGGAGACTTTGAGAGAAGCACCAACTTTATTCCTCAGCCTACAAATCAAGCACCCCATGACAGTTGGCTGCGCAGCTTGTGAAGACATCAGGGTCAGTGGGGGGTTCCAAGTGGTTGCCTGTGGGTTAAATATGGGGGTTTTAGTAATCGTTCCACCTAGATGACCCTGATCCGTGACAGTTTTGGCCGCTAAAGTCGAAATGGCTTGGATTTCATATAGAATATACAGTGAGGGTTGCCGCAAGGATCGGCAAACCGGCTTGTTGTAACCTCGTGCTAGAGAAGCTTGCTCACTTCGCCACATTCGCGTCATGTACGTGCGGAAACAGATGGTTGCTGAGCTAGAGGGATAGTAAGGAAAACCACCACAGACTGAGGTCTTCTGACGCCATTACGTTGGGCTTCAAGTCTACAGGAACCAAGATATTTGGATAGGATACGAGGGCAGAGCCATCTCCATAGACCTGGGTTTCTAGCGCTTCCCACAAATGGTCATTCCACAACTGAAGGCTGGATACCTCTCGCCAGGGACGGCGGTAATTCAGAAAACCCAGTCAATATTACGTTGTGCACACCCGCTGAGAACCATTTGAAGTCTATATACCGCTTTAGGGTGCCTCAGATCGAATGGGGGATCTGTATACACAACAAGTCAGAGATATGCAATTCACTCGCCAAATATTAGTCGCAACCACGCTGAAACTCTGCGTCGTTACACTAACACGCGCTTGATAGGTCTCCAGCTCCAGTTTGTCTTTTCTGTACTTCCCAAGAGTCGTGCCAAGACATAGATGTGGCTGCGGTGGTCGGTACCGCGACTCTGGCCCCCGGCGAACCCCACAGAAATGGGGGAACGCCCACTTCACTCCATATTGGGTGTATTACTAGTTAAGGTGTTCTCTCAGACGCAGGGTGTTCGCGAAGCACGGCCACTTATGTCTTTGCAAATTTGAGAAACCGGCATAGGTTCCAAACCCCAAGTCCCACAGATCTATGTGGCATTGCGAAGAATGAGTTCAAAGGTGCCCTCCACCGAGCGTAGGACGCAGGGGCTTGCCTTCGGATATTCGTGCCCCACACGACCAGTATGGGGTCCTCCTGACTCAATGCTTTCCGCCAACCACGGTGCTGAGCCTCATTGTCTTGCTAGTTCATATTACACATGTGCGCCAAATACCATCCATCATTGATGAGGCAGGGGACATTATTTCAAATAGTGATATGGGCACGTTATGCCAAATTCATAGTCCCTAAGCACCCCTATCGGGGCTACTTCTCGCCGGCAAGGGCTGGCGGCACACGGACTATATACAATAACCGATCAGGTGAGGCTGATAATGACCATCTCATGGTCTTGTGCGATGCGGACAGTCCAGTGGCGAGGCCAGCGTTGCACTGGGGCGCGCAGGCCTCTGGGGGATCTGCTCGACTTTACGCGGGCATGCGACAAGCGACAATGGCTACTAGGTCCGCCCGGCTGAAAGGGGACTACCTGCAGAGCGAGGTCGCTCGCATGGTCATTGGAGCTTATCTAATATTACGAAGTCATAGTCATCCAAGGCAGAAAGGCGTGTACGCCATTGCGTAAACAAACCACAACAACTCAGAAGACGATGCCCCTAAGCACTGAGGTAGAAGATGTGTTACTCGCGTGCAGGTTTGGGGATCTCGGCGACATTCGCGCCTTTGTAGACACTCACGGGAGAGATGCGTTAGCAAATGCTCGAGATGACCAATGCAACTCGCCACTTCATATGGCAGCTGCAAATGGGCATGATGGTTGGTGATGATCGGTTTGCCGCAGCCACTGAAATGGCACACTAATGGCACAATGCTTCTTCCGCACAGATGTTTTACGATATCTTCTTCCTATTTTTCCGGCTTCCCTTTCCGCCGTACAAAATGACTCGCAGTCCACGCCTCTTCATTGGGCAGTCGTCAACAAACATCTCACAACCATTAAACTCTTAATCGAACCTCCTCCCCCTTCCTCTACGATCACATCCTTACCAACAACAGGCGCACCACCACCACCCACCCCATTATCCTTAATTCGCACCGATCTTATTGACATCAGGAATGCTGCAGGTCGGACGCCCCTTGTAGAGGCAGAACTAGCAGCATGGGATGAAGGTGCTGCCTACCTCGTTAGCGTGATGACCCTTGACCACCAAGAGCAAGGCAAAACTACAGGTGGGCCGAAGGAGCAAGAAGCTGATGAAGAGATCGGTCTAGATGAAGATGCGGATTCTCATATCGAGGTTGAGGATGCAGAAGGGAAGATATCTAAAATCTCGATTAGAGCAGAAGAAGCGCCAACGACTTCGGCATAATCTGAAATGCATTGGAGGTTTATTCAATAACAGTACGAAACGAGTAACTGCCCCCCTCCCCCCCCCCAATCATCGCTCTTTGTGAATGCCTCAGGAGTTTCATCGAAACAGGTAAATAGCCGTGATACCGATGAGATTAGCATTTATCCAAGATACTCTGCTTGCCAAGTAAATCAATATTCAAGAGCTAGCCGTGCACAGCAGCTTTGTGCCTCCTGAGGTCATCGGATTCCCTAAAGCATTTTTCACAACATTTGAAGACCAAATGTTTTTGGACATGATTTAAATGCTGTTCGAGGGCGCGCAAATTGAAGAACCGCCGGGAGCAATAGCCGCAGGTGAGACGGGCGATCATATCAGCAGTGAAAGTGTTCCAATCGGTTGTGTTCTCGCCTGGAAACCCCCATGATGTTTGTGACTCGGTCTCAAGTTAGTCAAATTTTAACTCACCGGGGCCCTCACTCCAGTGGAGAACATTGTGGGCTCTGGCCCTTTGACTTTGGGAAAAGATGGAGGCAGCAGTGAAATTTGGTTTTGGCTCGGGCGGGTGTGCCAAGGCCTCAATGACTTCTTGTAGAACCGATGTGAGTGGCTCCGAACTAATCGTCCTTGGGGGTCCGAACGCCTCTTGTACGTGGAAAAGCTGTTGGCCGAGTTGCGGGTGTGTCTCCGGCGAAGGTGGGTCTGCTAAACCGGCATGAAGAAAGATTGTGATGGGATATATTAGACGATGTCGTACCTTCCTCCTCCTGCTCATGACGAATTAACTCGTCCTCAGACCAGAGCTCACACGGTGGAGTTCTGCTACATTTCCCATCGGACCACAAAGCCCCGCATCTGTAGCAGAACTGTGTTTTGCAACGGCAGATTATATGTCGGCACCCGTCCTTCAACTCGATAACAATCTGAAATTATTCTTCATTTACCCACTGAGTCGACTGCCACTAGACACACACATACCTTGCACCCTGGGCAGCGCCGCCAAAGTTGGACTCTCGCGGTTTTGAAGAGCATTCTGTCTTCAGGCAACCTTTCATCTTCGGGGAGTGCCTAGCAAGCGAGTGAAATTTGGTACCTAACCCAGTTCTCGCGTAGTCATTCATACCTGATATTCTTCGCAGCTTATATCTACCAATGGAATGTTAGCTTTGGCTGACCAACCTCTTGCATTTCAGGAACCGCTTGCCTTGGTGCCATTCTGATCTGCACGACAAGCATACAGGAATTTTGCAGTGGAGACAAGTAGAGTAAGGTGCCTGGAAAGAATCGAGGTCGTCTATGAAAAGAAGCGCAGAACATTGCGCATTGGGACAGTAAAACTTCATGAGATAGAAATTGTCAATGTGGGTGATATTTTCTTTGGTGACGCAGACCTTTGGACGAGATTCTCTTTTCCGTTGTGCAACCTATGCATAGATAAGAGCTAAGAGCTTAAAACATGGACAGCAATGAACATTTCATACCCAAACCTCCAACTCTTCAGGTGGAAGGAAGGAAGCAGCATCATCATCACTTATCGACCACTGAAATTGCGAGGCAGCACACTGCGGGCAATATATCGGGAAAACACATTGGCTGAGGACGTTTGCATCGTTTAGCGTTACCCGTACGTGAGTGCGGAGACACTCCAAGCAGTACGTGTGAAAATATGGGCACGATAGACCGATGCCGTATAGCGTCCTCGATGAGGATGCTTCATCAGCAAAATCAACTGATTTGACCAATTTACTAATTTGCTCGAAGCAAATCCCACAACTGAGTTTCGGCAAAAAAACTTGCGCGCAGACCGATCCCTGCTCGCTGGCAACGGTTTCACCCTCAACTTCCTCGTCTTCTTCCCCTAGACGCACATCAGTCACTTTCTCGCAGACGGCGAATAATGTTACCATGAACGGTAGGCGCAATGTCTGATTCGTTATCTTGGCCTATAAAGCCCTTCCCCTTCCCTTTCCCTGATGCCGAAGGATGGTCATCGGGCAACTGGCAAAACATGTATTTGCATGAGCTTTGACATTTCAACAGCCTAGATCGGGCTGACCAGAGTCTTCCTCACGGTGTCTAGCCCTAAGACATGTTCAGCATCGTGGTGAGTGTCATGGCCAGCGTTCAGATCCGCTTGTAAAGCGCGAGCAAAAACAGCATCAGCCGTAACGTTTCTCTGACAAGAGGAGCTGAGTTTGGTTTACTCCCACGAGAGCAAAAACCTAACCTCCTCTGCTGCCAGTTTCTGAAGTGCCTGTTGCGTTGCAACTTCATCCGCGACGTCCTTGACGGCTAGGTCCTGCGCGAGTCGAGCGTCTGACTGATTCCGCAACTCTTCAGCTTCAAGCTTCAGGGCAAGTTCGAGACTCTGATCTTCGAGTAGTCCGTCATCGGGAACCTCACCCACTAAATTGCTTGGATTAAGCCGTGAGGTCAGTTCTATGACGAGCTCCACTTGCTGCGATTCCGCAACATGATCGTGGATAGCAAGTAGCGCGTCTTCTTCCAGCAGCTGTAGTATCTTTGGCCCACAGTCACTTTGAAGTGTTTCTATGGGTATCCCTAGATGTTGCATAATGAGCGATAGCCAGGTGACCAGGGAGAATGCCGTTTACAGCAAGCGACAAAAAAAGCATCGCGGATGAATAACCCCGACGGTCATGTGCTGTTCCAAAAATGGCACCAAATGAATGGTGAGCGACCAGTTTAGGCAAGCAGCTACCATAGATCAGTTACTCATGTATGGGGATTAGTCATCCAAATTGGACGCGCCGATTTTGTCTCTTGCTGTACGATCAAACTCAATTGAGATCGATAAACATAGGCATACAGGGTCCATACAGTCCCACATGCAATGTACGAGGTTAACATAAAGTAAGTAGTCCCACAAGTAGAAATCCCAAGGACAGCAAACCCGTGTCTCCGACCTAACCTTCACCAGAGGGATCTTGGACCCTAGAAAGTGAAAATAACACAAAACGTGCGCCCCATACAATGAGAGTATTAAAGTGCATAACGACGTAAAATGTCAGTTTTCGCTTCAAGTTTCAGGCAATGGAACCGGTATGTTCTTTATCTCTTGCACCCATCGATGGGCAACTACGCAGTCTTCAGCAGTATAAGTGTAACATTTTCCCTCCTGTGCAAATGACAGTATTGGTTTTGTGAATCAGCAGGTATAGGTGACTACCACGCACAGTTTGCAAGACGAAGGACTTCTCCCCTTTCACCTCGACAGATTTGAGAACATTGTAATTCTTTCGAAATCGACTACGTCCTCGCCTTAGGGTTGAAGCAGCCGAGGAAGCGCTCATCGTTCGCGATCGAAATGACGAAGGCCCTGAACCTGGTTTAGAAGACCCGCTACGGGTTTGATGGGTGTGGGCTGACGACCTAGTCTTGGGTATAGGTATCCCGTTCTCATCATCATCGTCGCCATCATTGTTTGATTCCATCACATCAGGCAGAGGAGCTGACCCAGCGGCTGATGTCCAGGACCTGGAGTTAAATAATTGCGGTGGGGGAGTAAAGAAAATTTCGGTCTTTATCTTGACCTTCTCCGAGATCTCCTTGCTATCGCTGCCGCCGGATTTTAGGCACATGATTCGCGGGAAGTCAGTCAAGACAAGAATACGGTGCTTCGTACGACTAGGTAGAATGCTGCGACGCCGGACGAGCACCGGAGCAGTGAAAATAACGCGCTCTGTTGGGAAAAGGAACTTTGACCTGAGGAAGGATGAGATGATTAGGGGCCTGTGATAGGAAATGAAGCAACACACCACCGAGCACCAGACCGAGACTCTCCAGAGGAGGTTGAGGCGGGAGATGAAGATAGAGCCGAAAGCACTCCGTTCTCGACCAAGCTGCTGGGTCGTCCTGCGCTCCGTGCCAAAGTCGCCATGGGGGAACCCTTTATTGGTGCAGATGATGATAATTGTGGCATCTGGGAGCTCCCTCGGCGTATCTCAGGTAAGTGTGTGTCGCGAGCGATCACGCCGTCAGGAGGGCTACGGATAAAATGAGCAGGAGATCCGGCGAGTAGGTCGGAGGAGGGGTTGAGGGTGTGATGGTCGAGGTTGCCCCTTGAAGGATCATCTATGTGGCGTCGATTCCGCATTTGCATACGAATGTCATCGCTGGAGGAGTTCTTGGTGCCAGCAGCCGTAGCAAGCGATAGCCGAGCTAGAATGGAACTCGGATCAACATGGCCATTGATACTCCCGTTCGCAGGTTGGAACTTAGGCATTGAGGTGACGGATGATGGTGCGGATGGTATTAAACCACCATCCTCATCATGAGAAGGGAAGTGGGGGCGAGGTGGCTCGATTCGGTTAAGGGCTGGAACGCGGCGAGCGGCTGGTAATTGTAGCGGGCTTCGTTGATACTCCGCATCATCCATTTCATCCTCGCTGAGATCCTGCACGAGTGCCTCCCACGCCGCCCCAATCCCGTGTTCGCGTCCACTGTTCTTGGACGTTTGTGTGCTGAGCTCATTCCTGACCAGCCCAGCTTCAAGAGGAGGAGCAGAACAGGTCCAAAGGTTCGACCAATCAGTCTTCTCGAAGAATGCGTGTGCTTTGAGTGCTGGGACACCCCCTCGAGCCACATCCCCGAGTCGTTTAGCAGGCTCAATGACGAGTAAGTTTTGAACCAAGTCCATGCTGACTGGGTCAAATCCAGACGGGAAGGAATAATCCGCCACCTTGGTCTTCTCCATTGATAGATACGGTGTGAGAGCTTTGAACGGTTGTACTCCTGCGATCATTTGGTACAGTATGCACCCAATAGCCCAATAATCCGCGCTGCAAAACAAGGAAAGTCAGCACGAGGGGGCAAGCGGTGCCTGGGCATGTGATCACCTCTTTCCACACGTGTATGACAATAAGAGTTCAGGACTAATGTACCCTGGTGACCCGACGAAGGATGACGTGCGAGACTCGGCTGAACCGAATATGAGTGGAATAACATATATCTCAGCTGACCATGGGCGCACCAGAATCGTCTTCTTTGAGGATCTTTGCAGTGCCAAAATCAGTGATCTTGAGCCGCATGTCGTCATCCAGAAGACAGTTCTCAGGTTTCATGTCCCTGGGAACCCTAGTCATTGTGATTGACCCCTAGGTCTCTATGGGTGACGCACCGATGGAGCACTCCAAGCCCGTGCATCCAACAGATGGTATCGATCATCTGTGCAGTGTAATAGCGAGCACATTCGGTAGAAAGCGAGCCCAACTGGTGTGGACATAGTAAAGAATAAAGCGAATTGGTTCTCATGTGTGGCCAACAGCGCAGGGATGGGAACCAACCATGTTGATCCTAGTATTCAACTCGCCATTGCTAACTTTATCCAGTACGAAATCTGAGGGCTAAGATCAGACTGATTTCGAAAAGTCGTTTGAGGGACATACAGAGACTGGTGGTATCGCTGAACGCCCAGTGAAGTCTCACAAGACCAGGATGGCCGACAGTGCTGAGTCTAGCCAGACTGTCCTTCTCTACATATGCATATTTTACCTTATTGTTACGCTGAAGATGGTGCTTATCGAGGACTTTGACTGCATAAATTTGTCCTGTTCTCCGGTACGTGGCCGAAAGTACCTGCACGTGGCGGGAAAATAGCACGATAAGCATACGCAGAAGAGGTGCTTTCAAGCCGCACACAAGCGTACAGTTGAATAAGAACCCTCCCCAAGCACGTCACCGAATTCGAAATCTTCGGGTGAATAAAGACGCCGGATGGCCGTTCCACTGCTTGTCCTTGAGCGGGGCTCCCTGGGTGTGGTGGCTCTCACAGTAGCGCCGATGGTCGGAGTCTTTGATAAATCTGGAACGGATAGAGGAGGAAGTGCCAAGTCAGCTGGCACATCATCCCCGATGCCCAGCTGACGTTGCAGATAGCTAGGTGCTCTAGAAAATAGAGGAGTTCCAGGAGAATGAGGGCTCTGTGCGCGGCTGCCCGCACGCTGAGGTGACACGCTAGTGTGTGCCTGAGAAGAAAACGCTCGAATAGGTCGAGGGCGAGTTGGAGGAGTAAGGATCAAGGATGACGAAGAAGATGATGAGCTTGAGGATGATATGACGCTTGCATTTCTTGAAAGCTGAGCAAGTGGATTGGTTATCGAGGATTGAGATACAGGGGACGTTGGACCAGGGCCGGAGACGACAGTCACCGTCGGGATGGGATGCGGTGCTGGGGCGGAACTCATACTGGATGCACCCAACCGCGACGTTTCTGATCAGATATGTCAAGTGCCGTGTTTCCCGGGTATCGCAAGTTCATGTGAGATGCGCTGGAAAAGCCAGCCCAGCCAGATTGAGCGACTGCAAAGACTGCAAAGGCCCTGTTCCAGGCCCAGTGAGAGCACAGCCTCGAACCAAACAGTGATCAATAAGAACAGGAATCCCGTCCGTCATACACATGTTAATCAAATTATAGGATACAAGGGAGCACGGAAGGGACTTGATCAGAAATAACAGAAAACCCTCAGGTGTCCAAAAATCGCGGGAAACAAACATTAAAATAAGACCTCTTCCACTTCCAATTCGTAGTCATCGAGCGCCTTGAACTCTGCAATTCGTTTAGCACGAGCAATTGCGAGTTGGTCTCTGTCGCGCTTGGGTCTCTGAGCAGCAGATTCGAGATTAGTATGACCACGGTGATCAGGGAGTTGCAAGTACCTTGGCGATCTCGTCTTCGGAAGAATCGTCGGCACCTTCGATAAGTTCTCCTTCCTCGTCTTGCTTCGCCCGACGGCGACGAGCAGAAGCGGCACCGGCCCCTCTCGGTCTCCTACTACCCTGAGAATCTTTCGCTTTCTCGACCTTCTTCCCCTTTCCGCCCGCACTCGATGAGCCGCCGCTGACCTTGCGTGCTGTTCTTCGGCGATGAGGGACGCCATCGTCTTCTTCACAGGGTGACTCTGGGCGCACCTGGGCGGAACGCGTGCGTTTCGATTGTCCTCCAATTGGGACGTCGGCACCAAAGGATCCCTGGCTGACCCGTGCCTTCTTCGCAGGTATTCCAATCCCTTCATCAGGCACACTAGAAAGAGAGGAAGAACGCGAGCGATATCTCGGTATTACCGCCGGGGTGGAAAATGCAGGTCGGGTTAATGTCGAAGCAGCGAGTGAAACACGCGGCGTCTTTGTTTGTGTGAAAGATGGCTGGGGGGAAGGTGGTGTTGCTTCTGCCGTTGAGCGCAACTCTTTACGTCGTTCTTTCAGCTTCTTTTCAGCAGCAAAGAATCCAAATGGGTCTGAGATGTCGGAAGTATTATCAAGCATCGAACTAGGGTCCTCACTCGGAGGGACAAGGTCTTGATTGACTTGTATGTCGTCGACTTCATCGGACTCGTCGGAGAGAGGTGGGGGGGGAGAGGATGGTGGAAGGGAGGAGCTAGGGGTGACTTCATTGCCTCCTTCCTCTGTTGCTTGAGCCTGCCAGGCGAGAACAGCTTCTTTCGCGTGAGGTTCATTGCCTTCAGATGAATCCAGAGATGCATTGATGGTTGAAAAGGTATGATCGCCAAATCCCTCAAGCGGATTTTTGTATTCCTCCTCACTTGAGGGCTTCTCGACAAGTTCAACAACTTTCGCAGGAGTATTCTTCGGTTCGGCTGGCTCAGATGTCTCTCGGGCGTGATCATCTGTGGTCGGAATCGGAGTCGGCTGTCGGTTTCTTAGGGGACGTCTGGGTCTCTGTTCAACCACAACTTCAACAACACCCTTCTTTGGGGACTTCCTTACCTCCTAAACGCAAGATTTAGTTCAACTATGAGCAACTTGACGCGTAAACCTCACATTAGCGCTCACCGTCCCCGACTTGCCCGGTTTCCTGCCTCTTGTGCTTCCAGCAACAATATCCTTCGCGGAGCTGGTGCCCACATTCCGCGCTGATCTACGCAAGGCGCTCATGTCCAAGATGGGTTCCAAGAAATTGCTAGCGAGGTTTTGTGCTGACCTCGTGTTGATGGTTGTTTGTTTGCGTCATTGCGGGCCCGACTGGATGAGCATCTGCATCCGTTGTCACCTTCCAAGTCTCACACACATAAACCTCCCAACTTGAGTTAACAATGCCAAGATTAAGACTTGGTCGAAATTTCTACCCCACTTTTCAATAAGTATTGCTAGCGAATCTTTCTCTGACGCAGCCCACCCGCCCCAGCAAGAAGCTGTCGGGACGAGGCAATCCTCATACTTTAATGCTCTGATTCGCCCCAACGTGGTTCTCGAAGAATTTGTGGACACCCTCAGTTGTTCCGTGCATTATGGGAAGCCTATTGCAATCTTCTAGGATTCTGTTTGGGTTCATGGTGACCACTTGGATAATGTTCTATCACAGTGCCATTGTCAATTGAATCACACTTGTTACGCCATACACAAGGCGGACCGACGTTTTAGAGCCTCAAGGGAGGCATGGGAAAGATGTATGGTAAGCAACTTCGCTTACATCAGCGGACGAGCCTGAAGATGAACAAGCATCTTAGGCAGACTCCAGCTTCTATGACTTCATGATACCCCTTTTTGCCATTGGCCTCTGGAAAGGGTCTGAGCCGAGTGTTCGCACGACTGGAAGGACTTTTGACCATCCGGTGTATTTGGTGGACTTTACATCAAATCCAACTCTGCTGACAGGGAGGGGGCGTCATTAAGATAGCGCTGAGGCTTGTCAGTTTAAGGAGATGTTTCGTGCCTATCGTATGTTGAATAGGGCCTTTTATTTTCATATCCCTTTGAGAGCGATTTCTTCCAAACAACACTTGATGCACTGCTGTGATTCTACGCGACCAACATCCTCTAGTTCACACCGGACTCAAGACATCGTGTGCTTTCCGACTGTGTCGCAATGAGGTCATCCAGCAACCTCAACATTACGGAATTGTTAGCATCGCTCAATAGTTTATTGTTGTTCGGGTCTGCAACTGAACCTGCCGTGGGGTTGTCAAATCGCTGCCGTCCCATTGCGGCATTGGCTGAGATGCTCGGTGTTTGGTTACTCGTGTATTAGTCTCTGTCATGGAACGCTGATTCCCTCTCAGCTCCAGGCCCGCTTTCGGTAGCTAGTAAATACATGGAGACCAGAATCGTCCAGGCAGTAGGATTCATATACAAATTCCTGTGCCTTATCACAGAAGTTTCTAGTCCTTCTAGCACAACTCACATGGCTGGCATCAATCATTGAGTGTAGCGAGCCAGTCCCAGGGGATATAATCGACGTACATCCAGCACCCTGGACCTATCGAAGCAGTGGTCAGTTGTATACGTCCATCGGCTAGCCCTGGATACTCTGTCAGCGACAAGGGGGGGAGTTGTGGGCATACTTCACTCCTGAATAGGGCGGGTGCATATGGGCGACACGTCGTGAAGGCTCAGTACGCACCGACACGGATTCGTATGGAGGTCTCGCGTCTCCCTGTTTTGATAAATCCTTCCTGCAGTACCACTGCAGCTGCTGCTTAGGCGGGTCGATCATGGGTTTGCATGCAAGCGACACAAACCTGAGCGCCGAGGAATGCTGAGCTGGGCTCGGTGCTGGCGTTTTAATAGGATATCAAATAGATATAACGATGGAACTGCAAGTCTGCAGGTTTCATCAAATGAAAAATAGTGATCGTGCAGATTACAGTATGCCACACTCAGAGTCTGACTGCCAAGTGCTAACAATTTGGCAGTTCGCTCGTTCCTAGATATGAAACCACAACTCACCATAGTCACCTTCGTTGAAACTGTTCAGTTCACCGTCGAAACATTGTGATGCCTATATTATCTCCGCACACCACGTTAGTACAAAGATCCGAAATTCACAGCTGTGCATGCACACCGTGCGTTGAAGCATGGTAAGCTAATTTAACCATTTGAGTTCGAGAGCTGTAGCTAGCTCTTCCTGTTGGCCTCATTATGGCTCGATCGGTCACTCTGGATTACAGTAGTGTTATCTCTATATATAATGTACACTATACACGAAACACTCTTTATATTTATCAGTCACCGCTCAGAGTTCTATGGCGGACTCCGAGAGTACCCTGATCTGCGAAGCTAAACGGAGTACTGTTCATTTAATTAGCACCATGGTAGAGGACTATATGAGGATTCTGAGTGTGCATGTGGTGCTTTTCTTTTCGTTTCAGTTTTTACTTTGTATGCAAAGGTTGGCTTTTTCTCAATGCCACAGCGGAACGGTCATAACCAGTTTTTCCAAAGCCAACATTGATACATTGGTGTTAAGGTTATGTAGTAACGGACAAAAATTATTTCCTATACGACAGACTCCAAGAAGAAAATGACCAAAATCAATGGAATACCCAATAATATCATAAATTAAGGGATCGGCGAAGATCCGGAATTTCAGAGATTATTCAGGATGGTAACCGTTGGGGTGGGGGTAACGTAAAATCCAACGTCTTCATTCCAAAGAAAAACGCTAAGATGGAATAAAAGATTTCCGATGCGAGATGCAAGAAAGTATCCAAGACCGAAGAATGGGCTGCCCCATCCACAAGGGACAAACTGTGTGGGCCAAATGTACTGGATATGTCCCAACCCGTAGGTATGAGAGGTTCATAGAGGGCTGGAAAGTGCGGGTCATAGTATGTTGTAAGGAACATGTATCTTGCGCGTAGAGATACCATCCTGCGAACCCCGGGGGGGAAAAAAGGCTCAGCACGATGCCTGGAATGACAAGGTTTGTGAAAACTCACTTTACGAAGATAATGATGGCAACTGTTTGAGTCATCAAGATCATTACAAACCACTTTCCCCATCGGCGGTTAGTCTGAACGGTCTCGAGGTCAGGCGGAGGCGTTGCCGCCCTCACTACGCCTTCAAGCCGCCCAATTTCTTGAGAAAGTGACTCCTCTCCATTTCGAAGGAGTTGCAACTGGCGATGAAGCCTCGCACGCTCCGCCCGGGCCAGTTTGGAAGCTTCTTTAAGATCAATAGTACGATCCTTCTCCTCAAGTATTTCTTGGAGCGATCTCAGTGGTTCCGGGGCAGTCATGGACATGCTACATTCATCACAAGAATCAAGAATTAGTCGCACGGCCACTTGTAGAGTGGAAGATACGCGCACCTTTCATCGTTGAACTCTTTAGCAATGAGAGGGATTTGCCTGGCAATTGACCTCAAAAGTTGTATTTCCTCCTCGGTGGCAGGCGAATTATCCTCTTCCCGAAGAGCAGGTAGCATCTCAGGTGAGCTTGGAATTTCGTTTCCAAAGGCATCCACCATTTTCATACGGGGTCTCCGCCTGCGAGGAGATGAATCCCTGCTGGAAGGTTTTGCCTTTCCCTTAGAGGGGGCGAACTCGCCACATCTCCCTCGTTAGGGCCGAAGGCCGAAGGAATACCCTTCCGGTGCTTGTTTGAGGGAGTCACTAGTTCTTCCTGCTCTTCCTCCATTACCTGATGTTCCAATATGGCAGAGCTACTAAGCGATGTTTCGTCAAATCGAACCTTCAAAATCCCCTTTCGTAACGAATTGGACGCGGATGTAACAGGCGTACTAGCCCATGCACCAGGAGGTTTCGGCGTCTTTGAAATCGATGTAGAAGCCCCCATCGTGCCCCCATCCTGTTCAGGTGTCGGCGCTGGGAAGCCTGCATCAGGTGTAGTAGGGGCCCCTCGCAGTTTGTTCCGCGCCCCATTGGGAACGGACACAGCAGACCCGTTTACTTCTTCAGCCGTGTTTGGCTCAAGCACTCCGGACTCATCTTGCGGAGTAGCGGGAACTAGATGTGGGCGGCCTGGCTTTGGAGTTCTCCACCCACCAGGAGGATGAGGTGTGCGCGTCATGCCTGGCCCATCGATTAATGTATTACGGTTGGGCGTCCGAGTCGCCGTAGGGGATGGTAAACTCCCATCCGGAGATGTGGGTAAGTCAGGGAGATCAGGAAGGTCATCAGGACGGGGCGGTGTGTTGAACACTACAGACCTGGAAATGCGAGGGGGCGTCGCGAAAGAAAGGTGCGAGATATTCAATGCAGGTTGCTCTTCATTTTGCGACTCGTTCTCGGAAGGGGGAAGCGCTGAGGACGAAGGCATAGACGGCTCGTCCGGGATGAATGACAACGAAGGATCAATGGCTTTTTGCTCTTGGGAAGCTTCCATAGTCCCCTCTGGGGTTTTGAACTCTTCGGACTTCGAGATAACCGATATTCCTGAAACGCGAGACAAAGAGACAGGCGATGGGGGGAAAGAGAGGTCATCTGACTGTGGATTCGTGGGTGACGCCATAATACCAGACCGTTGGGCGGGGGGAAACTTGCTGACTGCACTGACGACTCGGGGCGCGCATGATCATCTTGCTGGTATTTCTTCTTCCCTTTGCCCTTGAAGGTCGTGGAGGGCGCATAACACCGTCGTCTGCTATTAGCGGAATTTAAGAAACTGCAATGGACAATGGATATCTGGGGCGTACAGCTCTCGTCAGCACTATCAAATGGTGAACTTGACAAATTCATTGAAGTTGTTGCAAATTTTCGGTTGCTCGACGAACCCAAGGACCTCGACAAATCGTCTCCCGACACGTCGCCTTTAGGGGTAGATTGTTGAGTCGGTCCAATACTTCCAGCCCTAAACAACGTCTTCAGTGGCGTCATCCCATACTCCCACGACGCAGAAGGCGCCATTTGTTCCTCCCCTATGGGCTCGCCATCCTTAACAATTACTTCTAGTTCTTCATCAGATAACGGTTCTCCCTCTGGGGCGGAATCCGTGTTCGGTTCCTGCAGATCATATCGCGCCGTCTGGGCTCGTCGCGAACTGACAATTGGTTTTGATGTACTTGCAGATGCGGTAGAATCGTGGATAAGGCTTTCCAGGCGTAAAGAATCCACATCAAGCCGACGTTGGTTAGCTCGCAGAGCTTCTTCATCGGTCGTTGGTTGTTCTTCGAGTTGCTTTGTGTACGTTTCGTGTGTTGATGCCTTGTGTGATCGGTCAAGGTAGGTCGCGCGGGCAAGTCTAGGCCTTACAGATGGGACAATAAGAGGGGATTTCCGGGTGCGATAATTGGGAGAAACACGAGTAGGGGATGGAGGGAGTTGAAGCGGAGGAGGGTGAAAGGAGAGGTTCATTGAGCTCTGATCTGATGTCAAGAACCCATCATTGCCGCGAGCATTCTTTGGCGTACTGGTTCGTTCAGGCAATTGCTTCCCGAAAGAGTTGTGAAGGGTGTGTGTCGGAGACTGTTGTGGTGTTGGGTTGGGCACTGTTCAACACAAGATGTGAGGGTGTGCATTGATGGCTAAGATACGATTCTTACAGTCGTGACTAAAGTCGATGGCTTCAATTTGGGAGCGCAATGGATGAGCTAAATTTCAGGCCGGTTAGTTAGACCCACGGGATGCTCCTGTCGACCCACATGTCCTGTTGATATTAGGCGTTTCTTCGAGATCTGAATCTCAGATCAGTCAAGGATCGCATTCAAAGTTAAGTGACTCACCCGTGTTTACATCGGACGATTCGAGTCTGGCTCGTAAAATGTTCAACGAGCAGTCCTGCCTCTTGCGGGAGGACTTATCTGCAGCTACAAGGAAGATATGAGGAGGAAACGGGTCGCAATGAGATCAATATTACAGGATGGGGTGTTCGATTTCCGATCGCGTTCGTCGTCCGATAACGAATTAGGTCTGGGAGTGACCTTGTTGCGTGAGGGTTCAGGACTTGTAGACGAGGACCGTCGGCGCCTCGGTGTGGGAGGCTTGGGGGTACTATCTGTTTCATTGGCAGCCAGTGTACGGATGTACAGGTCCCTTAGCCTCTGCTTCGCAGATGAAGCGCGGGAAGACGGTAAGGAGTTTCCGACAAAGGACTCAATGTCCGACTCCAGCTCTCCGGACAACACTCGAGCAGGTCCCGTCGTGAAGAACGCTGAAGCAGGTGGTTTTTTAACAGTAGCAGCATCAGATTCAGAGTCCCGGTCCGTAGGAGGAGGTGTCGCCTGTGAGGAAGTGTTGGCTAAGACGCGACTTGTCAATGCACGTAAGCGAGCAGCAGGGGAGTCCGTAGAGGAAGAGGCTCGGGCGATGTGGGTAAGGGAGGAATTGTTGATGTCGGCCATGTCTTGATGTGAGCTGCGAGATGAGGAGGACGAAGAAGGTGTCGGCGGGAACTCAGAGTCTTGCTCTCCACGCACAGTTGGCATTGGATTTCGAGTAAGGCGCAAACGAGAAGGAGCCTCTGTTCTCGACAGAGAAGATGAAAATGACTGCATGCAGTCCAGAGAATGGAGAGAAAAGCGAACACGCGCCTTCCTCGCGTCTTCAACGAGCTTTCCAATTGCCCGCCTCGGGCGTTGTTTGCGCATTTGTCCCGGAGAAGGGTCTAAACTCCGTTAAAGCCGTTCCACGTGCCCGAGAGCTCATGAAAGACTCGAGGCTTCTGTCACTGGAAGGCGCTCAATCTGATCTGAAACGCCTTCAGAACTCGAACTTGGACTTGTCCGCGCTTCTGCCACCACTGGATGATAGTGTTTCTGCCGCTTCAGACGCGGATGTCCGGCGTTCACATGAATACGTGAAGCATGCACGCAACATATTACGAATCGCTGCTCAGGGAGGAGTAGATGAAGTGGTGAGGCTCAACCCGCTTCTTTGGAGGCCTAGCAAGGTTGCTGAAAGACGCTTAGGGCGCTCGAGTCGAATCCTTGAGAGATGCGTTGTCCGATGTTGCCGAGGACCTCATAAAACAACCTTTGTAGTCGCTTAGGACACCAAAATGTAGAGATTGTGATGGCAATGGCGCGATGCACGCTGACGGAAACTTGTTTTCAGCGTGTCAAGCATCAGAATCGATTGACATTTAAATTGTTTCATTGTCATTGTCTATTCAAAACCGATCACCTGTACTTGGCGTCTATTGCCCCAGCGTGTGGCCCTCAATCTCACCCAACGCTACGGCTTCGGTCGTGTTACTGCCCTACGTCAGACCTTAGCACTGAGGTATGATATTGAAGGTTACTCAATAAAGAAAAACGCGTGACTCGAACCCACCACCACTTGAATTTGAGTTCAACGTTGCCTTGGGCGCAGTCGCTTTGTCGAGCGGACCTATGTCGGGCCTCTTCGGGCCGCACAGCGGCCACCGCCAAAGCAGGCCCCCTTCCTCCCGTGGTGCAAATAGTGCCAGTTCACGGTTACTGGTGCCAACAGAACAGAGACACGGCGGGAACCGCCAGTCACGGAATTTTGAAGATGCATTGAATAGCGACGGGACCGTGCACATCACGCCCAGCGTAGATGAAGACAAGCTTGGTGTGGTGTCACCCCAATCCAGCCGACATTTTGCGGGAGAAACTTCCTTCGTGGATGATAGTATTGACTCGTCACTGACAATATCACGGAATCATCCTCAATTAACTTTGCAACCAGCGACACCCAAAGTCGTTCCCCCTACTCCTGACGCGAATCCCGTCTCTTCGTCCACTTTGAAACCTGCAAATCCTCAATCTCCAGATACTTCTGATTCTATGGAAGAGGCGGAAACAGACCCAAAACGACGAAGCTTGCTACGTTCCCCGGGCACGTCCAGCAGTCCTGATCTTGCAACCCTGGTTCAAAAGGCGAAAGAACGTGGCGGCATTGTTGGTGTAAACAAGACTCCTGTGGGTTCCAAAGCCTCTTCAGCACTCCAAGTGCCGGAACCCAAGACCATTTCGGTTGCGCCATCGAGTTACAAATATCCCGCCCTCCTCACTCCCGCTTCCAATCCACGCAATAGAGCGGCGTCCTCAACTTCGTCGTTTTCTATCATTTCACCTGACCCTCTGTCACCATGCCCATCCCGCATAGAATCAACCCATGGAAAGAAAAGTGGAAAATCCTCTCTCATCTCAATACAGAACAATGCATCTATGCTCTCGTTAAACTTCGGGTCCAAGGATAAAGATTCAAAGGTACATCTTGCTTTCCGAATTTTGCCTCATTTATCTTGACATGACTTGTCACAAGTCCTCCATGCGGGCAAAGACAGGAGCGTTTTTCAACAAGTTGATACTAAGCAGCAGCGCGAAAGACAAGAAACGTTCCAATTCCGTCACGGTACCTAATTCCCCCAGTGCCCGCTCCTCTTCGCGCAGTCCTGTACCCCCTCTTCCCACAACATCTCGGTCTTTCTCCTCGATGCAATCTAACGATGTCTTCTCATGCCCTCCCTCTACGGGGCCCAAGCAGCTTCCAACAATTCGCGCTTCAGTCGATTCCAGAGTTTCGGAGGATGACAGACCCTTGTTCCCTCCGAGTTATGCGCCTGTGTCTTCATTGCCACGTGCTGTCGAGCACCCGCAAAATGCCACAATCAAAGCTGGGCGACGGCGAAGCATGAGTGTTGGTAGCATTGACGTTTCGAGGCTCTCTCCTTTTGACACTTCGGGCAGAAAGTCAGGGGAAAGCATAAAGAAGGGAATCACAGACTTGGGGGATGTTGTTATAGCTACGGATGACTTTAGATCCGCTTTCAAAGGTTTAGCTCACCCTATCACCCCGCGAAAAAGCGCCTTTGATCCTCGGCCAAGCATGTCCTCAGACAGGTCCAGTCGCACCTGGAAACCAGACGGTTCCGATCCCAGCAGTTCTGGGAAGACTGATCCTGGCGCTCGAACACCTCCCCAAGGTGGAACCAACTCCCCAGTGATACGCTAAGACTTGTCGCTCGCCTTGAAGCAGCTTCATTATCCGAAACTCCAGATGATTTCGGCACAAGACCATCTCGAGTAACTTCCAGAAATTCAGATGAAGATAGCTTCTACACACCTTCATCTACTCCGGCGTCCTTCCTACCATCTCCTGTTCCGCCACTGATAATAGAATCACCGTCCATTTGGCTACACCCACCTCTTCTCAAAATGGACATAGCGATTCGTCTGATCATTCCATGGCAGGCGAAACGACCATCACAGCGTCTCCTCGGCCAACAAACCTTCGCCTCCCTCAGCGGAGCCCCAACCCGTTTCAGACTCTGTCCTATCAGTCATCTCCCTCTTCTGCGTCTGCATCGCCAAATCCGCGGGTCGCTTCTCTTCGAACCTATCGCCAACCTCCCAACCGTTCAGTCTCGAATGCGACAACATCGTCCGTGCAATCTGCACCTCTTACCGGAAGTCGCCCTCTGTCGAAGCGCGTGGCGATACCTACAGCACTCCCCGCAGCAGCACGGACCCACGCTCGCCATCAAGGGATGCACGGGTTTCCCGAATCCAGCCACGTCATGCGGCCTCTGCTTCCGAACCTATTCTCGTGGATGAGAAGCCTGTTATCACAGAGGATGGTTTCCTTGCCTCGGGTCACCGTGATTCCAATCGTACAGTTCGTCTCGTCCCCTCTGCTAACTCGATGGGCTTGTCAGGTACCAGTAATGGCGCAGTTGGATTAGACAGAAGAGGCTCGACATATTCACACCCTAGCTCGATGGCTTCGTCTTCGGATCTAAACTCGTCAAGGTACCCTTCTTCAACCAAGATTCATCTGGAACCAGAAGAATTGGAAGCTAGGGCAAAGGAGTATGCAGCGAAATGCTGGAATGAGGATATGGGTTTCCTAGCAATGGAAAAGATTGCAGAGTGGCTTGGTGGAACGTGAGCAGCCTCATGATGAGTATACCATATTTCTCATGATGTTCTCTGGCAGCGACCCTATTCGAAAGCAATCCTTGAAGTACTACATGGACAACTTCGATTTCAAAGGCATGCGGTTGGACAATGCTTTCAGGTAAGATCCGACTATCTTCATGGTGAAAAACCCCATTCAGTCATATACCTAGACGTCTCTGCAATAAACTTTATTTAAAAGGAGAAGCACAGCAATTGGATCGCATTTTAGAGGCGTTTAGTGTGAAGTTTTGGGAATGCAATTCCCTCCCCGTGTATCATAGTACTGGTGGGTACCATATCGCACGAATTCGGGTCTGGACTCACGCATTGACCAAGACGTCGTGCATGCGGTCGCTTACGCTTTATTGCTTCTAAACACGGATCTTCACATTGCGGATTTGCTGACAAGAATGTCTCGGGCCGACTTTTTGAGAAACACCCTCGCTGTTGTTCAGCCTTTGCTGAATAAACCTGCAGAACAAACAGCGGACCGGCCAGAATTGCGGATGTCAGAGACTGATGATGATTCTGACACTGACACGGAAGACGTTCAGGAGCCAACCACATCTTCCCGCGCCTCGCGCAGTCGAGCGAAGCTCAGGACAGGAAGTTTGGCAAGTTGGAAGAGCTCGTCAAACCCATCTCAGTTAGCGATTCAATCCACCAATGCCCCTAACCCAGCTGAAGAAAGTCGAGTTTCCCTTAATTTACCGCTCGGTTCATACTTTGATTCACCGGGACGGCGTCCAAGTCGCGATATCGGAGCAGCGCACTCTGGGACTAAGGCATTGGAGGCGGAGCTGGAGACGTTGTTGAAGGATATGTACAATTCTGTCAAGGCTCAGCAGATTACACAACCTGTTCTCGGGAGTGCTCCTGGCTCAGCATCTTCACTTGCTCCAGGATCGCCTATGTCGAGGAGCCGGAGTCAGCGTGGTTATGGTGGCCCACCTGACCGTATGAAACGAGGAAGTATCCGTGGTCTGCAAACATTGCTTGGTTCTCAAAGCCCGTACGGCAGTAATAGCAGCAGCAGCGTCGACGGACGTATCAGCCCCTCGCCCAGTTTTGCCACCTCCGCCGGGGATGTAAGTATTTGAGTTTATTCTGTGTACCGACTCATGGATGGACTCATGTTTTCTTTCGTACCAGGGATTCTCGGCAGCCAGTTCTACCTTGTTCACTCCCACCCTAGGATTTGCATCTAATCTGTCACATTCCATCATTAAGGAAGCACAAGAGGATGATGGACGCAGCGTTCGCAGCGCCGTCTCAGATTCATCTAACGTCAGCATTTCGGACGAAGAACTTGCGCTTCTAGGTGCTCCTTGGGCAAAGGAAGGCATGCTCTGCCGGAAGCAGTATTGGGAGACAACAAAGCGCCGAGCAAAGGATAAGTCTTGGATGGATGTGTTCGTAGTTATACAGAAGGGAACGATGAGCATGTTTACTTTTGGTGGCCGAGGAGCCTCAGGGGGAGCTGGAATAGGTGTTGGCGGTGGAAACTGGCTGGTGAGTTGTCGCTCAAAACGACCTATTGACACGAGGCCGATCTGTTGGCAATAGGCAAATGCGAACCCCATGGGAGAGTTCACCCTCGCTCATTCCTTGGCTCATAGCCTTCCTCCGCCTGGTTATAATCGCCAGAGACCCTATTGCTTTGTCTTAACGCTTGGTTCCGGGGCCGTCTTTTTCTTCCAAGCAGGTACAGAAGAGCTAGTGAACGAGTGGGTGTCAACATGCAACTACTGGGCTGCTCGACAATCAAAAGAGCCTCTCTCGGGTGGTGTATCCAATATGGAGTATGGTTGGAACCGCCTTTCGAATCAAAACGATGATGACGCGGCGAATGACCTCCGGGCTCAAAAAGATCGTACGGATACGTTTAGCATCCGGAGTGGAAAGAGTGCTAAGCTGTCTAAGAGAAGCTGGGGCGACCTTCCGGGGACAGTACGCAGTCCCCACCATTATATTCCTCCAGACCGGATGTTCATCCACGACTGGCGACCACCTCTCCCTCCTGCCCTGGCGAGTACGCATGACGAGGAGACGCAGCTCGAGGCACTACAGAAACAAGTGGTTGTGCTGAAGAAAGAGCTCGCGCAGCATAACGACCTCCGAAGTCCAATGCAGGAATTAGTAAGCGTTTTCGGGCAGTAAAAACAAGCTCGTTTGATGGCTCATGGTCGTTCCTTTCAGTTCACTGGACGCACCAACAACACGACAAAAGCGCTAAATAACTGGGAACAGAAATCCAAATACCTTCTTGCTGAGATCATCAAATATGAATCATACGTGGATTCACTGCAACAAGGCATGACCCTACGCTTGAAGAAGCGCGGTGAGAAAGTACTAGAGAAGGCTCTTGTCACTCCCAATCCTCACGACGATTACGGTGATCATACGCTGGCGTCTTCATCCCAAAATAGCCGCGTGACAAATAGGGGCGTACCGAGAGAGGAAACTATTCAAGAGGCGGAGGAACCACTAACGCCAGGACCTTTATCGAAGTTCGGTGCGACTTGCCACCGGAAAGAATCCGCGGATACGGGTCACTAGTTAGACACCAAATTCTTGGGACGAGTTCATTGTTACATTCGTTAATTATTCCGTGACAATATTATCTCGTGAGATTTGCACACACAACTTTCTTTTTTCTTTTCTTTTCGAGTTGATGCATAACGGCACTCGTTTGTAAACATATATGCTATACCCTCCCCACCCTCCGTCCTCTGATTGATTACGATTATCACGACTACGATTAAACTAATTCATTCGACGCAGGTTACTTTTTTTTTGCACTTGACACGACAACCCAAAGTGGACGGGGTTTCGACTCCGTAGCCAGGTCTTTGGCAACCAAGTTACGTACGAACATCATTCACTGATTGAGAAGTCTTTCCCTTCATGATATCTGCAGATTCAGCGTATACTAGATCCTACAGAGGAAGTTGTTCGATTGAAAACGACTTCACTTTTGCGGGCGCTGCAACAATTGCAGGATGATGTCGACTGACCTGTGGAGCAAAAGGCCATTCTTCGAAAGCCTGAATGAGCCGGCGCCAATCATCAACACTGAGATCGCTGATGGTCGACTTTGGACTAAGATCCTTTAATAAGGGGCTTTTGAGAAGTACACCAGCACCAGGAGCCAATGACCTTTTTTGGAAATAAATCTATCGCCATTGTAAGTTGCACGCGCGGACTTACGGTAGGGCCTTAGCAACGGTAGACTTCTTGAGCACGAATAGGTGTCGGAGGATGTAATCCCATCGCTCAATGGCGTCCCCTTCGATTATGCGTTCCCTTCTGGGAGTCATCGTAACGGCAACCATAGGATGTCCAGGTCTGCGGAATGCCATCGTAACACCACCTTCCTCATCACCAAGTGTACCGTCTTCCTCTTTCTTCTTTCTTCTTGGTTCCTTCTTAGGTTTCGAAAGTAGCGATGGGGGTATTCGAACCGGTGGGGGGAAAAGATGGTCATCGTATGGTTTGTAAGCGGACATGGGCACAGAAATGGTATAATCGAGTGTGGCTTCCGCAAGTACGGTCAGCTTGCCTCTTGTTGTGGAGGATAGCGGTGATGATAATCTCTAAATAAACGCGTATATGAGCGCACAGTTCGCAGCAAGGGATCCAGGTGGCGGCAGTAAGCAGGAACTCACCTCATGTACCCATTGAGCGATGAGAAGGTGGAAAGGGACTCTTCCATACTGCCATAGCCACGTTCTAGTTGGAACATGCCTTATGATTTGCGACAATAATTGTTCTGCACCCACAGACATAGGCAATTGACCAACTATGCGGAGCTGCGGATGAACTGAAAGAACCGAATTAGTCGCGATTAGCACAAAGTGGTGAAAGGGTGCATGAAAATTGTTGTCGTACCTTCTTCATCAGAAACAGGGTGAATATGATTCAACAACCCTTCATTCGCCACCACGTCATAGGTCTCCCAATAATATGGCGATAATTTCACCAGCTTCACTCGGTCGTCCGAATTTGCCAGACTCTGGGAAAGAAGACCCAAGTATGTAAGAGCTTCGAGCAACGGATGCAAGTTGTGGTCGACGAACAACGAGATCATCATGAAATTCAGGTCCAGACTCTAGGAGTATAAGACGATGTATTCGATCCCGAGGTAGAGATAAAATAGCCCTGCTAATCATCCCAGGTCCTACCGAAATTATTGTCAATTGATATAGGAAGTCTCTAGTAGCCTCCACGAACCCACCAGGGTATAGCTCTACGATCGTCTTCGGTCCTTTGCTGTCATCCTCATCGAGCCCAAACGCCCTGGCGGTTTCGATCGCAGTGTCAAAGTTCTTAACGAAAGGTCGTACTTCGCGAACAGCTGAAGTGGGCTTGAATATTAAAGGGTAACGTTCAGGCCATGCCTCGGGAGATGGTAATGGCGGGAGGTGTGATGCTAGCGAAACAAGAGACCCACGAGGCTTCCTTACCGCTTTGTTCTCATCTTTCAGAGTGGAAAGTTCATCATTTACTGCTAATGATGACAACTCTAAGTCATCCTGGGCAACAACAGCAACAGGTTTGAGCAATTTAAGTGGAGGGGTTCTGGATTTGGCAGCAGCAGGCGAAATCGACTCTTCTGTGATTGAATGTGTGGCCTTTCGTCGGTAATCCCTGATGTAACAGGCACGGTATGTTCCTGCAGAGAGCCACGTCTGCGTCCGAAACGCGTTCGATGTTGAAGCCTTGAACATTCGCAAGGATGCATTGATTAAAAATTAAAGGTCACCACACGTGACCAATTGTGGCGGTGACACCCGACAGTTGCCCAGATCGAATAGACAAATAGACATAAGTAGTCTGAGGGGGGTAACTTCCATCTCATTTGTTTCACGCCAAATATATAATGCCATCCAAAGGCCAAGAGAACTTGCATCCATAGCATTCCCGCCAACTTGAGCAAGGTGCGCGTGGCGGTCGAGGCTTCCGAATCGTCGAAGGCATTGAGGAAACAGAGGGTGGGTCAGGGACAGTGCAGACGCACCTGCAGAGTACCCACCTTCCTCCTGCCGATGAGGAAGATGTCATATTCCGGCGCTTCCTTGAAGAGTGCCCAAATCCAGACCCCGACAACTCTCTCGTTGCCGTCACTTTTCTTGGAATTCTCTGGGATTATTTCCCCACTGTGATGAGCCGTGAACCCCCAAATTACGGTCTAGTCACACAAGCCATCCGAAGCCGTTCCTTGACTGGGTTTGTGGAGCATCGTATGCTGCCTGCGATGATCATGTGTCCGAATTCTCAACGTTTCTTGCAGATGATCCACTTCGTGCACGGCCCAACGAGCGTAGACCCAACTGTATGTAAACACGATGAACTTGCGCGGTATACTTGCTCATCGCTTTGATAGCACTGTTTACGGGTCCCTCTGTACCTTACCAGAAGCAGGGTGAGATTTTCATGCGACTTGTGATAACCATAATGATGTATTGGCGTTCCACAGCAATCGAGCGTTCTTGGACGGAGGCCTTCATGGGCACGGCACCGCAAGCACTCAAAGCTTATATAGACATGCATACTGTGCCACCAAGGGATGATGTCTATGGCCACTTTTGCGCGATCGTCCAATCCTCAGGCATGGGGAAGTCACGATTAGTTGATGAATTCAGTCGAACGAATGTCGTAATTCCAATGAATCTGCGTCCCCTTGGGACTACCGGCAAGAACTCATTTGACTCTCGACTTTAGCCCATTCTTACTCTAATTGCAGGCTTTCCCCCTGCAGACACGAGCGTCAGACAATACTTTTCAAGCCATGGGCCCTTTATAACTCAGCATAAATCGAACCGCCTCTGGCTCTGTCTTCTTAAAGCGTTATTTTCCGAGACAGCCAATGTCATCAAAGGTTTCAATGTCGAAACTAGCAAACTTGCGGAACACCTCCACCGATATTTTTCATCAGGAATGACGTTTGATAGTCACGGCAAAAATCGTCGATCATTTTACGAGAAGGTAGTTTGCAAGGCAGAAGAGGTGTGGTCATTTTGTGTTCTATGTGGAACTCATTGTTTATACTTGTCTCTTCCAGAAATATAATGCACCCAGGGTAGTGACACTGACATTAGCATGGCAGCCATGAAATCCGCATTTTGTGAGCTCATGAAGGTTGTCGAGGATGTACCGAAAAAAGCAAAACGATCAATACGCCGCAACAACGATTCCGATTCCATAAAATCTTCCATATTCTTATCATTTGATGAAGCCCACTCTCTCAGCAGTGATTTCCTGGATTGGACTGGCAATTCAACAGGGAATTCACATATGGTAGAGTTACGCTGAATCCTACATTCAATAAAGCTATGCCTCTCTTAGCTTTTTTTATATCTACCACTGTAGACATATGGAGTCCAGTCTCGTCACACTATCCCAATGCATCTGGGCGGTTGTGGGCTGGAAGTTTGCAGTTAATCCCGGCATTTTCAAACCTAGGATACGACCACCTTGTATATGCAAACGAGATAGGTGATGGTTCGCATTCACTGGCGCAAGTGACTACAACTTCGGGAAAGTAATTATTGAAATTCACTAGGTGGGGACTGCACGCGAAACACTTCCCCTTGAAGATGGCCTTGGACTTGCTCCCATTTTCCCAGTCAAAACTTCTCAACGCAATTAACGTTACTGAACTCACAAAGGAACAAAAACTAGCTTGCCTCTCACAGCGGCTTTCACTGGAGTTTGACTCGAAATCTCACTGGGCCAAAGCGCAAGAGCGCACTCAGGTCGAATGTCACTTGCGCATGTGCCTTCAAATAGACGAGGATTCCGGAATCATGGCAAGCGTCTCGCCATCAGAGCCACTGGTTGCCGAAGCAGCCGCACTTTCGATGCAGAAGTTCAATTCTGTTAAGGCTATGCAAGATATTTTTAACGACTTTTCTCTACATCACGGCAATCGAGGGGAGCCACTGGCGATGCTTCTCCTTACCCTGGCTCGCGATAATGCGGATCCTCCCATCGTAAATATACTCCAACTAATTCATGCCTTGTTCACACAGGCAGAGTCGGTGCTTACGATGAAGCCGACTATTTCTCCTGAAGGACTAGCCCCTTCGTTTGAAGATACGTTTAGGAATGCTGGAACGCACTTCAACCATTTTTTGCAACTTCACCAGCGGAACTTGTGCAGCGTGGAACGGTTACTTGAGCTAATGAGTCGAGGTGCATTCGTTCTCCATGCAAATGGGCAGCCGGACTTCGATCTATGTGGTGCAGGTGTTCTCGATGACGGTCAGAATATCAGCAAAACCAACTCCTTCGTGATTCTGGTCCAGGCCCAAAATGACCCATTTTGGACGCACAAGCTGGATTTGTGTCTGTTTGACGGAATGGATTCCTACAAGCTTGGGATTCTTCACAAAGACGACGCTGAATTAAATATTCCCATCATTCGAGTCGTATTCGCACTTGGTTCAGTCAAAGCCCAACTTGTACCCATCGGTCCCCGTTCAATGCCCCGAAAGGGGTTTACTTTGTACGACATCTGGTGCGCAGGACTATCTGCCGATATATTTTGTCCGGTTAAACAAGAGGATGAAGGTACTTGGGATGACTTGTTGAGGACATCGCGCATATGGGAACGACTTTACAAGACTAGCAACAAGGAAGCGCAAATTTTGCGACGGCAACTAAATCCTGGTGCTGCAGCACATGAGGATCATTGGAATCCTTTTAGAGCACTTAGGTTACCTGCACAGCAGTCCCCGACGCCCGTCCTGAAATTTCTGATGCCCCGCCTTCTCTACTTCTCTTTCTATCTGATCTTCCACTCATACTTCCCTCAGCTTCCTCACATCCCCCGTCCGACGACGACTTTACGCGTTCCTCTTCTTTTTTTCCTCCATCTCACGTGGCCTTTGCCGCACTTCCCTCGAGCCTCAGCTACCCTCACACCCTTGTACAAGTTTGCACTCTCGCTTTATGAATCATGTTCGCAGGTGTCGTGAAACGTGCGCAATAACAGGAAACGATTTACATGCTCAACTCCTGACAAGAGTAAAAGATGCATATTGGAGAATGTCAGCAGGCTCTCGGCCGAACGTGGCCGAGCTGTGACATGCTCATCACATGAATAGGCTCTGAGTTCTCTATCCAGCTCTCCAGTTCTCTGACGTCTACCGAGTGCAGGCTGCGCTTGGGACTTCCTTACAGAAATCTTTCGCTAGGTGCCCTGTTTGTTTGCAATCGAAGCACAGGCATCCAAGTCTTCTTTAGAAAACTTGGACCATGGACGTCTGGATTTACGCCTTCCGGACACATTCTCTCTTCGTTGTTATCAGACAGATATTGAGTGCTTGTTTCCCTGCCGCTGTACGATTCCGGCTTCATTTGCCGGCCTCTTTGTATTCTCCGAGCTCGCTCTCTGCGTTCATTGCTTCGTTGTTCTATCCCCCCAATCCAGGTCCAAAGCCGTAATCCAGGAGCATTGCACGGTAGTGCCTGTCCAGACCGTTGGATACTTTCCGTACGAACCGTCAGCCTGTCATATATCCCTAACATAATGCATCTCTCAGATATATTACTAGACTGTTGAATCCAACATTCGAAGCCGTTGGGCTGTATTCACTTGAACGCTAGAGGGAAACACTCGTCGAATGGCGCTGTGACGCAGTTGTCCAACTGTGTGGTCTCAATGCGATCGTTGACACAAACCCTACCAGCTAACATGTGTTGGAGGTGCTTGTCTGCGAACCGTATTCAGCTCGAAGCAGGCGTTCATGGTAATGCCCTGTCATTCTATTCGCGTCCTGGTAGGACGTTCCGAAACATCATGTAATGTTTCCCTTTTTCTAAATCACCCTCGTCATAGATGCTTCTGTTTCTTGAAATAAATAGTGGTTGAATATACGGTGCGCAGGTGTGATACGAAAAGCATTCTAGTACCTCGTGACATGACTCCACGTTCTCGGCCTGTTGTCGCGAAGGGGCTTTTGCAAGTCCGATCCGATTGGTCCTTGTGCTCAGTAGAGCCTTAGGTTGTGTTCGCATATAAGCACCAAGACTTATATGTTGCTTGTGGCAAAGTGGGAGAGGGAGTCTGTCGGACACGCCACACAGAAGCCACCAAACGGCGGATAGACCCCACACTTCTGCACGCCTCGTGTCCGACACGTACGATATTCTCCGCTGCAAATGTGAAGAACAATAAGAATATCTCACACTGCAAGTTACATGACTCGAACGAACAATGACTCTGCCATTTCTTTTCTGCTCTTTTGTTCTCGCATCATGCAGGGCTTGATGCACGGGTTCCCAAAATTGCTGATAAACTAATGCACCCGTGCATGTAGCTGCTGCCACACAATACACACATATAATCCCGTTTCTTGGATCCGGATGATATGTAACGAATCAACTCGATGATACTCTTTTGTTCGCCACGCCCTGACTTCGCAATGGCTGCCACTTACCTAGTCAAGTTCAAGTAAGTGAACCAAAACTCTCAACTTGCGTAAAACGGGTTGGACTGAATCACAATACGAATCTTATCAATCAGCACAAGTCACTAATCATGCAAGCATGCAAACCAGTGTAATATTCCCTTATTGTTCGAACCCTCACCTTCTCTTGACTCAGATCCCGGACGTTCCGAGATGAGTCGATCGAGCGCGCGCTCCGTAACCAAGGGTCGCGGCTTCTCATATCCCATTACTCATGTTGCCATTCCGCGCCACAAACGACCGCTTTTCGCCAAATCTTCTTCTACATAAGCACAAATGCCCAAATATCGAAATCGCTTTGCCTTTGTTCTCCCCGGAGGTTGCCGGCAGCATATCCAACATATTGCACGGCCGCATGTTCTAATGTCAAAAAGTTGAAGAGAAAAAAGAAAAGGATCCTGACGGTTCGCACGCGAACCCACACATTCCCTAATCTTCTGATTATTACATAGGTCCCTGGAGGAACAACATGTGTGACGTTCATTTTGGCGAATTGCTCATCGGAGATGAGGTCTATACTCCGCTTGTACATAACACGTTGAGCAACTGTCGATCGGTCTGGTTCACTTTTTCTAGATATGTCCATATTGGCACGGCGAACGTGTCCCATTGGCCGCAAAACTATCTCCATTACGTAGACTTAGCCCGCGACGCGACTCAGGAACCGTTCAACCGCTCCAATAAGGTCATCTCAACGGGGATCGTGCCACCTTGGGGAGTACATACACTCTATAGGATTGAGCTTTTGCTTACCAAGTCAAATGATACACATCGATAATGAAGCCAAGAAAAGCCACGCAAGAAAGCAAAGAATGAGAGAAAGCAACAACCGGATAAGAAATAAGAACATATAGCACAGTATAACGGAGAAAAGTCATAACAGTACTGAAAAGACGAATGGCGAAAAATAAAGCATCAAGTGGTATAATTAATGAGCAACGGAGCGCCGCGCATAGCAGCTGAGCGCAAACGGCTGCAAAAGATCCGGAAATGAAAACGTACGTGTCGACGCATAAGAATCAAATACCAAAAGAAAAAAAAAGAACTTTTGAAGCTGGGATTGCGAAAATAGGGGAATAAAAATGTTTGAACTGATGATAAGTCCATTAATTACGATGCGAACGTTGCGATGCATTTGAATAGTGGGCATGGGTTCGAGAAGGAAGGGAGGGAGGTGACGCACGAGTCGAACCTGGTCGTCATGGTGTTCAAAGGGTATGGAAACAGTGGGGGATGCCGGGGTACGATAGTTGAGCAGGGGGAGGGGGGGAACAAATATACAAACAACAGAACGAAGGATTCTTAGATTTTTTGGGAGCAACAATGGGTTAACTGAACAGTGTTAGGAGTAGCAGAGCAGTGATGCTAACTTGATGATGATGGTTGATCATTACAGGTCATATGCTTAGATATTCTGAGACGGTAATTGACAAAATCATGAGCAACACGTCAACACTGAAGAAACAGCGGTTCTACTTACTGAATAAGCTGGCCCTATTGCCTGGAACTGACTGCACTGGTCGTACGACTCGATGACGACGCAGGGATCGAGGAAAAATCAAACTCTTCCCAAATATTATTCCCATCCACGAGACTCTGAGCCGTGGTTCGTGCGCCACCACTCGACGACGTCGCAGCTGATGTATTCCTCACTTGGGGCTTAGAAGGTTTCCAGCTACCGCCCACACGTCTGGAGGCATTCGATGCCCCAGATGGAGGAGTATATGGCCTATTGCGGTCCGAGCCTCCGTGCGCGGTGTGATAAGTCTCCGCACTCGAACTCGCCCCGGAAAAATTACGCTCCTCTTGAAGATGAGCTTGGAAGGCGAAGAGATCTATGGGGCCCGTATAGTTACGAGACGAATCGGACGAAGACCGCCCTCGCCCTTCGTGGGCTTCATCAGCGGGAGTGCTCGGTTGCGCCACCTGTTTGTCTATTGGCCCAGTGTAATTACGATTCGAAGTCTGATATGAAGACGAAGGGTCACGAGAGCGTGCAGGAGATGGATTACTTGACGATGTTTGTTGAGGTCCAGAGATTGTTCGCCCTCTTGCCTCGTCAGACACAGTCCTCTCTCCACCAAATTGGAAGTCAAATGTCCCCAAAGGCGACTGCCCAAAGGACCCAGGTAAATTACCCAGGAACTGGGTCCCCTCAACCTCACCAACGCCAGCGACGGCTCCACTAACACTGGCACCACTGACCTGACGCTGGTCATCAAAGGAATACGTCCCTGCCCCTGAACCCGACGCTGAAGGTGCATTCCACGGCCCATTGAAATCGAAGGCAAACGACACGTCACCAGAATCGACACCGTAACCCATAGCATTCAAGTCCGTAGCCGAGGCACTGGCGAGAGTCTCAAAAATTGGGCCGCATGGTCGGGCCCACCGTAAGCCTCCTGGTAATCACCCCAAGCGAGATTGATGATGCCATCTTCACCTATACCTGAGGGGTTGAGCTCCAAATTAAATGTGAATGGCTCCGAAGAAGGGACAGCAATAGAAGCTGAAGGTTGCGAAAGAAGGTCTTGCTGAGTGGCGGATGATGACCCTGCCGCATCCGCACTTCCGTCGGTGTGTGTGAAGGACTGGAAGTCGAAGGGATTCGTGAGAGGGGAAGGCTGCGTGGAAGAGAATGAGCGTGGGATGGGCATTTCGATGCGTACCGAGTTTTCAATAGAAAAGCCCTGGGCAGCGGCGTCGACGGCGGCAGTACTCGACGGGTTCAGCCCGGACACGCCAGACGATGTGCTCTCCTCGTTCTGACCTTGGGGAGGGTTAGGCCACAGACCACCAAAGGGTCCTGACTCGATTGAAGGCCATAGCGAGAGATACTGACTTGGGTCATAGGACGTCGTACCTTGCTTCATGGGGAACGTCCAACTCGGCATTCGAGCGGCGGCCTCATCGAAGGACGTAGGAAGTGGGGACTGTGCGCGAGACGCGTCGGCGGCGGTGTTGCCATCTTCCTGGCCATTCACGGAAGCAACGTTGACTTCGGCTCCGAGAGTGGCTGAGGCGTCGACAGTCATGCCAGCAGTGACTTCAGACTGCATCAACCACGTGGGATCAGGAGGGGCGAAGAGGAGGAAGGAGGAAAAGGAAGGTGATACCAGGTGTACTTGAAATGCTCGATGAACCGGAAGGAAGAGCTGGCGGTGGGGGAAGGGTCACAGCGGCGAGCATCTGATCTGGTACCCATGGTGTGGTTGGAGGTTCTGGAATAGACTTGGAAGGAGAAGAATGAGAAGGGGAGCGCACACCTCGCTTGCCACCAATGCGTCGCTTGACGACTTCTTTCCGTTGCGCTTTCTCAGCCTCTCGACGCTGAACCCTCAACAACTTTGCAGCTTCGCGCTCGGCAGCTCTTTCCTCCTTACTGAGTGGCGTGAACTTGTAATTGGGATACTTGCGTTTGTGCTCTAGTTTTTCGATCTCTGCAAGCTCAATGTAGTACCGACGGACTTCTGGCGGTTCGTGCGCCCAGTCATAAGCGAGATCCTTCGAAATACCTGCTTGTGGTTTGAGCTTCTGACCTGAAGCGTCCGTGATTCGCATTTTCGAGAGGCGAATGGAGCGGTAGATGATCCATGGGTTGCGCGGACGCGGGATATTTTCGCGCATCTTGGGTGCTGGGCCTTCGGGATGTTGTTTGTGGACTGGTGGAGGAGGTGGTGAGTGTGCAGATCGTTTAGTAACCCCCATAGCCTATGCTATGGAGGATCAAATGAGAAAGTGAGAGAAGTAAACAGGGCGCTTTTAAACGACTGGGGGGACGAAGCGAAGGGAAGAAGAAGAGATGGCGAGTGGTTAAAAGGACGGGTCCTTGAATTTATTTCCTCGGAGGTATGTTCGTGGTGACTTGTTTAGGGTGTAAACAAGGAAAGTCGTGAGAATAAGTAGAACTGAATAAGATCCGGTGCAAGCGCCCTACCCGATCGAATTGCACGAGCCTGAGCCCCCTTCGTCGTCCCAGCGCAGTGGGTTTGGGGGAAGTCGAAAACGGCACACCCATAACCATCAAATACCCTCCTACTCCTGGTCCCTTCTCCCAGCCAATTGAACGGTTGTTGTACGGGTTTAGCCATTCAGATATAAATTGTCATTTATTTTTTTTTATTTTTCAACCCAATATATTACAGCATTCATTCTTTTCCACAAAGGCATCCATCAGCATAAATCTTCCTTCTCGCATCCCTGAGGCATGCAGCGTCGTCGCCGCTGCGTCCCTTTTCACGTCCGGCCCATATCGGCGGTACGGCTGCACTATGTATCATGAATTCTTTTCTTTTTCTCTTGATCAGATGCATACTTAGTCACGGGCCAAAGCGGTTTAAACTCATTTTGGCCAATTCCCGATTTTATCCTTACACCGCATTGCGGATCCAACTCTGCAAAGCAAAGTAGATGTTCAATCTTGCCATACTTCAGTTTTCACATCTACATTTCAACGTGCGTAGGTTCTGCCAGTCATAGTTAAACCCTGATTCAGACGTGAGCATGCCCTGCAGTTCCGCTCTATCTCGCTATCTCTTCCAACTTTGCTGATGGACCGATGGTTTCACACTCTCGGTGCTTAGGCCCGGACGAAAAGCTCGCCCAAAACTGCTGCTTTCCTCTCCGTGAATAGGGGTACTCCTATCTTTCTTTGCATAGTCATACTTCCATCTTTCGCCGTCATGCGACGAAAACCAGAATTGGTGATGCTTCTCTACAATGCAGTTCGGGATTTGCTTGCCTATCTTTGCCCTCATGATGTGGGGTTGACCCACGGACTCCCCTAAAGGAGAGGATGCCTAAAGGGGAAATCCTCATGCTTGCTTGGAAATAAGAATAATGCTGAGGAACCTGCCTGACTGTCGTCCCAGACTAAAACTCTTCGTCAAGCCAGTTGAGGGCCTTGAATATAACCTGTCTGTTGTAAATAACCGTAATGTGGGCACGACTGCCGGCCGCCCGCAAAACGCTCACTGACCGCCGGTTCTGTTCCCTCGACCCGGCGGGTTCGCAGGCCAGTGGTAACCTATCCAAGCCATCACGCGGGATGCCAATCAATTGAAACATCAACATCTTCACCCCGCAAGCCTCCTTACCGCCGCCGCTGCAAAACCTCCATCCATCAATTTTTTCCCACTTCTTCCTGATCGCTTGGGTCGGTTGGTACCTCACTCATCTGTGCTGCGATGATGATGATGATGTGATATAACGCTGGCAACGGAAAAGCTGGAGCAAATAAACTCATAAACTGCGCTCTGCTTCGCTTGAGGGTTGCTTCATTAGTATCAGCAAGCATTGCCCCCCTTCGTGCGCGTGGGTCATATCGGGACCGCCTCGTGTTCTCATCTGCTCTTCAGGAGGCCGATGCTAGTACTAGTGGTGGTTTGTCGTGGCCATATCACGGAGTCTCGGTCCGACATGCAACGGACAAATTTATTCAAGAAAATTCTGAATTGAATTCAGGTTCAGCCTGACTCTCTGGGTAAGCACCCATCGGGCATGATACTAGTGCAACCCTGAATTTTCTGTTGGAAATAAATCGCCAACACACCATTAATACAATCAGGTATCATCAGCAGAGAAATATCCCTCCACTAGTTGTCTTCACTTCCAAGTCAACTTTTCGGCGCAGTACGGGCTCGCCTATCTTGTATCTTGTATCAGAAATAGATGGCATTATTAGGTGCACCGCACACAAGCAGCATGGAATAACGGGTACTTCAAACCAGGGGGGGCCTAAAGATGCAGGAGGGAAGGGAAGGTAGGTCACCATGGTGCGTCAATTATTCCCAAATTGCTCTCTCGCCAGGATTTGGGTAACCCGGTGAACATATTGCTTTCCCCTCCATCCGATTGCGCTCTATTCAAATGGTCCATACATCTCCGCGGAGTCGGTATTTCCATATTTATATATTGATCTCGCTAGGACTGGCGGCAATCTGATACAAACCCGGGTAAGGACCTTGCACTCTAACCACTCCTGATATTCCCCTTGCGATTTCACGGGGGCTGTACTATATGCGCTTTCACCAGCTGACATATTGCTGCCTTGCGGTTCTGCTTGAAACACGGCCGTCACGCGCACGCATCCTCCTTTCTCCGATCCATTTCAGGCCTTCGTATCTCCTACAATATAGTATTCATGACGCACACTTCCGTGTTAACCTCTAATCTGCTTCCTTTCATCCATGATCGATATCTGTAATCCGTTTCCCACATTTCTAATCACGAGCAAAGCCTTTTCTCGCTCCTCCACCGGCACATCCGACACACCACACACTCTCTCTCTTCTCTGTTTGTTCTCGCTTGTTTCCGTGGAGCTTCTGGCGAGCTGCTGGCAGTTCATCCACTCCGCTGTGATTATCTCTCTCATGCTGTCCGCTTACCTGCAAGGAAATCCATCTTCTATCCTTAAGAGATACTGTTATGGGTTCTTGTTCATAACCAATTGCGTTCAGTGGGCTCTTCTTCGATTGTGCTGATCGCGTGTCTTGCAGGTGAGGCTCCATCTCGGGGTTTTCCTTGGAATCGGACTGTCTACCGTGCATATCTTCACTCTGTCTGAGAACTTCAAGTCATTCATGATGCATACAAGCTTCTTCTAGCTTACTTTATTGCAACCGTCCGATGTTGATGAGGTCTACGCATGCCCCGGAATACATCCTTACTCATAATCTCTCCCCCACCTTTCCGGTTCCGGCGTCAGAATGATCCGTCGAATCATGATGGCCACTGCAAACTTTCCACGTGGACTTTCTTACGCCAGCCACGCACGCATGTGAATATGTATTGCCCCCCTTCGACTGGCTGACTGATTGACGGCTGCTGATCGCACGTACTTGCGCCAATTTAAACCATTGTCTATCACTTCTTGCGAGGTGCTTCTCCCGGATATCGATTCGCCTCCGATCGATCCATCTTCTGCGCATTTAGCATTGTCTCAAAAATGTTCCCATCAGATACTTCGGAACCGTTCATTGTACACGACGGTTCCTGCATGCGATAACGTTCTATTTTGGTTGTTTTCCATTTCTTCACGGAGCTTACCTCGGGTCCGACCGTACATCCACACTTCCCCCTCTCTTTGTTCAGCGATTACTGGTTGAGGCCTTCCTGGCTCGCGTGCAGTTGGTCTCTACACGCGGATACATGCTGTTGGTGAAATTTATTTCCCGGATTTGGGATGCTCTGCTGTTCTTGACGGTCCCCAATTCCCTGCTGTGGAGCATGCTCACTTGCCCACCTTGCCAGATATTCACTGCTTCTACTCGACGTGTTTTCGATGACACAGCTGGCCACGCTTCCTTCGCGCGATGTACCATCTATCCGTTGTCTGCCACAACAACAAAGAGACCGGGAATAAGTCCAATACCACAGCTCACATTCTACCGAATGTTACAGTTCTTGCCCAAATTGGACATCTTCTCCAAGTAAACTTGTCCCTTCATCGATCCGTTAAGTCAGGCATGACTCGTGTCTAATTAACATCATTCGTTCAGTATTGATCGGTTTCATTATATACTAGGTTTTGTGTATTTCCAGAGGCGCCCACACCGGTGCCCTCCGTGCCCCATGAAATTTGAAAAACCCAAAAAAGCCTATCATCTTTGGCGCGAGGCTTTAAAGCGAAACGTGCCACCATCAGCGTGAGCGTTCTTGCCAAATCCCGCGATCCTTGCGCCGTGGCATTAGCAAACCGATTTTGTACAGTAGAGGGCGATCCGTTGCTCTCCACCTTTCCCCTTTTCTAACATCATCCCTCGCCCCGAGGAGGATCTTCGGTGACCAGATCTGCATACTGTATCACGACCGTCCATTCGGGTGGGTGAAATTGAAAAAAAAAAAAATAACAATTCCAACTAAAGTTGCCATTCCCATCCTTGCCCAAAAAAAAGTCAGTAGATCATGATCGTATATATCCCAAGTACGTACTTCAAGATTGATTTTAATAACAGTATCAGGGGAAAGTCGCCGGTGTCGCTAAGCAGAGAGCGACCTATCCCCGCCTCAATAATTCTTCCACACGACTCTTGATCAGCGCCAAGTGTTCCAATACAGATATATTGCCAGGCGGAGACGGCGGACGCTATGTATGTGTGTGTACTGTAATCCTTTGACGTACACCCATGGGCATCCTTCTTGCCGCCGATAAGTTGAAGCGCGGTCGACGGACAATATTCTTCCCCCCGCCTTCTCCCCATTCAGGTGGTATCAAAGCGCCCCCCCCCGTATTCGGAAACGGCATTCTCCGGACCGAGAGCTCTGATCCCGGAAATGAGGGCGAGGTTGGAGCGATGGTTGCATTGGGACAGCGGTGGTTACGAAAGTTGCTCAACAGGCCATCCCTTCTTAGAGCGTTGACGACTGGGAAGATGACATTTGAAACTTGCGGAGATAGTGCCACCTGTGTTGGTCCCACGCATTTGGGACGCTCCTGAATTCCATGATGTCCTTCCGTCCGAATTACTTTTCTAAGCGATCCATTGAGAGGATCCCGGAAAGGCGTTACCATTGGAAATGTTTTCATAGACTCATTTTGGCCACTGAGATCAGTTTGGCATACGTACAGCAAAAAAAAAAGTGCAGAAAATTTGGCATTAGCACCCACCTCTGAGTGGCACCACGCTGTGCGTTGACATTAGGAGACCGCAGGTCCAAGCTATCTCGGCGTGCTTGCTCCCGTATGACCCGAATCAACGAGGCGGATGACTAAGACATCATGAAGGAGAAAGAGCGCCTTACGATATTAATTTAAGCTTAAGCTAAATTTGCTAAGTCCATGGGGGTATGGGGATACATCGCTAAAGCGGTGGTTAATCCTGTGCATGGGACATCTTGGAAAGTCGCAAGAAGACCACAGGACCGTCCACATGAAGACGACTTCCATCCGGTGTGATGCCCCTCCCCCCCCCCCCTGGATGTGGTATAGTAAAATGCTTGCCACGGCGATTTGGTGAACAGACAGAAACCAATCGTTCAAATGAAACGGCCACAGCGATCTACCGAAGACTTAGACTTGTGACATCACGTGCGTTGAGAAAAGCTCCTTAGGCCTGGACCCCAAAAGCCATGATCAAATGGAAGCTGCTCATGGGACAGGAGCATCGTTAATGAACTGAGCTTCTCGCCAGTTATGTAGTTGAACGAGTTAGGCACTACGCAATGTAACCGTAGTAACTCCAATTACATTTGAAGCTTGAAGACTTGGGTTCATGGTTGACATTGTTGGCCCTACGTTGATAAGGGGATTTTCCGGACCGATTCGCCAAGAGAAGTTAATTGACGAGTAGCTTACGCAAATATAGGAAACAAAGTGCCACCAGCACAATTCGTGAAGATGTTCTCCGGTGACATCGGACGAATCGGCTACCATTTGCAGACAGAGGTAAAGTTAGGGCGAGGCCCAACAGCGAACACTGGACTGTAACTCTAGGGTGGTTAACGTAGTGGGGGATACCGAGCTCTGACAATCAACCCTTACATTTGACTGAAACGTGAGCCGCCTCTAAGAAATTAGCCAGGGTGACAAAGTGACAAGCTGTGCATAGAAAGCATGCAACGGATTTTCAGAAGCGAGCTTATCCTAGGTGATACGATTATACCCACTGTTCTGCTTCCATAGCGACAGTGAGACCGGGAATCAGATCACGAGTTACCCTCACAGCGCCTAGGGCAGGAAGTGCGACGAATAATACAATGAACTTTGGTTGGTACTCTGTGACACTTCAGTCTTGGGGACTGTCCGTCACATGGACAGACACCCCAATCAGGCTAGAGGCAAGGAATGTAAAAATGTCATTGGAGAATGATTCGGAAGTCGAAGGGTAGCTTCCCAAGTACCAACACAGATAATTTTGGTAGGGAAGTAGGTGAGCCTGATTGCCCTTAGTTGCACCCGGGCTTCCCTTGTGCCAACTATCCTCTAGTGCAACTCCATATGGCGGGCAGCAAAGCTCTCTATCAGGTATATTAAGGCCCCAGAGATTGAGCAGTGGAGGGGATTGAATCGCCTAAGAGGCCTGTCCCAAAGGTAATAGTGTTTCCACAAAGCCACGGACGATAAAGTGAACATATGGTAGTGCCATTAGCAGTGGAAAGTTTCACGGGGGAACGATCCCAGTAAAGCTAGTGGAAAATGTCGTTATACTGCCAGCACTCTATTTGGAGGTCTCAGCATGGGATCGAAACGAGGATGTCACTCTGACCCCGTAGCGGCAGGATGTAATCCTGAAGAAGGACCCATTACATCAGAGAAGACGCCACAACTCAAAGACAGAATGTAACCTCTCGACATGTAACGTGCACTCCCTCGTTACAGCGACTATGATGATACTGCCGGCAGGTGACGCGAAATGACACGTCAGAATAGCAGTAGCAGCTGAGAGCGGTACTATGCCGAGATAACCGATAGTGGGCTACACGAACTTCGAAGCCCGGTCACGTTGTTATGGCCAGATTCTAAGCTGGAAAAGTTCATCGTCCAGCCAGCAGAACATCACTTTGATGATGAATCGCACATTGAACGAAATGGTGGTTTGTTTTGATCGGCACTCGCCGCAATGTAAACCTCAGCCAGAATGAGCATCTTGAACTATGAATCCCCGCGTACGCACAACCTCGGAGGTGCAGGAACATGCAACTTACCTGAGACTCATCCTTCCTATCAGTACCGATCTATGCGCTTGATTGGGCAAAAACTCCTGGTGCTGGGCCATCCTCGCACCTCCCTCGTTCCAACTTCCGACTCGCACTTGGCACGTTTTCGGAAGACTTTAGAAATCGCGTACAGATAATAGGGCTTCCAGACGAATCCCCTTTGCAGGAAATTATACCCGATGACCCTTATGCTTCTTCGACACCATCTAACGCGCCGGAAGGCAAATCGGACTTTGTGGTTCTCGCAGACGCGTTACATGGCTACCCTATAACGAAGATCGGCTGGGAACCCTCCAGCGCATTTAGAGAACCATGGAAGGATGTCTCTTCAGAACTCCTCACTAGCACGGGAGATGCACTGCGGATATGGGAGTTCACAGAGCATGAAGGGAAACAGATGAGTTCGTATGTTGGGCGAAGCACCACCGCTTCTATCGGGAAAGTCCAACAAAAAGTCGCACTTTCTAGCGTACGTACTAAGCCTGGGACACGGATTATTTGTTATTGAAGTCGTGCATTCCTCTTTAGACGAAAAATCCAAACCCCATTACTGCACCCCTCACATCGTTCTCCTGGAATACCATCAGCCCTCACCTTGTGGTGACCTCATCAATAGACACCACGTGTACAGTCTGGGACCTCTCCGCTTCAAACGCTGTCACTCAGTTGATCGCTCATGATCGAGAGGTGTACGATGTAGCATGGATTCCAGGTTCTGTAGATTCTTTCGTCTCAGTCGGGGCTGATGGCTCGCTCCGCGCTTTCGACCTGAGGAGCCTTGATCATTCTACGATTTTGTATGAGACGCCAGCGAAGCCAGTCGCGAAACCGCCGACGACGCCAGGACGCCCCAGTCAAACGCCCAACGCGCCCATGACTCGAGGGCCGACACAACCCCTTCTGAGAATCGCTTTCAACCCTTTGGATGCCAATTTCCTTTCTACCTTTCATGCCGAATCTCCTGATGTACAAATTCTGGATATGAGGAGCCCGGGTCGACCTGTTGTTGAGATGAGAGCACACTTGGCAAATGTAAACGCAGTAGGATGGAGTGCAATAGAAAATGGCTTGATAGCCTCTGCTTGTATGTTTGATGACGCGATTTATTATTAACTTGTAAAACTGATTTTCATTCAGCTGATGATTGTCAATTACTTATCTGGGATTTGTCCAGCACCGGAGTCCTTCCATCTCGACCGACTCCTTCATCTCGGTCACCTCATCCGGAATCTTCGCAGAATGTTCCCACTCGTAGTGTAACGGATCCAGCGCTAGCGTTTTTCAGCCCCAGCGAAATCAATAACATGGTCTGGTCCCCACCACTTGTGGGACTTGACGCAGCAGGGAGGCCATACACAGGTAAGGGAGGCACTCAAACAGAATGGATTGCATGTGCATATGGTAGGAGCGTCAGAGCAATTCGTGTGTGATCTGTGCATTATATTCCTAGATCTTCCTGTAAGCAGTGTAATTCACATCGTTTGACACTCTGTGATGCGAGTGTCGAGCGTATGGTGTACATCATCTTGACATAACCTTCGACACGCTACCTCCATCATAGGCGCCATCTCGAGAGCTTTCACTGCTCCGAACATAGTCATAAGACCTTGGGGTGTAAACGCCACACCACTGCCCCTGGTCCGCTAAGCGCCGTTCGATATGCTGTTTATGATCCCTTAGCCTCTGCTGCGGTACAAATTTTTTTGTGTCTCGCTCTCCAGTCGCTGCAATGACAGTGAGCTCAATATACCAGAACAGTAATGGCTCGCACCACTCACGCGGTTTGGCATTTGCGATCACAATAATTCACCTTTTTGCACCTGGAACACCTCTCCAGTTCCCTCCCAATATCAGAACAATGCTTGGCACACAAATGTCGGTCGCATATAGGAGGATCCCGAGCTTTTGCAACGACTGCCGGGTCTCTGGCGAAAGCATCCCATTCTCTCGCATGCTTACTACACTGTTCAATGACAAGACGACCGTCGCCTTTGTTCAGCTTGTTCTCCCTGGCGTATTCAAAGAACCGCTCCCACTGCTCCAGTACTGGTACGATCACCTCTTGATGGATGGCTGCCTTCTGCCGAGCCCAGAGTTGAATTTGAGTCAATACCTCTAAGTAAGATGGGGTTAAATTTGCGCTTTATGTGAAGCGTAGTGTTGAATCGCTAACACCTACCGGCAATGAGTCTCCAATCTCTCACATCGTCTCGAATACCGATCTCGGCGATATGAACAGTGTATTGCGCCAACCACTCCACAAGTCCTGCCTTTATGATTGGGGATGCATAGCGCGGAGGACAAGGGGCTGCCGGCCTCAGAAGCACGGTAATCACGAACGCAGGCGCAATGTGGCGAATATCCTTCGCCGAGTTGAGTTCTTTGACGTCAAGGGTCTGTATGTATCGCAAGAACTCGGGAACGTGATCACCAGTATCACCAGAAAGCAAGTGCTTCGAGAATTCTTGCGTGTCATCCAGCATCGCAGCCATCACGAGCAAAGCCATCTCATCCTGAAGCAACATATCGCGCCGTTGGGGAGATGCCTTGGTTCGGATGTCTTTGATGAAGTCCCGATGAGCCTCTAGGAATAGCGCACTCTTCACTTTGTCAGTGACATCTCCGACGCTGTGGTACTCGTCCTGAAGCGCATTCATCCCTTGAGAAAGGAGACGGATGGCGGGCCCGTACGCATCAATGCTTCTGTAAGCAACCATTCTGCACTCCATCCCCCAAACGATCATGGCCAGTTTGGTGATTCGAAGCCACTCCTGAGGTTTCCAATCGACTCTAGAAGGCAAGAATGAGGCATCAAGACATCAGAGTCACTATCCGGGACTCACTGTCCTAGTCCGATTAGATGGTGAAATATGTCAAGACAGTAAATCAGATGGAACGCGATCGGCTCCATATCAATGAAATGCATCCCCTCACACTTCTCTAACATTCGGAGCAATGTGGATAAGGGCTGCTTGAACTTTGGCAAGTCATTGTCTACTTCTGCCTCGCTGAACGGATGGGGAGATGCTATGCAGCGAAGATAGGTCATAAGCGCGTAGAAGGGAAATAACCATTGAGGAGATTTCTTCGAGGAAGCGCCATGGTAAGGGAAGATCGGGCGCCCGCATCAAGCATAATTCCTTACCTCCGTATATGCTGACCCTGGCGAACAATCATTCAGAATGTCAATGAGAAGATTGAGATAGCCTGCAGTTCGCAATTTCATCACAACCTTCTCTGCCGTTGAATCTCTCCTTCCTTCCTCGTTGGCGGCCGCAACTCGTTCACAAATGTCCCGAAGAAAAAGCCATGCAGTTTCGGATATATTATGCCACTGTCTCCTCCAACTTAGCATGACCGCAATCGGATTATTAAGAATTCTCTCTCGAAGGTTTGTCTGGGCTTCCCCTCTGCTGTTTTCTCCAGGAGGAGGTGGAAGTTGCCAGCGTTTAGACATGGAAAATAGGCTAAAGGGCGGAGCGAGATAGGCAGGTTACCAGCCTTTATTATGACGGCTCAGAAGCGCGAGGTTAGGCCTTGATCAAGCTGTGACAATGACAACGTCACGCGTCTCATTCCGATTCCATCATCAATATCATGACGCCAATGCGATGAGCAGCCTGCTACATCAGGTACAACCGGTATAGACGACGCAAAGTCAGTCCATATTCTCTAACTGAGGGGCCTCGTTACCTGGCTTGCGGTGATTCAAGCTAATTCTTGCAGTTCTTTCCCCTAAATGCCACGTTCACAGTTGGGGCCGTTATTTGCACTTCACGTCTGAGCATCCTCAGAAGAGGATGAAATCCTACTTCTCACTAATGTGGACACAAATCAAGGTCAGCGTCCGAGCGAAGAAAAATCGGCATCTATTGAAAGTCCTGCCTGTCCCACGTACATTGTCGGGATCATCCATTCGCGAATCTCTGCGTCCCGTAGTCTTCGCACCAATAATCATACTTCGTGATTCTACGGGCGCATCGGATTCTCGAATGATGAAACCATCATGAATTCCTAACCAGATATATAGGTAGCATAGCCGAACTATAGTACAATTAAAAAGGTGCGGAAGAGCAGCTGGAACGCCCTAAGTTTAAGTTCACCAATATATTTTTCACTCCGACCTTCGATGGGGCTGGAAAGTATGGTATACCCGAGGCTCATCACAGTTTAGGATTAACAGTCGGCTGGGCTTTGTTCTTCTCCTTGATAGCCTTCGCCTGGTCCCGCAGCACACGACGCTACATCGAGGATGAAAAAAAAAAATTCAGTAATATAAGATGCGTACAAGTTTTTACCCCCCAAGTCGCTCACCAAAATTTTGCCAGACGGGTTCTTCGGAATGGTGCGAACGAATTCGATTCCACCATCTAACCACTTGTACCTGACTTTATGATCTGATACGTGCTTGGCAATTTCTTTCTTGTACCGCTCGGTATCTCGTGGGGTGCGCAGCGCCCGTCTTGCAGCCGAAGAATGGAGGACGACGAATGCCATAGGGAGCTCACCGGAGTACTCGTCTGGGTACCCGATAACGCCCGCATCAGAAACGGCGGGGTGTGAAAGGAGATGACCCTCCAGCTCGGCTGGAGCCACTTGGAACCCTTTAACCTTGATGATTTCCTGGAATTTGCATCATGCGTGCATCATCCGGGAGGGGTGGAGCAGAAACAGTGAGCAATCGGAGTGGGATTCAATGTCGCGAAACACAAACCTTGATGCGATCGACAATGAACATGTCACCGTTCTCATGGAAGAGGACCTCGTCTCCCGTGTGCACCCATCCGTCAACGAAAGTTTCAGCAGAACTTCAGAACGAAACAGTTTAACTCCGGATCGTTCGTGGATAACGGATAATTAGCTTACGCTTTCGGGTTGTTTTCGTATCTCAAAGCCATAGATGGTCCGTGAACAACCAGCTCACCGGGCTCACCATAGCCAGCGAGCGTCCCATCTGATTTGACCACTTTTGCTTTCAATCCTGGAAGGAGTCGGCCAGCACTCCCGGGGGTACCTCCTTTATTTTGCTCAAGAGGCCACATAGTAATCGTAGCAGGGGTCTCAGTCATTCCGTAAGCCTGTCCAACGTTAGCGTTAGGGAGAATTTTACGGAGTTTAGCTTCAACGTCATTTGAGATGGGCGCAGCGCCCCCCATGACCATGCGGACGTGTCTGAGGCTGTACTTCTTCGTTTCTGGACTCTTGACGAGTGAGACCATCTGTGGAGGAACGATCCTGCGGGCGGTAAGGACGATAAATGACCAAAACTAATAGAAGAAGGTGGGGATCTTTCCTTACCATAAATGAGTAATTCGGTACTTGACGATGCTCGTCAGAAAATCAGTAAATGTGTATTTGGGCAAAACGACCAAGGGAAGCTAAGAAGGAAGCGGCAGTTAGGCTGTCAATGATTAGTCCAGAAATGGGTAAGGCTGGTACTAACTCCAAAGAAGATATTGTAATGTAACTTAGAGCCCGTCCGGGGTCAGCGAATGCTCGCAGGCTCAGAATCTTTGTAAAGTGACATACCACGACCACGAGACCATATATATCTAGTGACAGATAGGTATAAGTTGAACAAAGCGGAGTGATGCGAACACCTCCAACTCACGGAACATCGGCAATACGCCTAAACTGACATCACCATCGCGCATGCGACGATCTTCCCAAGGGAAGGTTGGGTCATTGATGCGTAAATAGGTTGCGGTCATAATCACGTTCGAAATAAGAGAATAATGAGAGATCGCCACTGCCTGAAAATGGAAGTGTTGTTAGAATGACCCAGAAGTCGTTGGGCGGGGGGAAACTTGTTTGTACCTTGGGTTTACCAGTGGTACCGCTGGAGAAACTTAAGAACGCAAGTTTCGTCTTTGCCTCGCCTTTAGCAAGCCTCCTTTCAGGGAAAACTTTCCCTTCAACGTTGTACTCCGTCAATCCTTTGTCGATCAGTGCATCGAGAGTAACGAAGTTGTCAATGGTGTATTCTGATGGTGAAAGCTTCAACGATCGGAACTCATGGGATTCAGTGTGGAACGGTCGTGAAGGTGGAGAAATGACGACGATACGATCGAGGGGGAAATTAAATTTGGCTGCGGCGGCCTTCGTCGCGGCAAAGCACCCTGGGTGAGTTATTATCAAACTTGCTTTGGTTTCGTTGACTTGATGAGCGAGTTCGAACTCGGTGTAGGCGGGGTTAGAGCACCTATAGGAACAACACACGTGTCTGAGGGTGGACCAAGTTGACATGGATTGGAGGTGACCTACGAGGCGATTGCGCCTACACGGTGAACAGCCCATACTGCGATGGGGAAATCTAACACGAGAATTAGGGTGAACCCATCCCGACGGAGAGTAAGTGCAGCCTACCAATATCATTGGGGCTGAATATGATGACTGAGGAGAGTGCCTTGTTCAGGTCGGTATTCGGCGACTGTCAGCTGCTGTCCACTCACCAACATCATTTTCCCCTAAATTGAATAGTTGATAATGACTATGGACGACCGGTGTGCGAAATCGACTCACTTATGCCATAAGCGTTGTACAACGAGTTGGAAAGCCCAAACACGCGATTGCGTACCTCCTCAGCGTCGTATTGCCGTCCTGTTGGGTACTGACCGGAAGGCGATAGGGTATGTTCGTTAGTTGAATTATCGAAAGCTGATTTTGTGACACTCACGTCGATCAACCATGGCCTATTGTTCCCTCGCTGAGGTCGAAGGGGGTGCTGACTGTCCAGGATAAACTGGGGGATGGTCAAGTCATCTCGGAGGACTCCCGGCGGAAGCTGGACGTTTGAAGTGAAGATCATCTTAGGAAGTAGGTGTGGTGTTTGAATCAAAGGGGAGTTGATGAGTCGATGGGTCTACAGGTCTGGAAGGTGTTATTTGTACTTTCACAACACTGCTGCAGTTAGGCGACTTGAGATAGTCGGAGCGTTCTGTCAAATGTGACAGCACGTGAAGGAATTGGCAAATGGATTGCAACTCAATGTCTACAATCACTCTCATTCCGTCCTTGCCGGTTTAAACTTTGTACAGTAAGCCCAGCGAGAGCGACGGCCTAAGGGCTCCCCAATATACTGCCTAAAGGAATCAATTGACATCGCCATCGATGAAGAATGAATTTCAGAATCCGTGTGAATTTCAATCGCGCTCGTGAATGCTTCATTCCCGCCAAACCCTTGCGAATTTTCGCTCGACAAATGAATCCCCTCGATGCTAATGTCCTGCAAATCCCGTACCCACCCGCAGAACACATATTACCCCGATCGCATTAGCGTTGTCCGGAATTTGGAGAAAATAAAAAATTAATTGCTCTGCCGATTCCACCGCTTGCACTACATGGATCCTAAATCGTGAGCAAACTCTACATTGACGGAGTTCACACTTCCCAGAAGAGGTTCCTGACCGTCTAAGTTGTATAGCCTCTCCTGCCCTAAATTACTTTCTCTATACATTACTGATAATTTTTGGGGTGCCAATAAACCCTAACCCCATCCCCCCAAAATTCCATCGGTACCCAGTCTCTGAAAGTGAGAGAAGGTAGAGGACTCTTGCCGCGATAGGCGGTGTCCATCAATTTCTGCAGGTAGATTCCACAAAAGTTAATGTGATCTGGAAGGACGTTCAAACCGGAACGCAGAAGGAGATTGCGGCTGAATGCAACGAATTCGGCTAACTCCGGTACATATTGAATCTGAGTGTTTTACTCCCCAACAATCTCGTCCACACTGTGTGGCCTCTGTTTCACTGAGATCATCGTGAGCACCCAAGTGAAAGTGTCTGGGTCACCTATCTCTGATTATTACTTTCTCTCAATTTTGAGGATTCACCAATGCTCAATTCAAACCGAAAGCAGCGGCCTTCATTTCTGAGGCCCCTTACCCCGATATCGCCACTGGGCACATCCAGGGCGGAAAACATATCCAGTGGTCAGAAAGAGAACGTCTTGATGGGGCCTACATCTCGCGGCTCCTTGCCGTCCTCTGTGTACGGCGTCCGACCACGATCCAAGAGTGTGACGGGTAATCAAACGCACGCAACATCTTTTTCTGCACCAAGTGCGAAGATCACCCGTAATGGAGCATCTAGTTTGGGTGCAACACCGTCCGGCTCTGCGAGATCCAGCCGCCATTCGTCATTTGCCGCAGAATCCACCAGACGACCGTCAAGTGTTCGCGATCCGACGTCATCTCGGAGAGGAAGCCTTTGGTCTGAATTTGGTGATGACGCCGTCTCCGGGGGTCGGGAACTTACAGAGGAAGAAAAGGCTCTCGAGGCTCAAAAATCGTTTGCGAGCTCAGCAAAAACATTGTGGGAAAGTGGAGTGGATAGACTTGTCGTTGAGGCATGGTCTTCATTTGGGCAAGGCTGGAAGTCTGGCGACATTGTCGGTCAGTCATTTTTCTCATTCATCTCGTTGTGGGGTTCCAACTTAATGGTCCTCACGGTAATCAGGGCTCATATCCGTTGATCGCTTCAATCTGCCTCGCGTGGAACGAGCTCGTATCATCGTCCTCATAGATGACTTGGAATTACAATTACAGGACCTCGCCACTACGAGTCTTAGTTTACCTGGGGCCATCGCTTTGTAAGTCGCAATTTTATGCAGACGCTGAGTGCGACGACTCGGACTCGGCGTGACATGACGTCATGTAACGATTGCCTCCTCAGTCTCCGGGATCCCTCGTGGGTGAATTCTGCAGGTTTAATCGATGCATTGCTCGCATCCCCCAATCACGTCTACAGCCTTCTCAAGGTTCTGGATTCGGCTGCAAGGCTCTGGCTCCGAGCCGCTCCATCCATCGTCGACCAATTCAGCACACCACGAAACATCGAAGACACACTTGATCACTCGCTAAACCTGTGCGCTTTTCTTACTGGCTCTTCGACCGATCTACGAAGGGCCTTCGTGGCATCCTTATCTCTCCTCAAAGAGTTTTCTGCGCTTCTTGACAGAGCGAGCAGAGCCGCCATCAGTATCAACTCTAACGCTCCCCACGATGTTGCGGCGTTCACTCCAAGTTTCCATGCGAGCTCGTCTTCAGTCTATCTTCCGCACTATGTACTGGGACAATTGGATGAATTTACTGCTTACATCAAGTCCCTCCTATCGCAGCCCAAGACCTCTAACTCAATCGAAGTTTTCCAAGCCGAACTCGGATCCTTATGGAGTGCTTTGATTGGAAACGCCCGCGTGGCTCGTGTTGCTCGGGGCCTGGAGCGCATATGGGAAAACAAGTCGACCACGCTTCGTGAAAAAGCAGTTGCGATGCTTGCTGCTGCAGATGGTGCTCTAAAATGGGAAATTGACTCCGTCACAAGCGAAACTGATGATTTCAAGTTCACCTTCGGGTCCTTGAAGCCCCATCTTTCGGAGCTCGTGCCCCGGGAAGTAGCATTCACTTACGCCCCCATAGGCATCAATGCGCGTCATCAATCACCGTCCAGCGTCGTATTGCGTGGATTACGCCTCGCTATCAGCGATGCTACTTACGAAATTACCAAGCATGGCTTGCTTGGCTTCGCAGATTCCGGTATCGCATCCATTGTCGTCCCATTCGAACTCGAGATTTGCTTTACGGGGGATAATCAAAATCGGCCCAAGATAAAGCTCAACTTTTACGAGAAACAAGAAGTCACCCTCCATTCTGGTGGAAATCCGATCCAGGTACATTGACGAAGGTGTGGAATTCTTGGCTCAGCGCCATCGTCAAGTCCAAGATATCCGAAGCCATTGAAGAGAGACTAATCAATGGATTCGAGGAATGGATCGCTCCTTTATACTCTGAGATCCCATTTGTCGCCGCCGCGGTTCCTTCCACAGGCCGCCCTCTGAATCAAGGTAAAGAGGTGCTCCCAACGGTTCCGTCAAGTGCGGTGGCAGGCAGCGGCTCCGCCAAGACTCCATCACCTTTGGGTTCTGGAACGCCGCTGGGCGCACGCGCTGCATTTCTTGCTTCTCTTCGGATGACCTCTGGAATCGATGTCAAACCGCTCATGACGGGAAGAGATGTCTTAGATTCGCTCGAAAACCCGTTTGGAAGTGGTCCAAACTCCGCTGCCTTCCCTGAGAACGAAGACGACGAGAGCGATGCCGGTGGCCTGAAGAGCCGACGCATGAGCATGGCGATGAGTTTGACTGATGTTAGTAAGAGTGATGCCACGAACGTCAAGAATATTGTAGTAAGTCCCTCTCTGTTTTGGGGGCGTCGTGCCTACTAACACGGTTGGGGTTTTGGCAGAATCCTCCACGGGCTCAGTCCGTCTCCCACATGGTCGTTGAGGATGCGCCGTCATCTTTCTCCACTCGCCGCCTTTCTCTTGCCTTTACTCCCATCGGAGAGCCATCCCTCGAGACTTACGATAGCGAATTCGCCCCAAGTGCAACAACTGAAGCGGCCACGCCTGCATCTAAGTTCCATCGATCTTCTTCCGTTATGGCAGACTCGCTCGACGCTAGAGCTGCAACCGATACTACTACTGTCGAAGGTCTTCTCATTGCTACCAAGGAGTCTAAGTATGGCTTTAGGGACGAACATTATCGCGATGAACGTGCCACTGTCTCGATGGCGCAGGTCACTAGGGAGCTTCAAGCTGAATTGCAGGAGTCAGATGGCGGGGTTGCTGATCCAAAAATTGGGAATATACCACTTCGTCGTGACAGCGATGATGTGCCACAACCAGTGGCTAGGCGTAAATCAATGAGCGAGTACCTTACGGAGGCTGCCATGGTTGATCAGGTGGGTTGCTCATATTCACTGCTCCGGTTGCGATTCAACGACGGCTTCAGACCGATACGACGGTGAATCCTGGGTTCCGCCGTCGAACCGAGCAGGACGACGGTCACGATGCTCCCAAAGAGAATAATCCTTGGATGTCTGCGTCTTTGGATGCCACAGCCTCTATCGACACCACTCTCCCAGAGAACATTGCTGTCCCCCCTCGCGCTCATCGCTCATCTTTCGGCCCCGGTTCCCACAAAGGCCGCAGTAAATCTTTCACAGAGTTGAATGATGTGCCCTCGATGGCTGAAATTGGAATTGACGAGTATATCATTCGGGACGAAACGGATCCAACCACGTCGAAACGCAGTAACGTGGCGAACGATTATCCTGGGATAGATCCTGCTGAGCTCAAAAAACGAAGAATGAGCAGTTTCATGGATGAGATTTCCAACACTGACGCTACATTACTGGAGTGAGTCTCACTTATATTTCTCACCTCGGGTCCCATGTTTATGACTTGGAAAAACTCTGCAATAGGAACATTCAAGCACCACCAACGGTGGACCAAACGTATCACCAAGCTGCTAGGCTTCCCCATTCTCTTTCATCTAGGCGCTCCAGCAGCGAGGTCTTTTCATCCTGAACACATTCAGGGTAGTGTGATTCATCGCACTTCGCTGTTAGTCATTGGCCATTACCCGATAGAACAAAGTTGTCCCTTCAATTATTGGTCCTTTGTACTATGTACCATACGGATGCATGATCGACGACCATACTCACAATATATACCACATCAGTGTCTGTGGCACCCCTTGACTATTACTGTTACGCGACCAACGTTGCAGTACAGCAGTGTTTTCCCTCACTCGCATTAGTCAGTTTGGGACTAAGGACCACAACTGAGACAACGAGGACACTTTCCCTCCCCAGTTTGGTAAGAGAAATAACTACGAACGATCGCTAACTCTACCGCACATAGTTCAGTGTGGCTAGGAGTGTCCATGACGCTGTGATTGGACCTAGATTCTGTGATCACGAGCTCCATCGCAAAGCATCGACAACTGCGGCATGGCGGCCTTGGGCTCCACGACTCGGTGACTGCAGGTATGTAACTATACTGCGCATGAAGGTTGCATGCATGTCTTCGCGTTCCCGATATGACTACATATTCAGTGACCATCCAGCGCATGTGAGCACTAACCTAATAACAGAAGCAACATGCGGATTGATACATGTTTTAGAAAATCCGACTCGTCTGTTGAAGAAACCTGACCGTCGACTTGGGACGTAACCATTCTCAGTAGCTGCGCCATTCGATCCGGCTGCTTGACCTGTCCATCCCTGCTCTTAGTCCTTTGTTTCCCATTCCCCCACTCTTCTTTTCTTTTGCACCTTCAGGACCGCCAGCTTTTTGTTTTTCCACAAATACAGGAGGCGTGGGGTGGACAGCACTGACCCACATTTCCCATTACTGTGTGCGGCCTAGGCAGATCCCAGCCTCTACTAAAGTAGATGTGCGGCCCTAGCCCAGGGCTAGGCAGGTGACCAGCCTCTATAATAGCTCAGGGCATTCATGAGGAGAGCCTGAGTTGAGTTGCCTAGTCCTGGTCCTAGTGATAGCGGCAGTAATGTTTGGGAAGGACATCCGGAGCTCACGGGCAAACTTCGAAGGACTCAGAGCTCGTCGCCAACACTCATTGAAAACAAGGATTGTGTCAACAGGTCTTCATCTGCCTGGAATGAACGAGGTGAAAAATAGCATATTCTAGCCTCCTGAGGCTTCTGAATAGGCGCACAGCGACTCTCTATACTTCACTCTTGGAGAATTTCGAGTGCTGCTCGTCACAACATCATTTGTGACAGTGTATCATCGCTATGGTCCCCACCTACCATCTAAAGCAAGCGTCATCTCACTAATTTCAGGGGTGCAAGTTGCAATGTGTATAGCTGGAACTGCCAGTGGCATCCTTATCCAGCAAAGACATCGACTAACGAGAGTCGACTGGACAGGCCTCACCGATCGGGGGTCTGGCGTCGTGGCCACCACTTGCCACTCCTATCGCGTATCACGTCGGCGACATCTATAGATACCCAAACAATTGCCAGCGAAGGAGTGACTATGGCCCGTCCCCTAGCCACCTTGACTCTAATGCTGGGTTCACTTCCGATCTGAGCTGTTGCTCTCGACTCCATGTCCCTCTGGGGCGCGGATGGTCATTCTCAGAAGGAGATGCCTCATGTCATAGAACCCGTCCGATTGGTCGTCTGTGAAACCCTCTTGGTGATCGATCAGTGGTTATCTCTGGTTGGTGTTTGCCGAATTAGCAGATGAAGTGGGCGAAAGGTGTCTGGTCACATCGTGGCCCCTGACTAGTGTGTTGTGCGACTGCAAATTTTCAATGTTACATGGGTTCTATTGAATTAGTCCCTAACGAGCTCCGCCGCTGAGGTTTACAAATCATTCACGACCTCGCTAGAACACGAATATCGAAGCGCAGATCGCACCCCCTCTCTATTTTTTCATATACTGGATTCCGTCGCGAGCAGGTTTGTCTATGTTCCTGCAAACGATGCTACTAGGGTCGGGCTGTTGTGTCTCCCCTCTCCATGTACGACCATCGTCGGCAGCATTGCTATTTCCATCTATCAATGCTACCCGTCTAGCAGTTACAATTACAGAGCAAAAGATAGGCGCAAGCATCATGGAGAGGTGTCTGGTATTGCTTCTGACTTGGAGATCTTTTCAAACACGAACGCCACACTTCCGCTATCATCTTCTAGGTTTGCGCTGTCAAGGCTATCCAATAAGGAGCATGACGTGCCTGGGGTTTCCCCACCGAGACTGCCATCGCCAGTTTGCGGGGTGTCAGGGCTATAAATAACCTTCAGGAGAACGTTGTCGTGGATGTACTCCCGTGCAGCGGGGTTCAGGGCATTCACGTGTGTCCATTCCGTAAGAGCAACTAAAGCCTGACTCTTATCGGTAGACTAAATTAATGGAGGCTGCCTTGAGATGTGTCATTTCCGCGTTTGATATTGACGCACCATTTTATTCTTAGGCGGCTTGTACTGGGATGCAGGAACAAATCCAGTGAGCACGTCGTCATCATCTGAATCTTCTATCTTATCCTCAACTTCGTCCACAAGCCCTCCAGATTCTCCAGTTTCCTCTAAGGCCCCGTCCGAAGTTCCAGAGACACAGGAACATGCCAGAAGCTCATGGGTGTGACAACGGGCGGCAGGATGAATTGTGAACAAATCTTTCAGCTGTGGGGACTCATAAGTGTGAGTGAGCTATTACCGCTGAGGCAGCGAACCTCGGTTTGCGAGAAAGAATCTCCTTTCGATCCCTTCCCTCCATCGGCACCACTTGTGTCACCCATCAACGATTCGCTCAAACCCATCTTCGTCACAGCACGCTGGAATATTTTTTCATCTATTGTTCCACATGTGAGGAGACGGTAGATGAAGACCGGCCGTTTTTGTCCGTCTCGATGAATCCGAGCCATGGCCTGCAGATCGTGGGATGGATTCCAGTCGCTGTCGACCAAGATGAGGCGGGATGCGCCGATGAGGTTGAGCCCTACGCCTCCTGCTTTGGTACTAAGCAAGAAGACAACTGGGAAGGGTCATTAGAATACCAGTGCCAAGGAGGGAGTCGGCATACACTTTTCCGCTTGGGGAGACTTGTTGAACTTGTCAACGTACATCTGACGAAGTTCGACCTTTGTGGACCTGAAAGACTTGGAATGTCTGGACGTCAAGATGAAAAAAAAAATCACTAACCCATCAAGTCGGGAAAACGTATACTTCTTACGAACACAAAATTTCTCGATGACGTTTAGAGTTGCAGTGTAGTGTGATACGATTACAACTTTCTCGTCGGTATCCTAAAGCTTGGGGTGAGGAAGGGTCGTTTGGAAAATCGACCAACAGCACTGACTCTTCGTAGGATGCGCAGGAGTTTTTGCAAAGTCATCATTTTGCCTGCAAGAAGGGTCAGAAGGCGTGGGATTCCTTCGGAAGCCATCTTACCACTAAGAGTCATATCATCTTGTTTTGCAGACTCAGATATCAAAGCGAGCGCGTTCTTAATAGCATTGTTAGCGGTGGTTTGTAACTCCTCTTTCTCCTCTGTTCGATGCCGTAACAGCAAAGGGCTGTTGCATAACTGCTTCAGACGGCCTATAAGGGCAAGTGAGTTTGCAGTGGATGTCATAATAAGATCGTCAAGTCTCTCGGGAACGAGGATCTTCTTGAACATCGCAAGCTGCAGTTTCGTGGGCCGGACGAACACCACATACTCGTCTAGACATTTGTCAGATACACACCAGAATGTAGGTAGAACCTTATTCACTTTTAGGTGGAAGATAGTTACTAAGAATCCCAGCAGTACGTCGCAGCACAAAGGATTGAGATATTTGTGCAAGCTAGGAAACATCCGTTCGCATGAGAATCTGGGTGATAACAAAGCAAAACCTTACATGCTCCGCACGAGCACTCCCAAGTTCATATTCTTTCTCCGAGCAATCTGGAGCCCGACTTCGGAGAATAGGGATTTCGTATATTTTACTGAATGTTTTATAGGTGTCTATGGTCACAGTTAATGTCTCGACCCTTAGTTTGTTTGACCACATACCCAAGAGGCCAGGGTTTACGAAGTTGGCCTAGAAAGTTTTAGATTTGACTCTATGGGAATAAGTGAAAAGGGTCCCCCACCATGCTGTGAAACTCCCCCAGATTATTCTGCACTGGCGTGCCAGTCAGAATGATTCTCCTGGGGACGCGGAGGACGTCGAACATCTTGGTCGTTTTGCTACCCGCAGATTTCAGTCGATGACCTCACAGGACGAAGTTGAGCAAGGAGTATCTCTTGGTAACGCAGAGGCATACCTTCATCACAAATAATCAGTCCAACAGGGGGACTAGATGTCGGAAGGTTTACTTTAATGTCTAAATAAGAAACTAGTTGAGTCTTCTTACTGGCAGTACGCCAACTCCTCTCTGGGTGACGGGTTCGTCAGCGATCACAGTCAGCAACGGATGTCTCAGATATCTCACATTACAGAGCGGAGCCTCTCATATCCGATGATCAGCACTTGATGCTTACTACCGTTTCGTTAGACCGTTGGCGATGTCAAGTGAGGATAAGGTGGCTCACCTGCGCTGGAAACCTTTGATGACGCTTATGTCTTTATCTCCTAGCATTACTTCGATACGATCTCTCCCAAGCCTGTCAACAAGTGTGAATTCGGCCCGTCGAACACACTATAACTCACCATTTATGAATCTCTGATTCGAGAGACTCTGTAAGCATGAGATGTGCAACGACAAAAGGTGATACTCACCCTTCTTCCAATTCTACGTTACATCGTATCGTGAGGTAATGCAGTAGGCATTCAGAGCCAGGACTTACAGAAAGCAACGACACGGGACAAACAATCAATGCTTTTCCCGCCACTGGACCTTGCCCAGCATATAGATTCTGTTCTATGCCTTTTTAGTGTGTGCGGTCCATATATACACCTTATCATAAACTCACTCAGAAGAGTCCACAGCAGCGCGATGGTCTTCAAACTCCTGTAAGCACATCTTTCCTAAAACATTCAATTTTGCTGACTTGAATAGTTTTCCCAAGACCCCTGTACACGAGTTAGTAGGATATCAGAAGATTTGAACGAAACACACATTTCATCCGCCAGAATACAACCTAGCCCGTCATGCTTACGCATCCCCATCACACTTTCGTACATGAAAATGACTCCCTCCCGTTGATGTGGCCGCAATTTCTTGGCGATAATTGGATCAACAACGACTGGGACAACTTCGGCTCCTCTACCAATCAAATGGTCATTAGCAAGACATTGAAACAATGTCATCCCCAACCTACTTCTTGTTGTACTTTTTTTCGTGGTCTTTGTCAGGTCTGGGCATGACGAGGGCATCGGGGGCATTCGGATCGTGTCTGCCACATGCACTGGGTGTTAGTCAAGCAGCCTTTCAACCAGCGGCATATTTGCTTACAGCTGACTATATTTCTTAGACGGTCCATAAAAAGGAATGTGTGCCATTCGTTGCAATCTCTTGACAAAGTCCATGTCATCCACGCCTCCACTCGTCGTCTTCGGTGTGTTCACTTTGCTAATAGGTGAAATAAATCTCGGTTTGGTCGAAGTAGCCTTCACAAGCTGCACGGTTTCTTCCGTCTCTTCCTCGCACATCGACACAGCTGGCAAGGGTCGATGCGGTTGGAACGGCAAACAGGGGATCCGCGCGTCAACCTCAATTTCCATCCCGGCTATGCGGAGGAGTATATTAGTAGAATGTGTGCACAGCGTAAGGCACAAATGAGAACATTACCGATGTAAAGAGCGGTGCCATTTCTAAGCTTCCCAGCATTATAAATATTCCCAAGTCTGCAATAGCCTTAATTACCATAAATACGGCAGATGGACAATTTTCTCACATTGCACCATCGTCTCCAATGAAGGTCACAATGCAACCTTTCTGTGACACGAATGCATCTCCTTCCCATGACTTATTTTTGCGAGTCTGAGGTTTTCGCCATTGCACGGTCCAATATAGAGTCTCTTCATCCTGAGTTGGGTCCCCTGGTATCAAATCATGGGCTCCTTTCATATGATTCGTGCGAGTCGCCTGGGATTGAAGGGGCATGTCTGCCGCGCGGGACAGGTTGGGTATGGGAGGTGGGTTAGACTTGAGAGAAACCTTTGGTATCATTGATTTGAAAGGCGTGAAGGCCGACGATGCAGCGCCCATGGAAGGCTTTGGAGTGGTCAATGCGGCGGACCCAACGGGCGCGGCACCCCCAACGTCGAAACACTTCCCGGAAATGAAGTCTTCACGAGGAATTGGATAGTCGATCTCGATCTCCTTCCCAGCTAAATTCAGGACGTCTCCAGGAGAAACTGCTCCGATCCCGCTTGAACGTGCACCAGCAATCCTAAGTAAACAACAGTTACACGCAAATGATGCAGTATCGCCAAAGACGAATCACTTCTGTCCGTCAAGATTCTGTAGCTCACATGCACCCTCACGAATAATGAATACGCCGTCCCCTATATTTTAAGTAAGCGAGGACGCGTCATTGTCATTGCTCTCTTTACCCACCTTCCCAAGTTTTGTTTTTCTTCATCTGCGGTTTTCGCCTGTAGTTACGCGCAAAATAACCTCAGGCCCGAATTTGAAAGTTAAGGCAAAGCATACCATTGCACCATCCAATATTGCGCGTCCCTCGAATCAGACGCAGATGGCGTGACTTGCGGAGCTGCAATGTGTGGTCTTTTTGCATGCCGAGGATTCCCCTCATAACCACCAGCGCTTTTTCTCTTCTCTAAAGTTTTCGGAGACACGAGAGCCATTGACAGACTGCTAGATGGATAGATGTGCACCCGTCCGGAGAAGAAAGGTTCGGACCCGTCTCATGTGAACTGTTTCCGTAAAAGGCAAGTGTAGCCTAAATTCGGCCAACTCCGCCCACACAAGAGTTCACCGACTGTCTGGAGCAATCTTCGTAGCGAACGACTACGGCACCGCCGGAGTCGGTTGGGTTGGGCTGGGCCTCTGATGCAGAACACGCGGCTCGCAGCTTCAGACTCAACACCGCGTTCCCGCATCTTGGTTGACACCGTAAGCATGCGCGATTGCCCAGTGCACTTGGCACAAATGGGCACCACTACTCCATCGACCTGGTTGAACTGAAATTTCCAGCATCTACGCCATGTATTTCTCTCCTCTCTGCGATGAATGCGCCAAAGATAGAGGTGACCCGGTGTTGGAGTTACAACGACGCGTGACTCACTAACCAAACTCACATGATCTTGTTTTTTCGTTTCCGTTGTATTGATACCGTGACTGCATTGTATATAGGTAATTGTTTGGGTCTACTTTCCTTTTCTCCTCAGTTCTTCATTAACGGAGACTGAGGTTAGTATCATTGTTTTTAGTTAGTTGTTACATTACTTACTCTGTACTCTTCTGTACTATAGCTCCCGCTTTAGGTTAGTATTAACCGTAGTAATTCAGTTCTTCATTAACGGAGACTGAGCTCCCGCTTTAGCCCTCCTATTAGGTTATGAGCCCAGAGGCTCTCTAATTCTAACCAGAAAGAACTCCCATCAATCCAGTATCAATCATGACCACCATTTCCCACAAAGTCGATACCAGAATCTTCGAGAATGACCGGCTACGAGCCGATGGATCGAACTACGGAACTTGGAAATCAATGATCGGACTCGTACTCGAGAATCACCACTTACTGGAATACATTGATGGTTCAATCCCTAAACCTTCCTCCACTCCCCCTGCTCCCGCACCCACTACTGCGCCTGCCAATACTGGTACAGGTTCAGGAAACACTCCCCCCGCTACTCCTGCCCCACAACCCAGCACCGCGTTAACTCCACTCCAAATATGGAAAGAGGGTAATTCTGCGGCTTTACTCCAACTTGTCGTGTCCGTCGATGAGGAAGTCAAACTCCTCATAAAGGGTATCAAAGAAGCTCCTATAGCATGGGCGGAAATCAAAAAGAAGTTTGAAGGAAAAGGCGCGAAGTCTGTCTTTTACCTTATGAAGAAACTCTTCCGCACCGTTATGCTTCCCGAAAAGGATATCTACAGTCAAATTCAGGAGCTAAAGGATTTGTTCATTAAACTCGACTCACTCGGAACCAATATTAGTGAGGAAATCCAGACAGTTGCCATACTCATGGCACTTCCGGAAGAGTGGGAGATGATTCAGGAAATTCTCCTGAACAAGGACAAACTTACCCTGCAAGACACTATTGACGCGATCCTCGTACACGAGAGTAAACTCAAGCACAAGCAGGAAACTGCTATGCTAGTCCGAGTTGGGAAGGGAACCCCGAAAGGGAAGGCCTCTTCAGGCCAGCTGAGTCAGAGATCTAGGGAGGGAAACAAATTAACGTGCGGCAACTGCAAGAAAGAGGGGCACACTGCAGAGCAATGTTGGGCAGAAGGAGGCGGGGCAGAAGGGAAAGCCCCAAAGGGAAGAGGTCCGAGACGGAAGAAGTCGGGGAAAGGGCAATCAGCTAAAGTAGCTGAAGCCGAAGAATCAGGAGAGGGGTTATTGGTATACCTCGCGCATGAGACCCTCGAGTCTGAGACTGCGCTAGTAGCCTCAAAAACTTCCCCCTTCACCCACTTTGTCATTGACACAGGGGCTTCATCGCATATGACCCCCGACTCCTCAATGTTCTCGACTTATCAGAAACTCACTCACCCAAAGAAGATCAAAACCGCTGACGCTTATATTGACGCAGTTGGTATTGGTGATATCGAGGTCCAAACATTCATGGGAGATCAATCCCATCCTGGCCGATTCACAAATGTTCTTCATGTGCCCCGCTTAAACGAAAATCTTCTATCTGGCCGACAACTTGCGAAGAATGGTCTCAGAACCATTATTGAGGATGACCGCATCGACATCGTAAATTCCAAATCTGGAAGAGTCGTTAATCGCGCATACCCACACGGAAGTCTCTATAGACTCCAGGTAAAGATCATGTATCCCGAAACTGCAAAGTTTTGTCGAGTCGAAGTTGCAGAGGATGATGAGCACGCACTCACGACCCAAACCATGTCAACTTCCAAAGCCAGCCTAGCCCTATGGCACCGGAGGCTTGGACACGTTACCGAGGATACAATCCTAAACATGGAGAAACATGGGTCAGTGGGCGAAATGGAAATTACGGAGAAAGGAAAGGGACGCTGCATACCTTGCCTAAAGGGAAAGCAAACACGCGATCCAATCCCTAAATCCACCTCAACCCGCTCATCCGAACCACTAGGCCGAGTCTTTAGCGACTTATGCGGCCCAATCACTCCAGAGACCCGCGAGGGTCACCGTTATTTCATCACTTTCACCGACGATTATAGCCGGTACACCCATATCGGACTTGCAAAGACCAAGGACTCAGCGCTAAATCTATTCAAAGCCTGGAAAGCGAAAGCTGAAAAGGAATCTGGAAGAAAGGTTAAAACCCTGCGCACAGATGGAGGTGGCGAATACACATCCGCCGACTTCAAAACTTACCTTGAGTCCGAGGGAATCACCCACGAGATCACAAACGCCTACACCCCGCAACAGAACGGAGTTGCCGAAAGGGTAAACCGCACTCTAAATGACCGCGCACGGTCAATGCTAGAAGATGCGAAAGAAGTGCTTAAAGTCAAGCAACTTCCTCCGAGTTTCTGGGGTATTGCCATACGACATGCTGTCTGGATTAAGAACCGGGTATTAACCCGAGCTCTAAACCAGAACCAGACACCCTTCGAGGCATATTTCGGTCGAAAACCTTCACTCAAATCACTGCGACTATTCGGATGTGTTGCCTATGCACACATTCCCCAAAAGTTTCAAACGAAACTTGGGGCCCGGACAGTCGAGTGTATTCACGTTGGGTTTGCCGAAGACAAAAGAGCGTACTTGTTGTGGGACCGCGCTAAACGCCGGATGATAGAGTCGAGGGACGTTGAATTTATTGAGGGAGGTGAACATGAGAGGGTGAGGGTGAATGTAGATGATGAGGAAGAGGGAGTGGAAGACGAAGTTGGAAGCCCTAAAGGAAGTCCGAGTAGTCAGAATGCTGTTTCAGGGGGGGACAAGGACGGAAATGGCGAGAATGATACAAAGATCAACTCACCTAACGTACCCAAGAACCCGTCAATCGAGAACCAACATTCCGACCTTAATCCTAAACCCAACACCGCTCCGAACCCAAATCCCAATCCAGACCCAAATCCTACTCTAACTCCACCACTCCGTCGGACGACTCGTAAGAACGCTGGAAAGCGACCCATCAGACCGGATGAAGATCCGAAGATGGATTTGGGTTCTAGACGCACCCAAGTAACCATGCAACCAATCCCGAATGCGGAAACAGTGGGCGATTCTGAAAAGAATCCAACTTCAGTGGGCGAAAATGAAGAGAAAGTTGAAACACTCAACTTTGCTATCATGCGTGATGGCGAAGAATTCGCCTATGTCGCAGCAACCTCTCCCCGGAGTTACCACGAAGCGATGAAAAGGAATGATGCTGATGGCTGGACGGCAGCGATAACCGAAGAATATCAGAATCTTGTCAACCGAAAGGTATTCGAGGAAACCGATGTTCCCGAAGGCATTCGAGTCCACGATGGCCGATTGGTTTTTGCCGAGAAAACTAATGCCGAAGGAGAAATCGTAAAAAAGAAAGTTAGACTGGTGGCAAAAGGATATACCGAGGTTCTGGGAGTGGACTACTTCCAGACTTACTCACCCACACTTGGCCGCGACACTTTATTTGCGTGCCTCACCTATGCCGCTGGACACGACCTCGAAATCCACCAGTTAGATGCCGTCGCCGCTTACTTGAATAGTGACCTCCAGGAGGAGATCTACATCAAACCTCCTGCCGGAGTCCCGGCAACACCGGGAAAGGTGTGGTTGCTGAAGAAGGCCCTGTATGGTTTAAAGCAAGCCGGCCTAGAATGGTACCGCACACTCCGAAAGCACCTAAAGTCACTTGGATATCAGCAATCTGGATACGATCCTTGTTTATATTACGCGGATCACTCACGCTTCATTCTCGTCTATGTTGACGATTTGTTACTCGTTGCTCCGAAGTCCGAGTTGGCCAACATGAAGGCCGAGGTTACCGGAAAATTCGAGATGCGGGACCTAGGAGAAGTCCATTGGTTTTTAGCGATGGAAATCACGCGCGATAGAGCTGCACGTACTATTACGATAAGCCAGCGACAATATGTCACCGACATCCTCGCGCGATTCAGGCTGGAAAAAGCACGACCAATGAGTACCCCAATGGCCGCAAATTTAAAACTTGAAAAGTTAAACTCACCAGAAATCGACCAAACGCTATACCAATCTATGCTCGGATCGCTAATGTACGCAGCGATTAGCACTCGTCCTGATATATCCTTCGCCGTTGGATTGTTATCTCAACACGCTGTGGCCCCTGGACAACAACATCTGTCCGCTATCAAGCGGGTATACCGATATCTAAACGGGACGCGCGACCTTGCACTGACGTTTGATGGAAAGCGATTGGACAAGGGTTTGTGTGGATTTTCCGATGCGGATTGGGCTGGAGATCCTAGCACAAGAAGGTCAGTATCTGGATACTGCTTCATATTCGGTGGTGCCGCAGTAGCGTGGTCTTCAAAGAAGCAACCCACGATAGCGCTATCAAGCACCGAGGCCGAATATATGGCCACCACGCATGCAGGGAAAGAGGCTACTTATCTGGATCATCTACTCGACAACTCCGACATATCCTCCCAAAAACCCATCACCATCTTCGTCGATAATCAATCAGCGCTTGCCATTGCCGAAAATCCTATATTCCATGCGCGAACAAAACACATTGATGTCAGACACCATTGGATCCGCGAAAAAATCGAAACTGGTACCTTGAGGCTGGAATATGTCCCTACTGCCGATCAAGTGGCAGATATATTCACAAAGCCATTACCCGCGTCAAAATTCGAGAAGCTCAGATCGAGTTTGGGATTGGGATGAGTCAACAAGCGTTGAGTGGGCGTGTTGGAGTTACAACGACGCGTGACTCACTAACCAAACTCACATGATCTTGTTTTTTCGTTTCCGTTGTATTGATACCGTGACTGCATTGTATATAGGTAATTGTTTGGGTCTACTTTCCTTTTCTCCTCAGTTCTTCATTAACGGAGACTGAGGTTAGTATCATTGTTTTTAGTTAGTTGTTACATTACTTACTCTGTACTCTTCTGTACTATAGCTCCCGCTTTAGGTTAGTATTAACCGTAGTAATTCAGTTCTTCATTAACGGAGACTGAGCTCCCGCTTTAGCCCTCCTATTACCCGGATCCCTTTTTCGGATGCCAGAGCAGAGGTCGCTACCCGGGTCGAAGGGGCGCTACTCAAGAGCCCAGAGCTGAAAACGTTTCGCTCATGGACCGCGCTGTGGGAGAAAAGATAAAACGCTGCGCTACTGCTGCCAACCTTACGCTTAGACTGAGAGCGCCGCGAATTTCTCCGGTTTTTCATATGGCCTACCGCAAAACTGCGCATGCGAAACGACCAGGCGCACTAACAGAACTAGGCTGAAGCAGCCTCTATAAATAGATAACAGAGCAAACACCTACAGTCCATGAGATGGCCACCCTGCGGAGATCAGAAGGCATCTAAACTTCTCGTGATACGTTATTCACGCCGGTTCCGCTTGACTTTCGAATGAGCATCGCATATTCTCCCATTCTCCTCGAATGAGTTCGACACAACGCTTAGCCGTCCGGTGCGCATCGATATGTCTGCACGTTGTAATAATGTCGTTTGGGAACAACGCCCGATCATCTGGCAGCATGGGGCTACTCCCACATAGCAATGCTTGCTGGAAAAAAATTAATACACGAACCTGCCAACGCTCTATATCTCTGAAGAGACCTTGGCGAAGGTTCATGGCGTTGTGATGCGTGTCTTGAGCCAGCAGTAATTTGTCAAAGCCACCCTTACGCCGGGCAGAAGCCCACCTTTGGGGTCAAGAAGACAGTTGCTTAGTCCGCAAGGGAAAACGAGCCGTGGACTCTTTCTCGTCTATCACGAGGTTATCCACCTCCCTGATCCTGAAGTTCCGGCTCTGCATGTAGTCTTTACGCGCATCTGCAAGCAACCAGTGCAACGAGTCAGTACGGTCACAATCCACGTATGGGCTCCAGATAGAGCCACCGACGTTGCTTCGCAGAGGCTTGTCATAGTGTAGGTCCTTCACTTTTCGCTCCAACAACTTTACACCATTTCCTAGCTGGTCCCTCACCGAATCCCGGTCCCTGTGGCCTAATAAACCATCTGCCCCTGAGACATTCTCTTCCTCACAGGTACCCCTCAAACGTGGCGCTTGGCGCAGGAGGCAGTTGGGAAATTTTGCTTATATCCCGAGAGAAATCTGAAATGTTCCACTAGCCTTGATACCACTTCTAGCGATAGCAAAGCTTCCACGTATACTCTCCATGGCGCATCTAAGGATGCTATGTCGGAGCCTTCCACAAGTGGACCATGGATCCCTCCTACCGAGTCTGATGTGATATTTCCAGTTCCAGTTGTTTAAATAAATACAGATGCACTCCCCCCATTCGGTCTGCAATACTACACCTTATTTGCCCCACAAACTTCCACTTGTCCCGCGCCTAAGTAAGGCTCGCCGAGTTTATGCCAACGCAGCACCGATCTGTCATATCCTCGCTAGGTTCGATCAGGACGGGACTAGTGCCAGAGAAACCCAGCTGAATTGCAAGAAGCTCTGTGTAGAGTAAACCTTTCCGTCACAACCATGCCGCTGTGGCCCCAACGAATGGTCCGCGCAAACCGTCCAGGCGAAACTGCTTGCCTATAGCCAATAAACGACGACATGTGATGCGAATTGATGGGTTCTTTGGTGATATGTATCAATTGTACCTGTATCTGACCTTCTTGAGGGAACTTCACGACACGCTGCCGGTGAAATTTTGAGGATGCATAAAAGGATCCTGTGCGCCTAGTCTCCATGACCAGAACGACGTCTTCAGCGTCGAGCTGCAATGTCTCTATTGGTCAGCCACTGATCTTCTTTCTACTCAACGAACTTGCAAGCTGTGTTCTATAGAGTCAACGCGTCAGGAGGGCGAAGGAATCGTACTTATGTCAGATTCTTGTAAACGGGGCACCAGGAATAAGTATTGCACCATCCAGTAGGAGTATGGATCAAGTGGTTCTATATTGAATGACGTTGTGCGTCATTGGACGTCATTTAAGCGAATTCTCTTTCTCACATCAACTGGGCCCTGGAATAGGATGCAATCATTTCAATACACGGATGTGGGTTGAGACGCAAGTGCCATCTGCATGCAACTCTGTCAGCACTACGCCTCCTCCCTTCCCAGCAGAAAGGAGTCATTCTCACTCGAACACAATGCATTTCAGCGGATAATACATGAAAAGATGAAAAGGAAAAGTGCATAGTCAAGTGTACAGCGTTGGTGCAATGCCGCATCCGAAGGGGGATGACCAGCACAGACAGGTTCATGATGTCGCAGACGAGTGCAGTCAGCACGCAGCCCCCTGTCACAGAACGCTCTAGAATGCGAGGATTTGTCCATCCATTGATGGACAGCGCACTTATATCAAGGACGTTCGAGAAAGGAGAAAACAAAACCACAGGGCTTAGTCCAGACGCCTGAGGAGGCTAAGGGGTAACCCACCCTCTCTTGAGTAACCATCGAACGGGGACTTAGAACACAACCCGAAACAAAATGATGAGCCGCTCAGAGGGGTAATTAACATATTATAGCAGCCTTATATCAGAAGCAGGCAATCCAGTGAGAAAGGATTCGAACACATCATGTGCGCGCGCGCACTAGAGAGAGGTTATCCCTGGGCTAGTCCATCCTGAGTAGGTAATACGACTGGTGACAAAGTATTTATCAGAAGGATTCTTTCTGAGCTAAGCGCAGGCTCAGCTAGAGGATACGCGTGTGCAGCATTTCATCCAGTCTCGCGCGGCACCCTCACCACAAGTCAGGAACACGTCCTTGTCCGAGTATCAACCACATGCACAAGCCACTGCTGGCAAGGCGAGGCGACCAGGCGGCAAGCCCTTCCAGGGAACTGAGGGCGAGTGAGCGAGAATTAAGCGTGGGCAGGTGACCAGCCTCTCTTTAAGAGAAAGCGTCGGGATGGATTACATTTCACGTTCCGTGACACATTCAATACTGTCATCACACCATGCCAGACGATGCAGAGAGTCAGCCTCTTCTCGGCTCTACTGCCAATAACCAGGAAAAGAGATGTCAAACGGCCTCACGCATGAAAATATTAAGAGTTATCGTTTTCCTTGCCATCGTGGTTGCTGCCTTCGTGTTCGCTGTGGTGAACAAACACGAATATCGGCTGCCGGACGACCCACTCGAAGCAGCACTCGAGATTCTTGGGAGACATCCACTTATGGTATGTAGTAGTTCTGGTTATTAGAAGTAATGATCTGAGGCTTCACAGGATAGTCATATTGGTAATTTGGCTGCTCTCGTCGGGAACCATAACACCGAAATATTCATGTCCATTGCAGATCTCCCAGAACTGGCGCGTGTCTACAGACGAAACAATGTTAGTGATATCGATCTCGCTAAACTGATGCCCGGACACGTCGACATTCCAAGACTTCGGAAAGGCAGAGTGGGAGGATTCTTTTGGTCCGTGTACACAGCTTGCCCCTCCGATCCTGGGGATGAATTTACCTATCCTACCGCCGCAGTCCGGTGAGTAACTCGAGCGCTGCTTCCGCCGCTCAGCTCGACTTCCGAAGTTGACCCTTGCTGAAGTGACACATTGGAGCAAATCGATGTCGCCAAGGGACTCATCGAGAAACATCCCGACGTATGTCTCCCGCTATTTGATTCCTTTTTTGCTTCGCTGACTGCTCATTCATTCAAAGGTGTTTCAATTTGCGACATCGTCCTCTGACATCCGGAAGGCATTCAGCCAGGGAAAGATGGCCAGTCTGATTGGGGTGGAAGGGGGCCACCAGCTTGAAAATTCTCTTGCTGCACTTAGACAGTATTATGCTCTAGGTGTGCGGTACGTGACCCTGACGCACACCTGTCACAATGGTATGATCCTCTTTCACACCCTGTACTCGACGAACCCCCCATCTGCTTATACTCCATTCGATCCTCTCCTATTCCTAAAGCTTTCGCTGATAGTGGTGGCTTCTTTGAACCCATCCCACCACGCCACAATGGACTTTCTTCCTTTGGCAAGGTTCTCATTCAAGAAATGAATCGCCTCGGAATCCTCGTCGACATCTCACACACTTCGGACCAAACTGCTGTCCAAGCTCTCAAGCTTTCGCGATCGCCCGTTATTTGGAGTCACTCAAGTGCTCGCTCTGTCTGGAACGTCTCGAGGCATGTCGCAGAACAACTGTACATTTGTAGTAGGATCGCTACGGGCTCACTGTTCTTCGTCCATAGAAACGTCCCGGATGAGATTTTAGAATTGATTGGGGAAGGCCCAGGGAAGAGGGACGCGGTCATTCAGGCAAGTAGTACCCAACAACCAATTCCAGAATGAGTTGAAGATATTTTCCGCATCATCAGGTAAATTTCTTCCCCGGCTTTGTCGCTGCAGATGGCAAGGCCACAGTAGCAGCTGTTGCAGATCACATAGAACATATCGCAAGGAAGGCTGGACGGCAACAGTGAGTTTATGTTGATATAACTTACCCTATGGATTCTCAGCCATACACCCTAGTGTTGGGATAGGGTCGGACTTTGATGGCAAGTTGACTTAGTGAACATCATGCCCATTCCGGCTTGACACGACACTAAATGGATTAGGAATATCTTCCGTACCAAAAGGGCTGGAAGACGTCTCCAAATATCCCAATCTAGTGAGTTCAAATTAATTTGCGTTCGTCCGCTTGCATATATCTGTGCCTGTCCATCCTCTAGTTTGCTGAATTGTACAAGCGAGGCTGGACTGAAAAAGATCTTGCGGGTTTGGCATCGGAAAATGTCATCCGGATCATCGAGGGTGCTGAAAGAACCGCAAAATACCTACAGAGCTTGGGCATGAAACCGAGGTACGACATTTACGATAAGAGAAATGATTTGTAGGATTGTCTGTAGCAGGCAAGCTGGAACACCAGAACTATTGGGTTTGCGGCATCACTCAGAAGAATGGTGCACTCGTATTGACTGTCGACTCGCAGATAGGCTGGCAGCTGTGGAATGAGGAAATAGCGATGACGTGTAAATAGACTCGGACTTAGATATCTAAGGCTTCGTGTAGATCATCATCATCCAAATCATCCCCAGAATCGGGGTCGTAGATGATTTAGCCCTGCCCCTCCGGGATCCTCCCTGAAACGATATGAATTTGAGACACTCGATAAGATAGATCGTCATCCAAACTGAGCGTAATTCATGAGCATAGGGAAGGGGGACCTCCGCTTGAGCGCCTGCTTGCGCATCCGTCGAACCCAGGTTGAATGGGAGTGTTTATTGCGTGGTCTTTACCCGCCACCTTGTCACTTTTGCGTACGACTTTCAGATTTTGCAGAACAGACAAGATGCATTTTTGACTGATTCATAATCTAAAATTCACCCTTCTGTGGGTGTTCAACGGTTTTGTGCATGCAGCCACTCCCCGCACGTACCACCAGAAGATACACTAGGTCCACATCAGTAATTCCGCTGAAAGGATCACAACCATTGTACGTATGTAATGCAGCGCCGGAGAATGCAAGTTCTCCCTAGTCACAGCAGGCGAGAGTATCGTCCAGAACTTCTCTGGATAGGAGGAGGGGTAAGTTAAAAGGAACGCTGAGAGTGATTATGAGACGGGATGGATTCGGTTTGTCGAACAGAACAAGAAGACAACAGAGGAAGATGTACACTTGCGAGACAGAGCCAAGATCTTGGAACGGTGTCAATTGCTACAAGAACAGGGTCCTGAAAGCGTCGATAGAAGGGTCCCTGATTGTTAAATGCAAAAGCAGGAAGTACAATGCAAACCATTAATGCAGACATCTTCCAGGAGCGCAGGGCGAAGGCTGTCCCATTCAAAGTCGGGGGCCCTACCTGGCCAATCCATCGCACAATGTGGTCGTCGCTACTCGGCCAACCCAACCCAACTGTCCAAAGCAGCATCCCAAATGGTGATGCCACCAGACCAGGCATCATTCAATGCCCGGTTCCTGGTAGTGGTTAGATAGAGAGCAAAACGACTGAAGGCAGTTCAAGTAAACCGTTTACCAAGTCATTAGCCGATATGCAAAAATGGTACGTTCCGGACAGTCCTCTGAACCTCTGAAGGGATGGGAGACCGCACGAGAACGAGATGCTGCAACTTGGCGGAGATCCATCTGATTGCACGAAGTTCGCGGCGGCACTTTCCGGCCGTTTCCACTGTCGTTACAAGGCATCGCGCGTTCAACCCGAGGATCACTATCACCCGACGATACCACCCAGACCACCCACACACTATGTATAGAAAGTCCCTCATGTACGCCACGTGTACCGAAGGACAGCACTGCACGTCATCACGAGCCGCGGGTATCAAGATAGATTTATCTTCATCATCAAGCCATCGCGCGCATTCATTCGCCTAGGCTCCTTTCTGGGTCTCTCTATTAGATTTATTGGAATTCTTGGAATATAGGCGTACGCTGTGGCCAACTCACGTTAGTTGATGTTGAGTCTTGCGGCGTCTATGATTTCCTTCTTGTCCCTATTTTGGACTACTCGCTGCCAAGGCCAGTGCGCATTCATAGCGCTTAACTATAAACACATAATTCTTGGACCGTACGACTTTTCCTCAGTTCACGTACAATGGGACTGGGGCGAGTCCTCTCTGAGTCTTTGTCCTCTCTTTGTCTAGTTGTAACATTATTGTACAGCAGTGAGAACGTCGTTGGTCTTCGCATTTTCTTATACTATCGTCACGACTACAAATGGGCAAGACTTGTGGTGCGGTATACAATCCCCCAATCAAGGTTTCCAATATCTCCGACATCATCTCTGCCTTTACTACACTTCAACTACAGCCCAGCTGTTTGGCCTTACATTCTGAGTAAAGATGGACTTACGACGCTCCTTCTCGACCCTGAGATTACACTGGTGACGAAACCATCCTCATTCTATGAAATTTGTTGGCGAACCGGCTCTTTCCCGGGGACCAATCATACTCACAGGCGGCAAATACTTGAGCTCAACCGATGAACGATATGCACATTCAACACCTTCGCAACACATGATACATGATAACCTTGAAGGCCTGGAACCAAATGGGTGGGCAACGGGAGCCTTTCTTCCCTACCTTAATACTGGCTGTAGCGAGTATGAAGTGTCCATGCGTGAGCTCTACATAAAGTAATGTTTCTCCAGCGATGGCACTGAACGGCTAAGGCGAATTTGAGGACTGGAACGCTTCTAGCGAAAAGGGCTCAATCAAGTATGAGCATATAGTTCCAGATGGCTTTTTTACGAACTACTTGGATTGTAATTTTTCAGTCGTGGATGAGATAAAGGGTGAGTAATTTGCTGGTCTATTCGAATTCCCCTCACGTTCCACCACCAACAGCTTTAATGTAGTTCATCCGCTCCCTCCATTTGGTAGCGATGAGTTGCGCAACGCCGTCTTCGACAGGATGGGGGGAGTTGGGCTCTATGAGTTCATCATGCCCACCTACGGGAAGCGCAAATTTTCGAATACATAATTGATAAATTAACCGCTCGCTTCACAAAATCGATTACCAAATCTGACTGCCGTTCGACAACAAGTGGAGTCTATCAAGGACAGAGACAACCTCCTCTGGTATAGAGTGGACGAGCCAGGTGGATGCGAAGGTCTCCTTGACTGCACCACCATAATATACGATTTCATCGGGAGCATTGATCCTTACCATCCCATTTCTCTGGTTCTCCATTGGGGACGCGGAGATATGACACATATCCGATGGGGAGATATGTCGCTCGTTCCATTGTATGGGATACAGAAGCGAGGCTAGTGATGCCACCATGCCGATTCCATCAAAAAGTGCACGCCGACATGTGGAGATTGTAGTTGCGATGATTGTCTCCCTAGTGCGGGCCTACAAGATATTGTGGGATACCAAGATGTCTTCCTCGAACGTGCACAATTGATGGGACGCAAACGATCCTTTAGTGTCTGGGATGTTCCTCGAGGTTTTGGAGGATCTAGGTGAGTCTTTCTTGTTCTCTTTTGGGTTCGGCGCTGAAACTAGTTACTGGCCCCGTTGGTTTAACAGGTAGAGAGTTTGTCAGTGAGGGCATAATTTCTTCAAGGGTATTACCTGCCTACTACCGCTGGGATTATGTCTGCTGCCTCGCAACCTACTCTCGAAGCCTGGCCCCGAATCACTCAATCTATCTCCGGCCCGACATCTGTACTCACCCTCACCAGACCAGCTAGGGATGCCATCGAAGTCGGCCTATGGCACACAGTTGGCGGTTCCCGTTTATCTGCCCTTTGGTTATCGTTAACGCTGGGGGAGCGGTGGATTCGGTCAGATTAGCCTCTCTTCGCTCCGCAAACAGTTGGAGCAAAGTATTCCAAAGCGGTTCTGTTGCAACCTTGAGCGACTTGCGTAGAAGCTCCAATGCAACACCAAAAGTCGATGGGTTTGGTGTTAGGATTTTTGTTCACGAGGGAAAACGCGATGTTGCACCCTTCTCTTCCAGTTTGACGCAAATTGATAGAGGCTCTCGCAGAATGGGTTACATTGGAAAACATCACAATTCACTCGGAGTACGCAAGCTTTCAGGGATTGCAGACAAACCATTTTTGCCTGGGGTACAGAGCGTTCACTGTAGAATTGTTTTGAAAGAAAATAGATTATATCATTTATTAGCCTGCCAGCGTGCCCAGTATAACTTGGAAGGATGGTGCACTCATATTGATCGACTATCGACTCGGGCATGGACTAATGGTTGTGAAATGCACCATGGAATAGACTCCATATTTAGATATCCAAGTCTTCGTCTGGATCATCATCATCCAAATCATCCGCAGAATCGGGATCGTAGATGATTTGGCCCTGCCCCTCCGGGATTTTTCCTGTAATTGTATAGATTTGAGACACTGTCTTTTGATAAAATAGATAGCTGCTCAGACTGACCTTCATGAGCATAGGGAAGCGGGACCTCAGCTCGAGCGGCTGCTTGTGCATCTGTCAGGCTCAGGTTGAATGAGAGTGTATTCATGTCCCGGTGTTCACCTGCCACCTTCCCTTCGCCGATCACTTTTGTATGCGACCTCATATTTTGCAGAATAGGCAATTGGTCCCAAGGGATATTCTTGACATTCCCTGATTCATGGTCGAACATCCATCCTTCCAGCGAACGCTCAACGGCTCTATGCACGCGACTACTTCCCCTGGCACTAGCAGAAACACTAGGGCCACGTATGGTCACATCGGCAATTCCGCTAAAAGGATCACGGCCATCATACGCAATGCCCTTGCCTAAAATTTGGGTAGCAATGCCGGAGAATGCAAGCTGATCTGACTCTCCTCGAGCCACAGCAGGCGAGAACATTGCCCAGAACTTCTCTGGAGGACAAAGGGGTGGGGGATACGTGAGGTACGATTCTGCGAGGTGACGGATTAGGATCGGCGAGTGAAGCGCCACCGAGGTCAACGTCGAGGAGAAAGAGGGAGGAATAAGCTGAGGTAAAAGTGGAGAGGAAGAGCTGAGAGTGATTATGAGACGGGACGGATTCGGTCTTTCGACCACCAGGGCAAGAAGAGAACGAAGGAAGATGTACGTCTGCGAGACAGAGCCAATATCTTGGGAAAGGTTGTCGATTGACTCAATTGCTACAAGAACAGGGCCTGAGGGCGCTGATAGAAGGGGAATCTTAGTCACTCAATGCAAAGTAGGGAAATACCAATCAAACCATTGCGGACAGCTTCCAGAAGCCATGGACGGGGATCTTCCCATTCGTAGCCCGGAACCCTCTCTGACCAATCCAATCGCACAAGTTTGTCGTCACTACCCGAGACTAACGACGCAGTAAGAATAGAGGTAGAGAGCAGGACAACTAAAGATAGTTTTGCACTGTTCTGCCAAGTCAGTCGCCGATAAGAATGACACTTTCCGGACTGACTTCAATGTCTCAACAATAGTCTTCTGAAATAATGGCAGGCTATTTTGAGATGTATCAGCATGAACGAGAACGAGTCGTTGCTTTGGCGCGGAACTTGGTTCCCAGATGGAGTTCAAGGTCAGATCTGACATTTAATTACTCACGTGTCGGGACTTGATTGGATTCTGACGGAGTTGTCCGAATTATAATATGGTCACAAGGCTTTGCAGGTAGCGGAGTTGTCCGAATTATGTTTGTTGTACTTAGGCATGATGTGGATTATTGACCAATTTTCTCTCCTCAAGTGTGTCAGTTCTTTGTCCCAGTCGCCATGAGTATGCTCCGTTTAGTATCTGCAGCTCTCCTCTTTGCCCATTCTCTTTTCATGACTGCTAACGGGCAGGACATGTGGTGTGGTAAACCCTACCAGAAGGGTTCGCCACCAGTGACAATACCCCCAGAATCAATGTTCCCAGTGCCTCCGACATCATCCCTGCCTTTACTGGACTTTTCTTGCAACCCAGCTGTTCAGCCTTACATTTCGGGCGAAGATGAACTCGCGACGTTCCTTCTCGACGCTGAGATCACATCCACTGTTGGCCAGCCGTTCAGCGGCATAGTTGGGGAAACATCACTTCAGGTGGAGCTCGTGCATGGACAGTCCATATTTGCCACGGCCGTTATTGAGGCAGGGAGGAGAGGAGTTGAAGTTAATGTCCCACTGGCCACCTATTTTGCTCCAAGCTCTCAGGGATACCAAATTCAATGTGTTGCGAAGGTGCAGGGAGCGAGTACATATAATTCATCGACTGTGCTCAAGTATCTACCGCCCGTGAGTATGATTGGTCCCATGGCAGGAGCCGATCCGCCAACCAAATTCACAGAACCAAAACGGTTCCGTCATCAAGTTGGATTTGAGGACTGGAACACTTCTCACGAAGCCCAAGGGCTCAACTGAGTATCAGCCTATAGTTCCATATGGCTTCTATACGTCATTCTCCGACTATTTGGCCCTTAATCTTTCAGTGGTGAATGAGATAAAAGCCCAGGGGTGAGTAACAATTTGATGGTATATTCGGACCTCATTCACCTTCCACTGCCAACAGTTTTAATGTGATTCATCCCATTCCTCCGTTTGGTAGCAATGAGTTGCGCGACGCCGTCTTCGACAGGATGGAGGAAGTTGGGATGTATCTCATCTATGACATGCGAAAGTGCGTTTATTTTCCTTAACAACGAGGAGCGCAAACTTGACGATCGGTCGCTTCATAAAAGTGATTACCAGAATCTGACTGCCGTTCGCGAACAAGTCGAGTCTGTCAAAGGTAGAGCCAACCTTCTCCTTTGGTACACAGCAGACGAGCCGGACGGATGGGGATTTCCCCATAATAGTACCACCATAGCATCTGGTCTCATCAGGAGCATTGATCCTTACCATCCCATCTCTCTGGTTCTCAATTGTTATGACTATTATTTCAAAGAATATGTTGGGGATGCGGAGATTGTCCTTCAGGACACTTATCCGATTGGTATAAATGCCACCCATTCCATTGTATGGGATACCAATGTGAGGCCAGTGATGCGTTCTGCAAGGGCCAGGCTGATTCCGTCAAACAGTGCACGTCAACATACGGAGATTGTGGTTGCGATGATTGTCTTCCTGGTGCCGGCCTACGAGATATTGCGAGGCGCCAAGATGTCTTCCTTGAGCGTGCGCAACTGATGGGACGCAGACGATCCTTGACTGTCTGGGATGTTCCACAAGGTTTTGGTGAAGAGACGTGGGTTTTTCTTGCTCTGCTTTGGTTTGACGCTGAAACTAGCGGAAATTAGTTACTGGCCCCGTTATCCAACAGGCAAAGAGTTTGTTGCCGAGGTGGCTATCTCCCTCCTGCATGGGGCAACGGGTATGTTGGTGATGCATTAACAATCGCCAGATCTTCATAATTTGTTCAAAGGTGTTACTTCCTGGAATATGCCTACGACCGCGGAGATCACGTCTGCTGCCTCACAACTTGCTCTTGAGGCCTGGCCCCAAATCACCCAATTCGTGTCCGACAAGATATCCGTATTCACCCTCACCAAATCAGACGGAGACACCGTCGAGGCGGGCCTATGGTATACAGCGAATACCTCGCGTTCATCTGCACTCTTGATCATCGTTAATGTCGGGGAAATGGAGGATTCGGTTAGTTTGGCGTTGCCTTACGCCGCGGATGGTGGTTGGAACAAGATATTCCAAAGCGGCTCAACTGCAACCTTGAGCGCTTCGCAGACAAACTCCAATGCAACAGCAACAGTCGATGGGTTCGGTGTTGCGGTTTTCGTTCACGATGAGAAACGCGATGGTATGCCACTCCTTGTGGATTGACACGTCAATTCGGTATAGAGTCCCCTGTAGAATTGGGTTGTGTTTTACGCTTGCGGAAATCAAACCCAAGTCCACGGGCTCTCAGGGACTGCTGACAGAACTTTTTGATGATAAAGATGTTGGTTGTGAGCCCAGCAAAACTAAATCTGAGGATTTAAAGCGCTCATTGTAGAAATGGGATACATTCCACTCCTTTGAAAGGAAATGAAATAAGGCGCATTGTAGCATTTATCGGACTAACAGTGCGTTCAGGATGATCCAAACACCCCAAGCTCCGGGGTCTGGAACGCGACTTTCGGTGAGAGCCTGTTGATTTACATAAGCGCCTCTCCCGGCCCGAGCCTCCAATGTTCTAGTCTGCTCCGCTGCTTTACGCGCTTCTTCCACTGCATGAGGGAACGATTCAGATGAAGGCGACTGAAGTGCTAATGTGAAAGCCGCGAGGGGATCAATGAGAGTGCGAGACGGAGGCCGAGCAAGAGTGTCTTTAAAAAAGTCACCATTGTTGTTTCAAATCCTGGAACGAGAAAAAACTGACATTGATATAGTGCTTTGAGTGCTTCCTTTGCTGCGCTAGCCCAAACATCCAAGTTTGCGTAGTCAGTCTCAGGAGATGCTTCAGTTACCCTGCGAAGCGCGCTTGTCAGCGCAGAGAAATAAATTCTGTAAAGAGTCATACGATGATCATCACTGTTCAGATGAAGATGGCCACTTACGAGTACAGCGCTCCGCTCGTTCCTCCCATTGTAGCATCAACGACCTCCGAGACGACACGTAGATCGCTGATAATGTTCACTCCCCGAATACGCTGGTCTTTGGTGGCCCTCAAAATTCCTGTGTCCCACTTATTAATCAAGGATCAAGCGTGACGCATGATCGTGGAATTGACATGACGCACCCTCTGCACCTGCCTTCAGAGTCAGTCCAGCATCTCCATCACCAGCAATAGTATCTTGTTTCGTGATTTCTGGTTCCGCAGCTATCAGTGCATTAGCCGCGCGTTCAATGGCAGCCACAAACGCTCCAGAGTTACTGGCTAAATTAGCATTCCATAAGCTAACTACTACGATGTCGTCTGGTCCATGCCACTCACGCCGAATGCAAACTTGACCCCTTTCCTCAAGTTCTAGATCCTCGAAAGGTGGAGCCGGAGAAACATCTATGTGAGATAAATCATTTTTAGAATACCAAATCCACCCCGGAGCATCGGACGGGGCGTCGAGCAAATCGAGAATCTCGGTGGCACTCGCTATTTTGCTATCCGGACTTCCCCCCCGAGGAAGTAAAAGAATGGTAAGGCTATAACCAGGCATATTGAGAGACGTCTACGGTCCCTGGAGTTAAGCAGAAGAAAATTGGGTATCAGCATCCCAAATCTCACCATATATGTCCCCGAAAGGACACGTTTGACGATAAACTTCTTATTCCTGAGCCAAGCAATAGCTATGACACCAAGATGCATTATCCACTCTCGGCTCCAGCACGACACACCAACCTTCTTTGACAATTACCCCAAGCTCCAGCTGACTCACAGCGCCGAGGTTATTGACGAGGAGGACAACTTCGTCCTTCCCATCTTTTTTAAGTCCATGAGAAAGGAACCCTCGCTCTGGGTCAGTCTCAATCGTTGAAGTGATGCTTTCTAGCATTGTAGCTACGAGCTCTTTAGCGGGAGGGTAGGGCCTCAAGCGAGTGTGGCCTGGCTCGTTGTGGATTCCCATCCCTGGCCCCACTCCATTGAAACACGAGGAAGAGTTCAAGATCATAATGGCGTACCCAGCTCGAGCTCATCCGCGTTAAGATACGACGACCCAGGTTTAGTCCCAGGAACCTAAAGTGGGATGTGTTAACCAGTGGGCCGAATAGTCAAAATAATAACATAAAGCACATGGCAGTGTTCCAATCCTACACCGAAGGTTGCAACGTTGTTAGCAACCATGTTTGCAAGTGATTCGACTTGATCAATGGTTGCGCCCGAATATGCCAGGCCCCTGCAATTTTGTAAACTAATATCGTTCCCGCGAGTCCGCTACGAGTCATTGAGGAAGGATCTGAGGGAGTATTCGAAGAACACACCGACGACCAACAAGTCCTCCTTGAGTTCTTCCGACAGAAACATCATCACCAACGATAACGACTCTAACGTCAGTCTTATGTCCCTGAGAGGAGGCTCGGTGTTGCTCAGAAGCTAATCCAAAATGCAGGACATCCCCTGTGTAGTTCTTTACAACCAAAAGCACGCCCTTGTTTGATGGTGAGGACGAAACGATGTTTATCGCTCGACGAATCTGAGAAATGTTGGGGCTAGCGAAGACAGAACCCGCTACCGCAGCTGAGAGAATGCCAGTCCCAACGAAGGAAGCATGTGCAGCTATGCAATCCCATCAGGAGTCAGCTCAGGCAGAATGATCGACCCAAATGAGTTTACGTTCATGTCCACTTCCTCCTCCAGAAATGAGCGCCACCGTTCCTTCTCGTTGGTTCCGCTGATAGATCACTGATCTCGAGAATCTGTTTGCTTCTGCAATTCAATCGGGATATCGACTCTGCAAACCTCGATGCTGCTCGTCGAGTGCTATGGAAGGGTTCAAATATGCAAGACCCTTCAGACTATCCACGACTAGCTCAGATGGAGTGTTGAGAATATGTTTGTCTGAATAATTGAGAGGGAATTCAATCATCTTCCCTCAGTTGCGACTCCAATGACAGTAGAACTTACGAAAGCTCGTCATGCCGGTCGCAAAATCACTCTTTCCGGAATGGATGGCACAAGCTCAGTTAGGATTAGGCCTTAGGGCGCTTCAAGTGGGCGCAGGAGTGCGGGACTCGGAGCGGGGAAATCAAACCGGATCGGAGCCACTTATGTAATCGCGATGGGTGACCGCATGGTACAGCCCCAGGCGCCGCGTCCTCTTACCATCCTACATAAGTTTCTGGGATGAACCAGAACCACTATCTGCGATGGCATCCAAGATAACCCGCCGCATGATCGAGGTTCACAACAAATTGCACGATCATGTCCTGCACAGAAGACTTAATGTGTCCAAGGAGCAAAGGACTGGTTTGCCCGTGGATATCGTCATCAAGTTCATACAAGCTTCGGGTTTGCCGAAGGTGGTGAGCAGTGCTCCTGACAGCTGGAGTCGCGGTGATCGGCTCAACGAAGTGTGCAGGACATTGGGCCTGGAATGCTGGCAGATCCATATTTTGTTGCCGAGTGTGTCTGCAAGGCTTCAATTTATATGCTATTTTGTTTCATCTTGTCTTATAGCATTGATGGAAAGATCTCCTACACGTGCGCAAGCCTCCCGTCGTTTCACCCTTTGACCGTTTGCACTCATGGCATAAATTAGCTCAAGTGCGCAACGCAACACCCTAAACCCTGTCTGGAACGAAAGCTGGGCAATAAGGAACGTTCCCAGCGATGCCCAACTCATCGTTGATGTGTATGATAAGGATGAGGGCTCCATAAATGACGATTACATCGGCAGTTTCTCAGCCCCCCTTGATCCCGGCGCACATGCTAGTGCCCTGAAAGGAGTTATTCGTAACGGGAAAGGGAGTTTTGGATACTTTGTGAGCTCAGGCTTTCCCTGGAAGCGAATGGCGGGGATTTCATGGTTTATGCCTTCTAGATAACAGTGGAGCTGTGCTCGGCACCAGACGTACCGAGATATACCTTTGATGGTACTGACCGTCCGTTGGAGTTGCTGGATGAATTTTGACTGTGAGTTGGTAGGGCCTGTGAGATACTCCCGCCATTTTTCGCCTACAGTGGGCACCATCGCGAAGATTAACAATCCCAACGGTTCACACACAAGACTCTGGTCCACTTGGAAGATATCAATGCGGGGCGTTTATGAATATTTTGGACATCATCGTCAGCATTGGAATATTCACTATAAAGTAGGCTTGGGCTTAACCTTCGCTATGTAATTGGAGTCAAACGATCTTTTTCTAGGCCGCTCAATCTATCTTCGAAGGACCTATGTCTCTTGGAGCACGTGCATCGATCCAAGCAGGACACCGATTGCTCTACGCAAACTCAACTGCCAACGGCTTCGGGCTAATTGATAGTGCGGAAGGTTTCTGGGGTTTATTCCGCGCCGGCGAAGATCGACCGCCCTCTTCACGTGTGCTCAATCGCGACACCCCAGAACCTCGGAGAATAAAACCTGCTGTTTACACTTACACCATTGGCGAAGACGGAGTCTTCAGGTTCAGCGAGACGGGAGCAAGTTTCTTCGTTGATTTCGTATCAAAGCATGCTCTCCACAGGTACGTTTCGGCCGACATTACCTATCTGCCAAACAGCTCAGGGTTGCTTCTTTATCCACTTTGGCCCAATTCTATTGTCTTATGACTTCGATAGCTGCTGCACGGAGACAGTGATATACAGCGGCGAATTCCATCCTAGACCAGCATTTCCAGATGGATCTGGGTGGGCTTTTTTTGAAGAGAGCATGTCAGATGATTCTGTATCTTGGGAGCTGGTCATTGATAAGTGAGTGCCTCCTTTTTCCCCTCCCGCAGAACCCCTAGCAGACGAATTTGCTTCCTTCTCATTTTGCGCAGTAATTCTGGCACCTACGCTCCCGATAAAGCCTTCCTTCCAGCCCTCAAAGGTTTTCTGCAATACAACCTCCCAGGCCTTCGAGTCATCACTTTTGATTATAAGGACGATGAACTTGCGCTCAAGGCCTCCACCGATTCATGTCAGGAATACGCCCTTGCTCATCGAAGGACTGAATTACAACCCACGTTAACCAGCGAAGGGAATTCGCTCCATCACATGGCCATCGTTCGTCCAGTAGAGTGAGACAGATTCGGTGTGCTGGGAGATCTTTCTACGTTTGGTGTCGGAGGGCGTGTCTAGAATCTGTTTTGGGTATTGAGTTGGAGCATTGTAATGAAGGTACAGTAACTCGTGCCCAAAGCCACACCCTTACATAACCCTATTTAGTGCTCAACTAGTATGCACTTAGTACTGTTGTTGTCTGTGATGTACTTTTCTTGTGACCAATTATTCGAGTATTGAAAGGCTTCGGGATTACATGCGAAATTATAGATATTCATAATGGTGGGACAAGGGTGGCTACATTCTAATAATGAAGTGGGTGAGGGGATTAGAAAGCGTCAAGGCGAGCGAAGAATCTCCACAGCTAGTCGGACATCAGGATGAATTGGACTTGAGATCAATACCTGAACCGCATTTTGCGCCATTTTAGCAGTGCCCCGGGTGCCCCATAATTCCCCGAGTCGTCGTTTCGTCGACTCTGCAAGACGACAATTCACTCTTTCCCAAACAGGAAGAGCATCATCGGTCCCTTTGTCATTACCGACAAGGCAAACCTTATCGCGAGCAGTTGAATTGGATGAGTGGTTGCTAGGAGTAGATCTGGGGTGACTATGCCGCAATACTCCCTCAGCGTTACGTACGAGTGAGCTCGAACGGGCATTGCGAAAAGACCTTATCGTGGGATTATTCATATCATCTTCAATTCGACTAAGGGGTTTTGGTGCCTCAACAGAGTCCCACATGGTTTGCACGCGGCCAGAGCGAGAATCGGAGCTAGTGGGAACCACATGGACAGACCTCGTGGTACGCTGATGCGCCGGACGTCCGTCAACACTAGTGGCCGCTGAAGGAATATCCGCCGCAGTCAGTGATAACATTGGCTTTGAAACGCCGACTTGTAAATCATATACGGGAGGAACCGGGTGTTTGGCAGATGAAGCTTTCGGGGACTCCACATGGTCATCTGGAGTCGCGAATCCATGCGAACATTTCAATGATGGTGCGACCAACGTGGCTACAAAACCCCGATCCATTGCCTTTATAGAGCTCTCGGCCGAGCGAAGGTACCGAGTCGGTACCGGGCGACTGGTTTGAGCCACAGCCATCGCTTCTAGCGCGCCTCCATCACACCGCTTATTAGAATGTTCGTTGCAAATCTGTTGTTGTAACTCGGGAGCTGTCATGCCAGATGACAGGCCAATTTCTTCATCGTCATCAATTTTGAAATAGTGGAGACGAGAACTAATCTCAGGCACATCATTCGTGAAGTGAGTAGTTTTCTTCGCCCGCAGATCCGAGTTAGCTGCAGAAAACGTTCCGGTGCCTAGTGATGATTGGCGCCTGAGTAAGAAGGTGTAGCTGGTGGACTTGTTTGAAAGTATGTGAGCGTGGCAGGTTCTCTTGTGAATACGGAGGCGTGGGGGGGCCGCCAGTATCCACGGATGAGAACGACGATCGCTCAAGTGGGGGAGGCAAATTGCCGAGGCGAGGATCTTCTCGTGGTCGATCGCTTGATGCATCTGAATTGTCGACAGAAGACGATGATGAATCGAAAGCAAACGGTGATATTTCATACACCAAACCATCTCCGCGCTCTAGGGCTGGCTCTTCCAAATAGGAACTGTCGCTGGACGCGGAAGCGGGCAATCTTGCTGGCCGCTTACGCGAAGCCGGCTGCCAGTGTGTCATTTCCCCCCTTGTTTTTGTTTTATCGCGTATGAGGACAGGGGGCCTCGGCATCGCTACCTTATAATGAGATCTTGGCTTGGGTTTTCGGGGGAAAGGGGGAGGTCGCGAGTAACCACCCCTGTGCAAAGATCCAGAGCGTTTCAAAGGGTCAGGGAACGATGTTTCAGGAGGTCTACTTGACGAAACGTCTTTAGGAGGAGGCGGCCCAGGTGATTTGGAACGCTTGTGCTTCGCCGGAATCTGACGCGCTAGAACATTAGAACGGGAGAGAGGTTTCTCTCGCCGTTGTAAACCTTTTGCCGCGGAGCCGTGAGGTGCGGAAAGAACCCTGCTGGCTAAAGCATGAGCCTTCTCAGTACTCAAAAACGCTCCAGAAATTTCGTGGCTGGAAGCATGATGGGAACCGGGGCGGTCAGGGAGCGATTTTTCGTTCTTAGGTATAGTATAGCTATCGATAGCACTTGATCTCTGCTGAGTACCCACGTTTGAACGTGGCTTGGCCCTGTTCCGGGAATTCGCTCTAGCTGATAGACACGTCAATCCAGGGCCAGTGTTTTTGAGCCTCGCGATAGAAGAAGCGTGAGATTCAACACCAGTGTACTCTTCCAGTGACTCAGGCGCACTGATATCCGTAATCACGGCCGCCGATAGCAGAGACAGGGCCACTGACGAAGGTCCCGCAGCAGCACATGGCCAGGAAGATTGATCACCAGTTTTAGTCTGAGAGTGACATGAGGTGCGATGACTGGGTTGAGAAGCATGCTTTTGATCTTGAACCCAGTTTCTGCCAGCCACCACAGAAGCTGCTGTTCTCTGCAGAGATCCGTCCCGACCATCAAATTGGGCGGTACCTTTTGGCCTCCCATTGGTCGAGTGAAGTTCAGTATCGAACGTCCTCAATTGATGGGTTGATGTGGGGCCATCCGATGGGAGCCGATTGCTTTGCGCTTCTCTAGGACCATAGAGATGGTGGCCATGATAGTCGCCATCGTGGCCATTATCGCAACGTTGCTGAGCTAACGGTGACGCATTAGATGGACGTTGTAATTGCCTGGGTTGCCGCTGTGTACCAACTATATGGGATGACATTAATCGTGATGGATAAGGATTTCGTTGGGATTGAGAATGAGCGGAATCCGATGATTTATCAAAGCCATCTATGACAGAAGGTTGTTTGGGTGACCAGACCTGTCTCGAAATGGAGTGCGAAGGTTGATTAGGAAAATCGTTGTCTGGTGAGCCGGTTGAGGTGCTAGTTGCAGCAGCAACGGCCGGTCGAATGATTCTCCCAGCAGAAACATCGGATGCGAACCCGCACCACTTTCGAGAAATGAATTCTGAATCGACAGGCGGACTTGACTGACGTTGAGAGGTGATTGAATTCAGCCCGGCATTATCGCACTGCCGGTCGAACATGAAGGATTCATCCTCATTGGTGAAACCGCATCCAGGCGCGCATGAACTATAGGGATTTTGCCTATTGAGAAGATGTGATGAATGAGGCTCATTGGGAGCCCTTGATTGAATGCGTCCATTATACCCCGCGGGAGGTAGTACCGCAACTTCTGAACGGTGCGATCTGGTTGCACTGATTACGACAGAGATCGCAGGAGGCTGAGGAAGGGGAGGAGGAAGGTATTCGCTTTGCCCAACAATTGCTTTTGAGCGTTCCGAACCCGAACGTTCGTGAATTCGGGACTTTTGTGGGTAAGTGTGGGTTGCAGGATCATCGTTAGTTCGGGTTGGTGTAAGTAAGGGTTGATGCAGGGCCGGCTCAAATTGGTGCTTACCAGTCGGACCGGAATGATCTCAGGCAAGGAGCTCATCGCGGAGTTATTCGCTTCGAGAAGATGCTCGGAGAAAAGCAGGTTCACAAGGAACTGTTGTTCAACAGATGAGAAGGTCTTGAAGGATTCAAGATTCTGAGGCGACCTTAATAGTGCCACATAATTTGAGCACCAAGACAATCCCAGACACATTTGTCTTAGTCTCGAAGTCAAACGGTTTGCCAGCACGACTCACACTCTCTGAGTCATGATCAGCTTGATGTCAAGCACCTTCACGCTACCTTGATATCAATTGCCCATCTTCTTTCCTTGTGTATATCCTCGGAGTTTCGGAAGGACAAATGAGGCAGACCCCCACAGAGCACTGAGTCATTTAGATAGTGGAGGGGCGCCTACATGAGGGACCGCATGAAACTAGATCGCTTAGATCAAGGATTGAACTACAGGACGCCATCTGGCCTCGGCTACTGAGTGATCTTCAACATGCATAGCCATCTCCATTGAGTGAGGTATAAGATTGACAAAAGGTACAGCGTGGCGGCAATGATTTCTTTCGCCATTCGTCGTAAAAGGGAAAAACCGCTAGACATCGGCGGCGAACGGGTGTCCGAGAGATTCGGCACAATGACCATGAGACTTCACCATGAGTGAAAATAACTGGAAGGAGATGGGTGTTATCATCAATATATGGAGCGGGGGCGAAAATAAAAGTTGTATGTAGAAACAAATAAAAAAAAAATAATCAAGAAATAAATACATAATAAAAACAAGGAAGCGGGGAGGATGGGAATTGCCGACACCAACCAGCACAGCTTAATTTGCTGACCTGAGCAAGGGGCTTGATCCAAACAAGCAGCACCAAGAACTTGTCGTTCTTGACTTTGCTCCGTCATTGATCTCTCCGTCTGTGCTTGTGGCGACGCCAGAAACATCTACGTGCTCTGCATCTCCAGCCTGACGCGCTTCGTTCCCCCCCCCCCCCTTCCCCCTCCTTCGTGAGTCGTCTTGAAGGCCGAGTCGCGGCAATCAGTGAATAAGAGCTGACCTTTCAGCATCTCCCCTTCTCTTCTATGATCATCTCCCGTCTTAGGTAACGCATCCTTTAAGTTTTTTTCTGCAATCCTTGCGCCACATCTATAAATCAGCCGATGGACCACTTCACTTCGTGAGTTTATGCCTCCAACCAGAATCACTGACCATGCTCCTCCACCCTGCCCCTCCTCAATCCTACGCTCTCAGCCTAGACTTTCTTACCATGCCTTCCAGTAGCGCTCAGAATCCTGCCTATCCGTTTCTCCACGACAGCCATCTTGACACGAATTACCATTCTGACGACTCGTCCTTTTCAAGACGCCCTCAGCAAAGGCTGCCATATCCACATCCCTCACCAATTTCCCCCTCCCGCGCCCCTTACCCCGCGCATGCGCCTCATGCGTCTTCAAGCCGCCCTGGAAGCGTACACATCGTCGATTCCTTGCAACCTCCTTCCATCGATCCCCCGCCGCCCCAGAAGAAGCGTCCTAAATATACGCGCAGCAAGGCTGGATGCCTCACTTGTCGAAGCAAGAAGATCAAGGTGAGCTTCAACTAACCCATGCTACCCTCGAAGTAACCCTCTGCTTTCCCAACTGTCCCAACCGCCCACATCCACCCCTTGGTAACCTACCACCATTCCTCCTTGTTAAAGTGTGACGAGGTCAAACCGATTTGCACGCGTTGTGATCATGCACAACGCGAATGTACGTGGCCGACGGAAACGCAACGCAAGAAAATTCCGAGGCGTGTCCGATCCTCGAACTCCCCAGACGCAGGCCCGGGTTTACCGGCCGTACCCAGTAATGCAGGTGCGTCATGCTCCCACGAGTCGCTTTTTGGTGCTTTTCTGGCTGTTCTTTGGACGTATGCTGACCTTCTGCCTGTCCTCGTGTTCGCGGTGCCCTTGATTGAATTGGCGGCGGATCAGGCCCCTATAGTGCGTTGTCAGCATATCGGGCTACTCCCGACTCTACTTCCAGTGCTTCCGAGGACACAGGAAGCACAGTTTCAGGGACATATGATGACGGCATTGGCGGCCTGAGTGGGAGCGAGTCTGGGGACGAGTAGGCAGTCTTCTGTTTTCAGAACGATCTTCCACTGGTCTTATTCTATCTGCTTTCATAGCTACGGCCGCATGGCTGGTTCAGGTTATCTTGACCAATCATATCTTCCTCAAACTCAAACTCATCTGGTCGGAGCATACCAAAACCTTAGTCTCTATCCTAACCAAACGAACGTGTACCGAACCGGGCAGCAACACAATTTAGACCCTGATGTGTCTGGCTCGCAGCCGCCCGGAATCGACTACAATAGTGTTAGCGTTCCGGCCCTCTCTGTGACATCTTCTCCATCTCAGGTCTCGACAGCTGGATCTCCCAATCAAATGTACCCGCAAATTGGCCCTCCCCAGTTGTACCCCCCCAACTTAGATTTGAACCAACCAACTCTGAATCTAGACTCGTTCAATTTCCCTCAGCTCCCTCCCCTCCAGCCCCAACATACTGAACCAAAATGGAACTCTTATTCACCTCAAGCAATTAACCCCCCCGTAACTGCTGGTTTTGAATATCCCTACAATTCGGGGGCGGATGCACACGGTGGAGATGAGCACGCAAGCGGGACAGATTACGAGTCGGAACAGAGCAACGCTCCTCTTTCTCCTCCCGAGGAAGCACCCTCTCCTGAGGAAGCAGCGTTAGCTGGGTATAGCTCAGCTGGAGTGCCCACAACCACCGGGAACGAGCAATGGAACAATGCTCCAGCCATTGTCAATTCCGCGCCTGACCCTATTGAGCCATTTTTCAAGACGCTCAAAGAGCGAGAATTGGTACGTCAAAAATCCCACACCGGGAATCCTTGTATCCGTACTTGCTGAAGGAGGGCATTGATGATTTTTCTTTAGATTCATCATTACGCAGGGAGCAGCACAGAGCTCATTATGGCAGTAAATACGTCAGCAGGGCTCAATCCTGTTCTTGCGACCACTCTTCCCATCGTTCTCTCTGTTCTCCCGCGCACGAGTGCTCCTGTCGAAGCGCTTCGTCTTTCTCTCCTTGGCGTTGCCGCGATACATCAATCATCCCTTCATTCACACTCCAACTCAAATAGACAACTACTTGAGAAGTCAACTGTGACAAAAATGCGTGAAGCGAAGAAAGGTGCACCCTTATCGCTGGGACTCTTAGGGGACGAAGGTGACCAAGAGGCGGCTGAGAATCTCAGGTTGGCGCTTTTGTTAAGGCAGAACGCCTCCCAATGTTTATATTTTGCGTATCAATCGCTGGAAGGGTCGTTACACGATGCGGCTTTGGCCGCTAGCGTGTCGATTGCTTTGATAGATGTTTGTACTGGTTGCATTTTGAACCCGTTACGTTCATGTACTGACGGCTCGGCTCAATTTCAGATCTTCGCTGGTGGAAATGACTTTGAGTCGAACTTGGCTCTCGCGAAGCAGCTGATCGCTATTCGGGGCGGTCCGGAGAACATCATTGCTAATAATGCACCAGTTAGAACATCCTTTGGCGGAGGCGTCACTGTTTCTCCTGCCAGGCTGCTACTAGAAATCATCGCGGTGTATGATGCTTTTGGCTCTCTGACTACCGGAGAAGAGCCAGCCTATCTAGGGCATGGCGATGTGCGATGGTGGTTAGATGGTGATGACTGGAACTACCATAAATACTCGGTCGAGAAAAAGTTCGGTATGTCAAGGACGTGCATTCACCTTGTAGCCAAGGTACGTAACTGCCTGGTTCCCTGCTTTCGTCTCTTGTTGATGGACACTTTGCCTTCGTCTCAAAGGTCAGCACGTTACTGTCGCGCCTGAGCGCTGTCGAAGGGACGGAAAGTTTCACAGGGGTCCCTCCGAATCCTAAGAACGTCTCGGCCAACGCTCTTAATCTTCATGCTGAAGCCACCGCTCTCCTCGCAAGATTAGATGAAGAGGCAAACAGTGATGCAGCCCGTGCCACCCGATTCATGGAAATTGGTTCGGATGAAGGGACTGCCACCGGTGGTAGGAGCCGGGGTGGTGGAGGTTTTGGAGCGAACGAACAACCTCCCCCGAACGCATCTCCCGATTACCCCCAGACGACTGCAAAGCGCATTGAACATGGGACCCAGGCTCACCTGCTTGCTTTCCAGGTACCGCTACTAATGCATCTACCAGGTCAACGTTCCTGAATATTCGTCCGCAGATTGTCCTTCTACGTCTCGTGTTCCACGTGGACCGTCATGATCGTCGTGTGCAATTCCTGGCTAACGAGATAATCACACGTTGCCATGCAAGCGCCACATTGCTGCAGATGCCTATCGAGTGAGTCTTGGTACATGTGCTTTGCCTTTACTGCCTCTTATCGTTTCTTTTATCTTCCATACAGTCTTACATGGCCTGTCATAATTGCGGCTTCCGAGTTGGACGTTCAGAAGCGTGGATTAGTTTCTGAGATTTTCGAAGGGTTCAGGTAGGTTTCTGAGTTCAATTTACAAAATTGCCCTTGTTATTAATTTTATGCCTTGACTAAACAGGAAGAAATGTTGCTATGATATTGATACTGCCGAACAAATTGTCAATCGCGTGTGGCAGCGCGTGGACCAAAACCAACCTCGAGCAAACTGGAAGTCCGTGCTCGAGGACGATAAAACGAGGGTCCTTCTAATATAATTATCTGCTTGCTCAACTTTGTGGACCCCAAGTCCATCAAAAATCTTATCACGAACACATTGCTCACATTGCTCCTTCCTCTGTTCTATTATTCCCTGTAATAATCACCATCTCAGGTACCGCAGATGTTCCCTTGATTGGATTTCTTCGCCCCAAAATAATTCCCATTCACTGGGAAGACACAGCTAATAACGTAACCCCGTATCTCCACGCACTACTGCCATCGACCTCCTGACCGAAAACCATACAACGCCCCCCCTTTTTTCACTTTGCTTTTGTAACCAACATGACCTTATCGCTCTTCGTTATTATTTTATCCTTTGAGCCTCGTGCTTTATCGGAACCTTCGTGCTAGGCTTCTTCAAAAATTTTTACATTACCTTATCCATTGCTTGACTATTTCTTACTCGGATTATTAATAATGGGTGCTCTCTCCTGCAATCCTAATATGTATATGTAGGGGATATGTGGCGAGACCTTATCACTTTATTCATCTCTCGATATGAAGATGGTTGGATTGATCATATGGACGTCGCCCTCCCAACGTACCGAGTTTCAACTTGGTTCTTCCAACGCTTCACCTGACGACTGTGGTTTAGCCTGTTGCTGCGACTCAGAATAAATAAATGTTCCATGAGGTCGAGAAAACGTCTCGGAGCCTTTGTGTTTTGTTTCATTAACTCGATCGATCTATCCAGCGGCGGCAGCGATCATCGGCCGAATATTGACATGACCTCATCCAACACCATCCCAACCCAAACCAATCAAGTAGGCATTCCCAGATAGATATCAACAAGTATTCTCGCATGTAGTCTATGGACATGCTGGCATCACTGTTATTCCTGCCAGAGTTTTGAACTACCAGAATATAGTCAGGGTTTGAATCGGCCACCGCTTGGTTCAAGTGTGGGACTCACCCACACGAACGCACACGGACGTTGCACTTACACGTGTGCGCAGCACGTCATGCGCCCAATCCAACATCGAACGCGTGCATTATACATGGTTGAAAGATTCTCCCCCCGAGTGAGAAACAACATCGATATCAACATGGCCTGATTAAGTATCGCAGGAGATCCACACACACACACACACACACAGGTCATTTGATGGAGTCCGTAATGGAGAGGGAGGTGGTAAAGATTTGTTGAAAAGATGGATATGCAACAGAGAAAGGGGCGGGCACCTTGTGTTCCCGGACGTCGCGACAACAAGCCCAATATAGTTCATCCAATATCATTCCAGCACCCAACCATGTGTAAAGGGGCGGATTTGAGATATTGCACATTGGAACCACATGCATTTGATGTTGTGCTAATCTTTGATAATTGGCAATGGGAAAAGCTGAAATGCCAATAATTTATTTAAATAGCTTCAGCTTTGACCAGAGCTGGTCGTGTTGGACTATGATGGGGACGGGCTGAAGTCCCATAAAGAAATATATCAGGTCAGGTCAGCAGAACGATGTGCTGAACCGGAAATTAAGGGGGAACGGAAGCCACGTGGCGTCGGTCAATTCATTTCTCCGAAGTCTGACTCACGGTTTCTCAGCTTCTTCCGTTGATTGGCCGGCTTTGTCCGCGCGCGGCTGCCAGTCTCTCGCTCTCATCGTTGATCCTTCTCGTAACTGTGACTAACGTTATCACAGAATTTGGATCAGTTTCCCAGATTGCACAAGAAGCAACATTCGTTGCACCCAGGCCCTGATTCACAACATCAACGTATCGTGTGAACGAGTTACGTACTTGACAGATCTCCTTGCTACGATCTGTGCTCGTGGATTCCAGGCAGAGCAACCCGAAAAAGCATTGTCTTATCAGCAACGAAGGCACTCTTTTTCTAGGTCAAGAGCCACCGCTTTACATCAGAATATGCATAGGTGTATGGAATATGCGCCAAGTCGATAATTTGTCCTGGATCATCAGTCTAGAGACGCGATTGTCTGCGTCGAATTAGCACTGGCTGTCTCCGCAATATCCTTCCTACACTTAGAATGACCTCCAGCTAGCCTAACTAGGGGGACTTTGCTGCATAAGTAGCTGGTGTAATTTGAGTTTAGGGACCGTATCCATGACACTCTGTCGTTCTGGTCGGAAATGGGCCAATGCTCTGTGCTCGAGTGCATTCTGCGCCCACAAGCAAATAAGGTGGATCTATAACTGTGGAGAACGGACCGGACGCAGAAATTTTGGGAATCAGCTGGTTCCCTAGTCTTCGGTTCCTCCTAGCTTTAGGCGTTTTTCTCTTGTGAATGCCCAATTTATCATCTCAGGCATTCCAGAACGCGTTCTTCATGGTATCCGCGTGGAGTCAGGGCCGTATATAATTCCCTGTCCGCAGCACTTGAATCATGGTTTAAAAATCGGTCCGACGGCGTTTGTAACGAACGAATTTTCTTTTTTATGTAGCGTTGAAAATATAAGGGAGGGAACATGAGGAGCGGGCTCCGTCAACCGCAATTCCCTAAGGTTGTGATGCAATCTTGGCGGAGATGAGATATGGCTTCCATGTGCTGCGCTCCCACACTGGCCTACCTCTTATTTACTGCCTCTTATTTATCGGTGTATTGTACCCGCTGCAGCACATCTGTCACGTGCAGTGACGTCGCTCTACATATTTACGTGCTGACTATCCACATCGGCCATTACCTGTCCTGGCGTTCTAAGCTCAATAATCGCTTTACTCAAACCGACCTTGCGCGTGGCGCCCGTGATAAGGCTGTTCCTTAGTTATCCATCTAGTATCCCATTCAAACGTTGCACCTCCAGTGCGGTCTGGCTTTGAAAGTGGCGACGGCCTCCGGCAGTCAGAATCTCTTAATACTTACATTTCGGTATGGATCTTCGTATGATCATGACCGCGCCCCTTTGGTTTTTCACTTCTTGGTTACTGGTCAGAGTCGCTATGCTTTTCTGACTCGAGTTGCGATCATGACAGTTCATATTCAACCCGTGTTGTGCCGCTGCCATCCCCCCCCCCTACCCTTTCTTATTTCTTGCTTTCAGACGCCTTCATTTTCTACCACTTGTTGATACTCAGATGTTTGATGTAGCCCCGAACCACTTGTCTCATACTTCCACCGTTGAGCCTCCGATCCCGTCCTTCCATTTCCATTTTTGTCCACTTAAATTTGGTCTCGTGTTTGCGTCTACACTTGCTATCACCTCGTGGCTCGTTAATGTTGCCCCACTGGCAGTCAATCCAGATGTCTCGGCGCCTGCCGAGGCTGCCTGTACAACGTTTCGCGCCACAGTAGTACATTTCACGCGCCACCAAATATTATGCCTCCAATGGAAACATGAGTCCAGAGAGCTTAGCTTCTCGGTAGTCAACTTGATACACCAACCCGCACTGCATGGTTACCTCGTCGACAGTCACCGACTATACCACCATAATGATAACAATGATAACAACGAAATCCAATGTATTGGGACGGGGTGTCAGCTGGACGATCACAGGTACTTACAGAAACGGTAAAAGGAGTCCAGTTGTCTTATCGTGGGTGGTGTGGGCGAATCATGACCCAGCGGACGTCTAGTGGTTTGATGGGTATCAACACTTTGAAGTTGGGAAGTTGTACCTCATCCCATTTCCTAGTCAAATGGCGTGCACGCCACTTGAAATCGGCATGTGCAATGTTTCAATCAGAGTTCATATCCTTTATCTACACAGATTAGATACAACCATGTGGACGAATAAAGATCATGCAGCAGGGGACTGGGAAAAAAGGGAATAAAGTCAATCAAGACACGAAAAGGGTGTGAAGAGCGAACCCGGTGTTAGCTAAACTACAACGTTGAGCACCCTTTACTCTGCCATCACACTTCACACAATAGTAGAGTTGGGTCCGGCGTGCTTGACGACATCGTCGACTTGATCTTCGAAGCCTCTGAATGCCTTCACGAACATGTTCGCGAGCCTCTTGCGTTCTTTCTCAAATGCCTCGCCATTCGCCCACGCCTTCTTGGGATCCAGGACATCAGTAGGAACACCCTTGCACGACTTGGGGATCTGCAACCCAAAGACGTCGTAGGTCTCGTACTCAGCCTGAGCAAGTGTGCCGTCGTGAATGGCGTCGATGATTGCACGAGTGTACCTAAGCGGGCAACGCGAACCAGTGCCAAATTTGCCGCTGACCCAGCCAGTGTTGACGAGCCAGCAGTCAACTTTATGTGCGTCCATCTTTTGGGCGAGCATGGAGGCGTAGCGACCGGGCTAGGGGGATTCAAAAAGGGATGAATCGTGTAATCGCGACAGACGTTATTACGGGTGAGCTTACGTGAAGGACGATGAAGGGAGCACTGTAGCATGTCGAGAATGTGGGGATAGGCTCGAGGACGCCATCCTCAGTTCCAGGAGTTTTACTGTCATTTGTACAGGATGATCAGTGTTCTAGGCAGCCGTTATTTTCACGACACTGACGAGGTGTAGCCAGCCAAAAGTGGTATTGAGCTTGTGCGCTGGTCAGCTTGCTGACAGGCGGTAATATACCATAAGCATCACAAGTCAACATGATGATGTTGCTTGGGTGCCGGTGCGCAACGCAGGGAATCTGAGCATTAGGGATGTATTCGATGGGGTACGCGCAACGCGTATTTTCAGTAATCGAGACATCATCGAAGTTAGCGAAACGGTTGGCGGGGTTCACGACGACGTTCTCGAGGATGGAGCCAAAACGGATGGCGTTGAAAATTTCAGGTTCCTTCTCGGCAGAGAGGTTGATGCACTTCGCGTAACACCCGCCCTCGATATTGAACACACCGGTGTCGGACCAGACATGCTCATCATCACCAATTAGTAGGCGGTTCGGATCGGCAGAGAGGGTGCTGTGCAGAAGCCATTTTTGTACATACTACCATTTGACTTTAGTGCGAAACTTCTGACTCACGTCTTGCCGGTTCCCGAAAGACCGAAGAAGAGTGTGACGTCACCCGTCTCCTCACCGACGTTAGCAGATGAGTGGAGGGACAGTTGACCGAACTTGACGGGTTGCAAGAAATGCATGACAGAGAAGACTCCCTTCTTCATCTCGCCAGCATACTCGGTGCTATCACGAAGCAAAGCTCATTGATATCGTTTGGTCACAGTCGAGACTAGACCTACCCAAGGATAACCATCTCCATCCGCTTGAAGTTAATCTCGACCGAGGTGGTTGAGGTCATGCCAGTGGTAAAGCGGTTAGCGGGGAATTGTCCGGCGTTGTAGATTATAAAATCGGGCTCCCCGAAGTTAGCAAGCTCTTCCTCAGTGGGACGGATGAGCATGTTGTTCATGAACAATGCATGGTATGCACGAGCGCATACAACCCGGACCTTGATGCGATATCTGGGGTCCCACTATGAGAAGTTTCGAGGTAAGCATCGGCAACCCTCACTGACCGAGGAGTACTCACCCCTGCAAAGCCATCGAAAACGTAGACGTTATCACGAGTGTTCAAGTAGTCAATCGCACGCTCGCGGTTGATTTCGAAGGTGTCTGAGATGAATTAGTCGGTCAATTAAAAGTTCCCACATTCACTAATCTAATGCTCGATCAAAAACCAAACCGAGTAACTGCCGGGCCAAAGAAGCCCGGAGAGCGATCCTCGATTCAACTCGAAAGAAAGGAAATCACCCACTCACGTTCGTCCATTTTAATGTTTACAGGGCCCCACCAAATGTCATCCTTGGACGTCTCCTCGTAGACGATGCGCTTATCCTTAGGACTACGACCGGTCTTCTTCCCGGAGAAGTTGATGAGTGCTCCGGTCGAGGAGATAATCGCCCCTTCATATTTGACGGCGTCTTCGTACAGTTCCGCCACGGGAGCATTGCGCTTCATTTGGATATGGTCCATGTCGAATCCCGCCTGGGAGAAGTACTCCAAATCTATGATGATGGCAGACAGAGCATGAGTATTGTGCAAGGAGATAATTTGGATTGCGGTGTTCTGCCATGGACGATCGCCGCTGCAGCGGATCGAGACTCACGTTTCCCGAGAACTGTGCACAGGAGAATTAAAAAGTCAGAAGAAACGTTCCCAACGGCGATAGGGGGGTTCGAACTTAAACTCACAATCATTCTCTGGGTGGTGGTAGAAGCTGTTTGCGCCAAGCACAAAGGGCGTGACATGAGGAGTCGGCATCGCTGAATTACCAGAAACAAGCTTTCTAAGGATTAAGAACCTTTGGTAACGGATCGAGCCTCAATGTCTAACCCAGAATCGGGGCACAAAGAAAGGATCGGAACTTACTGCAAAAGTCGAACGAAGTCCAAGGAGTTCAAAAAGGGATTGTGCTTTAAATGAGCCCACAACAGCACTCTTATGAAGCGGGAGACGGTCACTTACCTTGAAAACGAAAACACCGAGAAATGAGGATATGAAGTTGCAGAGGCCTTTTAAACCCTTGGCGCGTGATATATCGGAATGGCTACACGTGATCGCCGACCGGCCTCGTCCGATGGGTCTTCTCGGGGTCGCGACGGGTCGTTCCGACCTCGTCCTACTCCTCCAAGAGCGTCGTTGGAAGGATTGTTCCGGCATCTCAGGCGCAGAAGAATAACACTTAATTTGCTTCTCTTATCTAATTTACCTCAACACCGACGACAGCGTCGTCACTAACGCATTGCGCTCAATGTAGCGTCCTTGACTCTTCATTCCATCGGCATAAGCGAACGAAGACCCTCGGGACTGGCGTATTCTTCCCAATTTTGCTGTAATCACACACGGTTTGTTTTCCTGTCGACTGTGGGATCGGAGGATCTAGGGATACTTAGTCAGTTCCGTAAGGGCCTTGATATACTCTCCTTCGAAACAATCATATGGATCATATCGTATGTAATTCATCATTACAAGGGATTGTATATGACTCTGAGTGCTTTAGACCGCAGATTGTGGCATGTGGTTTTTGGTGACACCGTCTTTCAACAACTGATCAGAATTCTCTTTGGTCGCATAGTGTGTAAATCGAGATCGAGATGTGAACAAGCAAAAGTAACTCTACCCTCGAGTGATCGATCCAGAGGGAAAAAGTCGAAGGACGCAGCAACCATCGTTTTGTTTCGTCGCTAGTGCGCGCGAGGGAGCATCGTCACGCGATGAAACAACACGAATTCATGTTTCAAATTCAGATCCTTTGGAGCGGAATCCGCGTACCTAGGCAAAGGTATGGATTCTACCAAACGTACGAAGTCGAATCGTGCAAGAGGAATTGAGAGGGTGAGTCAACCCGGAAACGCCCCAGCGCTGCGAGCCATTCCGATGACAGCCACATTGCCAAAAATAGAAATAGATGCTCCGGCAACCTTGTCAATAGATGCCGGTGTCCCGTCGACCGCATCGAATATTCCGCCCGTGACCGCGGTTGGGACAATCGCCCCATCCATCACAAGCCACACAGCAGTGCTCACGAGTCCGGTATATGGCCTCAGATCCTTTCCATCAGTGCAACAGTCGTGTTGAGCAGGATCAGCTATGCAGCTTCTTACAGAAAAATGAGCCCCATCGACATAACAACCGACACAGGTTAAGCCGCGGCTCGGCGAGATGAATACTTTAGGACAAAACTGACACGGCGACCGGCGTCCCACGACTAAGACTATCCAACTCAACCCCCCTCCAAAACACGCGCGGGGTCATAGCACGGCGAGCTAGGGTGCGAGCCCTAACCAGATCTGGGGCACATGTACTCCCCGAAACGGACCTGACCATGGAAGTACAGACTCTTTACTCGCCATGCTTAGGGAGTCACACGTCGCAGGTACTCTGCGAACATGACCGGGAGAATTAGCCGGAACAGCCTTCCTGATACTGGTCGAAAACATCAACATCTAAGCGGGGCGACCATTGCTGCTCCGTGCTCGCAGCGCGTGGTTCAACCGATCAGTTCAGGGGCGGACACGATCGCAACTGCGCTACTATCAAAATCCCCGGGTTTGCTGAGAAGGACCGGGAACAGGGACTCCTCACCAAGGGCAGCATTTTTTACGGACAACACGACGAAAGCCTCAATTTCTCGAGTGCCTTAGGCTGCGGCCAGACCAAATCCTCAAAGGCTACAATCTCCTCGTCTCCTCAGCTCTCAGGAACAAAGAAAAACCCCCCACAGACAATTCAATCTCCATGTTTTAATGAGAACAATGAGCCGCACGGCGTGTCACCGCTAGTGGGAAACTGTCCCTGGAACCCGACATTCTCAGATGCGTAACCCTGTTATGTGAAATCAAAGAGACCGGCGGGCGAGTGACACATGTCGGCATAATCAATGGCGCAGTCGAAGCTAAAGACTGGGGCGGAAGCGTATGAGATTGCAGATGCATGGTGGGAGAGTACGTGAAACTTCCTGCTGATCAGCGAAAATGACAAAATATATCCGCGAGAGAGCACTAGTTCTGTGCAATAGTGCGCTAGGGGGGGGATTAAACACGAGCAGTTTTGTGCCTAGCGCTGTGACGTTGTATTGTTTCAAGGCGAGCAGACAGCAGCGTTACTAGTTTCCCACTAACACAATCACAGGCGACGAAAATCCTGTAATGTCACCCCTTCCCCGGAGCGAGGGCAAAGTATGGATCAATGGATTCATCATTGTGGCTCGAAAGATTGAATGAGTCCACCGCATTCGATGGCATGACGAGAGACAGGTTATCGACCAGAAACACACGGTCAAACCTGTACGAGCGGTGGAAATAGTAGGATGTGGCACCCCATGAATAAGTCTATATCGTTACGAAGTCATAAGAGGCTGGAGTCCTGCCTAGAATAAGTCCAAACACCGGGAAGCTTTGTTTGGGGGGAAGCGCGGAGTTTTCCGATCGACTGAGTTTCCTCAAGCTGGATCGTAACACGTTTGGACGCCGCGGAACTTCAGTTACATGGTTGATGCTGGCTCGCTCTTGACGAATTACCGTTCCAAGCCTATAGCGACTATAGTTAGACGCCTCGGGACTGTAGTTCGTGATTCCGGTCAAGCCCACAGCGGATCTTGGTTCACGTAATGACGGTCAAAAAATGTCCCGTGGATTTACCACACACCATTTGCGTACCGCAGTTGAAGATGAATACCGTCAATGGTATGATGGCACATTACCCTCGTCGAGCCTAGGCTAGGGTTCGTCAAGGGACTGGGCCATCAATCCAAAGGACCACTCTTGCCCCCTTGAAACCGAGGCTCTCTGTGCTTCAGCCCTTCTGGGTCCCTGGTTTCCCCGAGCTTTTACGCACAGCATCTTGTGCGCAATGACCGTCAAAACTCTGGAGTCTAATGGGATAAATCAAGTATTTTCCGGTGATGACGACATTCCGTCTCTTGTATCAGGGTAGTTTCTTTGGATCCGTATTGAATGCCTTACATTAATGCCCTAGCATTTTTGTCCCCGTGTGGAAATCGGCGAGCGCGTGGGCATTCCAGCTGAAGAGTGACGGCGACTAACTGGTACACGTCTTACGGGCTTTCGCAATGAAGTCGAAACGATTCCTTAGCATTTCTTTCCCCCCTTGGTGACTGACATCTTCTGCGCAATTGACAACTACCGTGGTCTTACGACCGACAATTCAATGAATCATCTCAGCGTTCCTTGATTGCAGTTGGTCCCACTTTTCGAATCCTGTCGGTGAGATAAGTAGTGTTGACTTTCACGCCACGCTCACTCATGAAGCCCTTAATTTATTGATGCTCACTATATCATTTCAGATCTCGTAATTAATTTTCATCCCAGCGTCCCCAAACAAAGTGGTGCAGCACTCTGCACATTCTGGGACCACATGTTGACTTGTCAACTTATTTACATAGGCTGCATCAAATTATCCAGACTGCCACTTACTAGTAGTGCAAGCGAAACAGTTGGGCCGCTTTTCCCGATCGGTTACAGGTGGGATCCGACGACTTGTGTATGAACGTGAGTATTGGAAATGAGGGTCCTAGTTGGAGGGCACCGTTATGTCAGTGAGTTTCTCAGCCCATGACCTTACCCTTGTTGATTATAGCCTGATAGATTAGTGGCCGTAGTGATGGATCTAGTCTTATTTTGCTCGTTGAGTCTTGTATGAAGGAATTTAATTTGGCCGTCCGGTATGTTGATTCCCCTATATGCCGCAGATCAATCTCGAGTGTTATTGAGTTCGAAAAATACACAGGTGTCTGCTCGTTCGCGTCAAATTGACATGTTGTGCAGCGTAGTCACCCAACTCCGAGAGTAGATTTCAGCCCAAACCAACGAGATCACTGGACAGGCGCTTGCCCGTGCTCGACGCTCATTACATTCAGTTCCTCGCTCGGCAACTTTGAGATCTGTTATACTGACGGGTTGTTGAACTTATATTTAATACTCATCAGGGATACTTACGGTTAGCCTGGCGAAATAATTGTCTACTTGCCCATTCGCATCTTGTTATGAGCACCATATCAAACACGGGAGGCCCCCTTTTCACTTGCCTACGAAAGCTCCAAGTGAGCGTTTCCATGCTCGCTCGCGGGTATCCTCCTTGCGTCAAGCAGCTACGAAAATTTTTCATTTTTAATCCTGGCTCCATGGAATCGAATGCCTGCAACGGGAGTGGGCGGTGCGATGACTTAACTCGTATTCTCAAAGCTCTATACCGACAGCGACCGAAACTCGGACGGTAAGGTTTTGAACGACAGCAGGAGCGCTGTCGGTACGGAGCTCATAACGATGGTCTGTACTGGGAAACTTGACACTGCCGACTGGCACGCTAAATTTCGGCAGTTGACGGGAGTTCCTCAGCAACTGTCACATCCTCAGTAGTTTTCATCAACCCTGAATCATGGAGCCATCATAGCTTGGAACTCGTAATTGCGTCGCAAATATGCTAGCAGCTGTCCACCCTTTCCCGGTCGAACTCCTGCGTTGTATTGCTGTTTTTGTATGCCAAAGACTTGAAAATTCGAGGGAAGCAATGCGGGGAACGTTGGCACCAATTCTAGCCCTTTTTGGATCCTGATATACCTGGATCCCCACTAGACCTTGCTTCGACCACAATCACTTATACTGTTGCCTGGTCAACCACTTCATACCGTACTGTCTGACTCTCGATGCGACCTCGATGCTGCAATGTGGCTTGGAGGTCAGGAATTCGTCTCCCGAACACCTTTCGATGCATTCCCCCCTAGGCAGTTCCTATAGACTCATTTATCATTATCCTTACTTCGCCTTCAATTCCTTCCACCAGGCCTATTGCGTGTATTTGAGTATTATGAACAATCTCAACACTTTGTCGATCCTCCACAGTCCTAGCGATTTCGTCGTGCCGCACCTTGCGACTTTCCCTCCATTTAACATCGCCTCCAGGCTTCAATGGAGGTTTCACTGAGTCTAGACCGGCCTGTGCAATTTCGTCGTCGTCTCCTTGATACAATCACAGAGGGCTCGCCATGGTTTTAAAGCTTTGATATCAGACTTACTCGAGGGACCAACTAACTTTGGGTTAAGCTCTGAGCCCGTGAACTCGGTTTATGCGGTATTCGCCTTGATCAATAGAGAACTTGTGGAGGCAGCGCCAATCACCTTCACTCAGGAATGCCCCCAGGGGAGCATCTACACGTGGTAATAGGTTTCCGGGCTTCTCCCTCCCATCTATGTTTGTTCGATGAAAACAACGGTGCAATTATGTTATTATCAAAATGTATAGGTAAGGGAATGGGGCACTTCTCCCTTTTCCGGATCATCTTCGTCAGTGCCCCTGTACGTCCAGGGTTATAGATTATCTGCTTCGTTGTCCGGCCATCTTGAAACTTGAGAGACTCGTTCTCCAATCTAAACGACCTCCCACCCAAAATGGCGGACGTGACTTGAGAGGATTTATCCTTACGCGTGAGGGCACTCGTTACGGGTCCTAAAATTCGTGATGGTATGATGATTTGGAAGGTTGAAATTTCTGGGACTGGCCCGGGAATTGGCGTTATCGGGGTCGATTAGATGAATCAGCGGGTGGGAACCACAGGGCCTTTTGTCGAGGCCCGTGCTCTATCGACTGTTGATTTTATGATAAGCTGAGTCTCTCTGTGCTTCTGTGTTACGCCTGAATTTTTCACTCGTAAATTCATACGAAGAATTAACACGACGAAAAGTCCCCTTAATTTCGGTCATACCATCCCACTTCTACCTAATGGGTGCTGAGTGGCGGAATCCTATCTTAGAGGCCACATGTCCAGAAAGCACACTCGGAGAGCCTACTCGCTCGTGCGCGTGTGTTATGCCTGTGGACCCAGCTGGCTGTCAGATCTGGTGACCATGTCGACCACCCCAATACGTTAATCCCGACCCGAAAAAATAGTTGTTGTCCAGCCGACGCAACACTTCACTAGCCTCGTGCCAACAATGAAGCACTTAATATTGCCTATATTGTAACATTCGTGAACATATCGTGCACTACGAATTCTCATCAAGCCGTTGGCTAGTACCTTCCCTGCCAACAGCTCACGCCCTTATACTCATTATGGGCCACATTCACACGTGCACTAGCAGCATCGTGCATAAGAGACACAGCACGCTATCCTGGCGCTCCTTTCCACTCTGCGAATGGTTAATCCATACATCATAGGAATCGCCCAAATTTAGACGAATTCCGCTATGTGCCTACCCAGGTATTCGAATTGCAGATATGGTTTATGTCAGCGTCCACAATGAAAAAATCCCAAGGGGCATATCTTTCATGGACATTGTACACACGCACACACAGAACGAAGAACGGTATCCATATGTATTCTGATAGGCGGAGACGACAGTTTGGGTTTTGCCAACGTCCAAGCGAGCCCAAGCTGGCATCCAGGCTACACAATATATATCATGGTCATGCACAATTATGTATGCATGCGTTCTTTCCCCCGGCTCGCGAATACGCTCACGTACTCATGCATCACTAGTGGCGTTGCGATACACATTTATTTGCACGCCTCGCTTACCGTACGCATGTATCCATCCAGTCAATTCAGACATGCCGCATCGTGTTGAGCATGCAATGTCAACTAATGTAGTATCATACCACACTGCGCAAGCGCAGTATGGCGCCACGTTGTGTCGAGCCGGCCTGCCTAGCTTTCCCTGATGAGTCAGGGGACAGAGACTCATAGACACACACGCACACAGGCGTGCAACGTATGAATCATGCCTAGAAAGCCACAGGGATCGAATCTGGGTGTGTGTGCACATTCGCGTAGCATACATGAACGCCTATCAGCATAAGCATAAAGCGCAGAAGCGATGCAACCCGCGCATTCTTATCGATCAGTTTCGGCCTCGCCTATCATGCATGGCATTGTCATTGTTATCAAAAGGAAAAAAATTCGACTAGTTCCAGCTAGCCAAATGATACGCAAGACGCAAGCTGCCGCGAGCACTTCCTCGTGCAAGACTAAAATCAAGATTGAAAGCAATAAGCGAATGGAAAAAGGGGGTAGTGGATAGTGGATAGTGGATAGGGAGGAGGGGAAAGCTGTCAAGCGATCAAAGTATAAATTAAATATCAACTTGGACAAAAAAACAAGAGGTGTTGAGAAAAAAAAAGATGTTGAATCAGAAAGAAGAAAAAAAAAACTGTGCGGCTGCGTTGCGAGAGAATTGGCCTGGCTACAGCCAGAGCGTTTGTGAAAATGAATTGACCACCAGGGAACATGAGGAAGTAACCGATGTGCAGGTCGCATTGCTGCAGCATAATTGCAATGCAAACTGACCATTGAAAACGGGGAAAAGGGTAGAGCAAAGGGTGGGTATATATGCGTGTCCTTTTGTCTTCATCGACTAACTAAAAAATGGAGGCCCCTCTCCAACGCCTTTTAAGGATTGACCAACGACCGAGCAATTAGTAGCCAATTCTCCGTCCCCACCTCACAAGCAAATGGCAAACGCAAACAACGAATAAATTGATAGGACAGATGGTTTCGAGAAGCGGCAGACGGTAGATGGCCAAAGGACGAAGAAAGGGTCGAAGCAGACGAGCACGAAGTGATGCCATCAACAATGTTTCACATTGAAGTACGACCCCAAGTTCAGCCCATACGCATCCTTATTCTGGAGCCATCCATTGAACAATTGCTGCAGATAATCAAGATTTTGTTGCCATGCGCAGTGACCCTGTTTCGCTGCTTGAGTGGCATCCGATATGGCTGATTAAAAAAAGGCGGGTTTGAATTAGTGAGAAGTAAGGGAAGGTGAGGTGACATGTAGGAGAGAAAGATGACTTACTCATACCAGGGTACCACCCGTTATACGCCCCCACAGTCAGGATAATATTATTATTGTTCTTTGCTAACGTATCCGCAAGGTACTTCGTTCCAATACGAATGTTATTCGCCTGTGGAGGGGTTCATGAACGTTCATTGTCAACGTCAGTCATAAGGGGCACCTACAGGTTCCATGCTGCGTCCGCAGTCAAAGACGAAGAAGAATGGGAGGTGGGGGCAAAAAAGCGTCAGCAAAGACATTCAACAAACATCAGGAAGATTGGAAGGAACACTTACCAGTCCGAAATGGAAACGTCGCATTTGTCAGTAGTAATTTGCATCAAACCAATCGTACCAGCGTTCGCAAAAGGATTGCACGACGATTCTTGAAGTGCAATCGCAGCCAATAATATATCTGGGACTGTCAAAGAATAAAATAAGATGTTGGCCATTCAATTCCACCGAAGCAGAGGGAAATAAAAGGATCGAGAAAACTTGCTCACTTCCGTACTGATTACCGTACTGGCTAAAGTAAGGCAAGAAGTCCTTGCATGCCTTGAAAGGACTTTGATCGTCTTGAAGTGCTTGCGCTAGGGGAACGTAGATGAGATCGGAGGGCGTTGCGGATGGTGGTGTCCAGCCCGATGCGTCAATCCCGCACTGTTATTCGTTGTCGTTAACCGTGTACGTAAAAAATGTATTCCGTTGTTGTAGGTGGTGGGTAAAAATAGTGATGTGTTTTATAATTAGAAATAAGAAACGAAATGTCAGTGACGGCTCGTTCGTCAGTTCCCAACGAGGCGAAAGGAAGAAGAGAGATAATGTTTCGTTCCCACGCCAACCGTCGCTTTGGAGAGTGCGAAAGGAAGAAGGTTTGTGTTTGCATGAAACCGATCGAAACTTACGTTAAGCCAGCTTTCCTGACCGTTAGGACCATTCGTGCTAGTTGTCTGTTCTGTAACGCAAAGATGTTTCCCGTCAATGCTGCAGTTCTCGATCGAGAGAGGATTGGGAGCAGAATATGAAATACTTACTGCTTCCGTTGGGTTTGCCGCACGGGCCAGCGGCCACGTTTATAACGCCTGCACCCCCATTGCTGCCTCCATTACCTGGGTTCAGGCTAGGAGTAGGCGTAGACGTCCCAGCCTTTGTAGAAGTTGGAGTTGGAGTTGGAGTAGAAGTGGAGGATGGTTTGGCTCTGCACCGTTTAGACGGGGAACGCCGGACAAGCGAGCGAGAGACTCGCTTGTTCTTGTCGGGAAACTGTTGGAGGTGCCGTGGGGAACTATGAGCGTGAGCTATTCCAAACGCTTCGACGAGGAGAGTGGAGAGGGAGAGGACAGCTAGGATGAGTTTGAGCATGATTGGTTTTTGTTTTACCGATTTGTCTGGTTTGAAGTATTGAAAAGAATGTCAGGTTTCCACTAGGGTACCTGAAGCTGGAGGAATAGATATGGGTGGTTTAGAGGAGGGTAGATGAAGAATTGGGAGAGGTTAAAGGGAACGCTGTCGACAAAGGATGAAGGATGTAGAAGCGATTGAGAGACAATAACTGAATTATTGGTATCAAACCTAATCAGAAACAATTTAGTCATTGTTCTCGCTTGTTCTCGCTGCAACAACCAAACTACAACCAATATTACTGCCTTCTCCGCAGCTGAACCTCCCACTCTGGCCGATGCCGCCCAAAAAGTTGTCGTAGACGGTGGCGCACTATGACTTTCGTGTTATCTGTTGCTGGTCACCTGCCTATCTGATACCTCTGTGTTACTATTGACCAGCTCTATTGGAATACATACTCCATTTCTCGGCGGAACCGACCAAGATATGGTTGATTCTACCCATTCTATATTCGTCTAATTCGTTCTTGATTCGCGAAAGGGAAAGTGATGGCAAAATCAATTTGATCATATTTGAAATATTGTCGACCCGGTCACGTGGTGTGAATGAGAACTTGAATTCCACCTTTTCTATAGAGGCTGGTATCCTGCCTACCTAGTACCTTTTCCCTATCTCTACCGTGCTGCGGGCACTCTCCTAGACTTCTTCGCAGGCTTCCTTCCAAATAATCACCCTCCTCCTATGTGTACTAGTTTCCTTCCAGGACAACTGAACTATGTATGAAGGAAGAAATTTTTGGCGGAAATGTTCCCCCGTTTCTCTACCTAGTCACATCAACGTTAAGCTGCTCCCCTTTACAGATATAGGAGCTGATTGTCATTGTGTGCGTGAACCTTTGCTCCCTCGGTCTGTTTGGGAGTTGCCCCGATGTCTGTTCCTTCTCTAAATTTTCTGCCTTCAGGGCCGCAAGTCTCATATGTCAACGATGTGATATGACAAACTCTAACTAAAGGAGGGCATCACATTTCTGGGATCGGTCGGATCTAAGTACTGAAAATCAAGTAGCTTAATCTCTTTGCCTCTCGATTCTGATACTTCTTCGGCGGTGCTTCTCTTTATTGGAAAGAACTTGTTTGTTCTCTCCTCTGGAGGGGAGATCCCGAATTTGATATCGGGTACTTTGACATTTAGCGCAGAGAGTTGTAGATATTATACTTGCTCTAACCACTTGCTTTTGGGGGCCTTGATTATCGTTTTACCTTAATTTTCGTAGATGTACTGGACAATCTACGCCCATCTCTCAACACGCGGATGCTGTTACACAGCACTGCACCGTTAACCACAATCGATCGTGCGCACAAATCGCTTCGCATTCGCATTCGCTACATTATGCCCGTTATGAAACGTATATGGAATTAACTTGAAGCTGACTCTACTTGTAGTCACCGACTATGTACGGCCTAAGGAGGCAGTGGCTTGCTTCCGCCAGGGCCTAACTGCGCCGCTCTATACACTCTCACAAGTAGTTCTCCCTCAGAACGACAACCTCACTCGCCTACCACTGATCTATACATTCCTCATGCATTCTTCCGCCCGAACCGGAATGGAATGTATTACTACGCTGATCATGCTTATGAAATGCGTACAACTCGCGCGGCTGAACACTACCGAACCGCAAGCGCTCGTTCCTTGTTTTTTTTTTTTTCCTCCAGTTCGGATCCTCCTACATGTGACGGAAAAATTCGTGGTACCCTCCTGTCTCCTGTCGGTTATGACATGCATATGGCTCTGCAGATCAAGGCATAAGTAATTGTCGCTCCATATCAAGAATCAGAAAATGCGGGCGCAGAGTCCGCGCATGACTTTATCCTGTATTCACATCTCTAACAACTTCAGCTAGTGACCCGTTGTGGCCTAGCCTAAACCAGTTGATTAGCTGAACCGAGCGGAATGCGAAGAGAACAGTTTTCAAGTAACAGTCAGGTCATCTATACATAGGCGTAATCGCGTGCGCGCGTGTGTATATACGGATGTACATGTGTACCTTACTGGGCATTAAACATAAGGTCGGTCTTGAGACCGGATCGACACTGGCCCTACACCATGCAGTATGAATTAAAAATATACCTCGTGGAGATGGGTTTATCGTGACCAATTATATCCCCCACCTTCATATCACATATTACGATATGTAGTCATATTGAAAAAAGAATGAAAAGCTGTGGTGAAGAGGACTCCTTTGGTTCAAACTCAAACTCGGGGATGTTGTGGTGGGCACCTAATGACCGGAGTGTGCGGAGGCGAAGTACACCCAGTAATTTTCCGGAACCCCCTTTCCCTCACGCGTCTAGGCGCTCATAATGGAAGCAGGTGGAATGCGGATGTGATTTTCTATATATATTTTTTTGATAAAAAGAGAATTAATGAAACTTGGATTGGTTCTGGTTGTTGGGGTGCACCCGCTTCTTGCGGCCAGTGCCTCCCTTTCCTTTTTCCTTTTCCCTTTCTCGGATTACTTGGAGATGGCTGCATTATGCCATACTGTGTAGGAGCTGACCGAGGGAATTCGGAGAGAATCTGCACCAACTGGGGTAGGTGGCCGATCTGAGGATCAAGCCAGCGGCTACGTACCTCCGAAAACGCAAGGCAGATTTACCGGTAGGTGCGGAGAATGACGACGACATAGCGATTGCAGGTATGGATACGTTAATTTGATCCAACAACGAGCATCTGGTCGCTCGTGAACGCAATGCGGGGGTTAGGTTGGCAATGAGGCTTGAGGTCAATCAGGGGCTATATCGGTGACGGTAAGCGAGCATTCTCATGCATTAGTCAGGTCGTAATCGCCAGCCACTGTGACCCATTAGTCAGGATCCCAGCCGTTGCCAATAGTGATCCATCCAAGCCTTCACAGGACATAGTAACATACGTGCCGACCCAGAACCAAGGAGGCGAGCCATGGCTCGCCGATGTGCTTGCAGAACGACATGGCCACAGAACCGACAGGTGAAAATTACAGTCAGCGAATCGCACATGAAGGCCCTTACTAATGGATGTTGCCCAAGTTTGAATATTGACCCTCGTGATCGTCAGCGCCACCATGCTGCGCAATTACAAGCATGAGAGTGCGATAGGGCTCCTAACAATTCGGTTTCGGTTAGAAACCGAGCCTAATGATTGCCTTGTGCTCCAACTCAACAAACCGTGGGTTTACAACAGTTTGAATACCACAGCATGAAGGCACAATAAAATGCTTCAAATGGAACCGGTAATTTTGTCAGCGGCAGCTCGATTTCTAACTGAAACCGAATTGTTAGGAGCCCTAGAGTGCGAGTCATCAGCAAAGCATATGCACAAGGACATTTCGATGTTCAAGGTTTCGGAATTACCCAACTGCTGGCACATACATATTTGGCAATCAGGTTCTTTATGTAAACTAGCTTGCTCGTAGAATTAGGCTTGGGAGAACATGTCCGTGCCGATGGGGTTGGTGGGTTTTGACCTACTAGGCACAGCCTTTCTTCCTTGACCCTTATCATGGGCGTTTTTCAGAATGAAGGACGTTCTTCAGCCCAATGCGCTCGAGTTGGTTCAGCCTCTTAGCAATCGGGAACCCAACATGTTGAGAAAGTGAATAGGGGAAGCTATCCGCTTTGACAAACGCAAACAGAATGCAACATGCTCGGAGTCCGCCGTCCGTGGATATCGATCGATGGCGCGCGATCCATTCACACTTACCTTCGATGTCCCTTCCTTATGATCGTCGAACGTTCTATGTAAGTGGCTAAAACAAGGTTGGCTTTCTCATGCACCTAACCATGAACTCAAAAGCGAGCAGACCCTGACAAACCGAATAGACCTTTCCCACAAAATGTCACGGTGCCGTTCTCTGGTGCCCGCGATGCATTTTACTCATTGCATATCATACTTTAGATATATCAGGCTCAGCACGGTTCTCCGCTAGTCGATGCTTCTTGAACGCTTCCTCGTTCGGCACCCCGTGCCAACCCTAGACCTTCTTCTGCGCACACGCCACCAACTTGGGGCACACCCCGAACCGCACACCACGCTCCACCCAAGAAACTAGGCACAGTCAGCATCGGCGCTGCGTGGTCAAGCAACCTCAGCCTCGAACCCGGGCCTGAACATAAATCCCGTGAGAATTGAACGGGCAATGGTCATCACTACCGGAGGAAACCCCCCGCCCACGGCCTGCATGACCCTCCCCTTGACCATTCATAACAACCAATCTGCTCCGCTGCACCGCCCAGGCAGATGTCCCGGCGCTTGACTTTCGCAGGAATGGAAAAGGAAGGACTTATCTGCCACAAAATTCCAATCAGAAATATTGTCGCTTCCCTGTGGATTTTGTAGGCAGGATACCAGCCTCTATAGATAGAATGGATCTTGCAGGTGGCCAGGTGATGACAATGTCGGAATCAATGTAGTTGCACACTTTATGAGACGTTTCTCAGGGAAAAGTAGGAATTCGAATCGGCTTACCCGTCACGATGGCTTCTGTTCGAATCGAAATCAATATGCTTCGATGACTGAAGCGGTCCGTTGGCCGCCTCAACAAAACCCCAACACTGGAACACACACAGAGAGACAATTCCCATTTGCTTGGTTCTCGATTTCGAGATGGAGTAATGTGCTGCTTCTTCACTATTAGGGAATTATCTTGGGCCAAGCTCCGCGTTAATTCCTTGCATCCGAACAGAATTGGAAGCCGCCGCCGTGAGTGCGTGTGTGAGTGCGTGTGTTTTTTTTTTGTGGGGAAATTCGTTCTGATCTTCAGGCAGGAGGGCGCACTCATGGGAACTTCACATCTTCAACTAGCGTTCCGGAACAAAAAACAAAAAAGGCATTCGGAGCCGCTATAACGGTACATCATGTCGTCTTGACATCTCCCGTGTACCTAAAGAAAGTTGGGAAATTCGTTCTGAATCCAGAGTGAGCCCACGATGACAATTTCACTGATAGGAGTCTGTCATGATCATCGATATCGATATCTCTTATCCACACGAACGTCCCCAACCATCTCCATCAAGGGTGAGTGAGAGATTGACCTATGCTTAGTTATGAGGGTTTGCACGATCTGGGATCCGTGGGTCGTAGCTGGTTATCACGGCGAATAGTAATGGGGGACTGTGGGCAAGTGAGTACTTTATTCCCCCGGCACGGACGTCACAAACTTGGAGTTACTTGTACTTGGTGTAATTAAGTACGGCGGCGCTCGCCCTTCATTCTCACCTTTGGGCGTGAGTTATTGTGATGAACTTGCCGCTCCGACTTTCTAAATTCAGAATGTTGCTGCCAGTGCCCCGGCACGATTCTCAGCATGTAGTGCATTGTACATGTGCTACGGGGGCAAATCTCTACCTGCACAGTTTCGGATGGGTGGCGCGCGGCGATAGGGAGTATTCGCTGTTGCAATCGATTAGTGTCGATATTCTTTCTTCCCGCCCCCCCCCCAATGATTATCCCGTTGGACTTTGGTTTTGACCTCCCGGTTTTCCCGTTCAATGACTCGTGATATGTCGTGCTTGGAGCAAAGGCCAGTTTGTTCGTATTGTGTACACGGAGAGTAACCCGTTGTGCGCTCCGTCATATGTCAACAGGCAGGCACAGATGCGGAGTTTAAAATGATACACACGCACACTTTCAATGTTGGAACGTCATTCTCCTGTCAGCCAAATGCCCTGGCATTAATGCCTCGCCAACTGCCGAAGACCCTGCTCTTACAATATTACCTCGACCTCGCCCACGTGGAACTCCGGTTTCCCAAGCTACTGATATGCAAAGCGTCAATATCGCTATTTACTTATTTCAGGGGGGGCTCATTGCCCTCATGGTTCTCTCAGTCCCCCTTCCAAAGATTGGGTGCTCAAACGGAAACTGGAAGATTACCTGTACCCGGTACTTTGTGTGTTACAACTAGTATAGCTTCATATGTAATATTTCAGCTTCCGCAGATGTAGCTTAGACAGCCTAGCAACAGTTTCACTTTCTGAAGGGGTCAAGTTTGCTTGCTGTGTCCTCGCAACGTACGCCACGATATTTTCGAAGCTCGATACGCAGCAATTTGAGAGAGAGAATCAAGCAACTTCTTGGAATCATTGATCGGGCATAATGCCCTAATTGCTTTGTGTCCCTTTATTAGCGCTTGCATTTACCTCGCACGAGCGAGAACGCGGCGGTTGTCAAACCCCCCTCCACCTCCACCACCTGTGGTGGGTGGAAACAATCGACCGCTGGGAATTCAGTTTATTCCTTCCCCTTGCTGTCAGCTCAAGTGGAGACTCGTTAGTCCTTGCCTCCGACCAGCTTGAGAAAAGTCCGACGCTGTCAAGCTAGCCAGAAGATCCCGAGCAGCTTTGAGAATGGGCCGCCGCTCTCCGCTCAGGGATTTTGGAGGACAAACTGAATCTAATTCAAATGACGGCCGGCAGGGACTTGAGGCATGGCAATGTCTTCGCTGTCTTGCAGCAAAAGTTGAACGCCTGTCATCGCCACGAGTCTTCACCCGCTGGTGTGTGACTGGTACTCGTGCAGCTGACCATTAGATCAACACCATTTTTTTTTCAATCTTATGAATTTAGGTATTAAGTATCATGATTCGCAAGGTAAACAAACAGATAGCCATCATGGTTGGATTGATTCGTGTTTCTAGATCTGTAAGCTTCAAATCGGATTTGGATAAAGCATTGCAAGTTTGTGAGTTGATGAAGGCACACTGATGCGTTGTGTTCATAGGGGCTGATTGATGCGCTGATCTATGGGAACGCGAACCCCCTCCCCCCGCTTGTATTCGTATCCCGAACGAGCGCATCTTCACGCTAAAATTCAGCGCCGTGTCGTGCGATACTACTGTACTATAGTGTCCCCACATGCTGCTCCAGATCCATGCAATCGCAGGACCCCCCGGCAGGTGAACATTGACCAGCTCACACATCTGATGTAGAGAGGCCCAACGATCTTGGATTCGCGTGGTATGTGGGCGGACAGGATAGGTGCACGTCTGATGGCGCGAAGGAGCTTGGGAGACGACCTCGGGGGAATGATAAGAAAAAGAGCAGAAGGATTGTAGGGGGATTTTGGTAGCTTTTCCTTATGAGGCTGTCCTGGTGTGGCCTGTGAACAGCTATAGGCGGATCTTTTTAGAGAAGGGGGGGAAGCTGATTGAATGAGCTAGAGCGCTCCTGATCGCTGGAAAGTGCTAAAGATGCCGCAATTGATCATGCACCTTCTGACTGTATAATAGCGTCTCAGTGGTGGGAGGCCGTTACTTAGCCTTTCGGCCAGAGATGGCCACGCATGTGTGAGCGAGAGGACACCTTAGCTTAGTCCTCGCGAGGGAACGATGGAGGACGGAGCCGCGTTCGCTTTTCTTCATTTTAGGTAGCCTCGTAAGAATATGGGGCTGGGGTTCCTTGCCTAGATGGGCAGCAACGGAAAGGTTCGTGCGAACCGTGGAACAAGAAATTCCAGGGGGGAGTTCAACTTTTTTTTGTTGTTGTTGTTGTTGTTGCCGATAATTACTGCATTTACTTTCCGTGTAACTAACGCACCTTCGGTATTACTTATTTGCAACACGATCATCTCTTTTTGCTCTCAAATTAAGGCATTTCCTGATTGAGCAGTACAAAGAGAACCCACGTTGTGAACTGACGACCTGGATAAAATATCCCCATGTTCCATTCGAGTCTTCGGGCGGTAGAACTCTAGATTTCCATTCACGGTCTATTCCGAACATATGTAATTGCGAACCAACTCATCCACCTCCAGTGAGGCATTCAGGCAGCGGCCATAAGAACCACTGGTGTGGGCAAGGAAGCGAGTTCTTCGTCCACCCCCGCCATACTCAGGCGAGTGCATTGTATCCGAGTAGACATCCCCCCTACATCGATCAGCACCAGTCTGGTCATCAGTGCTGCGGTCAATTAGCCGCGTTGCTCTCCATCTTGCTCCCATCCGCTTCACATTCTGAGCGCTCATCGTGTCCGTTCCAAGCGCCCAGTACGTGTAAGGTGACAAGTAAAGACGTAACTGACCTTTTGCAAGTTCAGAATGTCCCACTCAGCATCACCTCATCCTCGCCCACTCGGGGGTCGTCCACTACCTGCGGTCCCTACAATCCGCAGACCATCGCCCTCTGACTGCACGTCTTTCACCCACCACCGACCGTCTACCCGATCATCCTTCGATTACCCCCTCTCGTCGCCACAGTCAGGGAGCCCGCCTCCCTCACACACCCCTGCCTTGTCAGTATCATCACCGAGTCCCGTCCCATCCGTCCATGCGCGGTCTGCACGTCCAGTTGTAAAGCTGTCCTTACCATCCAAGGGGCAGGTCTACAACAATCATACCCCCAGCAGCACCAACAGTTACGACTATCAGAGCGATAGAAGTAGTTTTGATGATTACCCTACACCTCCTCCGAGTCTTCGCTCTGCAACCAACAACAACCTGAAACTTCAATTACCAGCTATAAGCACCAACCTCAGTAATCTACATTTATCCAATCCTACCCCTCTTCCACTCAAACCTACTCTATCTTCACGCCCTTCTGTCCCCTCCATATCATTGCAGATTCCAAATACAGGTCCACGACGAAAATTGTCGAAATTGACACTCGACGTAGTAGCGCGTCCAGGATCGTACAATCGCAAAGGGAGCGATGCCGATGGAAGTACAACTTCTGGATCCGACATGGACGATGATGAGCAAGACTATGGAGGATATTATGGTCGCCTTCAACCCGAAAACAATCACTTCACGGACTTGAGAGGTGATCTTAATCCCACCGTGTTGCCTGGAATCCCCACCGTAACTCCCCACAACGCGCATAAATATGGACGTAATGTGGATGACGATAACAGCGATCACAATCCTCGCCCGAGAAAAACAGGCGCAGACGCGTCATCACTCGATGACGTGAGAGTCTACGTCAATTCTATAGAGGCCGAGCACCAAAGGACTTTGGCCTCCAAAGGCCCAAATTCATCGGATTCCGAGTCGATTTCGACGACATGGCACAACTGGTCCGAGGACTCGTTGGAAGAACTCGGCCGTTTGGGGGAAGGAGCGGGTGGTGCCGTGTATAAAGTTCGCGATATCGAATCTGGCCTTATCATGGCGAAGAAGTCGATTCCCGGTACGATCGAGACAACACCCAAACAGCTCATTCGAGAATTGGAGTTTTTAAAGGGTTGCGTTCATGAAAACATTACCACCTTTTATGGGGCTTTCGTGACAAAGCCGGAAAGCGAGAGAGGTGTGGAGGTTTGCGTCCTCATGGAGTTTGGCGAGGGTGAGTTACTTCGGTGTGCGGTGCGATCATGAACCGATCTAAAGATACAGTTCCTCATTAGGTGGTTCCCTCGATGCGATTTCGCATCAGATCCAGAAGAAAGGTCTACGAGTTAGCGAGAAGGTTGTAGGAAAAGTGGCGATTGGTATATTGAGTGGACTTGATTATCTCCACTCGAAGAAAGTTGTGCATCGAGGTATGCATTTTGCTGTTACTGTAGGCGCTTGGGGAGTCGCTGAATATTTCCACCAACAAAATAGATATCAAGCCCTCCAATATACTGCTGACTCGCAAAGGAGTAGTCAAGCTGTGTGACTTTGGTGTATCTGGGGATCTCGTTCAATCCGAAGCAAAAACGTTCTTAGGAACGGGATACTATATGGCTGTATGTTGTCAGATCCTTTTTTGATTCCTAATGTCGCCCTTATGCATTCTTCTTTCTTTGCAGCCCGAACGGATTACGGGCCAGTCATACAGCATTCGTGCGGAAGTTTGGTCGACGGGAATCACACTCATCGAGTTTGCACAAAACGAATTCCCCTATCCACCCAATCTGAGCCACTTTGAACTGGTTGATGTGATCGTCAGATCGCCTCCGCCCCAATTGGATGAAGGAGAGGTGGATGGTAGAGTTTGGAGTGAGCTGATGAGAGATTTCATTCGAGTATGGTGCGTAAATCATCTTGTCTCTGCGCGGGTTGTTTGTGCTCAAGTGCCGTTTTTTTTTTGCTCACCTGTTGCAAAAAACAGTCTCACAGTTGAGGCGGCCGATCGCCCTCCGCCGAAAGAGATGTTGAAACATGAATGGATTTTGAAGTCCGAGAAGGAGAAGTTAAATATGAAGGAACTGGTTCGAGATATTTGGGGCTGGGAGAAATCGAAGAAAAAGAGAAAGGAGCCCAAGAGGATGGACTCTCTTGACGCGGGCGTAGCCAGTGGGGAGGACGAAGGTAAAGATGGAGAATTTTGATAACGACTGGAATATTTTTGGGATGCGTAGGGGGGCTTGTTTGGTTGATAATTTAGTTGGATGAATCCCTAGCCCAAGGTATTCGCACATCATGAATTTCGTTTTCTTTTCGTTTTCGTTTTCGTTTTTTTTCTTGTTTTCCTCTCGTTCGCATTTTGACCCCAGTCGCTTGCACTCCATCCAACCCAATCCCCCGTAATTCGTTGCATTATTAATGTCATTGTCACATGTATGTATGTTCACGTATCTTTTTGACGACATTTGACTTTTTTTTTTGCTGTGATACACATGAAGAAAAGTACTAATGAGTCTAATATTCCTGTGAGTTCCTGGAACCTCCCGAGAGGGTTTTTCTTTTGGGAGTGGCGTCAAGCGCTCGGCGTCTGATGTGGGCTTGGCCGGGTTCACCCGAGTTAAACCGCAGCTGCGCTTACAATGTCTACTACTACAACGTCTACAAGGACCGGAGCTTTGGCGGTCCAAGCCCCCCGTATCACGACAGTATGTGGCCGCCTCCAAGCCGTTCAACAGCCTATTGTTATGTTTCCCGCTGCTGACTCAAATTGCTTGCGTTGTTCGCTCGATACACCGCTTTGCTGCTGCGGCCGCAATAGGCACCGGTTACTGTTAATAATATCGGTACTGTTCGCAAGCTCAACTCTGTTATCTTCCCTGTAAGATATGCGGAGAGGTTTTACAAGACAATTTTAAATCCTGACTTGGAAGAATTCTGTAAACTCAGTAAGTCAGTGGCTCGCCGCCCCTAACCAAAATCAGGGGCTCATGTCAAGTGGGGTAATGACTCTCTCGGTTCCCATAAGTCTACTTCAACGATATTCCGGTCGGCACGACATGCAGCCGTATTGAAACAGGCTCTGCTGCTGACTCAAAGGCTGGCAGTACTCTTTACATGATGACGTTAGGAATTCTTGCTGTACGTCCCCTAAGTTTCTCATCAGTACACGCCAACCCCTTTTTGTATATGCTTTATGTGCTATATGCAAGCAAGTCTTAGTCAAAAAAACAATTCTGACTGATGTCTATTATTAATCATTAGCCATATAGAAATTACTCGGCGGGAACGATGGCATTGAAGGAGATCATCGAAGCAGCCTCCACATACTCATACCCTTCTTCTCAACCACCCAGTGTGGAGGTGGTGAGGACAGGGGGGAGTAGCAGTAGCGGTAGCAGTACTGATTCGGGGACGATGACACGTATCAAGCGTATCCAATTACACGTTCAGACGAACAACGTTGATGCTCGGAGATTTTACGAAAAACATGGATTCAAAGTTGTGAAGCAGGTGGAAGGGTATTACAAGAAGATTGAACCTAAGAGTGCTTGGCTCTTGGAAAGAGATGTGTAGTTGCGTGGTGACGAGGGCGGGATGACCACTACAGGCATGCGTGAACTTCAACTTCATCACCGTCATTCTACTTCTTGGTGTAATAATAATTCTGGTTAGTAAACTCTTGAGTCGTAATATGTGTTTCGCCCAGTGTTGAAATATGCCCCCCGGCCCCGGTCTCTATGTATGATTTTACTTACATTTCAAACAACCAAAATGACCGAAATCTTTCCAGGGATCCATGGAATCATGATCATGCATGTAAATTTACTTTCCATCATTTGAAAAACAGTTTTTTTGTAAGTAATTGATAGGGCTTCTCGAATTGTTTAATCCCCCCTCCACCCCCTCGAGCTCTCTCACCTCCACCGCATAATCATCTCTGCACTAGTATATATCACTAAGGCTAACTAGCCAGCTGCGCATCGCGCCTAAATTAAAGCAAAATGGCTTTCGATTGTCCGTGATTCTTACGGCCCAGCTATAGGCGCGGCCGCCGCTTCCACACAAGGCAGAGGCGTTTTCCTTGATCGAAACCGCTTGTTGCACAAGCAAATGTTGTTGTTGTTTTGCATGCATTGTATTATAGTATATTATGAAATATGATTTCCTCCATGGAGACTGCGCGTGAAGCCGCCGGGAGAAGAGTACTATGTAGGTAGTATCCGCCACAGCTATTTTCGAAAGAAGGGCCTTGTGGCAGTTTCGGTTTCTATCGAGTAGGTGCCTGGCGCTTATGTTGCCAGGGCATGCAAGGCTAAGAAAGTGGCAAGATCATTGGCCACGGATCTGGAAAGGTATCACCTTATTTGGGTGAATCGCCTTGCTTGGGCGCCATGACATGCAGGGGTCCGGCTATTTTAGGCTTCTTCTATAAAAATTTTTTTTTTTTTTTTTTAATACATTGTTTTTTTTAGAAAAAAAAAAAAAAAAAAAAAAAAAGTTTTATAAAGAAAGACTTCACCAAAAAATTGAAACTAGTATACCTTTATAAAACGGCTACCACCTCCCGCTCATTGTCGGCCTCGTGGTCTAGCGGTATGATTCACCCTTAGGGCTCTCCTAGTGGGTGAGGCCCCGGGTTCGATTCCCGGCGAGGCCCCACGTTTTTGGCTGGCCTGGGCCAATTCCTCCTTTTAGCCTTTCTGCTTCTTTTGCCAGATGGTTCCATGACATAGCTTCCATGTTGGATATGAATTACAACAAGCACTAACGCGTTCTGTCCTAGTATTTATTCTATTGGAGGAACACACAGCCAGACCCAATTGATCTATTTCTTAATATAAGGCTTAAGGGCAAGTAGACGCTCTCCAGCAGCACGAATGGTGTCGATATCCTTACAAAATGCGAAACGGGAAAACTGTTCGCCGATGGGGATATGCTTGCTATATAAGGTGATGAAAATGATCGATCAACTTTGTGCCGCGCAGAGATCGAGCGAACGAGAGCAACACAATACTTACGGAGAGTAGAAATCAGATGGAGGAATACAAACGACCCCAGCGGTTTGGACGATGAACCATGATACAATCCAGTCACGAGGACGCCCTTGATCTGGCGTTCCACGCGTTAATAACCACATTGCACACATCGTGATTTTGAATCCCAAAGATGAAAAACTCACAATGTCAGGAATGACAAAGTCATCTGGAATCTGAATGCTCGAGTTGTCCACGAGCACAAAGTAAGATCCATCAGGCATCGTATAAGGTAGGCCAACTTTGTCAAGTGCGGCAGTGAAGACTTTGCGGCGTTCTAAATATTCAGCAGTTTGCTGCTCGAAGAACTTGTGCTCAGGGGCTTTTTCCAAGCCCACAGCGACGGCCTCTTGAAGTGGTGAGTTGGTGCCTAACGTGAAATATAATGGTTAGCGCTCGTTACGGCGCTACTACTAAATCAGGTCGTACAGAAGACGATTCGAGTTGTGGCGGCTAGAGTTGGTTGAACAAGGTGTCTGAAACAAGGATGATGTTAAAGCGCACAAGATTGGAATTGATGAGAGTGGCACGAACTGAGGTCCAATGGCCCAACCGACACGCCAACCAGTGGCGCTGAACGACTTGCCCTACACAGGAATGGAACGTCAGAGGATATTTTAGAGAAATTCGAACTTGAACGTTACAGCGGAGCCGATGGTAATTGTCCTTTCCCATAGGTTACCGAGGGCAGCGATCCTAATATGTTCCTTGTTGAAGACAAGAGCATCATACTGGATGATGATGGGCATCCTTGTTTTCAGCCTTCTGACCCATAATATGTCCGCAATACAATTACTTCATAAACTCACCACTTCATCGGCCAAAATAATGAGATTGAATTCTTCGGCTATTTTGCCAATTTTAAGGAGCTCTTCGGTGTCGAACACTTTTCCGATGCTGTGACAAATAAAATTAGTCTTTCCAAGGGCCGAGGTTTGTTGAAAATGAATGAGATGGTTACGGGTTATGAGGCGTATTAACAAAGCTGATGACCAAGAAAGTTGGAATTAGTTACTGTTTAGATGTCCTCGTTAGAAAGCAGCGCACATAGCCTTCGTCTTTGGGGTTATAGCTGCTCGGACCTCATCAAAATCAATCTTCCATTCAGAGGCTTTAACCGAGGTGTGTTTAGAGTGCGCTGGGGGGTGAAGAGGGACGTAGACAGGAACCCCGCCGTTGAAAGTAGTGTTGCAAATATACTATAGTGGACAAGACATTCAAATTGATGATGTGTCGCTGGGTTTCTAACACGCGCATCATACCTGATCAAAAAATGGCTCAAAGAGAATGACTTCATCTCCATCCCGTAAGAAAGCAAGCTCGAAGGCGTAAATCCCCTCATTTGCACCAGATGTAACGACTATTTCCGTGTCAGGATTGATGGTGCGTTTGAAGCTCGGTGCTGATCCGGAACGGTGACTCCTAATTTCACAAGATAGCCCGAATGAAATGGATATCCACTCACAATAATGCTTAGAGATAGCCTGACGAAGACGGATACGGCCCTTTGGAATGCTATAGTGGTTGGTTTCGATAGCCTCGATGGATTTCTTGGCGGCTTCTTGGATGTACTCCGCTAATTAAACAGAAAAGACAGACGTGAAGCATGAGTGGCGGATAAGATTATTCGGTTCAAAATCTCGGCACAACGTACGGGGGGCCCAGTTCATGAACCCTTGTCCCAAGTTAATCGAATCCTGGCGATAAAAGTCACTACGCCAGCGAGAGGCAATTGGTGCGCAAGACTAAAACTTGCCTCTGGGACGTAACCGCTCGCAGGAGAAAAGACTGTCCAAACATCCTGTTTATGAACCTCGTCTTTAACCTTATCAGACAACGCAAAAGCCCTGGGAGGTGATGATGCTGGTGCCATTGTTCTAATGCTGAAAAGGACCGAGAATGACGAAGGAGGGAGGCAGTAGAAATCCGGGTTGGATGTGCGATATTTATGATACCGAGGCGTGAGACCATGCACACGCAAATAGATGTTAACGAGTTAAGCGCAAGCAATCCTATATGAGATATGGAAAACCAGGTCACACTCTACTCTAAATGAGTTAGCGAACGACGTCTAGGCAGTGTAAATAACACAGTGTGAATGGAGAAGGACTAACCTGAGTCTCGAGCGTACCCGCTTAGAGAACTATGGAGAGAAGAAATGCGACACATCAGATCAGATAGTATGGAGGATTCCGGTATCCTGATCCTTGTGAATGAAGAACAATCTTCCCTACCTAATAAGTCATAGACGCGCTATTCTCCACCACAGTCAAAATTCAACCCAATGGGAGAATGGAAGGATCTTCACAAGCTGTCGGAGTTGTGAGCCAACGATGCAATCACACGCTTTTGATCGAATTTCTTACTATTTCATATCCGACGATTCATCACATTCGGAGTTGGCCGAATTTATTTGTCTATTTCGTCGCCCCTCGGTCCCTGGCAGTGATGCAGACGCCCCGTAAAAGAGCTACGCAGACGCCTTCTCCTCCCAGCATAAAGAGGACGGGCTCCGGCTTATTGGAGACGAGATTTGATGCAGATGTGCAATCGTCGGTGTGGCATTCGCTCACGGGATTTGAAGGTGGCAAAGATGCGAAAGAAATGCCCCGCTCGTACAAAGGGCTTGTCGACACATGTTTTGAGGAAGGGCATTGTACGTACATTTGTCTTGTCCTCTGTTGTGCGTCATTGCCGCGTTGGACGCGTCGAGTCGCGTGCCAGAAACACATTGGGCTGATTCGGCTTCATTTGTGCCATTAGATGAATCCGGCATACAACTTTTGGATAGACTAAGATCTCCCAGATATATCCCAACCATGTGCGTCCGGTTGCTAATACTCTGATCATTGAAATAACTTTATGCCTTAGATCCCATGTCCGCCAATTGATTTATATGGCACTCTATCCTCCGCCGCCGCCACCATCACCAGTAACTGGGCAGAACGCTTATGAATCCCCTCGGAAAGCTCATGCCAAGCGTCAGCGTCGCTTCCTTGTTCCTTCCGCCGACGCTTCCGTTGGTGCTACCGCTCTCTTAACAGCATTCATGCATACAAATCACCCATATTCTGTCTTCCGTGCCATCCCGTCTTATGGTACGCCAAGTACTGGGAAGAAAGGTATCAAGTTTAAGGACGTAGCCGACAATGATGAAACTATCAACCGTGAAATGGAAGACTCGCCCATTGGGAGGGATGCAAGGGCACTGGGTCAGGTAAAAGATTGCTGGGGTCTTTTAGAGCCCGGGCTGGTCAAGAGCAAGGACCGAAGGGAAGCCGAAGAGAGTGGTAGTGACGGAGACCGTGAAAGTGATGAACTGACTTTAGGGAATAACTCAAAAGTTGCTGCGCGGGTTGTCGGAAAGCATTCGTGGGGAATGCTGGAGGTGCTCATTGAAGGTTTCGAAGAAGACGAGCGGTGGTCCAAGGAGACCAAGGATGGAACACCTGGTTTGGCCTTGTTCTTATGACCCAATTTTTCTTGAACTGACTCCTGCTTACAGATGTAGCGTCTCAAATACTCCTAACGCAGGTCCCTCATGCACAGCGTGGGCAACCGTGGAATGTGGAACGGCCCATCAACGTTATCTTTGCTTCGCTCTCGCCTTCCTCTTCCACACTGACTCAGTTGGGATCACCAAAGGCAAATCAAGGAATCTCTATCGATCCTTATCGCGCACAACTCGGAATCCGGCTGCTCAAACTAGTAAGCAATATCACCTCGACGAGGACCATCCTTGAGAATTCTATCTTTTCAGTTGATTAATGCCGCACTTGCAACACCAAGCATCAATCCCTCATCCTACTTCGCTTTTCACTTGCTCACATTCAAAAGACGTCGTTTCCTCCCGAAAGTTTACAATTACTCCTTGACAATCTTCTGCAAGGGGATTTATACCTCCACTTTGTCATCGCACTTCTCGGGCAGTTCCTCGGAAGAGAGGTTGAAGGAAATGCCAACGAAACTTTAGGTACGCGACGATGGAGACCTGCCCCTTCTCGGCCAAGAGCATCCCAGGTACCAAGTCCATCTCGGGCCTCTACCTCTGCGAGATCCTCTCTCAGGACAAGCCCATCATCTAGCCCCAATCTACCATTCACACTACCATCCCTTCATACCTTCCTTCTTCATTTATCCTCGTTGATCTCTGTCCCTTCTGCGGCGAGGATACCCGCTGTCGACATCGTAGACATCAAGAAAGCTATTATTGCAAAGATGTATATCCTCTTCGCCTTCGACCGCATTTGTGCTGCGCCCGCGCTGCTTGGTGGAGGCTTGAGTGCCGAGGAGAAGGCGCAGGAGTGGAGGGCAGCGTTGCATCAGGGGGTAGTGCTACAATCATTGAAGTCATGCTTTGAACCTCATACTCAGAAGCTTAAAAGGTTGGGTACGCAGATTCCTGCCCTTATTGACAGCCTGTACGATCTTGTTGGAGATATGGCTCATGGTGCAGATGCAAGTAGACCAGATGCCGAGATGGTTGTGGGCTAAAGTTAGTTTCTTGCTCTCGAGTGATATGGATGCATGAGTAGGATAATTTATTGTTATGTCAATGGTCTTGTGGGAATACATGCAGTTAGTAGTTTTGACAAACATGCCAGCACCTCTAGTAGCACGTATCGACACCTGAGACAGCGCATTAATGCTAAGTCCCTTAGAAGCAAAGAGACCAAACACTTGTTGGCGTCTCCATGCATCTCGGCGTCAGCTACGTCAGCGCCAAGGGACGAGGCCAATGATATGCTATTCCAGGTCATAAGGTAAGTTTGCAGAGTTGCAAGACAAATGTGTTCATGGAGGGCGGACATTACTCGCGGTCGAGGCGTGGTCATGAAGTTTACCACTGCAAATGCAGAGTCTCGGACCCGTTGCTCAGTATGTGGAGCTATTCATAGCTCTCTGAGGGCTGATGAAAGCCCAGTAAACATTGAAGGGGGCTCGAGATGAAGTCGGGCCGCCCGGCGACTCCGTACGAACACTCAGGATACGTCATACTATCGGCCCAAACCTCACGGGTGCTATGGACTCTGTATGATTCGCGGTCCAAGTAGCGAAGGGAGTTCGTGGCGCCACCCCGCGTCATTTTGAATCCGCAAAGCGACTCGGAGGAGCAACTCACACCGATGTAGAGGAGCGGGCATCAGCAGAGTTGTTGATGGCTGTACGCCCCAAGCGAAGGATGTGTGTGTGCTGAGACAGAGGCGTACATATCACACCAGCCTTCCCCCATACCGCTTACCTCAAACAATCTGTAGACAGCTGCCGGTGCCCTGAGGGAGAAATCATCTTAATGTGCCTACTTTCTAGACACTTATTCCACCAATATCGTCCTGTCAAGCCAGACTCGCGGCACCGATGAGCTACGCATCATGCCAGCGACCTATCTCAACCGCACGATCACGGTTAGGGGCGGTGAAAGTCCAAGTGTACATGCCAGGCAGGCGCCTAACCTTCAGCACTGGGCAATCATGAGCTCAGCTCGGCCCCTGCTCTTGTATATGAGAAAAAATATGTACTTACGGGGGTGGCGGATATAGCTCCTAACGGGTCGGTTTGAACTGCCAGCAACAAAATCACTGGTTCCAATTCAAGCATTTTATTGTACCTCCAAGCCGCAGTTTTATTGGTTAAGCCGTTGAAAACCATGCTCCGTGGTTCGGTTTCTAACCAAAACCGAACCGCTAGGAGCGCTAGTGGCAGAGTTGGCGTTGTTAGCTCCGCTTGCAATCTTGAATGGAGATTCGAACAACATCGTTCCCCTTTTCACCCTTGCTGTTCGGACGCCAACCATGGATATTCTGTGGAGCGGAGGGCATGAACACCGAATCCGTGGAAATAAGGAACGGAAATGAAATTTACATAGATCTGCAGTAGGATACCATCAGTGACAAAGAGGCACATACGATGTTTCTAAGACAGAAGCCATTGACGATAGCAACATTCTTGTTAATCGAGGGCGGGGAGGAGTGTGAGACAGGGGCGGATAGATATTGTTCCCCTGAGTCGTATGGGTGGCGGCGGAGGTTTCATGCCATTCGGATGGACGCATCACAAACTTGTGGCGGTGGAGTGCGGGAGAACTAACCGATGCCGTGGAATTCGGTGGATCGGTGACCGTTGCCCGCCAGGTCGTAGTAAGATGTAGGTTGCGACATGGAACCGCCTTGTGCTTGAGGATGCATCTGAATACACCAAATTCGCGCCGCGCCACCTACACTCGCATAAGCCACGTAGTCGATGGTGTTCACAACTTCTCCTGAGAGGGCATCGATGTGAGCAAGGCACCAATGGTCGTCGTTCTGCACCTGCAAAGCGCCCGTAGGAGGGACGCCCACTTTACCGTGGTCTAAGGCTGCTTGTGTCGGCTTCCCAACCCAAGGATACTTGATTCTGGTGACCGAGGCTCCAGGAGACGTCCAGTTGAAAACGTGGTAGATGGCGACCGCACGCGGCGAGTCGAACACGTTTTCCCTTCTCATGCCTTTCTCCGCATCTTCTTTAACCATGTTACTCTTTCCTATGCATCTACGGTGCCGTGGTCTCCGCCTTTCTTTCTCGACGAGCATAACACCCGAATAATCGTCGTACCCCAAGCTGTCTAGAGCGGGTAGTAATGGCTCAACATCAACTATCATAGGCACTCGCCCCAATAACCACTCATTTTAAATGTCGGGTGAGGGCTATAATCCTGGGCGATTGCGTACTGGCACAAACATTACGCCTATGCTGCTTCGAGAAGGACTTGGGAGCTTTGATGCCGGCATCTTTGGCAGACGATACTGGGTACGGGAGTACGGATGGGATAGATGACATTCGGAGAGCTGGCATGGAAGTCATGAATTGGGTCTTGCTCTGATTTGTGCAGTGTAATCCATTGGACACTCCGTCATGCACCCACAGATACGGAGTACAAAATGAACACACACACACCTGCAAAGCACATCTCGGTAAGATTCTGTTCAGCGATTCCGATAGCCGCTTTCGATGCTATCTCTGGAATTGAAGATGCAACCCTCTCTGAACAGTTAAGGTGCCGCACACTAAGTGACACTGTTTCACGTACTAGGTTTGACGAAGGCGGGCGATCAGCGGGGTCTTGTTGTTCTTCAACGCCATGTTGGCAACAGCGTTGATTCTATCTGGGGAAATGCACACCTTGAGGCTACTCACTCATTGTTGCTTTGCAGACATGAGAAGCTGCATCGCCATCGAAGGAGATAGGTATGTCATGGTATCCTTCAAGATGCGAGCTTATACGCAAGGAATGCAATAGCGATATCCTCGGAGCTAGCTGGTTCGCCATGCTTCGAAAGCGGGCGGTCGGCCCATCTTCGACCGTGTGGATGAGTATGCCAGCAAGTTGAATCATTGGCAAACACTTGGCTGAACAATAGACAGGTTAAGCCTTGACTATTTCACCGTGCTCAAGCCTCGAATACGGTGAGTCCAATGGGGATGGCTCGGGGATGACCAAAAACCGATGCTGCAGGAGCAGCAAGGTCACTGAACTGAGAGAAGCCAATGTTGACACGCCTAGGGGAAGCAGATAGGACAACCGCTACAGAAATTGCAAATCTTGTGCTCGTCGAGACCATAACGCGCGGCTAGAATCCCCTTCAAAAGCAAGGCGGTGCCCGAGGGGTGGATACGATAGGTGGAAATGCTCTTGACTCACGGGATATTCATGTGGCCACCTGTCGGCGATAGAGGGACTCGCGCAACAAAGGTAAGCACGCTGCGGAAGCCTGGGAGGAGCTCTCAGTCAGGATGCATGTTGGTGAGAGACCTTACTCATAGCGTGGCCTTTGGACAGAAACGAAGAAATCTCAGGCCTCGTGACGAATGAACCCCAGCAGAACCCAGAGAAGTTGAACTGGCGAGACAATTTGACATGTGTGGTTTGTGCGTGAAACATTCACACTAATGAGCGAAGCGTCAAAAATGTGAACTTTGAGGCCCACGTCACTAGGTTCAACAACGCATGTAAATCGAACCGAACGCTAACCGCTGGATCCTCTTCCGCCGCTAATTAGCCAAGAGCGGAGGGTGGTGGCCCGGTCATTCCGTACTCGGTACGCCCGGCAATTATGCGGGGACGCCAAACAGCAGACTCCGAGCCCGCAAATGGATATTACGGTGGGAAGACTAAGGCGATCATCAGCATCCATTTCTGATATGGCACTATGAATGAACCACTTGAAACGCCAGCGCGAAGCTTTTGAAATTGGGGGAAAATGGGGTGACCTCGTTCCCGCCAAATCCAACCCCAGTGAAAGACAACGGAAATCAATTATTTCCCCAGGGGCTTTGCTCACACAACAGTTAAAGAATGGAATACTCACAGGAGTTCCCATTACACATGCGGCCTACCGATGACGCTGCTTAACGCAAAACGGCCGCGCGGCAAACGGAGCGAGCGCTCGAGAACAGTGCAAGAATCCATGGGATTTTGAAAAAGCACGTAACGAAGAGCTAGCTAGCGAAGGTCCGTGGGTCGCGTCAAAAGGTTCCCGGCGGGCGCTGGAAGACGGAAAGGAAGTCACAGAAGCTTTGGACGCGAAGTTCATGTATTATTATTTAACGGTGTCATGAAGAGCACCTTGAGCGAATTCCTTACTTCGGACGCCTCAAACTTTACGAAAGAAAACCCTCTTTGTGCAGCTGATCTCAGATGGAAGCAGAACCTGCAAAACAGCATGTGTATACTCTGGTTGATATTCGTTTATGTGTCAGTTGGTCATCAATACACATTTGGCATAGCCTGCTTACATCGATCGGAAGAGCATAAGCCAGAAGGGGCAGCATAACACCGTTTAGACAGATAGGGGCAGTGATCGGCCGAGTTAGGGGTTGGGAGGACTGAGTTCATCCTTTCGGCTACTATAATAGCCAGTGGCCCGTGGTTGTCTCTGTTAAGTTCACGGTCGCCGGAACGGGTGTAGAAAGGGTCCTGCAGCGAGACCAGCGACAGTATGCAACTTGAGCAGTGCGTCAAGAAGCATTGCAAAGCCGATAAACAAGGCATCGACAAGCATCGACTTAGCAGCATGGATATGATTCCCATATTCCATGATATTCAAAGGCGTGAAAAGCATGTGTTATTGCACAAGCGTGCAGTCATTGAGAGACCAAGGGGCGGGAATGAAGGCTGTGTGCAGACGTTACGCAATCAAAAGCTAATGTCCGGGTGGAACTTGTGAAATTTGAGCATGACTTTAGTTGCACAGCAAGCCGAGCTCGATAAGCTGGGGATCTGCACTGTGACAGCCACAGAGGTGCTGACTGTCAAGCCCCGAAAGGATCTCAATCGTACATGGAATGAAAACATGACAGCCAAACACGTGAGTAAGTATCCCGGGCGCACCGGAAGGGCCATGTTGATGCTGACATGAGGATCCCCTGTTCACGGCGTGCCCATTCGGGTCCAAGAATATAGGGTCATTACGTATGAAAAGTCTGGTTTAGGAGTTGGAATAGGGACCTCTAGCTTCGATGGATTGCATGTTCCATTCTCCTAACAAGCGCCCTTCACGATACGCCACTTGCATCATGGCTGAAAAGAATAAGCGGATCACGAGAGAACCGATATCTTTCACGGCTTGCACGTGCGCTCCAAGATATAAGGAGTGCGTTCGAAAATAAGTAAGGAGGAGGGTAAAAAAAGTATGGAGGAGGTCTGATTTGAACAGACGCAGACAATTTGTGATTTTTTCAACAATTGAAAGTACCTAGCTACTCCCCCACGTCACCGACTATGATGCAGTGAAACTATGTTGACGAGAACATGGCAACCACGAGCGTGGGAAAAAGGCGGAAACACGATCGACTACTCCCCGCCAACGCAGCCATGGTGAAGGATCCCGGACAATTGTGCACCTTTCACAGCGAACAATTGTGTGCGTCTGGCTGTTCGAGCGTTAAAGAGCTCGGCTTCCTGGGCCTGTTGGCCGCATCAGTTTGCGTCATTCCAATCGCTTCCGCAGTACTGACCAGGAAAAACTATTGGCGCTTTCGAGAGCGTTGAGCGCTGTTCACAGCTCGGGGACTCTCACCGATCGCACGCATCTAGGGGCCTATGCGGCATTCTCAAAGCGCAAGCGGGATTTAGTTGTTAAGAATACCCTGTTTCATGAGTCTGGGTGGAAAATAAGGCCTGATCAGGTACATTGAGCACATGAAACGTGACGCTTGTGAATGTTGTCCCAGCCACCAGTAGGTCAGAGTGCACGCCGATTCTTTCCTGACGGAGAAGCTGCCACTTCTCCTTAGCGTGAGTTGACCTCGCAGATTTGAAGCAGGGATCTAATGGCGTTACCGATCCATAGGGAAAATTGCTTGTACGTTTTTCTGAAGAAGCCAACGGGCTTCGACGATGAATTGATGCACCAACAAAGTGAACCACAGAACGACAAGGTTTGTTATTGACTCGCTGCGTATTCCCCACTTATGCTTTCACAACAGTGATGTCTGACACCAGCCAAGTTTCCAGTATTGGAAACCATCATGGGAACAACACAGGAATATCTTCGAATGGGGGATGGGAACAGCTCCTTTTCCTGTATTAGCAATTGCCATGGTGAGCCGCCGCCCAATCACATCTTGTGCATTCGCATACGCATATACAGCCACTGGTGCTTGAGAGTGCCATTTATGCACAACAGGCTGTGAGATCCCATAGGAGCCTATTGGCGATGAATTACGCCACTGTTGTCGCCTAATTGCAAAAATGAGCGTTTGAGATCCAGACTTCTCGGTATGACTTCGAAGAATGGGGATGAAGATGACTCCCCGAGAATTTCGAATGCCCACCACACCGCCTCCCTCCTCAGGGGTTCGTCATGCTGCTGTTTCTCTCAGAGTATCGAGCGAAACGAAGTTGGAACAAAGAAGTTGTCACCAAGCCAACAAGATGACAGGTCTGCTGGCCTGGAGAATAAGCCAGGACTAAGCCAAAGGGCGCCGATTCTTGATGCTCGGGGATAGTTCCGTCGCCAAGCGACAATGTCGGCCTGGACTCCGTCCCCTGACAGGCGAGACTGTTAGTGTCAGAGCGTCAAAACTAAGTTGGGCGCTTGTTTCCACTATCACCTGACTTGAATCTTCATGTTGCGCGCTTCGTTTCGCGCTACCTTCTCTCTAACGCACCACCTCCGAGGCTTTGACTTGCAGCAATCTATGGCCATTAGCTCGAGACCAGTCGAAGCGAGCATCCGTGCTAAGGTCAGGCGCCGCCCGTTCGTTTCACACCACAGTTGAAACTGACTAAAGGGCTACGCTGCGGCGCCATAGCTAGAAAAGCTCCTGGCGCCCTCTTCTCTCTTGATCGTCAATGAGTCGACACAGCACGCTCATCATGCCGCCATGAAGAATCGGGCGCCCTCAGACATCGAACCAGAAACACGTTCGTACTGCCACTTGATCCCCAGCTACGACTGGATCGGAAAGCTGAATCATCGATCGCTTTTACTGATTGCAGATTTTGCCTTACAAGTCATTTCCGATACGTTTTCAGGCAAGGTACTTCTTGTGAACCCGTTCGGCTTCTTTCCGCCTCTGACAATCAAATTGATCTCACGGTTGCATGCTGTGCGGTGTTAGACAACGGTGCAGAGGCATCGCCTAATATATGAGGCGCTGGGAGAGGAGTTCAAAGCTGGATTACATGCACTTTCATTAACGACAAAGACTCCCAGTGAGATGGACAGACAAAAAGCACAAACTTCATAGGCGCCAGCCCAAGGTAGGTTACCAGGCTTTCGTAGCCAGGAGAGCACTGCCGGACAGGGATGGCCACTAGAAATGAACAAGGGGCTTTTTATATTGAGGCGTCAGTTGTGGTGATTCATTTAATCCCTTGGCCGCCAGGCATTCCCCAATATGGATATCTGGGATAAATCATCAGAGCGCGATACCGAGCGTTAAGTGGATATGACGAGAACGGCGAGGCTGTTATCAGCCGCGCGTCCGAGACTTTGGAGGGATGAACGTGCTAGACCGCGTCCGAGTTACAGAGAAGTGACTGGTTATGGGAGACAGTTGTTAGGAATGCCAATGAACGCGCGGTTGAGTAGTGAAAACACTTCGTCCTTGTGAATAAAAGGGCACTGTTGTCAACACCATCACAGCTTCCCTCGAGACCGACGGCTTGTTGCTGAAAGGTCCGATTGCCTTTTGCAGCGGAATGGTTGATATGTATTGTGCTCGGGTTTAAAGTCGTAAGTCCGTCGCCACTTCATCATTTCCCCCCCCCCCAAAACAGCCTGACTGAGCCTGCGTTGTCGAGCGACTCTGTGGGACGTTTAGCATTGCTGAGTCGTCGCCGAAAGCCCAGGGTTTTTTCCACATTGTCTGTTGTTTGACTCTGGCAATTTCTCTTCTCCACATCTCCCTCGAGTCATCCGACCGCCTGAACTCACCGCCTCCGTCCAGCATCTCTTGACTTGATACCTCTGAATTTCCCATGATTTTCTTCGCAAATATCAGTATAACCTTGAAGGAATCCGCCACCAGGTTCTGAATTCCGTGCTTGCATCGATCGTTGGATTCCCACCGTGTTTTCACAGTGACGACTCCTGTCAGCCTCCAGCCTCGTCTAGTCTAGTCTAGTCTCGTCTCGTCTCGTCTAGCCTAGTCTCGTCTCGTCCAGTCTAGTCCAGTCTAGTCCAGCCTAGTCTACATTTTCTTTTCTCGTCCAACGCTATACTTTACTCCCAACATGATCAACCCCCCTTCCAAATCTCGGACTCCTTCTGCCCTTAAAATCGTCACCCACAGGGCATCCCTAAAGTGGCACCCATATACCAGCGATCGAGGATCTTCGTGGAATAAGCTTTCGTCGGGAATTCACAGTTTCAATTCATTGCTGCCCAATGGGGCCTCATCCTCTTTTTCTTCAAACCCGTCTCAACGCGCTCTGCCTCGGGGGCGGGGAAAGGGTCGGGGCCGGCATAAGAAGAGCATTCAAGGGATTTCCTCTCCGAATCCATCGACGTCACCTGTACATTTTCCTGTCAACGATTGCAAAGAGACACCGAGCCCACGACCACAAACGCTTTTGGATCCAGCCTCGGATGACGACAATTCTCAGCAAGAATATATTCCTCGTGCGAAGCTCACATTAGCCTGCGCAAACGAGCCCTACGCTAAGGACCTTGTCGGTGCGTTCAGCGTTGTTCACGCTGTTACTATAATAGGCCATTTTGGGTTTGTTGACTCGTTCCCATTCTAGCCCAGTGTGTGGCGATGATTCAGGAGATCTATTTGCTTCCGCCGGATCCCCCGCTTCCGCCCGGTGTTTATCTTCCTGGTCATACGCCGCCACTTTCGCCTATTCACCCACAGCCACAACAACATCCATTAGCCGCCCAACCTCATGGACAGGCACTGGTGAATCAACTTCTGACCCCCCCCGTCGGTTCAATCTCAGGTTCGCCTACAGATAGCAGCGAGGAGGATGATAGCGGTGAAGATGACTCAGAAGAAAATGACAGTAATTCAACCCCACCCCATCCCTATCCAGGCACGCTACAACAACCGGTTCATCCCCACCCCCCTATTACCCTCACCCCGGCACAGCAAGCTGCCACATTTGCTCAGAACTTGTTGTACTTCGTCCATGAAGTGCTTCGCAGGTCCCGCACTCCCTGCACTACGCTGGAAGTCGCAATGTGTTATATTGGCGCGGTTCGTCTGGCAGTCCGCACGTTATTGGCCGAAAGAGAAGAGCTGCAACGTCATCTCCGACTGAATAACCAGCCGTTTCAACCTGAAATGCGTCGAATTATTTTCTCCCCACTCCACGATGCTCGTCGCACCTTCCTTGCCTCCCTAGTACTGGCGAGTAAGTTTCAACAAGATCGAGCATACTCAAACAAAGCCTGGGCCAAGCTTTCTGGGCTGCCAGCGCAAGAAGTCACACGTTGTGAAAATGCCCTCGGCAACGCGCTTCAATGGAGGCTGTGGGTTGGCCGCGATATTCGCGTCGCCGCAACCGACCTCCATCCGATCCCCACTTTACCTTTGAACCTAGGTCCTGTTTTGGGAGTGCCTGGCATTGTATCGAGCGGGCGCTGTCTTAGCCCTCCCACGTGCAACATATCTGCGGATATGCTCGAAATGGAGTTGTTTCAAGAGGAGCTTCTGGCGGGAGGCGTCCACAGTGCACACGGTCCTAACGGGATACCCGGAGAGACTGACGTGATTGCCGCACGTTTCATTGCTGTCGCCCAAGCCGAGGAGACATCCCTTCGTCTCGGGAAAGTTGGCCATTCCATGCGGAGGCATGCTACAGAGCCTGGCCCCGAGGCCTTTGCCGGTCGTATTGCAAAGTCACTTTCTGTCGGAGATCTGGGTAGGTACGGTGTTGGTGATTGCACCTGGCATCTTGGTGGTGAATGCGGTGCCGGCGCACTTGAGTTCGAATCATTCTCACCCGATCCTTCTTTCAATGAGTGGCTCGTGGATGATCTCTATGGCAGCTCCCCTCCAGCAATGACAGCGGCTGAACTCCGGGGGAATGTCTTGTTGTACGAAACTGAGTCTGAGTTCGGGATGAGTGATGGTCGATCGTCGTCTTGCACTTCTAGTCAGGGGGATTCGATTTTCAGTGATGGTACTGCAGCGTCAACGCCTGCTTCCACTCCGACACAATCGATTTGTGATCCGACATGCCTTAGTAAGGACTATATCCCATCACCCGCTGCGCCTCGGCTTTTGGAGCCTGTACTACCAACGTCCAGTGTTGTTGGAGCGTTTCGCGTCCCTCGCACACCCTTACCGCGTATGGTGATTCCTGCATCCGCCGATGCCGTCGGATGGTTTCCGCCACCGCATCTGTGAGTGTGGCCAAAACCATTTCAACCTCACGTTTTATCTTTATTCATAATTTATTCTTTCTTTCTGCATTGCCCTCTTGTGCGCAGCGTCCACAAAATGTCGGTTTACACACCCCCAACCGAGTATCGTCTCCTTCCGCAGGTAACCCCACCCGTGACCTTAGCAAAGCCAGTGCAGTCTTTTGCAGGATCATCATTGTCGTCGTCGATATCGTCTCACAGTGCCCATGTAAACACTCCAGGAGACTCGTCAGAGTCGCAATTGACACCTGGACCTGCCCTCCATGATTTCCCATCATCTACGGGGTATGCGGTGATGGTAGGTTAGGACAGAACCACAGCCATCCTGGCTATGGTTTGAGTCGAGATCGTGATCACGATCCCTCGGTGAGACCGAGACGACTCAACTACAATCGCCAAGGCGCAGCACGCCAAGGGACGCTGTCCTTCGGTGTGAAGTCCTGTCAAGGATGGTGTGGATGACAGGTAGGTCAAGTGTTGTACATATCACTCCGGAGGCACATATTGTTCGAAAATGCCAGCGTGGGTGAACGGGCCACCTCGTCGCTGTATTTATTGAACTTCATCGTTGAACGCTTTCGCCTCTTCATACTCTGTACTTCTAGCACGCACGCATTGTCCGTATACTATGTCTTTGCTCTCGAGTTGCCTTTTGCCCTTCACGCCATCGCGAGCTCGTCATTTCGATGACTTGGCTTATCGGAGTTAAGGGATAGCTAGAGTGCGAGGTTTGAACAATCCTGACTCGTCGAGATGTTGTGTGTATATGGGACACACGAGGACATTGGTGTGAGTCACAATGTTGTTGAAGTGTTTTGGGGTGCTTCTGTTACGTTCATTAGATGCTGCATATTCTGATTCACGCTTAGTGGCGGGCTCAGCCCGTTGCGCTTGAATGGGTAGTCAGAACCGGGCCAACTCCGCTGCCTGGGTAGCGTGGTAGAACACTGCGTTTAGTCACTCTAGCTTTCACCACATACAAAGGAATCTGTGCTAACTCGAACGACACAGCCCCCTCATGAGGCACAATATATTCGGCCAACTCCGCACAACAGTTGCTGATCAGCATGAATCACTGGCGCGCGCGCAGAGCCTCCGGAGTTCAGCGTTCGGAGTTTGAAAGACTACATATTTTCATTTCAAACCAGACGCGCGGGTTCCCCATGAAAAGCAACAAATACCGTGCGAATCTCGATAACATCCATGCACGTTTGTTCCGTTCTCACCGAATCATTGCAATCGTCCCAACATGGCTGAAAGGGGATATTATGAACAATACTGTCCATATCTGTGTTGATCTCCTCCTCAGCGCAAACACTAACCGCGCGAATGCGGTGATCCTGTGGTGCTATGTACTGCATCTATCTTTACGTGAAGTTACGCTTTCAGAAGCTGTGGAAATACCCCGGAAAGCTGTGTGCCCCCAAGCCCCAAGCCCCTAGCTTCGATATCATGCTGCTCAGATGTAATCCATTTGAGATTTGAGCCAGATCGATTGTTCACTGAAGATGCACCGTGTGTGTGTGACACATCGTCGTCTGACTTGGACGAGCGTCTCGTTCTTCTCGCTTCAGGGTTTAGGGGTCACCTCAGTTCTCAGGTCAAGGTTCGATTGGTTAGGCAACCCTAGGCTCAACAAGAGAAGCCCGCGACGACGAACGTTGGACATCCATCTCATGAAGAATCTGGTTTGGGTCGAAGGCGAGTCTAGTCATCCTGTGTGATCGGAATTGCTTTGCAATATCAGACTGATCTTGTACAGAGCCCAAGCGCCTGTCTCTCCTTGGTTTCCCATCCATCAGAGGACTCCCGAAATTTAGCGAATACCTCGTTTATCGATGGTCTGAGGTTGCCTCAGCGTCCAGCATCTCTTGACCCGATACCTCTGAATTTCCCATGATTTTCCTCGCAAATATTAGCATAACCTCAAAGGAATCCGCTACCAGATTCTGAATTCCGTGTTCTCTACATCGATCGTTGGATTCCCAAGCCCCGAGCTTTCACAATGACGGCTCCTATCAGCCTTCAGTCTCGTCTTGTCTCGTCTCGTCTCGTCTCAGCTCGTCTCGTCTCGCCTGGTCTCGTCACGTGTAGTCTAGTCTAGTCTAGCCCTAGTCTAGTCTAGCCTCATCTCATCTCATCTCATCTCGTCCAGTCTCGTCCAGCACATTTCTCATCTCGTCTCATCTCATCTCGTCTCGTCTCATCTCGTCTCGTCTCGTCTTGTCTCGTCTCGTCTCGTCTTGTCTCGTCTTGTCTCGTCTCGTCTCATCTCGCCTAGTCTCGCCTAGCCTAGTCACGTGTAGTCTAGTCACGTGTAGTCTAGTCTAGTCTCGTCTAGTCTCGTCTCGTCTAGCCTCGTCCAGTCTCGTCAAGGTTTCCTTACTTCCAACATGGTCAACCCCCTGGAGAAATCGGTGAGCGACTGGGGAGGAGTCTGAGGTTACCTCCGCTTCCGCCCATCGTGAAAACTTGTGTGGGCACTCTTTGTGCCTCCTGCTGCCGATTTCCTTTTGCTTGCTTACGCTTATAAACCGGGCTGCAACAATGCCATTCACTCCTCTCATTGCTGCCTGCCGCCTCGCGCTCTTCTCGCGAGACTTTCATCTCCTACCTTCCTCCCCGATACTCCACCCCTGCTTGTCTTCTATTTCCTCTCCCTGCCTGTGTTTTTTTTTCCTGTTCTGTGTTTCTCATTCTGTCGTGCACACTACTGTTAAGTGTCGGTAAGTCCTTTTTCTTTCGTCCCTTCTGTTATCCTTTGACTGCTACTTTCCATTGTATGTACATTAGTTTATCCTGCTGTGCTGCACCCTGGATGGCGTTGCTCGCCCGCCACCAATTTATTATGGACCAACGAGGTCGGCTTGTATGTCTTACAGCGTAGCGGAGTTGGCCGAAATTCATTCGTCTCGTGTAAATCCATCGGGGGTTCATGCCTTCCTAACCTCAGCATCATCCCAGGCAGTCATGATGAGTCCCGATTTGTACATAGTGGGCACTGCACTTGTACTGAGACAGGGTAAGGAATGATAGATCTGACGCGCAGATGACGGGAAGGCATACCTCTCCTGTAGCGCAAGAAGTGCCCTGTCAACGGTCGTATCCGCACCATCAAGATCACCTCCCTCACGCAGACCCTCAGCCTCCCTAAATACGGCCAGTGCATCTTCAGCCGATTGAAGGGCCTGATCCCATTTACCCAAACTCTTCAAACCCCGCTTCTCCCCCTTTCCTGGCAATCGATTGTTATATGCCTTCAAGCCTGCGATATATGCGCTCAGCATCACGTCGAAGATGGTCTCACATATGCAGCGAAACTGGAGAATCCAAGGAAGAGGAGTTTCCATGCGCACAAAGTCATGCATTTCCAGGCCACGCCGGAGGTGCTTCGGATCTCCATGAAAGCAGCCACGTAGAAAAGTTCGATTTGGCGTTCTTTCGTACTTGAAAAATTCGAAGGACCAGCCATCGAAGAAAATGCAGTGGATAGGTAGAGAAAAATCGTGAGAGAGGTTGCTGGCGTCGCAACCTGTACATCTCAGATGCCAAATGTAGAAAGTGCAAACCTGAAGCGCTGAGGCTTACCATCACCTTTGGCTATGACCTGAGCAATAGCCTTCAAACGTTCTTCATCATTGAACACTTTCGGCTGTATCTCAATGAAAAGAACCGCGACAGCGCCAAAAGCTTTGAAGTAGTACTCGATGCGACCCTGCGTAGCTGTGGTCTCTGGGTCATTCCTTAGCGTGAAAGTGAACTCCTTGACGAGGTGGTTGAAAATCTGTTGGTTGCGGTGAGCTTTTGGAGCGCGAGAGAATCAGCGCATCCTCACCGGAGAGAAGAATCTCGATCTCGCCTCTTCTGTCTTATGCTCATGAGGGGGCCCGTGCTGCATTAACAAGATATCTATGTCCATCACAATCGACTTGAAAAGATCTGTGGGAATACGAGAGCGGTGGATTTCAAAGGTTCCAATGTCTTTCAACGCATTCCAGGGTTCAAGTCCGACGAGAGGAGCGACGTCATCGTATGTCACTTTGGAGAAGCCAACTCCCACACCATGTTCTATGTCACTCGTTAGCACACCAGACCCCAGCACAAAGATAGGGACAAACCTGAGTCGTCATCTTCTATTTGGACATCGAGACTAAACTGTTTCACGAGACGACGTACAACAGTCAAGGCGGCATCTGGTGTATCAGGGGCAGGAATGTCTGTGGGTGTATCCGCCGCACCAGTGTTATGCCGTGGCCTCTTAGGTGCCATTGTGGTGAATGTCTGAATGAAGTTGAAGTTTCTGGGCCCCCGCTTAGGTCCATTCAGAAACGGCCTCAAATCTTGAGTCTCACTGCCTCATTTGCCAGGCCAATCCGACCCTCAAATCGCCCGGACATATTAACGTCACTCTCGCTGTAAGCGACCACTTATGGCAGACCTCCTGGTCTTCCTCTATCAATCACTTCCATTTCAACCCAGGTTACGACGAGGCACTGTCTGGCAATCGAGATTGGTTACCTACGCAAGCACTCTAGTCTCGTGAAAGGGGGAAGACAAAAAACTTGTGTCCTGTCGTTGTTGTTGTTGTTGTTGTTTATTCTGGATATTTATCCTGCAAACTTTAGGCTGCTCGTGAGAGCGCCGAGGGCAGGGTCGGAATAAATACACGAAAATAAAGTGAGAAAATAATAATCTAAGTCCGATTCGAGTGCTCTCATGCGTTCTGACGAGGTTAACTCCGAATGCTGCTCCACTTTTGAGTTGTCGCACTTGTGTCCTGTCGTTGGTCCTGCATTCAATTCGGGTCCGAAAAATCTGCAGAACCTGCTACGAGTTTTAGAGAGGCCGGTCACCTGCCTAGCGTCCGCATTTAATACACTTATTTCACGTTGGACGGTTGCGCTGAGGCCAGCGAAGATCTAACCTGGGTTTTTCGATGGCCGATGATCAACAGCCGCCCTTTAATAGCCTGGCCCCTGCTTACCCTTTTCCCGCCGCTCGTCCTTACGGTGAGTAAAGCTTCAGCGACTTTTGGCATTCTAAACTTATTTCCAGTCTAGGTTCCAACTGCGTGCCGCTCTGCAACCTCGCTCCTTTGTATTGTCATATTGTCATATTGTGCTGGGTTACTCCTTTGCTATCGACTTGAGCGTGGATGGACGCACATTTCCAGACATTCCTCGAGGAGCTGCCAGCCCCAGTGCAGCATTGCAATCTCACCGACAAGATTACCATCAGTGAATGGGCTCAGGTTTACCGCTCCGGATCCCACGGCGATGTGCTCAAGGGGGTCTACGGGGATGTAAATGTCTCTTTACTCAGGCACAATGTTTATGGTTAACACTTCTTCGCCAGGACACTGTGTGCGTCAGAATTTTAAAACTGTCTCCACTCGGGGATGGATCTATCAAGAAGCTTGCACGAGTAAGATTCAATCTCCATCTTTCACTTGTCTGATGTGCATGATGCCTCAGTGGTTCAGGCGCGAGATGACGGCTTGGCTTTCCCTCGACCATGAGAATGTCGTTAAGCCTCATGGGTGGACCCTGGCCACGGAGGAATCGAAGGAATCGATTGGCTTCATCTCCGCTTGGTGCGAAGAAGGCGACTTGCATTCATACCTGAGGACCCATCGGCCAATCAATCGCTACGAGCTGGTGCGTCGATTTCGCGTGCCTCTGCAGCCACTGTTATTACAACTACAACTTTCTCTCCTGCCCAGATTCGAGGTATCTCTCGAGGACTGACCTATCTTCATGAACGGGACGTTGTCCATGGAGATCTAAAGCCGGTATGTTTAAGCCAGAAGGATGGAGGGACTGACGTGAACTCGTGGAGTTACAGTGTAATATAGTCATGCATAACGGCATCCCTAAACTCTGGGGCTATGGACTCGCTTCCATTATCGATGATCGAAATACATATGCCCAGGAATCAGCGGCCTTCACCACTCTCCGATATTGTGCCCCGGAGTTGTTAAACTCTGACAGTGGGTCTCGTGACAAAAAGACGGATGTATGGGCGTTTGGATGTACGGCAGGGGAGGTGAGTTATCAATGAACTTTGCGTGGCTTAATACTGACTTTGGTTGTTGAATGTTGTGTCAAGGTTTTGTATGACAAACACCCATTTCAAGGTATACCTATCTCCCGCCTCTATGCCAAATTAGGAGTCGAGTCTCCTTTCGATTGGGACTCTCAACGTTACCCCGATGAACTCAAAGAACTTGTCCAAGGATGCTTGACTCGCCTTCCCGAAAACCGCCCGAGTATGGAATCTGTCCGAAATGCTCTAGTATGTGTGAACCGATTGCAGTCTGATGAGAATGATCCCACGTATATTTGTAATAGGACTCTGACTTCACTGCACGAAGGCGTGCACAAAGGCGCACTCGGCTCCTTGCGGACCTGGTTGAAGTGCAGCACTGCAATCTCACCGGCAAGATTATCATCGATGAATGGGATGGACGTTCCTATGGCAATGGATTCAAGGGGGTCTATGAAAATGTAAATGCCCATTTGCACAGACACAACGTTTATGGATCACTTATTCACTAGGACACTGTGTGCGTCAAAACTTTAAAACTGCCTGAAGACGGATCTGTCACCGAGCTTGCACGAGTAAGAAGACTCATTCGCTATCTTTCAATGCTTATCTGATGTGCATGATGCCTCAGCGGTTCTCGCGCGAGATAAGCGTTTGGCTTTCCCTCGCCCATGAGAATGTCGTCAAGTTCCATGGATGGACTCTGACTGGGGAGGGGCCGATTTGCGCTAGCCTTATCTCTGCCTGGAGTGAAGGCGGCAACCTCAAGTTGCACCTCAAGTCTCAGTCAATTAATCGTTACGAGTTGGTGCGTCGATTCTTGCCCTCCTCTGCAGCTAGACGTGATTGCATCTTTCTCTTCCGTCCAGATTCGAGGTATCTCTCGTGGATTGGCCTATCTTCATGAACGAGACGTTGTTCATGGAGATTTGAACCCGGTATGTTTAAACCAGAAGGATGGAGAGACTAACATGAACTCGTGGAGTTACAGAGTAATGTAGTCATGCATAACGGCATCCCTAAACTACGCGACTTTGGACTCTTCTCCATTTTCGATAGTTCAACCACACCCGCTCTGGAAACAAGCAGTCTCCCATATTGTGCTCCGGAGTTATACAACGAGAAGGACTTGTGGGACAAACAGACGGACGTATGGGCATTTGGATGTACGGCAGGGGAGGCGAGTTGTCAATGAAATTCCCTTGGCTCAATACTGAATTTGAGCGTTGATCTTCTGTTAAGGTTTTGTATAACAAAGACCCCTTTCACGGGACACCTCCACGTCGTATCTTTTCCAAAATACTAGTCGAGTCCCCTTTTGATTGGGACTCAGAACCTCACCCCGATGGACTTAAGCAACTCATCCAAGGGTGCTTGGCCCGTTCTCCCGAACACCGCCCGACTATGGAATTTGTTCTGATTAGTCTGGTATGTGTGTGAAGCGATTGCGGATGAAATTGCGTAGCCTAATGCCACGTACGTTTGTACTATAGGGCTCTGACTTCTCTGCGCGCGCGCGCACGCCCGAGCACATTAGGGATGACGGGTTGGAAACATTGGGAAGACGCGTTTTACTTGAGTAGAGGCTGGAATTTTGCCTATAAACCCACCTTGCTTGCAAGGTCTCTTTCGCATACACAATTCGTGGGAACTTTGACTTTCCCACATGTTGATATTGGTTTCTTTGGACCATGTGTGCTCTCTGTGCCGGGTTCAAATGTGCTGATTCAACTCATTATATTTTGCTATGCGTGTGAACACGGCTGTGAAAGACATGATTACTTAAAGTTAGTACTAGAGTGCGATGCTGCGACTAGTTGCAAAGTAGCGCCATGTCATGTGCAAGCAAGGTCATGGTTGCGAAGCAACCTTTCTAGTACACAATTCGTGAGAACTTTTACTTTCCCACATGTTGATATTGGTTTCTTTGGACCACGTGTGCTCTCTGTGCCCCTCCGAAATAAACATATGTAATTTGTTATAAATTGTGAACAACAACAGCATCGATCCAATAGGAATTTTCCCCACCTCCTACGTGTTGCTTCGCTCGCTTTCTCCAACCTTTCGTCTTCCACCTCCAGAATGCTACATGCTGGTTGTCTGAATACTTCTCATCGAATTCTCGCAGAAGTCGTATCGTGTCACGTCCAGAGCTCCGAGATAACGCAACATAAGCGTCAGTCCTCCTGTTGGTGGGGGGTGCAATTCAAGGCACCAACACCAGGAAATTGGGAGGCACCTCCTGCACAGTGAGCCAGGAGAGATGTGGGAGTTCGGCCGGGGGGTTCTACCCCATCATGAGAGCCCCAGGAGTGGCTCTCATACTCTCGGTCTCATCTGGTGATATCTGGCTATACTATGCCCATTGCGCCTTTATTTCATCAACCAGTTGACTGCCTTCAGCTGGATGCGGCTTCAACATTCTTAATGAATCCATTTACATGCAGAAGGCGTTCAGATTTCATCCATAACATCAGCCGTCCGTTGGGCATTTTGTCACAGAGAACCTCCCACCTCGCCAGATCTCTGAAACGATACCCGCCAATATCTCTGGTAGCCCAGTCCTCTAAATGGAGTATTGTGAATCCGAATGCAAGCGCCCCGAACTCCACATCTAAGACTGTTCGCCGCGCGGCGCGTTTAAGCTAGGGGTGACGCTCCCTGCGCGTGTGTGTTGAATCAGGTACGCTAGGAAGGCCGCCGTTGGTAGTAGTATGTAGCAGGCCGGTCATGCCGGTCCCCTAAAAGTACGTGCCAGTCTAATCGGTGCTCAATACACAACTTCAAAGCGCGGTCAGCGCGAACCATTCAGCCTTCGGAGTTCTATTCTCATTTCAAACAGAACGCGTGGCTTCGCATTATTTGTTGGGAATTTCGCGGGCACTGCATGTACGTTACGTTCCTCTAGTCATGCTCTCCGAATCAATAGCTTCTTCCTCCTCCGCTCAGATCGTCCCAGTGTGACTGAATGGCAACACTGTTGATCTCTTCCTCAACCCAACCCCCCAAACTCAACGCAATATCGAAACGCCTTGCACATATATCTTCACGCCGTGAAGTTACGCTGTGTGGAAATGTCTCGGATGCAGTGGGGAAGCCCGAAACCCCTCCCAGCTTCAACATCATGCATGCTCAGATGTATCCATTTGAGGATTTGAGCCAAATCGAAAGATGTGTACGTGACACACTGTCGTCTAACTTGGTCCCGGACGAGCGTCTTGTTCTCGTCGCTTCAGGGTTGAGGCCTTGGGTCAAAGACTCAAAGTTCAATTGGCCATGCAACTCTGGGCTCAGTTCAACCAGAAATGCCCAGCGACGAATGTTGAACATCTATCGCATGAAGAATGTAGTTTGATTCAGTTATTGAGCGTGATCGAAACTGCTTTGCAGAACCAGAGTGATCCATCAAACGAAATTTCGTGATTATCCCGTTCATTGATGATCTGGACACTGCACTAGACACCCTCATGGTCAACGGTGGTAGCGGCATGACTGGCACGCGTCTGCGCGAACGCCGGGAGTCGCGCGCACGCTCTTTCGCTGATTGCAAACCGCATGCTAAGTGAGCACCAATCGGAATCCCGCAATTTAGAACTGGCTCCACGATTCGAATCGTGCAAGGATCATGATCAACCGTTGCTGTTTGACCTTAAGAGAATGGGTTGATGCGCCTGCCATAAGTCGCACGCCTTCCTTTGTCCTCTCGGTCTGCATTTGCATTATGTATCATTCCCTCCAACTTCCCGATTCTACGGCAAGCTCGCCAGTCTACCTCGTTGTGCACGCATGTTGGTAGACCTTGGATCTCGTGTAAGCACATCATGCGCGCGCTGAAAACTTCACCATTGTGATTCCTCAAAATATGATACATTGAGACTACATGGTCCGAGAAAATAGCGTGTTGGGATTAGCAAACCAGCAATGACCACGATAAAGCAGAAAAAGACGAGCGAATGAGGGTACAACGTGAACAGAACACAGCAGAAGGGAATGTAATGCACTGGAACAAAGATGTGCAGGATGTCTCAGGCGGTTGCAGCAAACTGACCCATGCTTGAATAAGAAAGCGAAAAGTGAGAGGCTTCTGCCAGCAATAAATGAGGCTACTGTCGATTCCTTGACGATGACGACTTGTTACGAAAACGACCTTTTATCTCAACCTTCCTCTGGCAAGTTGGACATCGGCCTGATACACCTGTCAGCCATGGGTCCACGCATGATTTCTAGTAAATACCGTCTATCAGCAAGAAAAGTCCAAACGAACTACCCGAGAATTTGAACTCACATGGAAGCAATGTCCGCATTCCAACAATCGAAGAGGCTCAGGCTCCCCTGGCGCTGCTTGGCTCGCCATCGGTCCATTGGCGTCAGAGGTAGGAGCAGCAGACGAAGATGAAGGGTCAGAAGCTCCATTCTTTGTCTCTTGATCCTTTTTTCTCGGTGGCTCGTCAAAATCCATCAAACAAATGGCGCAGGCAGCTCGGTTTCCTTCCAACCTGACGAACGGCAATTTAGACTTTTCCCATAAATCCTCCCATTCTTCATCTCCTTCATCTACTTTTGGTGAGGAGTCGCCAGGCTGGGAGGGATATAATATGTTCCTTTGCAATGACCTGTGACGGCGGAGGAAAGCGAAACGGCCCCGTTTCTTGACAGTTCGGGCAGGGGTGGGAGGTAGTTGGGAAATAGGGGAGATCACTTCGAGGGGTTCATCACGAGCTGGCTCCATTCTGACGGACTCTTCAATTTCTATAGTGGGTGACTGGACGGCAGTTGGGGGATAAACATGTTGTTCTTCACCGCCTTCAGGGTCTGCAGGAGCCGGGGACTGAGATTTGGAATTTGCCCCTGTCGACAACGATTGGTCATTGCTGGCTGTGTTGCTGTTGTTGGCTGGCTCCGGAGCAGGTATATACAAAACAAGGGGTATTTTGTCGACAAGCTTTTGAGGCATCTTAGGGGTATCTGGGCTGATATGCCCAGGATCCAGCATCTGACGCGGGCTAATTGGTCGATGGCCAGTGCAAATCAAGACGATATTCAAAGCGATCTGTGCAACCAAGAGCAATTTAACCAATTTAGAATAAAAAAGATGAGGGGGGTGACTCACAAATACGAGAGGCATCAGAATGAATACCGTGAAACAAATCATGAGGAGCTCAAGGATAATCAAGTATGTCAAAGCCAAGATGGCGAAGGTGAGCCACCAGAGATGGGGAGATGATTTTCGGCAAGTCCGAGTGGATGAAAGGAGGAAATAATTCGTCATCGAAAAATGAACCATGACAAGTATCGTGGTAAAATTGTTTAATCTGCGTTGGCGCAAATATTCAGACAACCGTCAAAACCGGGAAGAAAAACGTACCTATCCCATAATTTATCCGACTCAGTGCGAGGCTGAGGCGGTGGCCCATTATGAGCCTGTGTATTATCCAACCCAGCTTCTGGTTGACTTTCAGGAGTCTGAGGGGTGGGCACTTCAGGGATGGACGGCTGTGTTGTTGTCTGCCGCCGTGATCTGTCCGACGAACGGTGCTCGACGTCACCCTCGGGTCTGATAGGTGGGAGTTAGTTGGTCGGGATGGAAGGAAATATCCACATTACCTTGGTCGGGTTCGGTAGAAACCCCAAATTATTAGGCCTATTCCCAGAACTAGTCGGACAAGCCAGACAATGCTCATGGGACCCAGTGGTTTATCACATGCGTCCCACTCTGATATATGGTTGTCTTCGGGACGGGGGGATCGCCACTTGGTGCGACTCATGGCTGCAAAGACGCAGACGATTGCAAGTTGGGCAACACAGAATATGACACGTGCATAGGTAGAGACAAGCCTCTTCCGTGCAGGATCCCCATGTCCGAAGAATGCACGTATGTTTCTATACAAGTTTTGATGCCATGACCGCCTTAGCGGGTCGACTCGCACTGTGACAACATGCCCACAATCCAAGATGCGTGAGAATATAAAAGATAATCAACAGATCAGTGAACTCACCAGGTATTGTCGCGCCCACGCTGTGTCTGGACGTTCGAGGTGGGGTGGAGTGCCTTCGGGATGCATGTCTAGCGCCCGGGGGCAATGTGTGACTTCCCATCGCTGACGATCGAGAACCAGACTGATTCAACGCACTAGGCCCAGCGGGAGTGCTAGGTATGCGGGGAAGACTGGGTAGAGGGGGGGGCAGAAGAGGTTCAGGGAAGAGTTCTTCGTCCAGACTGTTCCTTGGCAGTGTTGTGATATGCCGGTGGAGTTCGATATTTAAGGCGGGCGGTGGGACTTGTATGTCTAAAGGTTCAGCAGAAAGACCTTCCTCACGCACGCTTTGAGAGTCTCGGCGCCCGTCGGACGAATCATTGTCCATCTCTGACAAGTTGGTAATGAACTTCGACAGCGCAAATCGGTTACAGCATGTCGGCTTTTGCTTCCGGCCATACCTCCGCCAGGGGAATCCAAAAATGTCTTAAACCGCAATGTTACATGAGAGAAGATAAAAGGCATACATAGTCCGGAGTTTATTTCCATATTGATTCTGCACAACATATGCAACGTTATAAGGCTACAACATTTCCTCTTTGCCCCAAAAGAACAGCCACGATGGACTCGTAGCGCGTCCCTCCATGGAAGTAATACTCCCAGTCGCTCCGACGAAGCCAGATTACGCATGGGGCCCGTACGCAATAACTGCCGTTCGGATAACGAAGTACAGGTGATAACTGCCGACTATGCACCAAAAATGACGGACTGGTGGCAGAAGTCTCTAGGTAATTCATCGAAGCATCATCCAGATTTTAGTAAAGCAGCTTCGTAAGTGTTAGAAAGGATTAGGGTTTCTCCGAGTGGTCCGGGATCCCGGATTTCTTGAGCTCAAACCGGAGACCTCCCCAAGTGCAGAAGTGCACGGAAGACACGTTAGTGAAAAGAGCGGGCACTATCTAGGGTCGTCGGAGCAACTCACGGATGTGTATGTGGTTTTTCGTCACTAGACTCAATTTCATGAGGGAATTCGACTATGAGCAGCGAATTGATCCTTCATGCACTTCGTACATGCGGACAGCATTTCGGGTCCGAATAGACGCGAGATATGAGCCCTTAATTGATGGAAAGTGTCCAGCAACACCGGAGCGCAAATGAAATGAGCTGCATGCTATGGTAATGGTCATTTGCGAGCCGGGACGTCGGACGCCAAGTTGCACATTTTTCATTCCACGGGGTAACTTTGATCGTGCTAGTAAGCGGGGAGCGCTGGCAAGTACTAGAAGGGAGCAGAGAACACCAAAGTTGTAACTTGTAGCACCTTTCTCATACGATAATCTCTCAGTATTCTGGCTTCTTCCCCGATCCCGATACAAGCAGTGACAAAACGCCATTGGTTCCTTCGGGCCTCCCAGGGAAATCTTGAGGGGGGATACGGCTCGAATCGCGAGAGGTCCCGAGTTGTCGAATCCGTTTGGTTACCGTATTGAAAGAACCGAGGTGATGAACAGAAAAAAATTCCCAGAAAATGCCGAGAAAGATCCCCCGGAAAGAGGCTACTTCCCAAGCACCGAGTCTGAAAGTTGTCAGGAGCTTTAGGGTGTTGAAGTCGATCGGTTCGTCCAATAGGATTTGGGTATCACGTGTCATCATCTCCCCTTTTTCTTAGTTTTGACTAGACTCTATCCGATTCCGTCCACCAACTGGCGCGCCCAGACCGTTGAGCGAGTCTAACGCGCGGCATAGTCATGGCGTCGACATCGGCACCGGCACCTTCGACGCCCGAGCCCCGGCCGACCGTCAGCGAAGAAGAAAAGAAATCACCCTTGTTCTCCTCCCACCTTCCCGCCTATTTCATTGCGGGAGGAGCAGCCGGGGCCGCATCAAGGACGGTTGTGAGCCCCTTAGAACGCTTAAAGATTATCCAGTGCGTTCAGAATTGGATTTCCTGCCACCAGTCTCTGATTTGGGACAACATTGGCGCTGCACCAGACAAGTGCAGCCTCGGACCAGTGGCCAGCCCTATCATGGCGTATGGCGTTCCCTTGTTCGTATGTGGAAGGAAGAAGGGTTTAAGGGTTTCATGCGAGGAAATGGCATCAACTGCGTTCGCATTATTCCATACAGTGCGGTGCAATTCACGACGTATGAACAGTTAAAGAAAGTAGGCTCATCATCTTCATCCTATCACATCTTCATTCTAATCCACTTTGGTAGTTTTTCACTGGAAATGGGGCGAAACAGTTAGATACCCCAACGAGGCTGTTGTCAGGCGCCCTTGCTGGCATCACCTCTGTCAGTGAGTACATTCCCTGTTTTCCATGACGCAAATATATACTTTTCGGTCCGTTCAAAGGTGCGACTTACCCTCTCGACCTCGTTCGGTGAGTTGTGCGATAGTTCGGTTTTTTCAAGTGTCTTATGTTATTACGATGTCCATCCAGTGCGCGGCTATCCATTGCGTCGGCAACAATGCATGGCACGAACGCAAGCTCGAATGCGACAGCTGCTGCAGTTGCTTCGCCATCAGTGCGACAAGCTGCTCCCCTTTCATCCACAATTTCTAGTTCGTCGAAGCCGTCTACACTCGCCGCTGCCATGTCCACGGTGGCTGCCTCATCATCTGCACGTGCTCGCGGTGTGCCCGAGGTGCCTGGTATGTGGGCTATGACCCTCAAGGTTATGCGAGAGGAGGGTGGTGTTAAGGCTTTGTACAGGGGCATCGTCCCTACCGCTGTCGGCGTGGCGCCGTATGTGGTATGTTCCTTGTTGCGGTCCTCGACGTGAAACAATCCACGTATGTTATGAATGCAGGGAATCAACTTTGCAGCGTACGAGAGCTTAAGAGGAATCTTAACTCCTCCAGGACGCGACCACTCAGTATGGCGCAAGCTCACTTGCGGTGCTTTGGCCGGTTCGTAGTGTTATTTGCACAACATTCATAGCGCCAAATCACTAAGTTTATTTTTATTATACCTAGGGTCTATTTCCCAGACGCTTACCTATCCCTTTGACGTGTTAAGACGGGTAAGGATCCTATTTTGTGAGCAGCAACTGCTTCTGTCTTAACTGATCTGGTGGACTATAGAAAATGCAGGTGACAGGTTTGAATACGATGGATTACAAGTGTAACAGCGCTTTCGATGTCATACGGTCAATCTTGTACACCGAAGGTCCCTTAGGCTTCTACCGTGGAATTTGGCCAAATTTGTTGAAGGTTGCTCCTAGTATTGCCACATCGTAAGTGGTCACCGCGCGCCCATCAGATGCACACGTTTGATCTCCTGTTAGATTTTATACCTACGAGCTTGTCAAGGAATTTCTCCAGAAGCTATAGAGCAGCGTCATGATACACATAAACCGTAAGAGTAATTAGCCTTTAAGCTCACATATTTCTTTCCTCTTGGATTGGACTGGACTGGGTGTGCACATCTTCTTTATGATTGAAAATCCTCTTATCCGAGAGCCTGCAATGCCCTTATTAACCACTGTTTGCCTTACGAAGAAGACCATCATCCGAGTCCATATTGTTTATTCATTTGTTCATTGCCAGTTACCAACACTATCGCTTTGTAGATCGCAATAATTCCATTCCGAAACATTGCCCCATTGCACATACTTCTGATTGGCGCCCGTTGCGATCAAGCTTGTGTCGGAGGCCAAAGACGGCATCAACCAGATTTGCAATGATTATTACGTAAACAAACTCCTGACATTCGCCTGCACGCAGCAGCGAGACCGGGGCTCATTCTCCCTCCATCCTCCGCATGCAAGCCTAAACTCCAAGCTGATCATACTAGCAGAGGGGTTTTACGGTTGATTTACACACCCGTATAATATTTCTATACTAACTTATCAAGACGCCGCACTTTCCCAGCTCGTCGTGATCCGCATTACTTCGGGGAGCAGCTTCAAGTCTAGCTGCCCCGAGTTCATGCACTCGTGGTAGTAGTCCTGCGAACACACGTCCTTCGAGAGAATTTGCCTTTGTCACATCAAAATGTCCTCGACCAGAGATGCGACGAAAGGGTCGATCGGCCGTACCAATGATTGTCGCGCAAGCACCAATGTCGTTTCGCCTGTGTCGGGGCCAGTCGTTATGCCATCCCATTCCTCTACCTCCAGAGCAACAACACCTCGTATCAAACGTGTGTTTACAAGGAAGGACTCTATTGGCTTTGGATCCTCTCTTCCATTTTACAAGCCAGCACCTTCGATTGATGGCGCCCAAGCCACATCTACGGTCCCGAAATTGCCTCCTAAACAATCCTCGCCTGAGTGCAACCGGACTATCCGGGGAACAACACCTTTGGATGCTGGGGTGCCTGGTTCTGTCACTCTCTCTTCTCGAACGAGCACCACCAGTGAACCACATGAGAAGTCGCCCCGGCGCCCGACCCTGCTTAATATCTTCCAACATTCCAACCCTGAACCCAGGTCACCGCATCCCTCGAAGTCGAAAGACTCGATTCCTGCATCCCCACCACCCAAACCATTTGGTCTGCTTTCCAAAAAGAACAAGACGGCAATACCCTCGGTTTTCCAGGACCCTGACCCAAGTGCGGAAAGTCAATTGAATATGTCGTCTCTCAAGACCAAAGCTGGTGAAAATAAGGTGATTGTGACCGATAAGGAAGGGAAAGGTCTTTCCTCTGGATTCCAGTTCCCTCGCCCTCGTCTCGGATCCAGCGCAAAACTCCGTAACATCTCGCCTCCACCACCGCTCGGGCAACAAGTCCGTGGGGGAAGTTCAGTATTTGATTCTGCTCCGTCCACACCATCGTCGCCCAAGAAGACCATATCAACCTTTGCTGGGTTGAAGCTCAAGAAGAGTCGCTCCTCACTTGGGGTTCCAAAGCGACGCAGCATGAGTCTTGGCGATATGACACAATTTGTCAGCGAGGTGGGAGTGATGGCTACTGATGAGGCACAGGATGTGTCGACGCTCAGCTCCAAGGGCTCCCGACCATCTCAAGATAAATTCTTTGGGCGAGAACCTAGCTCCTCCTCGGACTTAAATCTCCAAGGGACGTCTGTGGGCTGGTCGGGCTACTCTATGAGTCCGACCACCCCTACCAAATCTTCAACAGGTGTGCCGAGTTCACCAAGCCCCTCTTCATTTGGGAAGAAAAAATCGTCAGCATTCCCTCCTCCGCCTCGGCACCCAACCACTTCCACATCCGCTCCACGAGGTGTTTCACCTCCTCGACCAGGACACCAACATCAGTTTTCAGCAAGCGCAAAGATGCACGAGCTGGGCCGTAAGGGATGGGATAAGATGGAGCGTCTCCTTGGCGGCAGAGAGATGCTTTCGCGTTCTCATAATGGCAGTGAGGGTGGCTCATCTATCTCCCCCGGTAATAAATTCTACAAGACGCAGGGCGCGTCGCCGTCTGAATCCACGACCCTCTCGGGTGGTGGGGACTCTGTTACAATCATGGCGTCTTCTATGAGCTCTTCAGGACCGAAGTTGCCCCTCCCTTTACGCCCTGCAAGATCCGAAGGCGGTGGCTTGTTGTTTGGTAGACCGTTGGCAAGTGCTGTAGCGGACACATTGATTGGCGCGTACTCTGATGACGATAGATGGTTGGACTTGAAAGGGAAGCAGAGAGGGTTAGCATGTCCTGCTCTCGTCGTGCGGTGTATCCAACACTTGGAGTTGTGGGGCATCGAAGAGGAAGGATTGTTCCGGTAACGTACCTTATGCTGTGCTGTCACTGTCTTATCTAAATGTTCAATTCCCAGCATTACTGGTCGATCAACTCATGCGAATAGGCTCAGAAATGAATTTGATGCAGGTATGAGTCTCCTTGGAGCCGTATTGGGGGAATTCTTGATCTCATGCCATTATCGATGAAGGTGCCGATTATGATCTACGAAATGCTGCCCCTGGCGATTTGGACCCTCATAGCGTTTCTTCTGTATTCAAGGCATACTTCCGCGAACGTAAGCTGCTCTTTATTGGTGTCGTCAACCCCTGCTTTATCCCTTGAACCCTTCAGTGCCGGAGCCTATCTTGACTCGGTCCCTCGCACGTTCATTTGATGATGCTTTGATGGGTAGCTCGAAAACTGCATCGTCTACTCCTTCGTCAATGCGAGATGCAACAGCTGACATGATTTTCGAGTTGCAATCCCTGATGACAAAATTGCCTCCTGAGAATTTCAGCGTCCTCCGAGAACTGTGTCGACTGTTGAAGAAGACATCGGATTACCAAGCTGTGAACAAGATGCCGCTTAGCAACTTGATTCTGATTTTCTGTCCCAGTCTCAACATGAACCCGTCGCTACTGCGTGTTCTCGTCGAGGTACAGGAGGACATCTTCTCTCCATCCCCGCCTTCGCGAACTACGACTACTTCTAAGTCCTCGAAAAGGTCACGGTTGAATGATTTTCGACAACCATCTGCGAGCGATTTGAAGCTTGCCAATGCCATGTCCTCGCCCCTTGCCTTGAATCAAACCCCAATAGTTACCCCCATCATTCACAGGATGCCGTCGATACCCAAACTCAGTAATTCTTCTTCTCGATCACAACTTCGTAGTAAACATTCTCATAACATCTCACTTCCAATACCATCTATCTCTCAACCAAGCACAACTGCTGAGAATGTGCTTACATTCCCTGGCTTGACAGCTAGTGAAGGTGCACCACAGAGATCACGGACAGGATCAGTCCGCGCACTTGGAAACTTATTTATCCCTCGCTCGAGATCTAATACTTTACGTTCGCCCGATTCGGAGTCTGGCAGGTCAAATTCACGACTTTCCTCTTTCCTCTCTACTAATGCTAGTACTAATGGTGATGAGACTGATGAGTTGCCAAAGGCATCTGACAACCCTCGACGGCGATCGGACACCGCACCCCACATCTCGTTGCACATCAGCACAGGTGGATTGTTGATCTCACCATCTTCGTCCCCTACCACAAGCCATCGGGCTTCTTGGTCCGAGCCCGTATTGCCACTCCCACCTACCGTTGACCACTCAACTGCACAAGCGAATGTGATCGTTGCGGATGCAGCCGGCTCGAGGACCCCTATCGCTGACCTCTTCCGCGTTGATACGGCGGCCTATGGGCGATCATTCAAGAGCACAACTGTTGTTTCGAGTGGTAGCGGCAATAGTGCTGCTGCGTCCAGCTCTTCAAGCTTTACGAAGGATACATGGAAGTCCGTGGGCAAAAGCGCTGGTGCCCCTATTGCGGCTCATGCAACGTTGGACAAAAAAGCGATCGACCATGGCAGTGTTGGTGGCACCGTTCAAAATCCGAATTCAACAGGGAATGTGAGTGGGAACCCGACCATCGGAGTTGTACCGGCTTCTAGTTCCCCGAACCTGCATGCACCTCGATTGTCAGTTCAGCGCGGTGCGAAGAGTCCCCAGAACGAAGATTGGGCTACGAGCGTGTTGATCGCTGCTCGGGTTGAGCCTACGAATGATTCTTGTCTACCAGTCCTTACCTCGACAAAGGCGACAGGCGTCGCCGGGTCCTGACTCCGTTTCAGGGGCGGAGGACCGGGCCCTCAAGAACGAACGAATCTTTTCGGATCTTCTTTGAGAATGGTGAAATTCATTGGAACGTAGGATATCTGCGTAGTTTTTTTTTTTAGCCGCCTTTCTCCATCAGTCCCTTCACATGTATTCACTCCTTTAATTGGTACCTCCCCTTGCAATTGGCCATCTTTTGGGGCTGGTCAGGAAGGAGGGAAGAATCATTCGCTTACACAGTCGGGCCTCTATCCGTTTCCTTCTTCCCCGTTCTCATAAACACTAGTTCTCCTTCCGTTGGGCTCCCTTTTTTATTATTACTTTGATTCTGTGTTGCTTCTCATCCGTCATTCGAAGACCCCCTTTTCAGTCATCCACAAATAACCAAGAGTCCTTCAAGTTCACCGTGTTCTCCTTCACGATACCCAACCCATCAAAGTGACGAGTGTATGCGTGTCATGCATGGATGGTTCACACGTAAATAAAGTTACGACAGGAACATCGTAGTCCTTGCGCGATAATTCTTTCAGTTACATACTACAGTACATAGGCACAAGTCGCTCGTGATGAAGATGGCGTGTGGAGATAGTGGGGCTGATCCCTGTTGTGAATATCGAGGTCTCCCTCGCCCTTGATTTCCACTGGTATTACATATGTGATCCAGCCTGGAACGTCTTCGGATCCAAAAGTCACCTCATTCCCTAATTCCACAAGGGAAGAGCACGTACAGTGCGTTCCGAACCGTCCCCGAAGATCGTGACCTAAGCTTAAGGGCAGGGTCAAGGGAAAGATCGCTGGTGTTACGGGACACCCAGAAAGAGGGCGACGACTTTCTGCGTTCGGTTGTTTTGGATCACGGGGACCACGCTTGAAGAAAAAGGCATCTTGTCAATTATACGAAAAGCAGGCGTAACCATAATCGTAAAAGCCAGATGGGCGGAAATGGTATTATAAGCGGGGAATCCCCCAGATCATCTCGAAGCTGCCAGCGTTTTTTGACAAAGGCGAGAGTTCGAGAGCTTGGAGTGAGATAGGCCTGGAGGGTATTATGGACGTCGAGGACCGCCCGTGGCCTTTCATAACAAGAGAATAAAACACCTCGACGACGGGCTTTTTTCCCTCTAATTATCTGATTTGTCGGAGTTATGTATGTAATAACAATTGTTAGAGGAATGAATGAATAGCCTTGATTGATTGTTGTTAGTTGATCATAACAATTGATCGCTTTGAACAATAACGGCAATCCCCATCAACCACCCCCCCCCTTCCAATATCTCCCTAATACTTGAACTCACTCGCCGACTTCATTCACGACGTCGAACCCCTGTCTCTCAACGTTATGAGTAGCGGGACACGCAAGAAATCAGTGCCAGGGATAAATGGAGGCCTTCCACAAATTGACACTGGTGTCACGAACAATCTTCTCAAGAAACCAGGCTCATCAGCCGTCCCTCTCTACCAACAATGCTCAGCGCTGGGCGCCCGTCTCTCCCGTGTACACGACTTTGCACCCTTCCTGAATATACATGCTAAATCACAACAGCAACAAGACGGACTGTCCAGCTCATCAACAATAACACCACCCACTCTTCGTCGATCCGTGGATCCGGTCCATGGACTCTGGGACTGTCTTGCCCTCGGGACGCCTTTATGTTTCCTTTTCAACTTATTAGACATTCCTATCGAAATGCGTCTCAAGGTCGACACCGACCCAGAAGAGATCGACTCAAACGACGTCAAGCGATGCAAGCAGCACATCGCTCAGTTCCTCATGGGTATATCCAACCTTCAGAAAGTTGGTAAATGGGATGGCACCGATACTTTCCTTCTGGTTGAGCTGAATGGCCCCGAGCGTAATACAAACGGCTTCGTGAAGGTGCGCATTTGACTTGGCGTATTCTTTTAATTAGTCAACCCTGCCTCATGCGGCCGTGTTATCATTAGGTCGTGGCGGTTCTGTCGCAGCTCCTTGACAGGCTCCCTGGACATGTATTCATGGAAGAACCCATGCCGTCCACATCACTTGAGGGTGATAGTACTGACGAATTATCGACAAGCAGTGATGGGGATGCACCAGCAGACCCCAATGAGGCGTTTCGCAAACACCTCATCAAGGAACTTCTTGACACCGAGCGCCAGTACGTCCGGGACTTAGAGGTCATGCAGGTGTGCACCACAATTTTCTTCGAATCTCACCATTTTTCTCACCAGAATCGAACCCTGTTTACAATAGAATTTCGCGACGGCTCTCCGAACCCAGAATCTAATGAACCAAGACACAATTCATCGTTTGTTTCTGAACACGAACAGCCTTTTGGACTTCCAGCGACATTTTCTTATCGACTTGGAAGGTGTCTTCGAGCAGAAATGGCCTGAACAACGATGGGGTCAGGTCTTTATCGACCACGTGAGCTTCATTATCCTTCGATTTTCAACCCACCACTGATCTAACTGCATATCAAACAGGAGACGGAATTTGAGGTATATGAGCCGTATTGCGCGAATTTCGAGAGCGCATCAAAATTGCTGCTTGAGGTGCAGGATGCCATGATGGTGGGTCCTAATCGGGATTACCCGGGTGCTTTGCCGTCGGTTGCTAATCACTCTATCCTCTATTTGGCGTTGCAATCCAATAGCCGTTATCTGAGATACTTAATCCTCAGACCGAGTTGCCAGCGTTCTTAATTAAACCTGTGCAGCGGATTTGCAAGTACAGTTTGTTCCTTGAGGTGAGCCATTTCGTCGCGATGGCATCAATGTCGCGCGTCTTGCCATGTTGCCGATGTACTGATTGTAAACTTCGACCTTCTGTCAACTTTGCCGACTTTCGCGCGTCTGCGTTTATGGCGTTCAACTTGGACCAACTAAGACTCTGAAAAAAAATCTGGAAGCTAGCGCCGGCGCCCCCTATCCATACATAGATGAAGTAAGGGAAGGTTTCGAAGCTAGCAAACGCTTCACCGCCCGCATGAACGAGGCTCAAAGGCGAGCGGACAATGTCGCTACCGTCAAGGCTCTTGAGAAGCGGGTGATCGATTGGAAGGGTCACCATATTGCCAATTTCGGAGAGCTCAAGCTGGATGACATGTTCGCTGTAAACAAATCGGACGTCGATCGCGACTATCATGTGTTCTTGTTCGAGAAGATAGTTCTCTGCTGCAAGGAGCCGCCAGTTGCTGGGCAGAACACTTCGACGTTGAAGAAGTCAAAGAAAACCGACTCACTTTTGAAGAAGGGTGGGTCGACGCCGGTGCCACCTGTTCCATTGAGTGCTCAGGCAAAGAAGAGTGCTGGTCCTCTCATGCTGAAGGGGAGGATTTTCCTGAGCAATGTTACGCTCGCCAAGAGCGTGACTATTGACGGTGAGCTGATGTTCTCAGATTCTGTCTTGCATTGTGCTGACAGCCCATGGTTTCTCAGGTGTACACGGCTTGGAAGTCTGGTGGCGTGGGGACGATGAACTTGAGTTCTTCACGCTCAAGTGCAGAACAGAGGAACAAATGAAGATGTGGGAAAAGGAACTCAACACTCTCATTAATGAAGCTCATCGCCGATCACACGCCGCCGACCATGCCCGCTCTCCGACGTTCGGCTCGAGTTCCGTTCATCCGTCGATGGTGGCTGCGGCATCACCGATCTTCGCAGCATCTCCGTCGTCTTCCCAAAGTCTTGCTCCATTTGGTAGAGGCAAGGATCCTCGCCAGTACTTGGGTAACACCCCTATCCCGCTCTCTGCCCAGGGTTCACAACGTTTGAATCAAGACGACGACGCATCTGCGGATGAGGACTTCGACGTGTCGGACATACGGGACGGCCGTACTTCGGCCGCTTACATGCGTCGCCCGGGATCGACGCCTGCGCCCAGTCATGCATCGTCGTCGTCCTATGGCGGGCACAGTCGACCGGCAACGGATGGATATCCCGGGCATCATTACCAGCGCTCAGGATCAAGCTTCCGTCATCATCCACCCCCCCTGCCGAATCAGCAATCACAGCAACAGCAACCCGTTCGTCCTGTGTTGAAGAGTCAGTTTAGCTCTTTAAGGCTCGGTAGTGAGTATGCCGAGGATGAAGATCCAAGACCGAGAGCTGCTACTACGGGCCATGAGCGTTCGATACCAAGTCCGTTTAATCCACGTTTGAGGAGCATCAGTACCCCTACGGCCCCACAGCAAACCCAGCACAAGCGACCCCAAGTCCCAAATAACCATATACAAGCTTGGTCGGCTACGGCATCACAATCTTCTCTTATGTCAACCTCGACCGACAATAAGCGGGGCAGTGGCAGCTCTGGTGTGAGTGATCGCTCGTCTGGTTTCTCGACCAACGAACACAGTGGTGGAAGTCCAATCACTCAATATGGCTCGTCGAGCGGGTCTAACATCTCGACAGCGATGCTGCCGAAGTCGAAGCTAAGCGAAGGACATCAGCTCCCTCCAAGTACTCCCCTCGTTCCCAATACTGCTGGTACTGCCAACCCCAACGCGAAGGTGAAGATAAAGGTCCACTACCGCACAGACATCTTTGTGATTGCCGTTCCCAAAACGGTCAATTACCAAGAGTTGCTGTTTAGTGTCACGAAGAAGGTTCGATTATGTGGAGGAGATCGGGATGACAGTCCCTTGCGGATCAAGTACGAGGATGAGGATAACGATATGATTACCTTGGGCTCCGACGAGGATATTCAGATGGCGTTCGATACGAATCTCGCCCAGATCTCATTCCACGTTGCGTAAACCGTCATTTTCCAAATCCGAGCGTGTTCACCGAGCCTCCTCTTCCATATGTCCTGTGTCGTCCTCCAATCCTTCCCTGAGTCCCTTCCCCCGCCCACTGGTTATCATTATCAACACATTCTTGTCGAACTAAGGTTATTCGATCGGATTCCAATGCACCTCTTACAACTGATACCAAAACCTCAACGATACATTACACCCCCTACCCTACATCACCGGACTCATAATCTGAGTCAACATTGAAGAAAGTATTTTAGGATTCTGCGTACGTAACACTCTTCTCCCGGACCGCCCTTGCCTCAATCGATAGACCTGTTGTAACAACATCGTCTGTCATAACTCTATTGTGTCTGTCTATCAGCTCCCCCGGCATCGTTCTAGATTTGTCCTTTTTGATATTCTTCGCCCTGCGTCTCCTACGGTTTTGTGCCTGGTTCAGTTCGCTAGGCTACATTTCTACGTTCGTTTGATTCGTTTTCTATTCCTCCTTGGCGATATCTGTGCTTCATGACTCAATTTACTACAATTCTACATTCACCACAAACAAATTATATACAGGGCATCCACCAATCGAGCGTTTTCCCCAACACTTCCATTAATTCTCTTGGTTATCTCCACTACACCTTCCTTTTTGACGCCCGTTTCCACATTCCACATTTCTTTTCCTTTTATCGTTCCTCTCTTCGTCTGTCGTTTGATTCGTTTCCTTTGCGCATCACTGTGCTCTGTACTATATGTCGTCTACTTGGGATGTCGGGAATGAAATGACTGCTGATTGGCACGGATTTGGGTCGTTGATGCGCACGTACGGTGTTTTCAAGTGCATATGTATACCGTATTAGCACACTTTCAACTCAGACCCCAGCACTGTTGAGGCACACACGCAGAGGTTAGCTAAATCCATGTGCACACAAGAACAAGTACTAGGGCCGTCCAAAAAGCCCTCCAGTTCACTAGCGTTGTTTGAGAAGATGTTTATCGCGCATGTGGGCCTCGCGCCCGAATCAACCGCTGATCAGCACCATGTGATCATGATTTCATTTGTCGCTGCCTCATTTACAACCCAACCCTCTTTACTTTATCCTTTTTAGTCGTTAACCGCTTGACGTTTCATTAGTACTGGTTCTCATTCACGATGTTTGGCCTAACTAACCCCCCAGATCGGGTATAGTGCTTACCGTGGTCCATGAGAAGGCTGAGCCAAACCTCCCAATAGATGGCGAGGGTTAGTTGGTAGGAACCTTCTATACGCGGACCCTTTGCGCCCGTTTGTTTTTACTAGTGCTGAGTTGCTCGTTATGTTTCATGATATGACGTGAATAAGAGCCTCTACCCGGCAGATAATACTGCTGTTTCTACACTGTCTGATTGGTGCGAGGCGTTTGTTCAAAGCTAGAATGACCATGTTCGTGTAGTTTAGTTAGCGCCGCACAGCCATTCCGTGTCCTTGTCAAGGAGCGGAATGACACAAGTATTCCCAAAAGTGGACAAAGCAACTGCTGTATGCCGGCGTTCTCCGATTAAATTAAGTGCAGCAAGGCAACTATAATAATTTCCATGATTAGCTCTTGCTCGAACAGTATCGCCAACTAGATGACTCGTAACAACGTGTGGCTGCGTTGCTGCTGAAAAGCAACTGGAATTCGCTTTGTCTGGCTGTGAACTTGTGTGTACTGACAGAGCGCTCTTTGGCGACCACAATGATGGGCAGATACGAATCATTGGATTGACCAAGGACATCAAACCGCAATGCTTGTGTTAGTTACTAACTATCGGTTGAGTTGTCATAGAACCTTTGGATCCTGTCCGAAAAAATACAAATCTGTATCAATACATTATAACTCAATGCAACACAATACAACGGCCAAAACGGATCGGTGGCAATGCAAGTCTTGCGTTGATTACTTGATGTTGCAACAGCCACCCTGCGTTGCAACGGGACCATTGAGTTTAAATGCATTGCAACGTGACCACAGGGCAATAGCCCAAAAGAAATGCAGATATTCTTCAGGGGTTCGAACAGACAACCCTACATACTAGGGGATATGAATACATACTACACATACCTATTATATTGAAGCACCAATACCGTCTATAGTAATACAGCACAACCCTACCACTCGGCCAGCGAGCCCAGGCATATAAGGTAGACCGTCCGGTTTTATATGAATTTCTATAATTCATACAATGATCAATACCCAACAAAGTATTGTTATATTGCTCCCGACTCATAATCTGTACACCTTGCTGGCTGCTGTCCAGTGGGGTGTCAAGACTGTTTCCCATGGTTTAGCCGTTGAATAGCTTCCAGAATGTATATAATTTGAGACTGAATTGACCAATAGATTATTGAGAAAAATGCGAAATTGGCTGTCCAACTCATTGTCTGTGCACAATGCTGGCCACTGTCCAGAGGGGTGTCAGGACTGTTTCCCACGGTTTCCACGCACTTTACACCAATGGATAGCCCACCTGAATAGCTTCCAAAATATATAATTTGAGACTAAATTGACCAGTAAATTATCGAGAAAAACGCAAAATACTTTTTCAGACGCGAGTCTTTGGGATAACTCAATGTCTGTGCTCATGCTGACCACTGTCTAAAGGGGTGTCAGGACTGTTTCCCACGGTGTCAACACACTTTACATCGATGAATAGCCCATTTGAATAGCTTCCAAAATATATAATTTGGGACTGAATCAACCCGTAAATTATTGAGAAAAGTACATTCTGGACTGCAAGTGAGCCGCTGAAGTGGGTTGCCATATTTGGAACATCGCATTTACAGCAGACCTTCCCCTCAGAACTAACGGAATAATCGTTGGATAATCTAAATATACAATGAGTAACAAGATGTAGAATAAAGAGCAAGTAACTGACCTCAGTCTCGCGCGAGAACTGAGGGAAAAAGAAATTAACTCAGATGATTGAATATAGTATGTGGCTAAGTCCGAAATAGCCAAAATAAGAAAGGGAAGCGTGACTTTTAAGGGAACAAGTCACATGGCCTAACCGAGTAAACCTTCGGAAGAGGTCGCACTAGTGCCTAAAGGCACTATTTGCACTACCCTCCAACAAGAACTCTTGTCTGAGTCTGACTGAGCTCACACTACATAGTCTTTCTTTTCTAAACATAACTCTAATGCCGACATTATTAACTCAGCTGTAGTTGACACTATACAAATTACCCTAATGCTTAAGGTCCATGCATATATATATACAAAGGGATGAATCGAGGGAAATCTACCTAAGGTGACTCCTGTGTGGACTTGCACGCTTAGTAAAATCCTCAGATATCTCCGGTGACTCGCATGTCCAACAGATATTGCAAACCCGGACTAAAAATATTTATGTAGCACATTGGTTGTTTATTGGCATGCAAGTATAAGTGCCATTTATGCCATGTGAAGTCCCATTGTAACAGTGTGCCCAAGCATTGAGATGTGTTGCAATGCATTGCAACGCATCGCAACGAATATCACGTGACGTTGCGGATTTGTAACTTTTCCGACACCCCATGCAGACGCATGCGTGTTGGAGCAATGTCCTTAAATCACGAAGGGATTATTTGTTGCACCTTGGTATATTCCCTCCCACGATGGGGAAACATCTTTCTCCCTCCCTCCCTAGGGGGCAAAGGCCTCTCTCTTGACACAGTACTTATTTCAGCACATACGCGTACGCATAATGATCAATCTCACCGGTGGCTTGGATCCGTTTCCGTTGTGGTGGTAATGGAGGCGCTGCCGAGTGATATTTGTGATCGATTTTTCTCACTACCCTTACGTTGTATTGATTTGCCAAGTTATCAATCCAGAAGGAGCTGAATCGAATAACGAACCGGACACCTTGGGGCGGCTACATACTGTATGTACTCGTGTAGTATTGTTCCGGTGCGCAGTTGTTGTTCGATCCTTCGGGAGCTTAGCTAGATGATCGATTCGCACGAAGCTTCGCTCAGTGACACAGGTACATTTCCTTCGGGACCCCTTGTGCCACTCACCGCAATGACTCCACGGAACTGAAACGATCCGCAGCGCTGTGAGGAAATGGCGCTGTTCCTCCCTGCTTGAAAAGGTAATACTTGCTTCCCCTTTGCTTGCCGTGACTCGCTCTGTCATGGGGCCTGGAATGCGCCTCCTATCGTGCAGACGGTTATATACCACTGTTCAAGAACCCCAGATGAACTCCATCCATTCTCATCATTCAGGATGTCCATTCAGTATTTTCCAATCGTATGTGACCGGCCATGCCTCTCACCACTTTCTGGAGCATCACCCCCCATGTTGGTATATCCGCCATCGTCGCCTGCTTATACCATTACTTTTGGAGTAACCATGACGCCTGGGCTCCTGGTCACGTCCATACCTCCAAGTCCGAGTTCAAGCCCCTTGAGGTGCTCTCGATGTCCTCCCATTCGCAATTCGAATATCATCCCACCTACTCCGATGAACACACCTTCTCCAGTGTACCCCAATAGGTATCGTCACTAGCAAACCACTCGGACGGCCTTCAGTGAGTTGCACAGGGAGTTGATAGTTCCACAATAGCACCCTAACGTCACTGTTTTCCCAAGGGCCAGCAGCACTTGAGATGCGGCGTAGATTCTGGAGGGGGGGAAACAGCCCTCGCCGCTATTCACCAAGAACCCCTAGAATACCACCCTGTTCATATTTCGTTATATTTTTCGCATGGAATTATGGCCTGTAAAGAATGTTCGTGCGATCTGGGGGCAAGTGCATATCCTGATTTTCCTTGCTGCGAGACATGGTTCGCTTGCTTGAACGTTTCGAATTACCGCAAGCAGTAGAATGATATGCACGGACAAACCTGTACCATGAATTGAGCGAAGATTCTATAGATGGAATTCCAGAAGGCCTGTCATGCATGGCTGAAAATCCTCAGAGGCGGGGTCGACAGTGGGAGGCACCCAACGTAAGGGGGTAACTCAGTCGCTGCTTATCTGGTCGAATCCCATCACAGTTCTCAAGAGGGAAGGTGTTCCAATAGCGTAGTACGACACCGCTCAGGTGGCTTTTCTGTTTACATAAAGTAAAGAACGACGCGCCTCAGATCTGCGTAGTGTCTCAGTAGCTTTAAGGGAAAGAAACTACAACACAAGACTCTGATTTCCACGCACAGAACGTGATTGCTTTTGCGTGAAAATTCGAGTCTTGGTGGTGAGTAAGTCGTCGCAACGGTGTACCGAATCAGCTCAAAGCCGGTCAGGTTGGTGACGAAACAGCAGGATGATGGTTACGACAGCCAGGAAGCAAAGCAATTTAACAAGCGCGCCAGGTAGAGGAAAGCGAAGTTGATCCTCAAAGCTGTTCGGATTCGCTGCACACTGCCACTTCGAGTCAATGACTCATGAGGCTTCGTAGCGATCAAGGACCTCATGGTAGTCATTCATCTTACGCAGTTCCATGACCACTGTCACTACACCTACCGCTCGCGTTTCTGTCAGTGCCTGATGCCCTCAATGGATGAAACTCACAAAATTCAACACCCAAACGGCAAGCCATTCAACGCATTGTAACTACGCGGACGCAGCGGTGTTAGTTGTAGGATTTTCGAGTTGTGCACTACCACCAGGTACCTGAGCTATTCTACGACTTGACAGCTTGATCGTAGGCGTACGGTTCGACCACCTCATCTACGACCCTTGGCACAGCGACGGCCCTATAGGGCCGCCTCTCACTTATTCCCTCGATGCAACGTGTGATGATTGGGAGGCTCACCTCAAAATGTTTTGTACACCTTCCATTGTGACCGCTTCGGACTCAGCATCACTCTTGACGAGCAAGAGGCCGGCAAAACCAACAGAATTCACAGAGACTGCATCTCCTGACTGTCCGAGAACGTGCTTGTCATGCGAACGGGGTATTATGTGCATATGCGATTTGGTAATAAGGAGGTTATACTGTCAGGCCGAAGGTATAGTTGTCACTGAACATGATGCGCAGGGACCAGAGCGGAACATACATTGAGTGCACCCGTCTCGTGCTCGTTTTCATTGTCATGTCGGATCGAAACAATGGAAAGATCAAGGAGAGACATAAATGCCTCCGTCAATGTTTCGTACAGTTCTTCTGTTGGCGTCGAGGACGAGGCGAAGTGAGGGGGGAAACGCCGAACATAATGAGCCCATGGGACACCCGGGAGGGCAAATGGTTTCGCTAGGGCGAGCACTTCATGAGGGAGAATGTCCTGCGTTCGGAGACTTCTCTCGAGAACTTACAATCATTTTCGAGATTCGTCCGGCTAGCTAATACCTCGATCGGTGGACCATCGGGGGAAGATAGTGGGAAAAGCTGGAGGTGCTTGTGGCCTTGGCTTGCGCCACTCTTGACACCGCAGTTGAAGAACCCGAAAAAGGGGTTTCCAGCGCGGGATGCGGCGGTGATGAGAGAGTAAACCGCTATCAGGTCCTCCGGAGTGGGCGGCGTTGATTGGGGCAAGTACTCTATACGCAGACATATTTATTTGGTTAATGGGGCTTTTGGGCGTAGTTTACATCGTACCTCACCTTTCGTAATAAGGAGGAAATGGTGCTTGACTACGCTGAACTTGGTGACTCTTGTAAGGTCCTGCACACTAGATTAGAAGCTACCATTCACCTGTACTTATTGAGCTAGTCATTTGAGATAATATCCTTTTTCAGGTGGTTTACGACATCGCCCAGGCAATTTCAGGCTCACCATAATGATATACTTCGAGTCATTTTCCCCATGGAGCTCACCCACTAGTAAGTCCTTTGAGTATGGTGGCTCAAATGGATCAGGCTTCCCCTTCGGCGGTGACGCGGAGAAGTGAGGTGTGGGCATAACGGGCTTGAGGAGCAGCGCTGGACATTTCCTTATCTCATACTGCACACGAGCAAAAGCATGCAAATCATCGAGAATGGGTGATCGGCGGATCATTGAGGTGATGAGCAGAGACAGAAAATAAATGAGCAGGGGTGCTAGCACACCTCTATGCCGTGCTCTATGTGCGTCGACGTCGTGCTATCGTAGAAGAATAGATCGCCTCCAACGCCGCTTTCAAAGACGCTGGAGAGCTTTGCAATGATCTGGTCAGGAGTAAGGACATTTGGGTGGTATATTTTATCTCCCATCCTACGAATAAATCTTCTTGCTGAGAAAGGCTGATACCGTGGGGGGAAGGGATAGGAAAAACCACGACGAGGAGAACGGTTCAACCTCCAGAAAGCGTGAGAAATGTTCATAATTAAGGAAACCGGCGCTTAGTATACAGTTATCCGCACGTGAAATTCGCTCAAAATTTTCCCGCTATTTCGGAGCAGGTCCTACACAGCGATTCTCCAAAATTCACATTATTCAGGTCCTCTAAAGCGTGCACTGCATCTCTCTCACGAGTCCTCCCTGTGCGGGCCTCTTGCACATTCCTGTGCAGATCCCTGTCCTGTGAACTTAAGCTATCTTCTCACCAAATTTCCATACCTCACACCCTGGCCTGTATTTTTAAACCAACCCGGCCTCGCCATGCATGTCGCCATGGGCTCTGTTTTACTCATCCGATACGGTTCCTGTATCTACCTGGGTATCGTGCGTGCCACTGGCACTCAGCCGACGATATGACCGGTCTACTCAATGATGCCAAGGCTATCGGAGTGTCCGTATCACACTTATCCCAGGCTTAGCGAATGCAGCTTATCTATCCTTTGTCTGGGATGAATAAGGGGTGTAGTCTCGGACATTGCCGGACTCCATGTCATCTCTGCCATTTTAAACAATTCAAATTCTGCAATTATGATGTTTACCTGTTTAATCCAATGCGACTCACCCGGGTCAGGTGTTGTTTATCCACTCAGTGGAGTTGCCGAATTTGGGTTTCGGAACTCTGCGCCTTGATGGCAAATACCGAAGGGAGTCCTAAAGAAATACCGACATCCGAGAGCGGCATTTTTGCCGCGATATGTTGACAGGTGTGTACCGCCACAATGGATTTGCGTCAAAACGATACAAAAATACACTCACTCCCCCAAATTTACATCACGTGTACAACCCCAACGCAACCGTGGGAAAGTCGTGGGAGCTTGCCAACTTTCTCCTCTATCTCTAGAGAAAGCTCGATGTCAACTAGTGAGAATGTGAGATCAACGGCATATCGCCGTCAAGGTATGAGGCCAAATTGTTTATATAGGTTAATCTAACGCGCGCACAAGGCCCAACCAAACGCGGTCAATCGGGCATCACAGTCAAGAAAGTGTACCTCTTCATTTACAATCTCCTGTCCACACTTGCGTGGTCCTACTTACTCTATGTTACGATCCTCCACCTTGCTGGCGTCATCCCTCCCCTATCACCATTCCAATCCACTGCCTCGGCCAAAGCATCGCTGCTTGTCAAGACCCTAATCAATCAGCTCCCTCTGACGCTTAGGAATGCCTCGCCTCTAACTCAGGCTAAAGCGAGAGTGTGGGAAAACATTCCCTCTGAGGTTGTTAAGCCTTATTTCGAGAGGGCCACCACCCTATATGCTCGCATTGGACCAGAAGTCGCGCTTATTCAGACAACGGCCATCCTGGAGGTTGTGCATTCGCTCCTTGGGCTTGTGAGGAGCCCCTTTACTACGACACTCGCACAAGTGGCTAGTCGCCTTTGGACTGTGTGGGGCATTGTTGAGAGGTTTCCTCAGGTATTGGCGCTTCCCACGCATAGATGTCACGCTAGCTATAATAAATTCGCCGTCAGACCCACTCGAACCCTCTTTATGCATTGATGGTGATTGCCTGGTGCAAGGCTGAGATCATTCGCTATACTTTCTATGCATTGAGCATATTGGGCTATGAACCTTATTCCATCAAATGGCTAAGGTGAGGGCAGAGCTGCTTTTAGTGTCCCCACTCCTCAACTGATTCTGCCTAGGTATTCCGCGTACTACGTCAACTACCCTATTGGAGCGTCCTCGGAAGCTTTTCTCGCCTTCTCGACACTCCCACCTCTAACAACCATCTCGTGGACCCTTGATGAATATTTCCGCCTCATATTGTTCCTTCTTTGGTGGCCGGGTATGTGTCCGTTGTTTGATGATTGTGTATTCTCCCTCTAACGCATTGGCGGCCTCAAGCTCTACATGGTTTGATGTCATATATGTCGAGTCAACGGCGGAAGGTCCTCTTCGGCAAGACAAAGACGGCCTAGGCATGTGGAGTTGGTCTGAGTCGGGAAGAGTGCACCTTGATATGAATGTCATTATAACCATTTGCGATGCGGCAATACAAAAGTCATACAAAATTATATAATCGGGTACGTTGTGGAACAATGTGGCGCAAGTCATCAATGCTAATATGTGCGGAAATCGAACAACTGGTCGTTCATCGCCCACCACTCCTATATTAATTGGCTCCTTCGAATATCGAGTTATGAGTTGGGATGAAGCTCGATCAAAGTCAACACACCTTTTCCTTCCATATAATCTCTGAATATTGATCTATCAAAAACTCCTCCAACACGTTTCGCACTCCCATCCTCTGGTGGTGGCTCTGAAGGAGAAGTGATAGCATAGTGGCGGCTCTCGAAGAAATCTCCGGCGCTTGTGTTGGGATCACGTCGAGCCGGGTCGGGGGTAGGAGGAAGAGCAGCTGTCGATATGCGATCTACTTCCTTGGGTGACGGTGAGAAGTAATTGCTCTGCGCAAGAGGAGACGAGAAGGATGATGGCGTGCCAGGGGGAAGGGCGACAACTTCTGAGGCAGAATGTGGTTCGTCAAGGCCGTGCCCCTCCTCGTCATAGGCAGTCGATGGTCGAGATGAAGGTCGAACAGGAGCGGGTGTTTCAGTTACTATCAGGTTCAGGTCTTTCGGAGTAGCGCGTCCATTCTGGTTGTCGGTGGTATTCCAGTTCTGCTCAACCCAACTCGGTACCTGTCGACTTGATGATGCTTGTTCAGAGTTGAGCATACCCATCATAGGAATCGCCTCGTCTTTTTTCTTCCCGTTTCCATTGTCTGGAGGTGGAGGCGTAAAAGAAATCAAAAAGTTCCCTGGGCGAGATTTGACGACAGTATTCCCGTCTCCGCCTCGGCCAACATATGCTGTTCGTCGTACAGAGTTGTCATGAGCATCACTGAACACCCCTGATGGTTGTTTCCGAGAAAGTCGCTGTTTGCGAAGAAGGGCTCGTCGACGCTTCTTGATTACCCAATTTACAAATGATATCGTCCAAGCAATGCCAATGACCACTCCACAAATCTGAAAGGTAATCCGTGATCATGGAGTACTTCTGGAAGAAAGAAACAGCCAAGGAAAGACGTACTACGCCAGTAACGATCTGGAAAGCAGGAATCGAAGAAATGCTTCAGAGGTTAAGGACTCCACTTTGGTAACCTCAGGCTGTGGGTTGGCTTACAGGAGTTTTTGGTCTATCCCTCGGTTCTGGGTCGTCGGTAGAAGGAAACGAAAACTTGTCAGATGCGACCGTCATGCTCCTAAAGAAGTGTGCTAGACACTTGGAGGCTGGTCAACAAACTAGCGTGAGTTCGACGTCGTGAGAGTTAATTTGACAGTCTCCTGGTCACGTGCCCAACCGATGACCTGGACCGACGACGGGCGCTATTCCGTCATATTGTTATATCTCGGGCTCGGGCACTCCACCTTCAAACTCACCACCGTTCCTGGGCATACACTGCATTGAGAGAAAGGCGCTATAACCGCAGCCTCGTGTCTGTCGACTTTACTGGGAAAATATGAAAACGCTGCTTGCTTCACTCCCTGTAATACTCGGCGCCTCCCTCATTCACTGCACGCCGACATCACTTCGACCCATCAGGACACCTGCTCCCCGGAGTCCAGAACACCCCTTTAATGCCTCGATACGTCCCCTAGTGTTGTGGCATGGTCTCGGAGACTCGGCGAATTCTGAGGGTATGCAAGCGTTCGCTCAACTTGTGAGGGATGTCCATCCCGGACTCTTCGTTCACAGTATCTACCTTGAGCATACTGAGGATGCAGACCAAAAGGCTGGCTGGGTAGGTATCCTTCAGACTCTGCAAAACTCCCCTCCACGACTGCTGCAATCTGAAGTAAGAACTGATAAGTTCTGGGGATTAGTTCGGAAATATCTGGGAACAACTGGGAATTGTCAGTGCTCAGCTAAGCAGTATTGCGGAGCTTGATGATGGGTTTGACGCTATTGGCTTTAGTCAGGGTATGATCCTTCCCTTCACTGAACTAAAGATGAGTTGATACACTGCCTTGTGCGTGTTAGGTGGTCAGTTCCTCCGTGCCTACGTTGAGAAGTACAACAAACCTCCTGTCTTCAATTTGATTACGTAAGTATGGCAGACGGGCCGCCATAACATGAATCCTTATGTGCGGATCAAGGTTTGGGTCACAACACATGGGTGTTGCTGATCTCCCTGTGTGCCGTCCGGGCGACTTATTCTGCCTCCTCGCTCGATCCATTGCGCGCCGTGGCGTGTATTCCACCCACGCTCAGACTCATCTCATTCAGGCTCAATATTTCAGGGACCACGCACGACTGCAGCTCTATTATAAACAAAATAAATTCCTAACATCAATCAATGGGGAAGTGGAGGAAACCCGTAACGAGACGTTCAAGAAAAACCTCTTGGACTTGGGGAACTTTGTGATGATTCTGTTTGACCAGGACACCACTGTCGTCCCTAAGGAGAGCAGTTGGTTTGGTTCATACGTCCCACCTGAAGACGGTGATCGGAAGGGGCCACGTTGGGGAGAGGAAGTCCTTCCAATGCGGGAGCAGCCGTTATACAAAGAAGATTGGATTGGACTAAGAAAAGTAAGAAATTTGTCTCGACCCTGTAGGGTCAGATTTCTGACTACATCGCTCACAGTTGGACGAAACTGGACGTGTAACGATGATTACTTGCGAAGGAGAGCACATGCATATCTCGCGCGAATGTTATCTGCCTATCGTCGAACAGTATGTCGGCAAAGTTATGGAAGCTGATTCCATCAATGGAGGCCTAGTTTCGTCACAAGGGGGTTTGATAATTCAACATTGATATACCCTGTATTCACCACTCGCTTCTACATCAATCCACTATTCAGTCGCCTCATCCATGAAGCGTTTTCCTTATCCGTAGCGACCTCCGAAGAGAACATTTCAGGCCGTTCGCGCAACCCCGCAAATCGATCGATTTGTGATCATGGGCCGGTGGAAGCCCCCTCAATCTCCCTAGTCAAGGGATACAAGTCTACTACAAGTTCACCAAAAGGAGTTACTTTCATTAGCAACTTTGGAAAACAGAACTTCCCTTTCATCGGTTGCTCCGCTGATAGAATGTAGGGTGGATCGGATTTGCGTGCGTGGCCGGTGCAGCATACAGCTTAATGATCGCTAGGATTGCGATATCTTAAACCTCCAAAGGAGCTGTAGGCAGACAAAAATTGACCAACACGGCTTTGATGTAACCAATCATCCTATTCACTCCCTTCACACGTTCAACGACATTGATAACCAGTTTTAGCTTGTTGCTGGAAGGAGCTAACAAGACTGACTGCAGTGGATTCTACCCGTTTTCCAGGAAGCGAGCTATGCCATCTTGCTCTTGTTGACTCGCGATCTCAGATCGAGTAAGTCCATATCATCGGAGCTCTAAATGGTAACCTGACGTACTAGCTGGCCTTCACCTCCACTTCACCTTCACTTCACCTCCATGCATAGTACACGAGGGCCCCACCCGCCTTTGTTCATCTCATCATACCGAGGACAAACTGAAAGAATTCGAGTTAGTTTTCAACTCAAGGTAATCGTACAGCCTATTCCTTATCTGTATTCCAAATGAATCTGATCATGAGCTCTACCCCCCTGAGTTGGTTAGTCGAAGAAAAGCTCGCGGCGTATTCCATCGCAGCCACTGGCGTTCAATGTACGTATTTTAATCTCGGGTGACAAGCTAATGCAGCCGAAACCTCAAAGTAGCTGACATCGCCTATCACACCGCCAAATATGCGCGTAAAGTCTAAGCGGGACACCGCTTCAGGTACCCTCTTCACACCGGGTTCCTCCCTCCATTTACAACACAGCAGCACCCTCAGAAGGGCTGCTGTGAGGACAATTTCCCACCGACACCCCTGTACCCGCTCAGCGACGAGTGTAATGAAGCTCTAGTGACAGAATTAGAGGCACGGCGGCATACGCTGATTGGCCATCTCTCGGAGCTTGCCGGCCAACTCTTGGCGAAGGATCCTCTATCGGTGAGCTCAGCCCTTCCTCCCTCTTAAGCCCGCTAGCATGCTGTGTATCACTCTCCCCTCACAGACCAGCATCATGTGTTTGAATTTTCTATGGGCGCTTATTCTGGTCCTATCACCTCGTACCCGTTCTACTTCCTGTCAGCGGCGAGAGGTGATCGGTTGACGCCGGGTTCACAACGCAAAATCGCGTGGCCCATTGATTAATGTCGCTCCCCCCAGGCTTTCATAATAGCCATGTGCTAACGATTCCATTGCGATAATGGTCAGGGGAAATTCCCATTAAATCCAACCAGTTTTTGCCATTACCCACGCCCTTGCCGATCGTTGTATCCATCCTAGACGTCCAGGGGGAAGGATGATAAGTAAATAAGTGGAATATCCCTGATTGGTCCCATTGCGCCGCTGTACTTGTCTTCTCAGGCCTTGCACTCTGATGTCCCTCTTCCGTTCTTATCCGCAGCCTTGCACTTAATAGTGCTAGTCTACACAATGCTTACGTTAGTAGGAAGATCCGTACTAAAGGCGTTTTCGCTTCACATGATTTATCGAGTAATTGGCTGAGTTCACTGCAATGACCGAAAGGGGCGGTGTGGATCACACTGGGGATTCGCCACCGCCTGCTTCATTGTGGTTGAGAACATTAGACTTATTTTTATTTTCACCCCATCATTCATGCGGAGACACCTGTGATTAGAAGCTAGAAACAACTCCCTAATAATGCCCCCTTTCCCCTTGTGCCTGCAGACTCAACCGTCAAGTGAAACAAGATGATTTGCTTCATCCGAGATAAAGTCTGGTCTGGAAGGGGGAAATATCTCAGATTCCTCAGAGCGGGCGCCACCATGATGACTTTGCCGAATTTCAAGCGAGCACGCAACGTCCGTGCTCTCTGAATTTGAATTGGCAGTTGACACAGCCTCACTCGCTGAATTTGAACGCACAAATTACGTGACGCCTCAAATCTGAAGATCTGCGTCCCGGTTTATCACAGAAAGCGTGTTTGAGGCGTTACAGAAACGCAGGAAAAAAGACAGAGAAAAGTGTCATCGTGCGGTGTTGGAGGGGCGCCGCTCGGTCAGAACACTCATTCCATTTAATCTAGGGCAAGGCCATCGATTGACAAAACAGGATATTAAAAGTGGTGATCTGCAGACCATTTTTACGACTACTTTATCCCGGATTCGAAATGAAACTGATTTGCATACGTTATTTTTACAGCAATAGAACGGAATCAAGGCCGTTCAGAGGGCTTACAACATGTACCTGTAGATCATGCAGCATGGCAGCCGAAATTTCACAACTGGTGTAATCGTAATGAAGTGGGCGGTTATATGCGAAAGATGCATGTCGAGATGTTTGGTAGTTACAATAGCCGTCCTGAGGGATAACAGCTTGGATTTACATAATGAAATAAACTTCTATCGTCGATGGTTTACCCTGCACCAGATGGGTGTCCGAAGCCGAACGTCAAGAAATGCGACAAATTGAGTATGCAAGAGAGCAGATGCGGAATGCATGTGACCAAGGAAGTGTATCCACCGCCAGAATCCAACAAGAGATTGTGATATAGAAATTGTGATTAAGTGGGTCGTTGCGGAGGGCAGCCGCGAATGAGGGGCTGAACTGGGTTTAGAAGAGCAAAGATGAAGGGCTAGACTTGATGGGGTCCACGTAACGTCATTCCTCTGAACATCACATCAGTGGTTCTGTGATGCACGGCACAGACTCGCCCGTGCAACGATGAAAGTCTGGGAAACATGACACTCCCCGGAAAAACGATGCACAATGATGAGGGATCAAGCGCGAGATAGCTGCTTTCCTTCGGTTTCAGTGTCAAGCTCATCTTCAGAAGAAGTGAAAATCGGCGAAGGACGGCGATCGCGGTCCCTGAAGTGGTGGCGCTCACGAGCGGTGTGGCTCGCCCTGGCTTCATCCGCAGCCCACTCCAGTTCAAGCTCAGAGGTGGTCGCCATAGTGGTGGACGATGCTTGCGACGACGAAGGAAAGCGAGACCGTCTGTCACTTCTGGTGTCAGTCATCCTGGATGTCCTAGTCGAATCTGCGCTATCAGCGTCTTGTATATCTGCCACGGCCCTTCCGCCACTGTTCGGGTCTTCATCTTCTCCGCCTTCGCCGTCTGCCTCGGGGTCCCCTTCTTTCCGCATGTGAGAAGCTTTGGATCGTCTCTTGCCGCGGCTTGACGAAGAGTCATGGGTTCTCGCGTGGCGGCGCATATTGGAGAGGACCGAAAAGCTGCGACCACAACCAGGAGCGTTACACACGAATGCTACAACAAAAGCATGTAAAGACATAAGATATAAACAGAGGAAGAGGGATCGCTTACGCTTTTCACCTGTGTGAATGTTCTTGTGGATCTGATGCCGCAGCAATACATAAGCGTTCAACTTTGAGTTATCCATTGTCCTTTTTGTCACAGCATATAGACGTACCGCTAAGCTGCTAGGTCTATTGAATGTTTTGTGGCACCAGCTACACTCATACTTCTGTCCGGACCCTGAGGCCTCCTGAGCAATTGCAATATCCATCAGATTACGAGTAGGTCGCATGTTGATTTGACTCGTGTGGCTCCCTACAACCCCCTGACCAATCGGATTACTACTACTGACCCTCCATTGTCCAGAGGATGTGGAAATCACGGGGGTCTTCGCATAGGCGAGTCGGCCCCCTGAGTCCTCGCTCCTGTCCGGTTGTTGCCTACCGGTGTATGGTGCCGAAGTCGAGTCGGCTCGTGGTCGACGGGCAAGAGGAGGGGGAGATTTTCGAATGTCGGCCGAACGCACGTCATGAAAGCCGCCTCCATCGGGAGCATGGCGTGAATCGGAATTGGAGTGAGTGAAAAAATGATCGGAGGAAGTTGGGCTTTGTTGGTCTCGATAACTATGCGACTGATGGGGATGAGCCATGGGCCCATCTGGACCGTGGCTTTGAGGGTTATCGGTCAAGATTGGACGCAAAGTGCTGAAAGATCTGTGCGGGGGTGAACGAGAGTATGAAGATTGGGAAAGCTCCTCCGGAAGTAGCGCGTGGTTCGATTGAGTTGGATTGGGTATAGGAGGTTGCATCAAGCGCGGATTCGAGGAATATGAAGATCTGTGGCCAGGCTGTGGATGCGTCTCAGTGGGGCGGAGGATCGGATTGAGGGAAGCCGAACGAGGATCCTATCATGATGTAGGATACCAACGCAATTAGGCTCAAGCCATTCGCATCGCCCCAGAGATTCAAATCTCACCTGCACAATTTGTATCTGACGACGATTCACATCCCCGAGGTCGTCTAAGGAAATGTAAAACTTATTGTTGACTACCAGAACAACAAGCTGGATACCTGTTGGGCCCAGACCAAAGAGCGTTCGGATCGAAGGTAGCGATGCGCCCGAAGGCGGCGGGTCGTGCTGGGTGGTCTCATTGGTAGACGGCATCTCAGACTCGAGAGGCAGTGGAGAAGGGGTCAACTCAGATGACCAGGGGGAGGATTTGCATGGCGGAAAGGAAAAGAACTGTGATAGGGAGCGCGCCCTAATTTTTAATGCCTTGCTTTATAAAAGAGTCTCGGAAGCTGTTGAGGTAAAGAGATTCAGCTTCTGCGAGGCAAGCATTTAAAGAGCTCAGAACTCCCATACACTAGCGATTATGATACCCGATGACCACCGCCGACACAGGGAGCGTGTGCACATCTCAAAAAATTTGTGAGGCCCCATGGACCCAGATAATTCTTCAATCAAATGAAATGAAGAGGATCTGCAAAGGGTTGAGACTGAATTCTCCCAGCCAGTCAGTCCAAGAGGTTGATGAAATTCTAAATCTCTTACAGAAGCAGAGCAACGATCAGGCAGCATGAGAACGCTTCTTTCGGTTATGCACTAGTTGAAAGCCTTATGCATCGGGCTCTGTGACACGTGCAGGGCAGTGCCGCGCGCTTGCTTTCGGCACATCGTTCTCATCCCTTTTCAAGAAAAGTAGATATCGGCGTGTTTGCGAACGTATGTTTCTCGCGAAAAAAAAAACCAGCAGAGATAATCCTAGAAATGTCCCTTTTCCAGCAGGGCCACACTGCCTTATTGAGGACAATGCGTGGATCTGTGATCCACTCGCGACAAATTGGGCCAGCGCCGAGTGGACATAAAGGGGACAGCTGACATGATATGCCCAAGTGCCGAATCCGAAATGCAAAACTAACTAATATCCACGCCCAGGCAACTCATCTGGACTTATTCAAACCAAGGGATCGACACAGGAATGAATTACCATCCACTCCGCGGTCCTGGCACAAAGAAAGGCGGATTGCATGTTCCATCAAAAAGCAAAATTCCCTCCTTCCGTCGGCTATTGCACTATGATTTCTTGAAGAGGCTGCATATAAATCGGTGGATTGTGAACAAGGGGCAATCATTGACAAGCTCCAGATTTAGATGTACAATTACTCAGCCAGTATGGCATCAAACAAGGGTTGGTTAGAGAGTTGCTGCACGCGTACATTTGGTTGGATATTCAAACGTCCATCTTTGACACATTCCATCAGGACTTGCTCCATTCCCGGAGATTAGGGAACGAAGAGGTCGGATATTGCAAGCGATTGGGCGTCGAATCCAAATGGTGGCCAGCCTCTGCGAAAACGTTCGCCACCAATTTGACCAGGCTTTCGCCTGGCACCTCCGCCTTACCTTCGCCAATCTCCATCCCGTTTCGCACGCCATGGTCCTTATCGCCTGAAGGAAAAAAAAGGAAATGGTAAGTGCCGAGAACACAACGGACCCTCGAAGGGTCGCAGAGGCGGTGATTAGCACAGCTGCACAAATGAACATTGTGATTACGAACCGCTTAGTTCCCAATACATAGCACCTGCCAATCCAGAATGGACAATCCACCCTGCCTTACGGCGTGCAGCCCACTCGTCATCAAACGTAATCAGCTCGCTCTTAGTTGTATCATAGCTCCAGCTCGCCACCTTGGCTTCGTCATGAAATACATCGGATCCAGGCTTGGGTAGTGCTCTGTAATCGTACACCCCAGCCTCCCACGAGCCCTGGCCGATACCGTTGTACGGAGATCCAGGGTCCTTAGTGTTAAGGAAAGAGCGCCCGTAGAGCGGAACGCCTATCACCATTTTTGAGCGCGTAACTCCGTGTTGTTCGTAGAAGTTGATGGCTGTGACTGTGCTGAGCCCTTCGCCATATAGGTTAGCTTGGTGTCCGGAGACAGAGTCCCAGGATCCAGCGTAATCTGAGGGCCCGCGTGATCACGGGTGGTGAAAAGAAGAAGCAGAGATCTACCGTCAGGAGAAGCGGTAAAACAAGACACAAAACAGTCACCATAAGCCTAGAATCGTATGGAATCCAACCCATTTTCTCAGAACAATGAGAAGCTGAAGCTAACGAAGTTTCGCTAATAGAGCGTTGCGTACCATGAGATTCCAGAAATCCAGATGGCAATCCATTTCCGCAATGTGCAACTTTTCATAGTTGTGAGCGCCACATGGAGCTGCTATCGTCAATGCGAATCGGCCCGTGCCGCTAATCTTTGTTGAGAGCTTATCAAGCCCTTCCCGGAGTTCTCGAAGGAGATCTACGTAACCACGCGCTTGGGCATCGTTCTGTGGATACTCGTAGTCGACATCCAGACCGTCCAGACCGTAATCCTCCACAAGCTTAACCGACGTTTCCACAAATCGGGCTCGCAGTCTAGGTTCTACGACAACCGGATGGAATGACGGTGAATATGTCCAGCCGCCGACACTGAGCAAAAGCTTCAGGTGGCGATGTGTTCTTTTCATGAGGTAGAATTGCTTAAAGTTACCAAAGAGGTGCGATGCGGGTTCTTCCCATGAATCGCCAGGGTAATGGATGTCTTTGTCTGACCATACATCACTGAGGACCACCTCTCCTGAATCAGAGCGAACATTCGCGAATGCATATAGAATGTGGCTAAAGGACAATCTAAGAATGGCCTGAATGCGGTTTGGTCACCGTGAAGAAGCATACGTGAGGCACTGGGCAGGGACCAAAGATGGCGGATATTTGCGCCCATATATTCCCCAGTTCTACCAGCGATGCACGCACTTAGTTGTGAGGAGATTTTACGCCAGAACTGGCGTATGAAACTTGTCATGGCATACCGTAAAATATCCGACGTTCAACAAGCCGTTGGCGGGCATATGATCGATAGTGTTATTTGGACGCGCTTTACAATATGTCTCAGTCTCGGCAGATCTGAAAGATGAGAAGGGCAAAGATGGTGGCCGATAGATATCCCACTGAAGACGATGAAGGATTACAAAGCTTGCGAGAAGCACCCCAACCACGAGTTTGATCCGAAAAAAATCCACTTTGGGAAAACGGATCCGATGAAGGCCAATAGGGGATCTCTGGCAACTAGTTTTGATCAATGGAACCAAAACGACGTTGTCAATGCCGGAGCGAATCCTGAGAGTTAGCACAAAGGGTGTCACGTGGAAGCTCACGCCGAATTTAAAAGCCTCAGGTATCTTCGGACGGCCACCTCCTTGGGCAGCAAATCCTTCATTCAGCAGCATCGCAAGCTTGAGAAACTGCTGTGTTCACGCTTATTTGCGATGGGATAGTCCCTTTCCCTTTTGAACAGATAAAGGCGTTTCAGGGCGCTGTGTAGTCCCCCATGATTTGGAATAATCCTGCTTCTTTGAATAATTCTATATGCATGCTTCAGGTTCGATTCCGTACGCATCAGTTACCATCTATGGCGCACCAGTGCTTTTCACCCTCAGAATAACGTTTGCCACGTTTACATGCCGGTGGCGGACGCCGCGGAAGCGACCCTCACTGAGATGATCAGTCGCTACTGCTTAGCTTTTGTTGGCGGGCACGCAACTGTTTAAAGTCTATTCAGGCGAATTATAGGCATGTTCATACACGTCTATCAGGGGTATTACATGAACGAAACTTCCAACTCAGCCCGATCGATGGCATTTTAGGGCGATCGATGGGCGGGTCTTGTAATTTACCGAATTTCTAGACCGGCCCTGCGGCGAACTGGTTATGCCTATTCTGCTCAAACCTTGATCTTGACACGATCAAGGAGCATGGCCCATGGCTTCAACCAACTCCTACCCACCTTCATTCGCGCTGTATAATGTGTCGCGTAAGGAATCTGATCTCCCCTAGGCTTCGGCGATAGTTTCCAGGGGTGTTTCGGTCCTATCGAATTTAGCATCTAAGATTCTACTGAGTATTCTTTCTGCCTCCTACGGAGATCTCCGTTGTGCAATAACTCCAGCTAGGCTCAGGCTTCTTTGCTCTCAGCCGGCTTCACGTCCATGAGGCAGGCCGGGCGCGTCCCTAATTTGTCGTGGCGGGTGGGAAGATAAACCGACATTCTGGATGCCTCGGACCCCATGCCCGCAGAGCCTCTATGGAGGGCGCCTGGCTTTCGGGACTATGCGGGCTATTTACCCCGAGCACTGACCTTTGCAGAGTGATGCCTGAATGCGGCCTTTCTCAGTTTTCCTTTTCAATGGGACACAACGGCGATGTCTCCCCACTACTAGGCTAGGTTTGGGCTGCCCTGAGGCCAGACACGGATCAACGTGGACGATCTGCACCCATTCAGAGCTTGAAACACCCACACGCTGATCATTTATGGGGGCGCAAGTCCGCCATTTGAAAAAGCCCAAACAGGATTCTTGCAAATCCCTCATACATGACATCGGAATTGGACTATTTTACCTAGAGCCATTCAAATGATAAGTCCCGCGAGAATCCCAGACCTAAACCCAAATCTGATGAGTTTTCCGAAGCAGAACTAGGCAGCTAAGGGCCTTCGCACATCTAGGGAACAACGGATCCCACCTTAGTAGGTATATAGAAAAAGCCAAGATATGCACATATCATTCCCAACTCCTAGGAGATTTCATCGATCGCTCTGGCTCATCGCTTGGAAAGTAGGTGGCGGCGGATGGTATGGGATTCCATTCTCAACTTTCAAGACGGACGAATGTTCCAAGTGGCGGCATTCCATAATTTGGCGGTTTGGAAGCTTTCCAGGGTCTACCGTGCCCCTTTCTTGGTGCTCGGAAAGATATCCGTGATGGCCGAGACGGATCACGGCACTAGGAACGTCCGTGCTAGGCGTATGCCCCCTGGATGTGTGGCTAGGTGTCGTCAGACGCAGTCGCAGGATCGAAAGGTTAATCCGCACGCCATTAGGGATGCGCTCCAACCCCTTATCCGAGCTGATCCGAATTCGCGTGTGCTCTATCATTGATACTGACTACTGCCCATGGTGGCTTGCAGCAGGTGGTCAATGGCAAGGGTCAATCTCGCCAAATTATGAGGGGGGCCACCTTGACTAGGCAACCTCGGGCTTTTTTACTACCCCCATCTCGTCGTGAAATAATCCAGCAAATCCTAACAGGAAGTACCGTAACAGCCACACGAATATGCGTGTACGCAACTGCAGAAAGCATCGCATACCCATACACTTCTCATTTCGAATCCACAACTGGTCCTATTTTCGTGTGTTTCCAATTTCCATGATCAGAGTTTCTTTCATCCCCGCGGGGATAACGCTTGCGTCAACCCTCCTCTTCATTTGGCGCAATGTTAGGGAGCGAGTGAAGAGAAGCGCATAGGAATGTTGTATTGCAGCGGATGCCCGGCAGAAGTCTCCAAGTTGATGAATACTCCCGAATGGAACCATGTTCAACGCGTTTATCGAATGCAAAGAAAACAATGCAGCCCATGGTGTTATCCTATTTTTCTAAGTAAGAATTGAACAAATTCGTTGCCTTGTGCAACGTCCCAATGATGCAGTCCTTCGCTGGTTTCCCAAAGGGACCCAAGAAGCCGTTGATTCTCCCCGTCGAACGTGACATTACCACCTGATCCCTTCATCGATTCTCCTCCATCTCACCCTGCAAGGCCAGGAACTGGCGTGTCGATACAATTGGGGTGCCGGTGTCTTGTGACGAAGGATGATCCAGGAGGGCACCCCCCCGCGCGATCGATATGGGCCTGCCAACCTCATCGTCGCTATTCTGCATGTGCTGAGCGAGATTATTCACCCAAAGCCTCGGCCCAGCGCTAAAAGAACAGCAGATAATGACCGGAACACACGGCGCATACGTTCTGGCGCCGTCGTTGACCCCCTGCCTCCCCCAAATCTCCCCTTCTGTTGAAGTCAGTAGAAGGACGCACAAATCCCTGGCTAGATCACACAACGGATTGCATGGCCAGCAACTAGCCAGTCGGTTCCGTTTGAGAGATTTGACCTACCAGCCCACTAGGAGCAATTCCCAGGACGCCTCAGGATGGGGATAAAGTGGTCTCTTCGACATACCTCAGCCTCATAATGCGATTAAGCTCGCCTTCTGATTGCACAGGATAGCTGGTGTTTCGCGCATCCCAACATGCTCTTTCTCAAGACTTTCCCCCACCTCGCGCCGGGTTGCCTTCGTCGATCACTTCGCTGCAACTAGAAGAATAGGGCGAAAAAAAGAAGTAGGGATTCGCCTCTTGTGCATGAACCCCATGCGTGTCATCGGACGTTCTGGGCCATGCCTTTGACGGGTGGACCTCGCTCAGATCCGGTGGCCCGATGCCCGTAAGTAGCTGGATGGAAGATGGGCCCTTGCCACGAGGCTCCCCCCTTTCTCCGGGCGGTCCTATGGTTCCCGCCGTACCCCGTTCTCCGAAAACGACCACCCTTGCAGAAGCTTCCCGCCCAATTCCCTCCATGGTACCCCGGGTTAGTAGCTGTCTTGTCGGACCCCATCACTCTCGATAAAATTGGACACCTCGCCTCCATTGAAGTCCTGGAAATATTCACGATAGCCATGATCAAGTTCAGTTCCTTTGGCCTTCCCCTTCACCACTCACTTTCCCCGTTGCCGTCGTCCATTCAATCTCATCGGCGGCACCAAGCAATTGCGAATTTCCCCCTTCTGTCAACTCTGAGGATTCAGGATTCAATCTTGTTTCATGCAAGTGCTAGCCCTGAATGCGACTTCTGGGGATTCCGACGACTGTTCTTGTTTATCCGTTGGGTCCGTGGCCATGGTCCAATGAAACACCGATCCAGGAACTTGATAAGTAAATTATTTCCCTCCACGCTTTAGGCATACAATCGAGCATATGGATCGGAGGAATCACAGCTTCAGCGGAACATCGTGTTCGTCGTCTGAGTACGCAACTGAATTCCCAACAGAACCAGAACCTGCAAAAGCGATGAATGCTATTAATTGTTTCCCGCTGAGAATTGGTGTTCGCCGCCAGCCCGGAGAAGTGGCCCTGGAACCTTTCCGAAGGGCAGGATGGTCTCCGTCACTATCTGTCAGATCGAAAGAGAAACAGGCTGTTCCAAAGCCAAAGCGAGAGACCCCTGTCGATGTATTTGGGCTGCCGTAGTGTAACTAGATCGGCAGCTGTATCTGACATGGATGGGGGCTTGATATGTGCTATATACCTAATGTTCGATCATCTCTTAGGGAAAAGTGACATTGTCCGTTTCATTGTCCGATGTTGGGGGCATGGATTAGAGAGCGAAAGGAAGCAGAGGCCTTACTTATTCGGGATATGTATCCTAGGAACTGAGAACAATGTTGGCATGGTGCGATAGGATCAATGATTTATGCGCACGCAGGTAATGGACACAAAATCCCGTAATTTTCCGAATGAGGGAGTTTGATGGAGGTCAGACTCTCGGCTAGGGGATGCAGATCGCTTCTATAATGGCGGTCAACGGCTGTTGGAAGGGGGGAAATGATATTGATGCGCCAGAGGTGCAGGCGGAACACGCGCTTTTAATTCTACAGCTGCGAGATAACTCCTTCCAGAGTGTTCTGCATTAATTGCATTAACTCGCAACAGTAGAAAGCTCGGGACACCAGAGAAGCAGTGCAAATATCCATTCGGGCCCCGGGGGGGTAAAAACATACGTTCAATAATGCCACTAGACAATTTCTACACCAACAATGTGCTGCTGTTAATTTGAGCTAGAGAGACGAGATGTTTTTTCATGGCTCTGCAACGCAAACGAGCATGGGATTCAGGATAAAAGTTGAGTTTGAAGAAAGCTGCCCCCACCAGGGCGTTGAAAATCCTCATCTTCTGTCGCTGATAAGAATTAATTGGGCACTTCTGCTCCTTGAGAGCGCCTGCGATCTTGGAACTACGCCTAATGGGACTGATATTTTCCACGGGCTCAAAGACATTGTCACCTACCAGGCTGAAGCCTCCACCGCTATGGTGGGTAGTTGTTGGGTGGCGGAGGGCTCGGCCATTGTGTTAGCGGAGCTAGAACGTTACTCGCGCGTCCGGTGGGTCCCTGACCAGATGCTTCCGAACGTGCTGAACGTGCTGATCTACAATATTGGCAACATGCAAGTGGGCCCAACAATTCAATTGGACAATTGAACACAATCCGACGTTTACCCGACTGGGGATCGATTCAGCCAGAACGCACCTCATTGTGAAAAGAGGGGCTACAAACTCCGGGGGGTCATCCATGGCCCAGTACTGTTGCATTCGCATGGGCAGAACTCATCCTTTAAGATGCAATAGGGAAATGCCCCTGGTGAACAAATCTTATTCAGAGTCGCACCATCGATGGTATCCATGCCTGCCTTGTGACCACGCCATCGACGAGCACATGCAAATGCAAACTTAAGAATAAACGGCATTGTGCCAGAACAAGTAATGTTGCCGTTTCCTGCGGCTATGCGAAAAAAAAAGGAACAAATATCTCCGTGGGGAGACAGCGTTACTGTGTGAATGAAAAGAAGCAGACACAGCTTTACTTGTAGACGTTCTGACTAAATAAGAGGAGCGTCAGGGCGGGGACAATTGAGCTGACATTATTTAGGAACACCTACGAGAATTCGCCCTCGATATTGCCTGCTGGGTAATATTCCTGATGGACCAATAATTGTGAGTGTTTGATTCCCGCAGAAGAACCCCATTTTTTTTTCCAACTCACGCAGGCGTAGAATTTGGCGGGCTAAATCGGTGGCTCCAGTGAGCGAAGGGGGGCTTATAACCGCGAATAACAATGTACTCACCCAAGAGTCAGAAGGGAAAATTGACAAATCACAGCTATGTACCCTGCAACCAATTTGCCTAGTGCTATTCCACACCATTTGAGTATAATGTGAATACTAAAATCCCTCCGTGTCAGTATCATTGTTGACTGCATGTCGCACCAACGCAATCACCTGTGGATTGGATGGGTTATAATCCGCTAGAAGGAATGCAGTCATTTAGTCTGGTGGTCAATGACTACTCTTCATGTCCATACTTACGCTCTTCATCACTCCAGAGCTTCATGGCCGCTGGAATGGGGAAGTCACCGGTTCCAGCGGCCTAATGGCACAAATGAGCCGGGATCGGACTTAGAATCATTGAACGTCGTAGTATGCGACTCACTAGGTTTTCCCCATAGGGTCCGACCGCTCCTTCGCTGTGCTCCCACACACCTGGATAGCAGTACTTGCGTCAGAGGCGTTGCAAAATCTCGAAGTAAAAAAAAAAATTTTCCCCCACTAACACTTGTTAAGCCAAGTTTGCGCAGCGTCAGCTAATGTCTCATTCCATTCCAGGGCCACAGCTTTATGCTTGTTCCTAAGGTCATTGTGAGCCTTGAGATATGCGGCGATATCGTCTGCTGGAGTGGTGCCGCCGGCGTTGTTTGTTGGTGGGGAAGTAGAAGTAGTCCGTGGACTCGATGAAGAAGAACTGGGAGTCGCAGCTGGAGTTGGCGTATAGTAGCTAGTAGAATCATGGTGTCGATGAGGAGTCAAGGTGTGATGAGAAGAAGCATGATGAGAGGAGGTGTGATGAGAAGGGGCACCCGATGTAGCATTACACTCTGAACAGTGATGGTGGTGGTGGTGGTGCTTGGAACTCCTTGCGGCTTCTGGCTCCTTGTCGGCATTACCTGCACGAACCTTTACCATCCTGTGAGGTGAACGATAACCTGGGGCTGCACGACCATCGTGAAACGCAAGGGAGAAAGTTGCAAAGAATGACAAAAGGATACTGAAACGAACGAGTATGGAATGCATCGTTAATTTCGAAAACAAAAAAGGGTAAGGACAGGCGGTTCTTCTGCGTTAGACCAGCACAAAGGACGGGTCCCGTTCGTTTATAATGTTGTAGGACCATCGGACAGGACAATGTTGCCATGTGCAAAACCATTACTGCCGGAGGCCATGACAACTGTGTAACCAGGTGTGCCATCGTGCTGATGTATGAGAGAACATCAGCGGTTCCTCCAGATTAAGGATGTCACTAAGCGTCTAGCTAGGGAACAAAATGGTGGGAAAATTGCGACTGCCAAAGTTACGAGGTATGTTGATCGTGCAAGATACTAAGCTCCAGTATCTCCAGACTAGTGACGTGTAAGTTGTACAACGGCCAACCAATCCACATGGATGCTTGATACTGCGATCGTTTGAGTAATTAGCATCGTCAAAGTCCGATTTGTGCAACATCGTTGCTACAGATTGTTTTTTTCGCGCGTGGGAATTTGCGGATTTCGCCTTCACGTTGGTTAGTAACGTAACCCGTCGGGAATTGGTTGCCTTGCGCTATTTCCCTACTTCAAGCCTATCTTTTCCCATCGCGGTTTTGCTTTCGTGCCCTCTTTTGTGTCTCAAAATGCTTTCCCCCCACCTGTGCCCTGAATAGCGCTTTGGACTCTAGTGGAGTGGTAGGGAAATACAAATGTGCAACAATTCTGCAGCTTCAAGCTAGGGTGCATGGTTTCATTGTCGATTTGTGTCGGATAACCTCGGTCGAAAATCTGTCGGTGGGAGCAAAGGGTACGTATGAACGTCTATTCTTTAAATCGAACAAAGCAAAATCAAGAGACTGTAATGGAATGCAGAGCGTTAGGAAAGCTAATAAGCGGCGTTGGATGATTATACAGGATTATTGTAGCGTGCTCATGACACAGGGGAAAGAACACCTGTGATAGCTCAATAAAGGTGGTAGAAAGAACTTTGGCATGATGAGGGGTGAAAGGAAAGATCGACGATTTGGCGGAAAGTGCCGCCGTGAATATGTTCGTTATTCAATATGTCCGATCAAGGTTAGGCGCTCAACGGTGGAACCTCAGGTACCGACTTTAGTGCTCATATCCTCACAGACTCTAGGCAGTATTCAGCCGCCTACAGAATACCATTGATCAAAGCACCAACGCTTCGGATACCGAAACCAGTACGCCCCATTGGCTGTCACTCCCTGCATCGCATACTCAACGCACGCAGATTCAACTCCCACCAGACATCCATCCTTTGCCTGATGATGTAGCGCCATATGTGAGCCATCCCAACTAATTCGAAGGAAGGCGTAGAGTAATTGTAGTCAAAACAAAACAAAAAAGTTTGCCTACCCTTTCACCCTCGAACCTCACACCTTAACTCTCGAATCATCCCGTCAAATAACGCTTCAATCGCACCAATCCCGTAACTCCGCTTTTCTTCGGAATCGAGAGGACGAAAAGACTCTGAGAAAACGAGAGGCGTTGCGGAAAATAGCGCCTGGTTTCGAACCAAGCAGTGGTCCACTCGTCCCGACCAAAGTACTAGTCCATTCGCGGCAAAGTTCAGCCACTACTGCTGGGGTGGGGGTTGACTTTTTTGGTGATGATCGCCAAAAAGTGACGCCACATGCTCCTCACTCTGAGGATATTTCCGAGGCTAAAGTGAGGGACGTTATGGATGACCTGGTGGATCAGTTGGCAGCGATGGACTCTGAAAAGCCCGATGGCGCACGGTAGCTGGGCCGCCCTCCCCAATTTGTTGTACAATTAATATGCTGTTGAAGGTTCGGGGCAAGTTTTTATGAGATAATAGCATTATCGCATTCATCCGTTCATTCCGATGGCATGTCGAAGAAAATATGAGCGCAGCCATTGAGGGTTATCTTCCCGACTTGACAATGTGGAACTGGGGTCGATAGTTTCAGACTACTCAGAGCTTTGACTTCTAGTTCCACATTCTCATTCTCAATAGATTCATGTCAAAGCTGTTCATGCCAGTTAGGAATATAGGGCTTAGGATTGTCCTGGCACCACTGGGTACGTTGTGAACATGATAGTCGGTTGGATCATTGTTAGGATAATTGTTGGGACATTGTATAGTATGGTTTATCCTTGCGCAAAGGGAATTAATCGGTGTGATATGTAGGTTAGTGACAGGGCATTAAACTGTCGACCTAGCACCTCTGAGCACGTTGCGAACATGTGTAGATTGGTTCATTAGTCATTAGGATTGTGTGGTTATGGTTCCTCCAGCTTCTCAATGGGAATGAGTGCAATCAGCTAGGACCGCCAGGTCCTGTACACGAAATGATCGATCCGCAGCCACGCACAAAATGCGCCAAAACCTTGATCCACTCGAGATTAAATGCGTATGAGCGACAAGCATGGTTACGGTGACGATACAAACTCTGATGTTTCCCATAAGCTAGGCGTTGTCCATGCATGACATAGTTGGCAAGCCAGGCACATGTACAGCATGCGTGACGGGGGTGGCTTCCGATTGATGAATTGATAAGGCCAAGCCAGGAACGTAATTCATCAAGTATTTCGGAAATCCCAATCGGACATTGGTTGTTGTTCTACGTACGGGCTAAAGAGTTTGGAGACCATGGTACTGCGCAGCAGTGCTTATTCCAATGTGATGATGCGTTGATTGGATCAACCCCTCTCCGACCTCAGAGCGGTTATGCCGCATCTGAAAATCACGCATCAACCGGGAGGTTGTGCGGACGCGGAGAGGGTGTTAATTGAGCCGTTGGGTAGCGGCGAGGGTGCCACGATATTTTGGATCTGCGTTGGAGGATGAATTTGTTTACCATTTGAGGTTAGGTGGTAATGCGGGCCGTGGTCCGTGGGTAACAGGGTGTACCCCCTGCAGAGCCGCCAAATAAACTGTGCTGGGTTGGAAGAACTACATTTCGGCGGCCGGCAGGATTCCATACATTATTGTTTGAGGAAATACTGGCGGCATGGCTTCGCATCAACCCTTCTGCCTAAACGCAACAAACAAGGGAAAATTTAAATGAGTGGGAGTTTGTATCGGTGATTGGTACCCGTGGACGGGTGAGAGGGGGGGAATGCCGTCACGAACGGCGGCTGCTCATTCTCAGAAGCGACATCAGGTGATAAAGGGACCTGCAAGAACGGAACAAGGTAGATCTTGGCTGCATAAGGCAGCAGCCTGTCTGAAGATCAGGCATCCTCACTAGTAGTGTTATTTATCACTTCCGCAGAATTCCATCAACTCCGGCACGAAATCCGAAATGGGATCACGTTCACCAAGGTCAGGATGTTGTGGCTCGTGGCGGCGGAGTGCCCCTGCCACACGCGCAGGACTTTATCAATCTACTGTGCTAACATCACTCAGCGACCGCGATGTGGTTGGGGGGAGGGAGAGGGGGGGTGAACTGGTCCCAAGTGACCTGTATGGTGATGCCAAATATCGGGGGTGGGTGGCGACGCGGTGACAAATCGGTGACAAAGGGTGGCAAACATCATGGCTTGTCCCTCCAACGTCGGGTCCATCCAGTGAGCCAGCTGTCGATTCACGCCAGCAGTACACGGACAAAGCCAGACAATCAGACCTCCTCTGGTCACCTTCAACGAACCGATTTTCAGTCACTTTTGCTGCAGAGAAGGCAGCCCAGCCTTGACTGGAACATGCACGAGCCTCACCAAGAAAGGGAGCTAAAGGCCTTTAGCATGGACGTAACGTACCCATATTGGGATCAATTATAAGCCAGTGGTTCAACGGGCCTTGCGATCTCAAAAAGCCGAGGTTGGGTCCCACATTGTAGCACTCCTACTCCTTCAACTCCTCAACCATTCATATCCACTTTCGATGCCAAGGGCAGATAAACCAGTAGATGCGTTCAAGCGCCACTGAGCAGCGAAAACGGACATAGGTGGATGAGGTGCTTTCCCGACGTTTGATGCATGCCATCCAGCCGTCTGACTAGTATATCGCAGTGTCCTCTCAAAAGTGCACCTAACGGGCAATCCGTCAAACGTCCCATGGAATAATACTCCCAGAACGCCCAACCTATGAAGGAGCAGATACCGTGCGGAGTGGCATAGTTAGGACCAGTCCCCACTACCTCCATCTGGAGCCACATTCTGATGACGCCGTTGAGCTGGCCATACATTTTTGTCCAAATGGATGCGGTTGCTGATTTGAACGAGAATGAAGTTCTTTCCATCCCGCACGAACGTACGACCCCTCAAGTTGATCTTCACAGTACAACGCCTTAGAGTCGCGGATTCAGACGCGTCGGGTGTAATCAATTACGGTGTAAAGGTGTGAAGTGCAACTGAAAACCGTGCTGGTTTTCTTCCCCCACCCTTGTCAATCGCTTTAGACAGCCCAAACTTGACATTTGTACTTGCCCAGATGTTGGAAAGTGTATTCATGAGGGAGGCCATTAAGGGTTCGATTGTGAACCTTTATGGCGCGGGCCCGCGCCAGTTCAATTTTCAGTACGTTGAGTCGTGCGTTATCGTGGCTGGAACCCTTCGACTTATTAGTAATGATCTAAGGGGATTTCTCCAGAATGGTCGTCTGATGGGTTAGGGTCTCATGTAAAGGCAGGTGACCAGCCTCTACAGTAAGGTCCCATGTCCCATGACAATTCTCAGTTTGGCCGTGGCGATGTCAAAAAATGGGCATTCGGCCAACTCCGCTACAATATTCAGCTGACAGATTGCACACAAGCGCGTGACCACAAGTTGGGCCGACCCGTTCATACGTGTCCAAAGACTGGGGTGGAGAACATCTCGTTGCCACTGTTCAAACCCCGTAGTACATCAGAAATGCCGTCACTTGTAACGAGCAGGCTCACAATCTATGGCGCGTTCTCGACCGTGCTCGTTTCAGCTGTTATTGCCAGTGCATTTCACAAGCACTCCAATTTCTATTCGGCGACTGTTTTCCTGTCGCGTAGCAGCGCGAGCGTAATGGCGAGTTCTTCGTGTGGGATCCTTTCTGATGGTGTTAGCTTATCCATCCACATCTGTTCAGGTCTTGGCAAACTATGGCGTGTTACTCGCTCTCTTGTTTGGGCGATTTCTCCAGCGTTTATTCTTTGGTCGTTTAAGCAACCAGGAAGTGGAGGTCGGTATTTGTTGGCGGATCATGAATTATAGTTTCATTGACGATCCTGCCTCCAGCGATTATACGATAGGACATGGTTTTTCCTCACAGAGTCCCTCCTGGCGTTCACGATATTCCGAGACGAGTTCGATGCTCCATTTGTTGTCATGTTCGGTGTATTACTTTTCTTGAAGTGTTTTCACTGGCTCATTGCCGACAGGATGGATTGGGTGCGCTTCTTATTGATCCCGTTAAAAGTCTGCTTCACTTACATCCTTGTGTCAGATGGACCAACAACCGTACCCTGGGCCCCCTATGCTTTTCCATCTGCGTACCAACGTCATGTTCTTTATCCTATGGACCGTGGACATCCTTATGCTTCAGTTTGCCATCGAAACCGTGCTTACGCATGGTGTGGGAGGAATCGTCTTGTTTGGAAGCGAATACGCCATCTTGTTAGCCTCTTGTTTAAATTCTGTATTGAAGTATTTCGTAATGGTCTACGACCTCCGCCGTGCTCGAACACGCGGAGGCGAGGACGCTCCCATCTGGGAAAACAAGAGCATGTGCATGTTCTACATCGAACTTATCACAGGTATGATTCCATTCAACCAAAAAAACTCTCCCCGCTCACCTTGTTTGTCAAAAAAAAAAAAAGACTTCCTGAAGCTTGGAACGTACCTCACATTCTTCATGATTGTCATGACCTTCTTTGGCCTTCCACTGAATATCATTCGGGACGTTTACATGACCGGCGTGTCATTCTACACTCGCTTCCGTGACCTCCTGCGGTATCGCGCGGCAACCAAAGACATGGAAACCAAATATCCAAACGCGACTCCCGCAGAACTCGAAGTCATGTCCGATAGAACGTGTATCATATGCAGAGAAGAAATGGTCGTGCAATCCAGGATCCATGCAAACCCGCCAGAGGTAGCGTTAGGTCCAAATGGTTTGCCACAACCGGGTCAAACTCTGGGTTTGAACGATCCACCGAAGAAGTTACCTTGTGGGCATGTTTTCCATTTCCAATGCCTGCGATCGTGGCTTGAACGACAACAAAGTTGTCCGACGTGTAGACGTTCGGTGCTTGAGGGTATGAACCCAGATAACACCGATGGGAACGGTGGAAATGCTGCGAATCGACCGAATCGGCACGATGATGGAAACCTGAATGGCGGGAGGCTGCCGTTTGTTCCGCGAGATGTGCCTCTAGGTCCTCCTGCACAACTTGTTGACGGGAATGGGAGAGAACAAAATCAGAATGCTGTGCCTCAGGTTCAGCCCCACGCTCTGCGGAACGGTGTACCTCCGGTCAACGCTCATCAAGAGCTTGCTGGTGATTTGCTCAATGGGTTAGGTGTCACCGGTGCTGGAACACTGAATGACGGTGGGGGTGCTAACCGAGTGAGTGGAACTCAACAGACGCCACCCCGAGCCTTCCATGGATTCAACGTCGGGGGCGTTTGGCACCCTTGGGAAATCAGCGGATTGGACGGAGAGGCCGCTGAGGCATCAGGCCCTAGTACGACCTCGGGTCCTTCTTCCTCCTTCTCGCCTGTTCCGCCCCAACCTTCCGCTCCTACTGCGACAGCTTCTCGCGCTCCAGCGGCATCCTCTCCTGCCGGTCCAAGCGCCACTCCAGAGGGCCTTGCATCTCCCTCCGGGTCGTCGAATGGAACGGTTACTCCTACATCTGCTCCTGCTCCTCCAACGCCTGGATTGCTGCAGGAGGCTGCAGCACAGAGTGCATCTCTTACTCCAAGAGAAGCGGCAGCTGCTGCTGCACTTAAACGGTTCGCGGCCGTCGGTTCGAAATCTGGTCAGTCTTCCGCCACCACTACCAACGTAACGCCGGTCCCTACAAGGACTGTTCCTCCGAGAGCTGAGTCCTTACCCGCAATCTCTACGTTGGAAGCAAAAATGACCCCTCCATCTGCCTCGATTCCATCCCCCACTTCCAATTCATCTTCATTCGTAGGACAGACGGATCCTCCTCCAAAACATGTTTCCGTCCCAACCCTCATTCCTCTCTTCGACCCTTCATCTGTTGCTCATCGCCCTTTCATTAATCTGGGTTCGTTCGCGGATATCTCAATGACGTCAGGGATGATGTCCCCCGCTACGCCTGCATACTTTTCCAACCCACTTCCTTCCTCTTCCTCTACATCTGTATCAGGATTACAACAACCTCCTTCGTTCCCTTGGATCTTGAACAATATGGGTCCTTTTTCAGCTACCTCCACGCCTGCTTCACAAACGCCCGCACGTACACCCGCTCGTGTACACTCTAGCGCAAACCTCAGCGCGATGTTCAGCGCCGCCATGTCGAACAATAATGCGGCCGCTCCTCCAGTCATCCCCATCACTCCAGACCTCAATTCGGGGGCGTCGTTCTCGCCGCGTCTTCTTCCTTTCTCCACACCGAATGCGTTCTCAGATGATGCTGGCCTAAGGAGATTAGATGCTCTCACAAGAGAAGCGATCGATGAAAGGCTCAAAGTTCTCGAGGATGTGCAGATGAAGCTGTGGAGTGCGGCAGAGGAGTTGAAGAGGGTTAAGAGTGCCTTACCTCCCATGACGTCCAGCTCTGCGTCTGGATTGAACTTGACTGGATTGCCGACGAGCCTGCCGGTTGAGGGGTATGTGAGTGCGCCTCAGTCTGGATATGCCTCTGTTGTGCGTAGGTCGGCAGAGGTCGTTCGTAACACGGCCGAGTTGGTGAGTTCCGTTGAGGAAGGGCTAAGAAGTGATGTAGTAGATTCGAAAGGGAAGGGGAAGGGGAAAGCGCGGGCCGTTGAAAAGGAGGAGCCTTCTTCTTCTGTTTTGTTGTCTGAACCTCAACCTTAGCTAAGTTCTCGGATTCTCTCCTTCCGTTGTTGGGGGGGGGGGGGTGCAGGTGCGAGTCAACCATTCATGATCAAAATTGGGTGGGGGGGGGGGGGGAGGACTGGTCTTTCATTCTCGACGGATGCCCTGGTCGTGGATCCCGGGGTTGGGCGATGGGGGGTTTCATCGTTATCTTTGGCGCCCAGCCATTTATCACGCGTCTGTTTACTCGCTTTCCTTTTAAGCATTCAATATATACGTTAGCATGCAAATCAATACTTATTCGACCCACGGGGGGTCCCCGCTGGTTTTTTTTTTTTTAGCTTTGTGTTCATACTTCCCAAGTCAGCATGTAGTTTAGTTTAGTTTTCATATCTATGCACTTTGTACTATCACTGTGGCCAGGCCGGGGGATTGAAATGATCAGCCAATGAGCATTTGGGCAAGTCATTTAGATGGACACTGGATAGACAAAGGGGACGACGTACGCAGCTGTACTGCGATATTGATCGTTGATCAACAAAGAAGTGTTTTTGTAAATTCCTGTTTGCATTAACGCGCCAACTTCCCCAACTTCCCCAACCCCCCCCTTTTCCACATCTGAGAATTTGATTTGGGGGGGGGGGTCAGTAGCGCTAACTTTGCGCATGAAAATTAAAGGTGAACTAGGAGTACACTAGAGGGGAAGTGATGCTGGCCTTTTAGTAAATTGTTACTTAAGCTATTAAGATTAGATAAAGGAATGTTGTTTAAGGGGGAGGGTATCACTCAAGACTAATGCGGACTTGGGGTTGGCGTTTTAGGCAGGGAAAATGCCAAATCAAGTGCACGAAAATGATGTAAACAAATGATGGTATAAACTGATAATTTACCGAGCGCCTTTAACTGCAGATCTCCGACTACGTATAGTATTAGCACTAGCCGCCAATATCCCGCAGGTAAAACGCGCCACAACTCTTTTGGTCACAGGTATCCGCAGGTAATGGGAGGTCCCCCCCCCTCTTGCGGACCAAAAGCAAGCGCATTGGTCATCATGTCGATGGTTGTGACAGGAGGAGTTCCTTGGCCTTTTTGGCGACGACGTCACCAGGTACAGTTCCAGGCTCGACCAAATTCCAAAACATTTTTATCACCTTTCCTTGTAGTGCGCCCGGACCCGGATGAACGCTCCCTGATGAAGATGAAGATATCAATGAAGATCGAACTTGTTGAATGGCATGGGTAAGATGTCTGGTGATCTCCTCATCTGAAAGCGGTGGTGGAAGGAGAGATTTGAGGATGGAGGCTTCTGTGAGTTCTTTGGCGGCTAGATCTGAACGAGAGGCGGCTGTATATTGAGCGGAGGCATCTTCCTGTTTGTGAGCAAATCAGGGGTGTGGGTGTGTGGTTTAAGATGGGGAGTTTTCCATCGCAGGATAAAATCCAAATATCCAATCCGGCCAATTAGTGGCGTAGAGAGAGAGAAAAAGGGGTTGGGTTGGGGGATAGAATGGCGCAATTCATTCAAGCCAGGGGGGACAATGAACCCGTTTGGTTTCATGTGATAGCAATGGGGTTGAAATATCAGATGAGTAAGGTGAGTTTTTGCATTTCAGAAAGCTGGGCAAACGTACACGCCGAGCGATTGATTTATTGATAATGCTGTATATCGCTGCGCTCTTGATAGGAGAGGGGCCAACTTTGTCCGCGTTCGTGATTTCAGCTATGATAGACTTTCCAAATGGCATGATGTCGGTGTAAAGGAATTAATGGACAAGTGAGAATTAGCTGTTTGTGGCCTTGCATCGAACGTTGTACCTTGAGTGTCGTTGAGGTGAGCGAATCCCTTGCTTTCATGGCCGTTATGAGATTTGTCTTGAGCTTAGCGCGGATGTCCACCTGCTCAAAGACTGAACCAACATTGGGCAAGTACAACGGGCAAGTCAATATGATGATAAACGATTCTGATTTATAGGGACATACACAAGCGAGCACACGCATGGAAACCTCGACTGTTCATCGCAGCCTCCCGAATAGGCCGCCAACGTAACAGCATTGAAGCTTTAGGCGCCAGGGTGGACATTTCCGAGAGAGAAAGAGGTTCAATTCAATCCTGACTGAATGTGTCTGTGAATGTGTCTGTGTGGGGTCGCTGCGAAGTTTTCTGCTGAGGTCCCGCTCTTACCCTGGTAATATCGTGCACTTTTAATGCGAGGCAGAACACCTGAGGCGCTTCCTCTGATTACCAATTGGAATTTGCTACTGCGACTTTTGGTATCACATTTCTGATTTACTGGCACTACTTATCGCCTCTCTCGCCAGATGGACCGTGGATGTGGATATGTCGTCCCCCGAAACAATCTACAAGCCCTCAAAAATTAGAAAACTTGGAAGAGAGCTGGTTCGCGTTGGGGCATCATATATGAAATCGGGGCTCCCCTGCAGTTTGAAACTGATGCTGAAGGGGGCTCTCATGATAATCGACCCAAGTACCTCGGTACGCCTTCTCCTTCTCCTATCTATCTCTGGGGGGGGCGGGGTCGGGAGAATCGCCCTTCCGCTCAATTACCCCTTTCCCGTCGCATTAATAGCTTGATTCTTTCCAACAAATCCGACTCATAAACTCTACAAAATATACATTCGGAACGATAATGGATGTTATTCTCTACCACTCTTCTTCATTTGATGCACCAATGCGTCAAATATCCGCAAAGGGAATGACTTCTATGAATACCTCAGCGGGTTTCTGAACATATCATTGGTGACGAAGAGAAACCCTACTCGTGGTTCCAGTTAGAATCATCACAGGGAAGGGCGAGCCTTTCAGTGCGTCAGGGATAGCTTACAAGGACTGGAATATCATTATGAAGGGGGGATCCATGCGAATTCGTCCAGGAGAGACTGAGAAACGCAGAACAAGACGGAAATAGTCATCTGTTCTCATCGGACCAAGGAATGGAACCGGAACCCACGTTTGTTATTTGAACAGGCCATATCATGCATCTCCGGCACTCGGGATATGGTACATATAGTTATCAAAAAGGCTATGCGGATTTCCAAACCAAGGGGTCTCTCTTCGAACTCATTGATTGACACGTTTGCCTCCCCAATATGACTTCATTGGCAATAGTTGGTCTTGGTCATCTCCTTCTCGTTTCCGACCCGCCATTGGCGGTTAGAAGACTTACTACTATTCTTGCTAACACTGGGATCATCAGCATCCCGGAGGCGCCAAGTCGTTCCCCGAGGGATGCTTCTGTATCGCTTCTAAACTGCCATGGTGGCGTGGATAAATGATGGGGAGGGCTGGGAATAGTGATCAACTCTAAGCAACTTCATGCCTCCGGTCTATGCACCCGACGTCGTTGCCAGGAAACCAAGAAAGGAGATCAAGGATGGTGTGGATATGATATGTACTAGGCGTGTTGGCGATCAGCTATGACACATCGTGCGTGGCTTGTTTGGGATGGCGGCTATGTCCAACGTTCGTACATATATCGCAGACGAGTTAATTGGATGGTTGAACAGTTTGCGCGCTGGTCGCCCTGATTGCATAATGTTTGTATCCATAGCGCCTTGCAGCACCTGTACATGGAATATAAGATTAGTGGTTGCCCGACTTGAACCGCCCTCCGTTTGACCCGGGTAGATTCCAAGAGTCCGAAATTATCTTCCATTGCACACTCCGACCATTTCCCACCCACATCTCTTAGGACATTCGGCGCTGCCGTCCTCGCGCACAGCCCTGACGCCCATAATTAAGTAATTTCTCCAAGTATTATTAATTGTTGGCGTTGCCTCATGAACTAGGATGCCGTTGTAAGGTGAAGTGGTTAGTTGTGCCTCATAAAATAAAAATCAACCTGGATCCTCCAAGTCCCAACGGCAGACCATCCCCCAGCAGTTCCTAGTCCAACTCTTCGCAACTTCCAGTTCTGGGGGGGGTCTGAGATCTACCCAGCATCTGTCATCAAAAATCGCCGCGTCCGAGAATACAAAAAGCGGAGCTTATGTCAGCAGTTGCAGGTGAAGCTGATGGAGAGCCCCGCCGTGGCCGGCCAATCGGCAGAGTTAACAAGCCTTCTTCTCTGATCGTCGTTTCGTCGTCCCCCAGAAACACGTCGAACGTGCAGCCATAACCGCAATGGATGGTCATTCGCCTTCGCCTCTGGCTATTATGCAGAACGACGGTGGTGCCAAACCAAGTGCGTTGACTGATCACGACAGCTCTCAAATTGCTCTGGAAGCAAAAAAAGAAGCTACTTCACCCATGACCGAGCTAACTCCCCGTCCTCCTTCACTGACCTCCGCGGAAAACTCCTCCCAACGCCCTCCGACTTTGAGCCCTAGGCAATCTCACACCGGCGATATCAGAACCTCTACTCGTCATCCTGCAACCCATACTCCACGCTCGCCTTGTTTCGTCCATTCCTTGCTTGACCAGGGCGCATCCCTAGCCGACTGGCTTTATAGTGCTCAAGGTTCAAACCGGTCATCATCGAGCGAAACAAAGGCAAGAAGCAGCTCGTCAAGCGACAAAGCACAGACGTTCGTAGATGAGATGATCATCGGCGAACCAGAGGTTGCTCTCGCAAAGGGACTTGGGCTGCACAACGCTCACGGCTCGACCGCTCATCCTGCTGCACCGCCGTCAGATGATTGGGAAATTGATAGTAGTAGCGATGATGAAGGGAATAGCTTTACGAAACGATTGGCCGAAACAGCCGTTGGAGTCCGCGAATTGAGCAAGCAACTAGGTATGAATACAAATCCCCCCCCTTTTTTGTATGTGATCGACACCATCCTCACTCACAATTACGGCAATTAACAGGTCGCGCTCGCGTTCGGACTAACATCCAAAGCGTCCTGATCGTTACGAAGGCGAGGGACAATAGGCTGATAAAGCTTACCAGTGAATTAGCCATCTATTTGATGAAAAAGCGTACTTGCAATAACACTCGTGGATTGATCGTGTAAGTTCTGAATGGAGCCGATCATAAGGGGTGATTTGTTGAATATCCACTGAATTGAACCCTTGATCTAGGTATGTCGATAAACAGCTAAAGCGTTCGAAGCGTTTCGACGCTGCTGGCATGCGGGATCAATACCCCGAGTTTTTCGTTCCTCTACCTCGACGCCGTACAGCTAGTTCGACTTCGTTACCTTCGATGACAAACGAAAGTCTAGTCTCAGGGCCCACTGCCGAGGAAGGTCAGCTTCGTTATTGGACTAGTGAAATGTGCAGCAAAAGTCCCCATTGGTTTGATTTTGTCGTCACGGTATGTTTTTTCAGAAATTAATAAAGCAAGCGCTTGAATTCGATTTTTTATTTTTTTAATTGGTTTTTGCATCTCTGGCCGATTTCAGCTCGGGGGTGACGGAACCGTGCTTTTCACTTCATGGTTATTCCAGCGCATCGTACCTCCCGTCCTACCCTTCGCTCTCGGTTCGCTCGGCTTCCTCACGAATTTTGATTTCGCCGACTATGAAGGGGTTATGGATTCTGCAATTGACAATGGTATTCGTGTTAACCTCCGAATGCGATTCACATGTACTGTTTACCGAGCCGTCGCACCAAAGGCGGGAAAAGGGAGAAAAGCCATTAAGAAAGCCGAGACGGGCGAGATTCTCATGAAGAATATAGAGGAAGGAGGGTGGGAAGCTTTGGAAGGTGGGGCAATACACTCGACAGGTGGAAGTGGGACGAAGGATAAAGAGATCATGTGTTTTACGACGAGGCCCGTCGAGAGCTTTGAAGTTCTAAATGACCTTGTTGTTGATAGAGGACCGAGCCCGTACGTTTCCCTCCTGGAATTGTTTGGTGAGTTATCGTTTGTCCGATGAACAACCACCATTCTGCTCAAGCAGTTGTCTCACATGCTTGATTAAGGGGATGAACATCATATGACAACAGTACAGGCGGACGGGCTCACGGTGTCGACACCCACGGGGTCAACGGCATATTCGGTAAGCATGGATTATAATCTACTTGCCATGGTCATTTTTTTAGACCCACGAATTGTTAGCTGTCTGCTGGAGGCTCGTTGGTTCATCCAGAAATTCCCGCGCTCCTGATCACACCCATATGTCCACATACATTGTCTTTCCGTCCGATGTTGCTACCAGATACGATGGAACTGCGGATTTGCGTTCCATATAATTCTCGCAGCACTGCATGGGCGAGCTTTGACGGTCGTGGACGTGTTGAATTGAAGCGTGAGTTTTCTTTCCATAATGCTGGTGATCAACGCTCATGTCTGGTTGGAAGAGGGTGACCACATCAAAGTGACAGCCTCAAAGTATCCATTCCCAACGGTGTGTGCCGATAAGCAGAGTACGGATTGGTTCCACGCAATATCACGGACCTTGAAATGGAATGAACGAGAGAGGCAGAAAAGTTTTGTTGTTGTTGAGGAAGGACCTACGCCGGCCCGGCGGCAGTCAACAGTCGATTCCAGCACCGGTGGCACAGATGATGAAAGGTCAGAGTACATCCCTGTTGACGAAGAGGATGAATTAGACGAGGACGGAGAAGAGGACGAGTTTGACATTGATGATCTTAGCGGGGAAGCATCGTCGAAGGAAGCCACCGATGAGACATCGCCATCGCCGCACGAAACAAAGCCAGACCAAGGACATTCCTCGGATCCGTTCCGTGAAAGTCCAGGAAGTGGGCTCGCCTCTCCCGATCGCTTCGCGGATGCACACCCACATCCTCCTTCCCTCCACCCACGACACCTCATCTCTGATGCAGCCTCCAAGATCCAACACGCTCCAAGCCTTCAAGCACATTCGAATCCGGACCTTGGGAATTCAGAGCCTGTGTTTCTGTCATCGAGGTCACGTACCTACCATCATCCACCGCGCGAACTGTATGATAGTGACGGAGGACGTGACGGACACCGAGACCATATTCGTGCTCCCGAGTCCACATTCCATTCAAACAAGAGTCAGATCCCCAGAGATCGCGATATCGAAGCAGAGAGTATGTTGACGTCGAACGGCACGCCTTCTTTGGGAGGAGTTGGATCGATGCTGTCGAAATCGCACTCCCATAGCACGGTAACTCATTCCACTTTGACTCCACGACGCCCTCGACGTAGGCCTGCACGATCTGCGTCGGCACGGAGGCCGAATGAGACGACACGACCTAGGCGAGGAAGCCTCGACGGTTTTGTCGCCGCGAGACATGCATTTGCAGCCTGGGGGCTCGATGAGACTGACAGTAATGCATCCGACAGTGATCCCTAATCACGCACGTATTTCTTTTTTCATTTGGCAGTACTTCTAGTTTTATTTGTTCATTAACGAAATTTCCTAATCCTTGAGTTGATGTTGTTGTTGGACTCGTATCTTGTTACGCTGCGAGCACGACCATCCCGGCTCATTACACCGTGCGGTACATGAGGGATTCTTCTTCCATAAGTGTGTCTAGGTGGTGAATTCGAGATCGTCCGGTTGTGGCGTCGGGGGGTTGGTCAGGATTATGTGTAACTACAATCTTCTCTATGTCTCATCTCTCTGAGTGTCCGTCCCTGCTACTCGGTTCTCCGGATCTGCTTCTGCTCCTCTTGTCCGGTGCACGGAATCTTTTGAACCCTAATTGGAATCATTAGTGATTAAGGCTTGTTAGTCTTGAGAGACAGCAACAGTTGACTCCCCACGTTATGTCGGTGAGACTCCCGATGATTGATCTATTTCCTGGCCACTCGGTCGTTACCTTTTTCGTTGCTCTATCCATGGCTGCTATTACACTCACCCCGTCCAAGCCAGAGATTTCCGCGTAGGAAAGGGTGGGGATTACATGGTGATAATGCAATTTCGGCGACATTTCCCACATCGGATTATTCGCTCTGTCCGTCAGCGGATCGGGCTGGGAAAATGACCGGGATGTTGGGGTGGCTGATTATCCATCATATTGACTTCCAATCAAATGCACAACCCTAAGTACTGATCAATCTCCATCTCGATGTACATAAACGCTAAAAGACAGAGACACCCTTTGAACACTCTTATTTCTACCTCCATTTCCCCATCGTTCTCCCTGTATTACCTGGAAACTAGCGTCCTTGAATGAGTACTAGCCAGATCTACCAAGAGCCATCTGATGAGTGCCTGGGCGACTCCCAACACACACCGCCTGCTGGCGACTCGATTAGAACTGGGGACAGCAATGGAACCTTTATGTTATTCCAATCTCCACCAATCCCCAGTAACCCCATCCTCCCAGAGTTTGGGTATTAGAACGGAACCCAGGGGCACTATGCACAAACAGGTACGTCAAGACATCCACTGAGTTCTTAACATTTCAATATGTACCAGTTCAACACGCTAGGACCCTCTGCCCCCATGTCACTGCTCAACGATCGGAATATTGGAATGGTGAGAGCTCCTGTGTTCGCCGGCCACAGCCCCCACACTCGCTTGCCGGTTCACAAGAACTCCAACCCACGACACCTAAACCACCATGTCATTCGGCACCCGCAGCCACAGGCTACCTCAGAGGCAAACATCAGAGCGACCCTCAGTGATTCGATTCAGCCACTGGCTCAGGATTTGAGTCCATCAAAGAGGAAGCAAGCGAGCTGAAGCGAAAGCTTGATGAGGAACCAGATGACAGCCGCTGTGACGTGTGAAGGGAACGAAGCGACGTGGGGACCAGTGATTTGGCCAGATAAAGCTCGAGTATGTACTGGGACTATCATTAGTGCTAGTACTGGTGATGCACAAAGCTGACAATGATGTTTTAGGACTTGATGCGGCAGACTTTTCGCCACATACTGGAGATCACATCAAAGACGCCAAGGATGACAGAGGAGGCTGAAGCCTGGGGAACCCGCGCCGGAAAGAGCAGCCGGGACTCCTCTCTTCCGGCCAGATTGGCGACACCATGCAAATCACCATCTCAACGAGCCTGCGATCAACCAAGCTCAGAGTTGGTAGGTCATCAGGTATTACTATGCATTGGACAAATGCCGCCAGGATGACATGGATGCCAAAGCCCCGGCCTCTTAAGTTCGCAAGTCATTCCTGTCAAGCAATATCCCAGTCTCCCTAAATTGGCAGTTTGGCGCTCATTGGTATCCCAACAACTTCCTGCAGAACAATCGGCTCAGATGAGAATCACGGAGGATCCTGAAATGGATAACAAAAGGTGACGATAACAGACGGGATGATCACATCGGAGGATCTAGCAACAGTCAGAAGGCTCGAAGCAGCATATGAGGCTGATAACGAAGACGAAAGCGCGGGCAATGAAGGCGAGGTTAGCGCAGGGGCGGCGGTTAAACAAAGTAAACAGGTGACAACAACAACGATCCGCAAGGCAGAGAATAACTTGATGTTAATTTCCCCATCATTTCCACTGTCAAATAGCACCCCATCAATTGTCCATCACATGCAGAAAGGGCTTCGGAAATTTTTAGTTTATGTACATAAACGCAGTGACCAAGTACGCTTAAAAGCTCAACGTTTGCTGCATGCATCATGATTGATGGCCTAGCTCAGTTCTCTTTGTGTAAATTGCGTTTCTACACTTGAGATTGAGTACCGTTTGACGTTAGTTCACGTCGTACTACCAGTTTGTTACTTCTGAATTATATAATGGATAATCGAATATAAATATAAGAGCCGCCATGCATTGTCCCACATAGGTCATCGTAAATCTGATCAGTTGTACCCGTGCTTTGGGAACCGAACTAAAGCAACAAGCTGCTATAGCTATGAAAGAGAGAATTACACGGCCGGATACTAAACTCGACTTTATATGATGCGCAACGCCACAGCCGGATGGACCGACGATCTATGTTTTTTTTTTTTTCCCAACCGCATCCGTGGGTGTTTGGAAGGGTGCATGTGTCCTTGTTCATCACCCTCTTTCCAGGTTCACTCCAGCGTCAAATATCCGTGACGCCCGGAACCAAACCCCCCTCCCCCCCCAAAAAAAAATCCAATATCGGTTGGGCTAGAACGTCTTCTGAAAATTATTTGTATTTACGCATACGGTATAGATGGTTACAATGGGCAGATTCGGTTCTCAGAATACGGCATTCGATCAGCAAGAAAGCAGACGATGACGACGACTCGCGACGACTGAGTCCAGAACAAAACGTGGGAGATCGAATCGCACGAGAAGAACAAGAACAGTTGATTTTTTTTTTACATTGGTACTTTGAGAATTAGGAAAGAGGCGGTGGCGGAAAGTACGGAAAGGAGAGGGTATAATGTTCGTAAAAAAACAACCAGTTAGGACTTCTGGTCCCAGAAGAGACGAGGAAAACGATTCAGCATGCATGTAATACAGCCATGGAAGTCCGTATAACTCACGGAAAAAAGGGGGCATTTTTTTCACATTCGACAAGACAAAAAAAAATTGGTTACAAATGAACCTCGATCAGTACATGTATCCGGGTGATCCGGCATAACTAAACGACGACGCTCTTGACCTCGCATGCGGAACCATTAGTCCACCTCCAACAGTTGCAGGCTGATATCCATATGCGGAGGTAGCTGGGTACCCAGCAGTGGGATATCCCACTTGCTGCCCGGCATATGTAAGCTGTGGGTAGGAACCATACCCTGCTCCAAAGCCCGACGGAATAAGGGCACCGGTAGACCCAGTAGAAAGGCGACGGCGACCTCCATAATGGGAATATCGCTCATCATCGTCAGAGAGATAACTGTCATCGTAATAGTCATCTCCGTAAGCCGAAGAGATCGATCCGTGGCGATGGTATCCCCTTACGCCACGACGGCGATCCTGGTGTATCATTACCATGCGGCTTCAGTACAACACCGAGCAGCTGATCAAAAAAAAAAGCAGTGACGTACCCTTCGAAAAAGCCTCTCAGCGGTAGCTGCAGCTACTTCGCATGTTTCCCTCCTTCCGTACCTGTCCGAGGGTCGTTGGCAATATGACCATAGCTTGGTTGCTGTTTTGGGTTGGGAAGGAAATGAAAAAGGTGGAAGGTCGTGCCATTGTATAGGCACGCGGAGCCGGACCAAAAGCAAGATGAAACGTCATAGAACAGATGAACAGCGACGTTTTTTTGTTTTTTGTTTTGGTCACATCGATCGGATGGCAGGAGATGCGTTATAGAAGAGGAAAGGGAAGTTGGAAGATGAAGAATCAGTAAGTCAGCAGAATCTCGAAAAAGCTGAGATTTGTCACACCCACCCTCGGCGATGGCCAGCCCTGCCAGGGCTTCTTCTTCCCGGTCACGATCGTCCGCCAGGGGTGTACGATAGATACCGCGATGGTATGTGAAAAGACGGTAGGCTTCATACCCCGCGGCAGCACCGAGATCCGCTGGGGGGAGTGAACCAATATCGATCTGATGAGTGGTTACGTGCCCCCGACGTAAATGCGAAGGCATATAACAGAGATCGTCGATTGGAAAAGGTTATCCATAGGGAAAGCACAGAGAGGTGCAATGAGTGGCGTAGTTTTGTGGATGAGGGTCCAAATGGACGTACCATTCCACCGTAAATACGCCGGTGCCAATGTCTAGCTTCAGAGGGTCCAACGCTCGACCCTCCAACGAGGCTCCTCAGCCTCGACCACACGTAGTCGAACAGGCCGCTATTGATAACGATTCACAGTTTCCAGGAACATAAACGTCATCGTGTGATGAAAGTGGAAGGTAGAGATTAGCAAGGCAGCGTGGCTCGGAGGGGACGTACTGAACCAGTACGAGACGTACACATCGCTGTCAGCAAAATTGCCATTGGCCAATCGATAATGGGCCTGGTAGTAGTCCTGGCCGGTCCAACTGGGCTGGGGCTGATAAGTTGGCACTGGGGGAGCAGCGAACTGGTAGCCTTGGGCCATAAGTTGCTGCGCGTACTGTTGTTGACCCCAGTAGGGGACATGGGACTGATAGTAATTGTAATACGCCATTGGGGTACGTGTGGGGTGTAAGGTGGGAGGGATGGGGTAGTTTAGATAAGCCACTCCTCAGATATATGCAGGCGGATGGGAGCACAAGTGCCGGAAGATACTTGTGCAGTAATGGGTGTTCTCAATGCGAGAAGTGGGGGGGTCGTCCTTATATGAGTGGCAAGTGGAGGTATTTGGTTGACTCGGTGATGTGAGCCACCGGCCCTGAGATCCCCCAAACAAGTTGTTCGCAATTTAAATTGATAGATTGACGCGGGGGTGCAGATCAGAATCAATTGATTGCTCTTGCCACAAAAGTCGGGGCCGCGCGCCTCGCCACTGGATGCTTTACAAAAAAAAAAACAAGCAATGTAGTCAATGCCGTGCAGGGCTGGGGTAGCTGCAGGACTGTGGGGAAGCTGGGCTTTCCCAGAAGGTAGATGCGGAGCGGCGCGGAAAACGGACTGTGATGTAGCGGAGACTGTTATGAGAGTAGAGAAGGTAGGGTGTCAATGTCTTCGAGATGAATATCAGTGTGCGTTATTTTGGAGCACAGTTGCCGTTGGAGCGATATTGTCAGCCAATCAGACGATGTCCGAACGTTTTGCAAACGCCAGCAGAAAGTATCACGCGAAGTCACTTATTGGCTCATTCCAACTTTGTGGAGTCACTCACCCACTGTGCACGTTGTTGAGGGTAGGCAGGCCAATCACGGTCACCGTAAGATGAAAGGAAGCTGGAAGAGAGGAGAAATGGGGGTTGGAAATAGAACTGAGCTAGTGCTCGAAGAATAGCGACAGCAAAGCAAACTCATTTGACCCATTTTCTTATAAGCACCATGAATCGCACGGTAGCCGGTAACCACGCGACACTTGGGGGGAAGCCACCTGATAAGCTGCGGTGTCTCAGGTGTAGGTAGTGTGTGCACCGTAAGCGTAAGTTCCGCGTGGGCGCTTAGCAGGCGCTTGTAGAAGGTATTTTGGGAATATCGTGGACAAATCATTAATTGAATAGGTTGACAAATCAAATGGTCCCCCATTCAATCGGGTCTCCAGATGACAATTGCGCAGCAATTTGAGACATTTGCCATCTCACATCAGCTACCTTCCACCTGAATCTTGACGCCCCATTTTCGTCTGTTTTCGTTTGGCGGTGCCGCGCTCTCAATATTAGACTTTCCATCATCCGCAAGTCTTCTGGGACCACATCTGATCCGAATTGAAGACCGCAGAGCACCCCACAGCCTCAAGGCAGTATGCCGCTTTATGGTGAAGAATGCGCGGCGCCAGCTCTCTCTCGGATGTCTGCGTTCCACGAGGTTGCATCTTATCCCTTTTGAAAAGATTGAGTGACTCCACGACATTCACTTGATCGGGCTTCCAAGCGATCCCAGTTTTTCGAGTTTGGAGGAGCTTCCTCATGACTATCCTCTGCGATGACTTTGTTTGAATGCATGACTTGAACTTGATCGGCTGACTCTTCTTCTCGTTTCCGAAGAAGTGAATCGCCGGGATTCGTAGTGAAGCCCGGTACTGTTTAACGCTGGCCTATCACCTCTGACCCTAATAACCAATCCAGAAACGGGCCAAAATCTCGCAGGCCCAAGAAGTTAGATATATGGGCCGCGTGTTGTGAATGAATTTACTCCAGTGGACTGAACTGACGCGGGTTCAAGTCTCATTTGTATATCCATCCACACAGAATTAACAGGAGAAATCACCTTCTAAAGTGCGCTTTGATCTGGCTGCTCCATAGTACAGTATGCTAGCTTTCGTTGTCCATGAGGCGGTGTTCGGCGACCGATTTCTCGGAATTGAACGTTTCCTTGATGACGTACTACAAGATCTCAGGAAGAACCCGGCCAGTGGCTCCTCAAAGGTCGACTGGTTGCTTGGATCATGCAGGCTCATTCCTCAGACTCGCTGCTGCAGTATATACCAGATACCAGATAGAACGTAGATTGCCAATATTTGGCTGCATCCTTAGGGGCACTACTTACCGGGCTGCACTGCCCTGCTTGTTTGAATACTTTTTGTCGAAGTGTCCATATCTCTTAGAAGCGCGGCATCATCCCCCCCCCCCTCAACGCACTCCTCTTCGTTGTCTAACGCCCCCACTTCGGGAATCTTGACTTGACGGAAGGCCAGGAGGATTATTTTGCATTTGTGCGAGACATGAATTTACATAATCATTCCCTTGCTGTGTTATTTTTTGGGTCCTCGTGAATCTGACGTGCTTCCCCCTTACCTGCACTGCACTGCCATTCTCTCTCCTTTCGATCTTGGCAAGTCTTGGCACCCTCCAGCAGGCGCCCCCGGCCATTCGCTTCTCGCTCGTCGGGCCCACCCACAGATCGTCGAATGTTTGGCGATTGCTAGCCAGGCTCCCTATCGATTTACACACAACCCAAATTAGTGCATGATATTCGTGATCCCCCCTCGGCACGAGTCTGTGGCTTGAAAGATGATGACGCTTGCGGTGCATAAAGGGGGTCTTCTATCCACCCCTTAGTCGACATCAACCGCTCAACAGCTGAGGTCTATTCGGATAGTAATAGTTTGAATTCGCTGCACTACTAAAGATGTAAAGTATTCGCATTTATACATGCCATCATGATACTATTTGGCTTCATAATTCAGCTCTTATCTTTGAAGATCGATTGGTCGGGAATTGTCGCGTGCATGCGCGCGCGAGAGCGCGCGTTCATCTCGTAAATTGCGGAACAGTAGGTACTGCTATATATGCTGTTATTTCCCCGGAGAGCGTTGTAGATCATTGATAATGATAACGGTGGAATTCGACCCCCAACTCCGTGATAAGATACAAGTCAAGGCGAATCGATTCTATATCAGGACGGTAGAAAGGAGGTGCGTGGCCAGGCGTGGGGGTTCCTATATAGGAGATGAGCGTCATGTAAATAAAGCAAAGAATCAGAAAGAGAGGACAGGATCACAGTCACGGACCGTTCCTTATTACAACTTCAACAGTGGCGCGCAGCTGCAGCTCGTCGATGGGTGTTCCCCGTTGCAGTTGATACATTTAGGTGGTGGTTGTCGGGGTGGTCAGTTGATAAGTGACCCTCATCATTGCGTGTGTGGCACCGGTATGCAGACTTTCACTGGGAGGGATGCACATTTCTGGCAATGCATGGGCTCCCGGACGCCGCCGCGATCCTTTTCTCAGGGCAACCAACTGCCAAAAAAAAAAACAAAGTTGAGGCACTCTGATTTGTTTTCAGTTTCTAATTGCCCAAGCCAGCCAACCAAGCTGGTGGTGAGGTGGGACTGAAGTTATCCTACAGCGGGCTGCACTCCTCCCCGAAGCTAGGGTAAGAATTTATCCAGGAGTGTGTGCAGGGCATGTCCCGGTGGTCCTTGGTGGGGACTTCATCAGGTTTCTTGCAGTATAAGGCTTTATTCTGCCAAGCCGTCGTAGCGGTAAGGTCGAGTACCATCAATGACACTGACTGTGTCACCTTTGAAGGGTGCCAGATCATTTGCGTGTGTTCCAACCGCTTCAGTGACGAAAAGGTAACCTCATGGCAGAGCAGTACACGGTCAGGACTTGTTTGTCCGCTGTAGAAGCGATTTCCCTTAGGTCAGGCATTGATACATCTGACTGGTTGAGGGTTGTATGTAGCAGTTATGAACAAGGAAGCGGTGGGATCAGTGGCAGATAATCGCAACCAGCTAGGGTGATTCTTCTCTGAGTTGGCAACGATTGTTCGGTTTCTTGGTAAGTTTGATCAAGGTGGGGGAGGGGGGCTCTGAGCAAATAAAAGTGCCAGCATTGCTATCCTGAGATGCAGACGGACTCGCAAATGATCGGACTCGCAGGATGCAAGGGAGCGCCATGTAATCTTCTTGCCAGCTACCCAAGTGTGAGTATGTCGCAAAGTTGTACAGTCGGTCTCGTGTTGTGGTGTGAACTAGGGTTACGTTTTGGTGTTCTGATTAAGTTTCGCCGCGGGGGTATTTGCTTGGTGGGGCAAGAATTAGGCACTTTTTTTGTTCTGTTGTTGGTTGGTGATGTCCGAGTTTTTAGGCCCGCGAGGTTTCAAATGAACTGGCCGATCAGTTTCTTGATCTGGAGAATATTTTTACATGGTTTTCTCATCGACTGTCGCGCGTGGAAGGGGCAATCTCGTTGCTGCGCCACTGCATACCTGTTTAAGGCCCCTGAACTCAGCTCCATGGTTTAGAGCACTATGAACCCTACCTTGCTTGCAAGGTCCTCCACCCACAATTCGTGGGAATCTTCACTTTCCCACCCTGTGGATATTGCTTCTTAAGTTCTTCAGCACAAGGCAGCGCAGTGGCCCTTCTAGTGATAAATCGTGACTACCTCTAATTATCGCTGTCTACTGCGGCGCGTGAGGATTGGCCTCTTCTCCATATACGATAGCAATTAAATGGATTTGCAACGGAGAGCTCCGTAAACAGGTAACCTTAGTTATTGTGCAAATCGGAATGCAGAGTACTATCATGCGTCAGTTTTGTTCTATTGCTTTCCAGTAGCCATGGAACACGAGGCTTGCTCCTTCGCCGCAGTCACCTATCATTCTTGAACTACTCCATCCAATCCGTCTCCTCTGCAACCAATCCGTCCTGAGAACAACTCACCTTTGAGTGATTCGTATCTCTTTCTTACTCGCCTTTGCTGTACATTAATGTCAAATCACCGCGTCTGCAAGTTCTTCAACAAGCCGGGCGGTTGTCTTAGGGGCTCGACATGTCTCTTTAGTCATGATGGACGAGAAGGCGCTCTTCCCCGTAGCTCTCACCGCTCAGGAATATCATCTTCGTCCTCTGGGAAAGAAAAGAGCAACGCTCCAGCGAGCACTAATCGGAACAATTCCAACACACCCCCTCGAGTTTGTAATGAGTTCTGGAATAGTGGCACTTGCAAGCGAAACCTCAGTTGTAGGTGGCTCTTTCGTTTCTCCGGTCAATGATCGATAGCCTTTAACTCGCATGATACAATAGGTCGATTTGAGCATCGGCAGAAGCCACAGACAGGCGTTGCTCATGATCGTGCCCCTGAAGGCTCAACTATTGGCTCACCTTCTGCTATCCCAGGGACCTCACTGTCTGAAGAGGCGCTTATCTCAAAAATAGTCCAGTCAACTGAGTCTACGGATGCACTTTTTCCTGTCAGAAATCCTAGACAGTTTCGCTCAGTTGGGGATCAACTTCGGAAATTTCTGAACGAGGATGGTTTTAGAATTCAAAGATCCAGCAACGCAACAGAATTTGTCGAGCTTTTGGGCCATTCTAGCTCAGTTTATGGAGTTTGGGTGCGAGGCAGGCTTCTGACACATTGATTGCTTCACTTACACGCCTTACATTGATAGGGACATGAAGATCGACAGGTACAGAATGCCATTGTGTCGAATACCGACTTCGTTCTGATCCATACTTTGTAGCTTCTCCTAGACAACCTCACTTCTGTATGTCATTTAGTTTAAAAATGACGCATTCCATTGACCAACCTCGCAGAATATCTTCGTCGGAAACGGCTATAGACATTTGAACACCATTTTATCAGGATCCACCCCTGAACCTCCCTCGTTCGAGCACCATATACTTCCGCTTCTTGGAGTAGGTTGGACATTTAACCGAGGTATTTCGGCGGCTAATTTCCTCTTCGTAGTTTTTCACTAGCCATGCTATTGTTCAATCTGTTCGGGCACAGAGCGTAAAGTATGTTGATCGTTGCATGCGGGACTAAAGCTGAATCTGATCCCTGTCTCGTTTTATTGGGGACTGTTTGGGCCACTTTAGCGCACTCTACGCTCTTATCAACGAGAATTTCGAGTTTATGTTTGAACGTATCGATCAATGGATGATTCCTCACTTGAAGCGTATGAAATTGGGCGCAATGGGCGGACTTACTCACTTGCAGTCCTGTCGTGTTTTAATCACTGTCGCCATAGCAACTATTCAGTAAGAGGGAACCGTTTCTCTTGGCCAGCGGAACTCGCCTCTGACGAATACACATGTATCAGGTTTATTTCGCGCTATAAACGGGCTCTTATCGATCACGCAAACGTCTTGAAACTGGTGGACAAGCTTCTGGATTGGTTTCAGTCATGGAAGCCGCTAGCCGAGGCTTCAAGACATTCAGTTCAAGCAACCCTTGATAAAGCGTGCACGTCGCCAAAAGTTGTAGAGCACGCACATAAGACGTTGAAGCGCCTAGTCTCGCTCTGCCAAAGGGAAAATATTCATCATGTGTTTCCCGGGGAATTTACAGCATCTGCCCATGCCTCGCAGCCGGTTGTAAATGTTAGCGTACTCTATCTCACATATGAGGGACCAGGAATACACCGCTCAGCCGGACCTCGTCATGATAACGATTTTGCTGACATAAAGGATATCCGAATTTCCCCTACACACGATGAACTAACGTCAACTTTCAGTCCTTATCTGCCTCCTAATGTTCCAAACGCGCCGCACCACTATCCAGACCACAGCATGGCACGACTACTGGATATTCAATTTCGCCTGCTTCGGGAGGAACTGATGTGGGTATCTCATCCAACATCCTGGCCTGTGCTGAGTTATTTTTGTCAGTGCACCACTTCGGGATGCTGTGCAGCTCCTGGAAGGAGATTTCAACTCCCCCAAGTTTCTTGACACACCGTTGGGAACCCTTGTCCAAAATCTTGGTGGTTTTTACAAAGGGTACATCAACCGGGAATCGATCATCTTCCCCGTGTATACGGATGTCACATTTCACAGAATTTTCCCCGATAGATCGGCCTCGCAGCTTCCATCATCTTCAACACACCGCCTGGAAGAGCGAGAGCGGAGGATGCAGCCACTCGCGCCAGTTATTGGGAGCATTCAAGCAAGCGGCGGCTGATGCCCGGCGCATTGGTCGCTTTGCTGTGGAAGACAAGCTCCGATTTCCAAATCTATCTTGGTACCGTATGCACTTCGACTGGAGATCTCGCAAAGTCGGCGAGGTCATCTCGTTACCGCCTCTCATTAGGGGTTTCCTTCTTCGAGCCATCAATTTACACGCGGATTCTAGCGGACCTCAAACATTCGATGAGACCATCCTCAGATATCAGAGTCCTCATCGAGTCGTCTGTGATGTTCGATTCGATAAAGCCATTTTTGGAGAGCCTTTGTAGAGACCCTACAAGTCTCCCTCTTGGGCGCTACCTCACTCACCCGACTCGACTTCTCTAAAGAATGAGGTCCGCACTCCGCCTTTGTACTCCACCCTCAATGGTTTTCAGTATGAACTCGTGTCCTTGTTGCATGGTGATGTTGGTATCCAGTCCCTCAAGTTAGACACTACCAGTCAGGACAGTATCACCCGCACCAGGGAGATTTTGAAGAGCCCCCATCCCCTTGACGCCACACGTCTGAGAAGTTTCTTGGATCCTAGCCAAAGTGATGCAATGATTGATATGCTTACAAGTGAGCTGGGTCTCATGCAGGGGTATGTGTGATTGAGTTAGAGACTACATGAGCACTAAAATGACTGTGTATGTTCAGACCTCCCGGGACGGGTAAGGTGAGAGAACTTTGTTTTTCTGCTCGGATATACCTCATGCATTCTTGAAGAGTTATACGGGTGTTAGACTGACCAATCTGCTGCTTGATGTGTGTTCCCTTTTTTTCGCATGATCTCCCTCACTAACTGTGATCGTGGGTAGAATGGGGTGAAGCCTGTTCTTCTAATTGCTTTCACAAACCATGCTCTGGACCATCTTCTTAAGTCGATCTTGGAAGCACGCCCTTCTACAAAAGCTATTCGGCTGGGCTCTCGTTCTAATGATTCTATGATCGCCGAACTTTCTCTCGACGCTATTGAGAGAGCGAGCGATCGTTCGAAGCTTTCTCCCTCTCTTGGTAGGGTCTATGCGGAGCTCAAAGGAATAGAGAAGACGATGGAGGAAGTCATGAAGAAGGCTATGAGGAGGGATCCATCGTCTGATGACGTTTTGGAGTTCTTGGAATCCGGCGACGACACTTGTCATTTTTCCCATTCTTTGACGCATCCTCCCTCCGGGATCGATCGACTCTACCATGAAAGGTCGGAAGAGGAGGGGTCATGGACCCGAGTTGGAAAGAAAGCTCCAGAAGTCCTCACGCGTTATGACTTTTGGAAGCAAGGAGCTGATCTTGATTTTGTGGACGGCGAATTCGCAGCCATTAAGGCTGCTATGCACGGAGGAGCTGATTACGTAGAGCAGGATATCTCCCCGCAATTTTCCGACCTGCAGATCGATGATGATGAGATTGAAGATGCGGAATCCGAAACGACATCGGTTGCATCTGAAATAGGACCAGAGTATCTGTGGATGTCACAAAGGCCCAACGTTCGCCACATTCCATTGGCTACTCCAAGTTCTTCTCGCCAGTTACCACCACAGACCGACGGTGGTAACGATCGCCTACCAGTCTCATCACCTCCAGATCACTATACAAGACTAGCGTCTCTTTTCGTTGAATTTGAATTTGCAAGTCTTCTTGACCCAGCAGCCCAACCCGACAGAAATCTGAATGACCTCTGTAATGTTTCTGACGTATGGCATACGACGCGAACTGAGAGAGAGAAGCTAGCCCAACACTGGGAGCAGCGAGCTAGTGAACGCAACTACCAGATCGTGAAAGGAGAGTTCGAGGATTTACGCGGGCGGCACGAGGCAGCGCAGCGGCGTTGGTCTGAGCTAAAGGAGGAGGTATGTTTCATTGGGCTCCCACATTTTGCAGTTTTCTGATTAAATTTAATGCAGTCGAGAATCTCCATCCTTGAACGCGCTGACCTTATTGCATGTACTACTAACGGCAAGTATTCGCGAAGAATATGCCGGACTCGTGTCTGCTAATCCAAGCCAACCCTTAGGTGCTGCCAAGCTCACTAGAATGCTCAAGGTGAATTCTGGGATGTGCGTGTACCGTCTTCCAAATGCTAATTCCAACTAGGCAGTGAGTCCCCGAGTGTTGGTTGTGGAGGAGGCAGGTCAAGTATTGGAAGCCCATGTTCTATCGAGCTTGGTGCCCTCTGTTCAGGTGATTAACAAGGCTGCCTGAGTATTTATCGTATCACGCTCAACGACCATTTCTAGCATCTCATACTTATTGGGGATCCTCTTCAACTGCGGCCCACGATTTCCAACTATTGTGATGTCGCTAGTTGCTTGATACGGTACATCCACTGAATCTCTTTCTTTTAGCTCTTTCTATGGACCATCCTGGCTCAGGCTCTAAATTGTATCGCCTGGATCTTTCCCTGATGGAACGACTATCATCTCTCGGGTATCCCATGTCTCAGCTCAATGTCCAGCGCCGAATGCGGCCAGAAATTGCCGATCTAGTTAGGTACGCCTCGTTAGTTCATGGCTGCGAATGGTTATCTTACACACCATAGGACAACTTTGTATCCAAATCTTGAGGACCACTCCCGAGTTTCCAGTTATTCCCAAATGCGAGGGTTGGCGAAGAATGTATTTTTCTTGGATCATCGCTTCGGCGAATCAGGAGAAGATGAAAACTCATCATCTAAGACAAATAAATATGAGGCCAGCACCATGCCAAAGACCAAATCTACGCCTTAGGCTAATCTCTGTCTAATAGGCTGCCATGATCAAGGACTTAGTGCTGTATCTCTTGAAGTGAGCCGCCTTCATCCAACGTAGTTTATATAGGCTGAACCCTCCAAACAATGCTAGACAAGGCCCCTACTCAGGAGAAGGCGACATTGTCGTATTGTGCGCATACCTCGGCCAGCTGGCTGAAGTTCGAAAACTTCTGTCTTCCGAAGTCACTACGGTTCTAGATGAACGCGACCTTGCTCTCCTAGAGGAGGCCAACCCCGACGCAGAGGGGTCCGATCCATCCTTATCAACAAGTGCTCATCAAGTTCAGCACATCCCTGTGTCGAAACGAGTGTAAGCTACCTCATCCAAGCAGTGACCAAGTGCTGATGGACATCGCTGTTAGCCTGCTTCGAACGGTTGATAATTTCCAGGTGGGTGTAATGATATGCTCGGTATGCGTGACCTAGTCTGAAGGTGTTGAACTAGGGTGAGGAAGCAGAAATCGTCATTTTAAGCCTGGTGAGGAACACGGGCGAAGCCGTTTTTGGTGGGCGGGTCGCATCTCGTGGGGCACGTTCCAACCATGGGACAATAGGCTATCTAAAGGTGAATTTAGATGGAGTTATCGCTAGTTCGTCCCTTATGCCCTTCCACAGTCGAAAAATAGGACAAACGTCGCCCTCAGTCGAGCAAAACAGGGCCTCTATATCCTTGGAGATGCTTCACTGCTCGCTACTCGCAGTCCCATGTGGAAATCTATCATCGACCTGCTGAGTGAGAGAGACTCGTTGGGATCTGCGCTACCTATTTGTTGTCAAGTTCATCCGGAAGATGGGCCCAAACACGTGAACCATCCAGGACAAATTCAGCGAGTTGCGCCCGACGGTAAGCGTTGTGTGAAGGATTGCGATTCTAATTACTAAGTTACCACAGGCGGCTGTCTTCGACCGTGTGACGGACGCATGCCTTGCGGGCATTTGTGCAAGTTCAAATGCCATTCGGAAGATCCCAAACACATTGGGATCAAATGTCATGAGCCATGCACTAAACTCTGCCCCAAAAGCCATCCCTGTTCTAAAAAATGTTTTCAGCCTTGCGGTGACTGTGAATTTCCTGTCTATAACGTTTTACTTCCTTGTGGGGACGTGAAGCCCCAAACAACTTGGTGCGGCCTTTATGCTCTCTGATGCTGTCGCCTAACACCATCTCGCAGCGTTCTTGCGTCCAGGCCCGAGGATATTCGATGCGATGTCAAGAAAGAGAAGGCTTTGCCCGATTGCGAGCACAGAGCAGAGCTTCCATGCAGTCTGGATCCAACTTCGTATGCATGCCAATCCCCCTGCGGTACAGTTCTTGCTTGTTGTGGCAAGACATGTAGCGCCCAGTGCTGCGAGTGCACAATGTTGAATAAAGCAAACGACAAACGGATTCGAACCCACCACAAAGAACATGCCTGCGGAAAGGATCTAAGGTGCGGCCATAGTTGCACCGGAACCTGTGCTGTGGGCCATGAATGTTCTGGTCAATGCAAGTCCCCGTGCCGTCAAACATGCGAGCATAATGCTTGCCGAAAGACTTGCTCAGAAGCCTGCAAACCTTGTTTAGAACCGTGCACTTGGCGTTGCCCTCACAAGTCTTGCAATGTGCCGTGCGGCTCTGTATGTTTTCATGTTTGTCCATTCACCAGAGTCAACTGACATGGCATCCTGAAGATTTGTACCCGTTTACCATGCGACATCCGATGCGAGCAGACGTTAGCATGTGGTCATCCTTGTCCCTCGGGTAAGCTTTCGCTTTTCGCGTGTCCCCCTGTCACTCACTTGTCTTCAGTGTGTGGAGAAAACTGCGATCTGCAAATCTGCCCTGCTTGCGCAACTACAGATCAGAAGAATACGGTCGTAGACTTCATCGTCAATGGTACGCTCGGGGAGATAGATTTTTCTTTAGAAGATTGCGAAAATCGCATCATCACTCTGGAATGCGGTCATTTCTTTACTGTTGAATCGTTGGACGGAATATGTCACCTTCATGATTTCTACGGAGTCGATCAGAACGGCAAATGGGTTGTCCCAAAAAATCCGGCGGCGAAGATCATCGATCATCCCAGATGCCCGTTGTGTCGGCGAGATATCACATCTCCTCGCTATGGGCGGGTAGTCAAACGTGCCAAGTTAGATTTATTGGAGCACAACCTTGCCTCGAGGCTTTCTAGGACGATGTCGACCATCAATTCTGATATTCGAACTTTCGATCAAGAGACTGCCATCAGGACTATCGAAGGCGAAGCTTCTAGATCCAAACTTGTCACCTCGGATCGGGAGCCCTTGTCTCCACAGAAGGAGCTCAAGGCCTTTGAGAAGTTGATGTCTCGAGACAGCGTCAAACTGGTTCCGATCAATGGCCTTTCCACGCTAGCTGGCATTTCTCAATTCCCACAGACGTGGAAAGACTGCACCGTAAAGCTGTTGAAGAGTTATAACAAAGCGGGGGAGGTTGTCGCTACTAGATGCGCTCACCTCCAAGCATATGAGGCCGCCTTCGCCCAAGTCTACAATGATGCATTGAGGGAGGGTGTTGGTAGTCGAGAAGCCCGTCACCCGGAGCAGCTCGCCATGATGTTAGCGAGAACGCGCATTGGCCAGCCGAAACCATCCGCTAATAAAAGGTACCAGGTTGAAGCGTTATGGGCATCTATCCGCATACGCTCTCAACTTGCCGAGCTTGCCATGCCGCAAAAGGAAGAACTTGAGGCTGAACATTGTGATCGATGGCTGAAGTTTACCTTGTTTCTCTTGAAATCATCCTTCAGTGATGCGGAACTGGCTCTCGACATCTGTCATGAATCTTCTTCACATCGGAAAATGGTACGATCGGTCATCGTGGTCGAACGGGCAAGATTCGAACTACTTCAATTCAATTGGAAGGCCACAATCTTGAAGAACGTCCTGGATAAAGAGACCCGCGACAAATTCGGTTCACAAGCAGACGAAATGATGTCTCTTTTTGGGCAGGCTGTTAGCAATTGCCGTACGCAATACTCACAGAGCCGCCCAGACGATGGGGTGTGGCTTGACACAGAATTGGATGGCCCATCAAGATCCTTGAGGAAGCAGTGGCAGCACATACGACGGGCGATCTTCAGTGGTACCTTTTACCAACCTGTCTCTCTTGAAGATAGGCAGGCCATACTTCGGGCGTTCGAGGAAGATGTGTCCTTTGGTGCGTTTTTTTATTGATCTTCTACAATGAACTCATATCTCTCCACTCCACTGACAGCTTATCGTGGGCATTTCTATCAATGTGACAATGGACACCCCTATGTCATCGGCGAGGTGAGCGTTGTTCATGCTCAGAACCACCCCCTCTGACGACAACCTTGGCCTCGCTGCAGTGTGGAGGTGCTATGCAAACAAGCGCTTGCCCCGAATGCGGTGTTAGGATTGGGGGGCAGAGTCATAACCTGACTGCTGGGAACCGCCCTGATACTGAAATGGAAGGTCTAGCTGCCGCGATGGGCGCGCAGGCCAGCCCCTGGCAGCGGGGCAGGGGCGCTTATTAACGACTTCACGCCTCTAGCTGCTTCCTGGGCTACTTCCCAGTTTCCCGCCCGTTTATTTCTGCATTCAAACCAGTAAGGTAATTGTCAATCGAGCGATACTTGTAGGTTACGTTGTCTTCATGAGTGACACACAGTCTTGGCACAGTAACGGTGTTCAAGAATGCGGGATACAATTGCGGCCAGCTATATATTATATTGTTATCCATCACCCAAGGAACAACGGAGAGCCGGTTAAGACTTGGAAGTTTTGCACATCGCTCTGCTGTTTCCAACAATCGAGGATGGATTATTTGGGCAGGACAGTCAATTGGGATGGCATGGACATCACGGATGAAGGGGAAATTGCCTTGGGAAATTAAAGCCAGTCGACCTAGATAAGCCAAACCATGCCAGAGGATATACAGAAGGCGTGAGAATTTTATACATTGTTTACATAATTCAAGGATTGTGGCCTGCGCAGGCAACATACAACCCCATCTCGTATCTTCTGCAATTTATAAACTTGATGTCCTTGCGGTTCCTTACTGGAGATGAAAATGGTCTCATCAAATCTGTCCGAATCCCTATAAGTGATCAGCCACTGCCAGACGGGAGCGCTTGTCCCGTGACGCTCTCTCAGCCTCCTGGAGATCCTACACGGAATAACGCTGTTGATAAGCTTGCGCTGCGGACCGTGGGACCACAAAAGCTGGTGGGTATTCGTCCCCTTCATTGCGTCTAAAACTGGGCTAACTTCATCGGCAAGCTCGCTGTTGCCAGGAATGGTGGTGCGGCAAGTGTTAGCGAAGTAGAAGGAGACGGGTTGCGCATCATTCATGAATGGAAGGAACCAAGGATGAAGAGCGCTGACTCGTATATTGGTCTTGCAATCACTCCCTCGTGAGTATCGCACTGCTCAATGCGAATTGATCTGCGACAGTTGCTAGACTCAGTCAATCATGTTAGGAATCGCGTCTATACATGCACGACATCAGGACACATCCGCCGGACGTCACTTCCTTCTCCGTCCAGTGAGGCTTCAACAAGTAAAGCCTTGCTTCCAATGCGTCTCTGTGACCTTCAAATATCCTCTGACGAGCGCTATCTCGCGTACGGCGGAGACGAAGTGAATCTCTCTATTTGGGACATCGAGAAAGCACTCTCGGGGAAATCCCCGTCCGGGTCAGAGGCTCAAGGAAGCAACGCAAACGAGGCGCCAGCAACAAGGAAGAGAAAGAAAAACACGGAGTTGTTCAGTGCTGAAGTTTGGCGAGCTAAGAACGTGAGTTGCTAACCATCACGGTTTCTAAAGCATCTTGCTGACGCAACCAGTTACCAAATGATTTCCTATCATTGCGCCAACCTGTCCATGTGGCCTCTCTCGCTTTCCTTGGAGACTCTTCATCGGAATCGTCATCGGTCTCCCAACATATCATTACTGGGGACAGATATGGGTCTGTGCAAAGATACGATACCCGTGCCAGTGGACGACCCGTGGCAAAATGGCCGATGTTCAAGAGTGTACGGAAAGTGCAGCGTGGATGCTCGGAGCGGTGCGTATCGTCGCTTGTACCTGGAAGGATGTCCAGTTAACTTCCTTCAAACATGTTACAGCGAGATTCTTGTATCAGACTCCGAATCTAACCTCTTCTCTATCGATAGCCGCACCGGTAAGATTCTCAGGAACTTCAAGCAAGTGTCTGGTGCGGTTACTTGCATTGCGACCGTCCCCTTCCCCATTCAAGTGCCTGCGCCACAATCTTCCCAGTCAAGCCCTGCAATAGTGCAAAGCTACTTTTCCAGTGTTTCCCTGGACCGATACTTACGACTACACTCAACCAAACCTGGAGGACCAAAGGACAAAAATGTGGTATCGCACACTGGACAAACGAGGGCAAGAGTGTTTATGAAAAGCACTCCGACGTCTGTCGTTTGGGATGAAGACTTGAATTCCACGAAAGGAGGCGATGCTCCTACAGACGACAACGTGAATAATGACGATGAAGATGACGAAGGCGATGGCGACGGCGGTGGTGAAAGTGGGAGTGATGGAGGCCTTTGGGAAGATTTGGACGTTGTTGCAGAAGACGGTGAAGACTCTGAGGATGGCGTAGGGACCCCGCCACCACGAAAGCGCCGATTATGAAAAGCTACACAGCTACGGCTAGGAGACCCGAAGCAGATTCTAGTACATTGGTGATGGCTACTGTTCTGTCGTACAATCTTTGTGGCTGTTTGGCCTAGCAGGCGCAAGTGAAGTATTTTTGACGCCTTAGTTTACATTGCATAGCCATCCCGAGTCATGGCGGGTGTGCGTGAAAGGGATTTGTTCATGGTATTCTACATTGTGTTGACGCATTGTCCTTGACTCAACCGCGCCCTGTATTGAGCATTCTTTGTAGAACGCTATGCGCTTCTTATTTTTCGACAGCATCGATCGTACATATCCGATTAACATTGTGATCTTTCTACATAGAACAAGGCACTTCAGTGATCAGACTTGGTACTGCTGTCTCCGCGATCCATTGACACACTTCCGACATCGTTTTCGTGGCGCATTCAGCGTCTCATCCACTGAATGCTGTAGATCCGTACACCAGGAGGAAGGAATCACGTACATTGGTGGGAGAGCATATATATAAGTGGCAAAACGGATTTCTCGCTCCTACGACGTTTAAACGTCCCAAGAGCAAGAAATTCCGGGCAGCATGATGATGCAAAACCCTTGCAAAAAGGAAAGCTCCGACGGGTGTAGATCTAAGTATGAAGAACCCGAATAGGTTTGCATGGGAAAGCTGAGCAACAGCCTTGCACACAGGGTGGTTGAGTATTAGAACGTCAATGTCTTGTTGAGGAAGTTCTTACCGGAATTTCCGAAAGGCCGTTGGATGAAGGACTCGAACAGCGGTCTGGGGAACAACATTTCTGAGCCAGTTGTCTAGGAATCGTGTCCAGAATTAACACACCCCCCAATCAAAAGAGGAACCTTCCACGGCACCGCAGCCGAGAAGTAAAAATCAAGAATCAATGAATTAACACCTTCCAATAACTTACGAGTGTGCGTGGATGTCTCCTTCGAAGGCGACGGATATCTCCTGTTGTCTTCAACCCATTGATGAACCCTCCAGCAGCAAAGTATGCGGAAATAAATCGAAGTTGGCATACAGGTTGCTCATCCCATAATTTGTCCTCACCATAGTCGTTCGCTTTAGGATAGAGTTGTCGCTCTTCTCAAGTAAAAATGAGGATTTGGAACATGTAGAAAAATAGCCGATTGAACCCTAAACCGTCCTCTGTAATCCACGACCTTCTCCAGTGCGCAATTAAGCGCTTCCGAAGTCAACTAGGCACAACAATCCTCCCATAGATCGACGCGCGCAGCCTCTCTGAAATGCTTCTATGAACGAACCGTGCAATCTTGTGGCAGGGCATACGATAGGCAGGACCCCAGCCTCTACTAAAGTAGAATGTCAAGAGGCGGATGTAGCCACTGCAAATTGCGAATTGGAGTGCCAGGTCGAAAGAATATACAGGCGGACAAGGCGTGAGGAAGAAGACCAGGGTCGCGTCATTTGCGTACGCTAGATCTAGCGCTAGCTGAGGATCATGGAAGGCAGCCCAACAACTTCCAACTGCACTCTCCCTGGTTAATTGGGTGTTTGATAGGGGAATAAGAGAAGTCGTATGTCAGGATGAGCCGGATTTCCGGTATGGATCACCCGATTCTAGATCTTAAGGTTGATAGCATCGTCAAAAAATGTTGACTTCAGGGCTAGCTTTCGGGAAACCAGCTACAGCATAAGACAAAATGAAAGTAATGGGACCGGCGCTTCTTGTGCCGGCCGGGGCGACCACGGTGCGCCCGATGTGAATCGGTCCGACAGGAGATAAGTAACTGTCGAGTTTCAACCGGTAATGCCTCAAGATCAATGTTCGCGGTTGATTGCCTCACTGAAAGTCGACGCCCCAAGCTTCGGCGCACACCTAAGGCTAAGTCGGCCTGGCAGCACGTTAGAAGAGAAAAAAACCGAATGAACTAGACTAGCCAAATGCCTGAGAAGGAACCACGATTGAAAACTTCTAGGGGATCTGGTAATCCAGTCCAGCTTAAACGAAGAGGAGCTACACAGACCAACGAGAATAAACTGCACATGCCAGCCACGCGCGCGTTACATAGAGAACCAAGGCTGTAACAGACCCGAAAAATGCTACAAGCAAGGGGCAGGCCTAGAGAGCATACGCAGACATGCCTTGGGCGATATAAAAAAAATCAAAGTCTTCGACCCCGCGAGCCTAGTCTCAGAAAGCGCATGGCTGATCTGGAAACTTAGATGCAACAGAGTAAAAGCAAGCGAACAAACAACCACTAGCAACAAAGAAGTATACGTAAAGCTCAGAGACACCTTGAATGAGAAACTAAACCAACAAAGGCTACTAACGAAGCAAAAGAAATATGGAAACAAGGCCCGACCACGAGCACATGGAGCGGGAACGAAAGCTGCCTGCCGGAAAACTGGCTTGAATACAGCGAGGTGCTAGTGGGTGTTCCTGATCCCCCAGGTCAGCACGAGCCCAACACTAGGCAAGAAGCCGGAAGTGCGTAAAGGTGTTTCTCCGCAGACAATAACAAAGCGTTGGCAACCCCAAACGACGACCCTGGAAGGACACGCCCCCTTGACAAACGTCAATGCACTGACGATACATAGCGAGAGCTAATAGAGGTTCCACCCAAAAAGAAAAGTAAAGTAAAAGGAACTTGTAGGCGCTCCTTGGAGCCAAGGCAACTAAAGGATTCGGGTCATTGCGACTAAAACAAATGAACCAGACCGGACGCAAGGGGCAGCATAGCTAGGCAGGTGACCAGCCACAGCATGGCAAAACTCTTAGAAGCGGGGCTGAATCGAACCGCCACGAATTTGCTTCGGTTTTAGACATTGCGTAGCTGTGTAAGCCTGTTTAAGCCTCAGATCACGATGGTGCATGTTGTACGCAACGGTATAGCCTGGGTGCTCGGATAACGAGAAGTCCTCCATCGTGCATGGACCAACTGCAAGGGCTTGTCCATCATGTGAAACCTTCCAAGTGGATATCATGTCACTCATATGGGAAGGAGTGAGGCGCTCCACGTGCTCCGATAAAACGGTGGGTACAGCTAGACTCATCATGCTCGACTTTGGCAAATGAGCAGTCCCAGATCCGAACCGTCTCGTCACCGGATGCTGAGGTTATCCTGGATCCATCTGGGGATAATGAGACCGAATTGACTCCATGAATGTGACCTTCGAAGACTTTGAGCTCTTCCCCAGTCATGACATCCCATACTCGGATTGTTTGGTCACCAGAAGCTGAAGCTACCCTAGATCCATTAGACGAGAAAGAGATCGAGTTGACCCATTTGGTGTGCCCCCGGAAGACTTTACGCTCTTCCCCAATCACTGCATCCCAGATTCGCACTGCCTCACCGGATGCTGAAGCTACCATCGATCCATCAGACGAAAATGAGACCGAGTTGACCCCATGAGAGTGTCCGTGAAGAACAATGAGTTCCTCCCCGGTCATCGCGTCCCAGATTCGTACTGTCTTGTCAGTGGATGCTGAGGCCACCCTGGATCCATCAGATGAGAACGACACTGAGTTAACCCACTTGATGTGCCCCCGGAGCACCTTGAGTTCTTCTCCAGTCACCGCATCCCAAATTTGCACTGTCTCGTGGTCGGAAGTCGAAGGGATCCATCACCCGAGAATGACACCGAACGGACCTAGTCAGTGTGCCCTCGGAGCACCCTGAGTTCTTCATTCGCCGTATCCCAAATCCGTATTGTCTTGTCACCGGACGCTGAGGCTACCCGAGATCCGTCAGATGAAAATGTGACGGAGTTGACCCACTTGGTGTGCCCTCGGAAGACCTTGAGTCCCTCCCCAGTCACCGCATCCCAAATTCGCACTGTCTCATCATGGATCCAAGGCGAGAATGAGACTGAGTTGACGGCACGCGTGTGACCTCGGATGGTGTTAAGCCAACACTCCAGTACAGAATATTTCCCTTATACTATTGAAAGGAGTTCACGGGATGAGTTGCGGTATTGTCTTAGCCAGTCGGTATCGGGTGAATGAGACAGAGCCGAATGGGAGATATGTCCAGCCGAAGCCGAAATGACTCCATAGTAATGGTAGGCAAAGCGACGGCTCCGCAACAGGAGTTGGAGTAAAGATTTGGCTCAATTCTGAAGTAGCGTTCAAAGTTTCATCATGGGTAGGCAGGGACATCACACACCTCACACCACACAGTAATCTTATCCAATTCAACTAGAACATTTTTTATTGATCCTAACAGGCTCAAGACTTCCAGCCACTTGACCGCCGATTCAGCGAGGAACGCCTCTAGTTTGTTGAATAGCTCCGTTGAAGGGTTTTCAATTTCCACCACGTGGAGAAGGCCGTACAGAGCGGCATATTGGACATCAGGGGAGATCTTAGACTGAATCTGGAAAGCGAGATCCGGAATGACGGAGTTGAGGATTAGAGGGTTGGGAAGTTGAAGAATATTTTCCTCGGGTAAACGGCAAAGAATATCGATGCAGTGCAGGGCGATATGAGAATGAAGATCACTCTTTTCTAGGTGAGCAGCAAGCGAGGAGCTCGCGACCCACTCCATGACGCCTTGCGGGTGATGGTGGGCAGCCGTGCCTTCCGATGGGTACGCGATTTTGGAAAGAAATGTCCCAATCGAGTGAGAAAGCCACCCATTTGGTTTCGCGAAGCTTAAGGGTTGCCACAGGTCTGTTATAAAAGTGGGAATGTTGGTTAAGAAAGAGACGCTGCGTAAAGCCTACATACCCAAGTCGAGCTTTATAATACTGTCATAATCTTCTGCCAGATTAACAACTTCCCAATCAACTGTACTGCATATGGCTTACCGTATTGGGGGTTACATGAGTTCCTACGAGCTCAGATATTTTCCCTCGGATGAGAGGTGCCATGCTTCGAGCCACCGAACCCCCGAACGTGTAACGCCCGTCTCCCGAGATTTCAAGATAATCTTGCAATAGTGAGCAGAACATCCAACAGTTCTCCTGGAGTGATCGCAATCATGAGCGCGCAGAATGGATCCGATCTCGTAAAATCATACCGGCCACACTTTATACTTCATCAATTCTTCGCAGATGATGCGAAGGTACGCACCGAAATCACCAAGAAAGGGCGGTCTTTGGAATTAGGAGAAGCTCATTCTACTCACCAATGTCGCAATAGACTTCCGCTACGACCCTTACGTTGTTTGCCCAAATTATAGTGTTTGTCCCATGGAAAACGTTGAGTATGAGCAACCATGCAATGACTGATAAGGTTGGAACGTTCTTGGCACGCCATTGAGAAGTGGATGGTATTACAACCAGGACAGCCGTGATGTATGACAGGGCTGCTAAGTCATAGCGAGCCATTAGACGAGACACGTGGAGCTCGTGCGCTAAAAGCCTGGAGGGAAGGAGGGACAATGCAAGCAAGGAAGCTTCGTGTGATTTCTGCCCTGGCACCACGTTCCCTTCCGAAAAGTCAAAGACGAGAAAAATGGAAGTTGCAGCCTCTTGACATGAACCTGCCGGTCGGTCGTCTAATAATCCTCACAACCAGCCTGACTTGACGCCCTGTTAGACACTGATAGCAATAGGGGAACTGTCCCCCAAAATAATCGGAAGCCTTGCCAGCGCATCGCATTGAGCAACTCTCCCAAGAAAATGACAGGGTATTGCCCTATTTCTCACACTACTACGCAAGGAGCCCCTCTCCAAATGGTATCTGAACTGCCAGTGCTAATTTCATCACCGCCGGAAGTCAAAACCCCTGGCATGTCCTGGAAGGGGTCCGCTGATCTAAAGGAATATCCGAAAATGGGACAAAGCACAGTGAACTTTGATGAACGAAATCAATCATCGCCGTGAAATGACGCGTCCGAAGCAATGGATATTGTACTGAGACACTTATGTTCCGAATTGGGTCATTGACTTGATATCTTGTATCTTCAGCTCAGGCGAGACTCGAGAATCAGACTCGTCGAACCATAACCCAGAACGGAGAACCAAAGGATGGAAAGAATTAAAACGTTCGAGGAGACTACGGGCTAGGCAGGTGACCAGCCTCTCTTTAACGGAAAGACTACGGGCCTGCTTGGTACAATCTGCACGTTTTGGAATATCCTTGGTGCCTGGATGATATTAACGTACGGGCTGGCGGATTGTGGGTTTCAGGTCGTCCTCCTTGGTCCGAGTTTTGGCGTTCGGCCATGGAGGTGGTTGGGTGTGTTGATGGATGGGTGGAGAGTGTCAAGGTAAGTGGGACAACGTCTTCAGAACTCACAACACACGAGGTGATGTCACGTGGGGGAAAAGTGGAGTCGTCCGGAGAAAAAGGAACCCCGATCCAAAAGTCACAACGCCAGTAGATGTGTTATGTTGGTCGTCGGTGTAAGTGTGCTGAGGCGCACTGGGACATTGGGCCCCGGCCGAATGACATGTCTCGAGTCATTTATGGATTCGCACGATCACTGGCATGATTGTGTTGCGGGATCCAGAATTGACATCGCTTCAAGTTGTGCTCGCCCTGTCGCTGTTGCACGATCAGGACGATCAAGTTTGACATACTGCATCTTCTCTTTCTTCCCAATGGCGGATCGCAATATCTTGAGCATCAAACCTCTCCAACAGGTAAAGGCGTGTCGACTCGCGTTGACCTTCCATAAATAACCCAATGAAAGGCAATGCCAACCACATGGCTCTTGGGCAGTGCAGTCATTCACTGCCACCGCGCTGTTATCGCTCCGCGCTGATCTGTCTCCCGTCAACGATGTCGCTGAAGGAGAAAGCCAACGCTCTCAGATGGGATGTTGATCGCCTTCTTGCAGGAGGAGGTACTGACATCGCCATCCCAATTCTCACAGCGATCAATGCTGCATCCGATGCATTCCCTCCTCTAAAAGGTCCCACTGGCGCCGCCCTCTTCATCTTCAGCGAGGTCCAAGTAAGTAACGGGTTACGATGAACCAAGAACCAAGGCTCATCACTCGTATCATGCAGAAGTTCAAGTCGGATAGGAAAGAATGGAAGGAATTCGGGAAATATGTGGTTGATGCCGCAGCAAAAGTACTAATGGCCACCGAGTCCTATGACACTTCAACGGAAGAGGCAAAACCTTGGCTAGAGAACGTCAATGAGCTGAACGAGTGCGTGCCATTGATTTTCGGTTGGCTATCCCATTTACCTGTCACTATACAGCGCGCTAAAACAGATTACAACCGAAATCGAACCAATCCTCGCAAAAATGAAGAAACGGTCCATTATTACCAACTTCTTGTCAAACTTAGTACATCCAGGAAGGATTGACGACTTCACAAAAGTTCTCGACAAAGCGTTGGCTTCATTCCAAGTAACTCTTCCTCGCGTTGTTGTTCCTCTATTATCCTGACTTGTTCGGAATCGTGTAGCTGAGAACTAGTCTAACGACTGGTGCTAAACTAACAGACATGGCAAATAACCAAAGCCGCGACTCAGTTCTGGGCGAACTACGATATCCGACCATCGCCCACCATGACCCGGCTGAGGGATGCATGGAGGGCACCCGAACAGATCTTGTCGACCGTATCATGAGCTGGTGTCGCAACATGGAGGACGACGCGAAGCGGGTGATGCTACTGACAGCCGTAGCCGGCGCTGGCAAGACATCCGTTGCCCATTCAATCGCGGCGAAGTGCAAGAGCGAAGGGTTACTGTTGTTGTCCTTTTTCTTCAAAGCAGGCGAGCAGTCGCGGCCAGATCGCCTGTTCAGCGGCATGGCTCGATCTCTAGCAAAACGCGACCCCTCATACTGTGCCTCCATCATATCCATTCTTAGGGACGATCCAACCCTCGCGACTGCATCTTTCCCAGTACAATTCGAGAAGCTCGTGGCTGGACCTCTCCGTTGGAGGGCTTTCGGCGATCCTGTGGTGGTAATCGTTGACGCTTTGGATGAGTGCGAGCCGCGAGACTTGGAACGCCTCGCCGATATACTTCGGAACGAAGTGCCAAAATCACCATCCAACATCAAGTTCTTTGTCACATCGAGACAAACTTACCTCGTGGATCGTCTTCTTTCACCCAATTTTCCTATCGACCGATTTGGCATAGATATCTTGGATAATGCCAATAAGCAAGACTGCTCTGTTTACATCCGCGCGCAGCTGCGTTGTCTGAAGAATGATCATTCGGGTCAGGGAGACGAATTCGAAGAGGATTTGTTGGTTCAAAACATGTCGGAAAAGGCTGGTGGCTTGTTCATCTGGATCAGCACTGTCTTCCGTTATGTGAGGCTGGCCAAGAAGCCGAGGAAAACGCTGGATAGGCTGCTCAACCCAGGTGCCTCTCGATCAACGGGTTCTCCTGAAGGAGTGATGGGTACGCTGTATACGACCATTCTGGACAAATGTGGTTGGGATGATGAAGATTTCGTGCATGACTACCCTATCGTTATGGGGGCGATCCTGATTGCTGAGCAACCGCTGTCTATTGTGGCGTGGGATGCAATTTTGTCGCCCATCCTAAACTCTTCCATCCATGACACGCTAGTTGAACTTTCTCCGCTCTTATTAGGAGTCTCCCATTCCAACACACCAATCCGCATCATTCATCATCGTTCCGTGACTTCCTCATGGGTGGAATCGGTCCTGAATCACTTGTGCATCATCGTTACATGGTGGATACGACAAGGGTGAATGCCCAGATGACCCTGCGCTTTACCGAGATCTTGAATAAGGATCTTTGCTGTGTGGAGGGTTTGGGGCTGATCGAAGATCTTCCCAAAAAGGATGAACTGCCGCGCATCCGTCAAGAGATGCTGTCGGAACAACTCCGTTACTCATGTCGGTGTATCGTGTACCACCTCGATAAAGTTCTGGAACCACTAGAGGCGCTCAGCGGATCGGTTCTCACATTTCTGAATCAGCATATAACACGCTGGGTGGAGGTCTGTGTGAGAACAGAAGGGTACATCAGTGTATCATCATTTCCCGAGTGGGCTAAGGTACGAAATATCAGTGAGGCTTATAAGGGATTCTTATTCAGTCTTGTTCGCTTTCAGTTGGGCGTTGATCGGAATTCAGAGGAAGACATTCACAAGTTGGTCCAAGTACTTGACAAAGTGAGACGGAATCTGTCATTCTTTTCAAGATTCCAGGAGGCACATGAGTTGGCAAAGGATTCCGTAACCCTCTGCCGTTATCTTGTGTCAGCGGATTCAGAGTCCTACACCCCAGATTTGGCTCGATCACTCAACGCTCTTACGTATCATTGGACAATCTGGGACGTCACTCCGAGGCGCTCCCAGTGATCGAAGAATGTGTCAAGCTGCAGTGCGAGCTCGTTGCTGTTGATCCGATGTTATACACCCCAGATTTGGCTAGATCACTCCACAATCTTTATGTGTCATTGGGAAATCTAGGACGTCATTCCGAGGCACTCCCAGTGATTGAAGAAAGTGTCAAGCTCTGGCGCGAGCTCATTACTGTTCATCCCACGTCATACACTCCCCACTTGGCTCAATCACTCAACAGTCTTAAGATATCATTGGAAAATCTGGGACGTTATTCCGAGGCACTCCCAGTGATCGAAGAAAGTGTCAAGCTCTGGCGTGAGCTCATTGCTGTTCATCCCACGTCATACACCCCAAATTTGGCCTTTTCACTCCACAATCTTGATGGATCGCTCACTCGCCTGGGACGTCATTCTGATGCACTTGCAGTGAATGAAGAAAGTGTGAAGCTCTGGCGTGAGCTGGTTGCTATTCACCCAACATCATACACCCCAGATTTGGCTCGGTCGCTCAACAGTCTTATGATATCATTGGACAATCTAGGACATCATTCCGAGGCACTCCTGGCGATTGAAGAAAGTGTCAAGCTCTGGCGTGAGCTCGTTGTTGTTCATCCCACTTCATACAACCCAGATTTGGCTCGATCGCTCAACAATCTTATGATATCATTGGACAATCTGGGACATTACTCCGAGGCACTCCTGGTGATCGAAGAAAGTGTCAAGCTCTGGCGCGAGCTCGTTGTTGTTCATCCCACATCATACAACCCAAATTTGGCTCGATCGCTCCACAGTCTTAATGAATCATTACGCAAAGTGGGACATCATTCCGAGGCACTTCTGGTGATTGAAGAAAGTGTCAAGCTCTGGCGTGAGCTTGTTACTGTTCATCCCACATCATACACTCCCAACTTGGCTCAATCGCTCGATGACCTTAATATATCATTGGTCAATCTGGGACGTTATTCTGAGGCACTCTCCACGATCAAAGAAGGTGTCAAGCTCTGGCGTGAGCTTGTTGCTGTTCATCCCACATCATACAACCCACATTTGGCTGAATCACTCCACATTCTTGCTCTTTCATTCGATTACCTTGATTGCCCTGCCAAAGCAGCACCTTTCATCGAAGAATCCATTTCACTTTGGCGTTCTATACACATTACTCATCCGATCCCATATGCCGCTGATTTAGCCTGGGCATTGCGGGATCTATCCAGGATACTTTCACGCCTGGGGCACTATGCAGAAGCATTTGATGTGGGTGAAGAGGCAATATTATACTCTCATCAGCTCCGTTCTGAATACCCTGACATCTATGCAAATTATCTTCGGCAGTTATATGCCAATATGGCTGCTCCATTGGAAGCTCTTGGAAGGGGTCATGAGTTAGCAGACATACGCACTCTCATGCAAAATCTATGATGAAAGGCGGAACATACCCTCTATGCAACAGAGTCTAGCTACAGGTCTGCACCACAGCGAACACGAATCTGTTCCTCGTATTCTTTCGTTTACCTCTGTCCGATTTATCAAAGCAGCCAGGTGTTCCAACTCTATCGGGATGACAGAAAAGTAGGAAGTAGATAAGCTAGGTCGGTGGGCATGAACTTGATGGCTGTCACTGAAACAGATTTCAGATATGGACCTGATTCCCAATTATGTCCCTGCGGCCGTCGATTGAGCGATTGCAATCGGAGTTGGTTCTGTTTTGATGCATCGACTGTAAATGGGTAGATATCCAGTGTAGTGATGCATACAAGTCAGCCTGAAGATAATCGCTTATAAGGACTTTGCTAGGCTGCGGGTTCCTGAACTCTACATTTACAGTGTAACTTGTGGGTGCGAGCAATGTGAGCCCAGAAGCGATGACAATTCAACAGCATGATCGATATTAATAATCAACCCAGCCATATGGAACTACGTCATTGTGTCTCCCTTGCATAGTGCTTCCTAACCTTGTCAGCCACAACGCCCATACAAGCAACTCTACCAGTCTCGGAATCCTCATCGGAAGCATTTGTGTTCAGGGCTGTGTCCGTCATGGCCATCGTGCGGATAGGTTGATAGGGTTGTATTTTTCAGAAAGTATATACCCCTGGCGTCGCTGGTTGGAACAACGCAATTACAGCTTCTTTTAGAGGCACATGCACAAGGGGCTGCCAGGTCCTAAAACCGTGGTATCATCCTGACCCTTGAGAGAGAGGGACACGCTGAGCCAATTCGCGGTTTCAACATTATGAGAGTGTCATGTAACGCATTAATGTGTGTCCTCCTTAGAGGTCCATTTGGGAACCACGATTGCAAACTTCTAGGGGATCCAGTAATCCAGTCCAGCTTAAACGAGAAGCTACACAGGCCAGCAAGAATAAACCGTACATGCCAGCCCGCGCACGCACTACACAGAGAACCAAGGCTGCAACAGACCCGAAAAATGCTACAAGCTAACAAGGGTATACTAGCAAACCTCGCTCTCGCCCTAAGCTTCAGCTTGTAGGAAGCACCAATTGAACCGAAAACTCCCTGGGCAGACCTGGAGAGCATACGTAGACATATATACCTGAGGCGGTATAAAGAAAATCAAAGTCTTCGACCCCTGAGTCAAGGGAAAGAATCCATGTAAAGTCCGTGCTAAGCCAAAGTGTCATGGACAACCTCAACAAGACCGGAATCACACTGAAAACTATAAACGGAGAGAAGCCAACTAACAAGTCATCAGCACTAAAAAATAAACGAGACATACCAATAAGCATACATCCATGTGGAAAATGGCGTTCAACGCCCACAAAATAGGGAAAAAATCGCATACTGCACAGATGGATATGCCGAAGATGCGAGTAAAAGGAAGATATGAAACCACATCCTTGCCCCCACAACGGAAGCAAATAAGAAACAAATCAACTGGCCAGAGAGTATAGATTACACACATCATGGCGACCCCCGAACAAAACTGCGATGAAAAACCAAGACAAGGAACCTCACGACTACTCATAATCCTAGTCCCAAAAAGCGCATGGCTGATCTGGAAACTTAGATGCAACAGAGTAAAAGCAAGTGAACAATCAAGCAAAACAACCACTAGCAACAGAGGGACACACGTAAAGCTCAGAGACACACTGAACGAGAAACTAAACCAAGAAAGGCTACTAACAAACCAAAAGAAATAAGGCACTCCCTGACCATGAGCACATGGAGCGGGAACGAAAGCTGCCTACCGGAAAACAGGCTTAAATACAGCGGGGTGTTTCCCCAGGTCAGCGCAAGCCCAACAGGCCGGAGGTGCGTAAAGGTGTTTCCTCGCAGACGACAACAAAGCATGGCAACCCCAAACGACGACCCTGGAAGGACACGCTCCCTTGACAAAGGTCAGTGCACTGACGATACATCGCGGGAGCTAATAGAAATTCCACCCAAGAAGAAAAGTAAAAGAAACTTGTAGGCACTCCTTGGAGCCAAGGCAACTAAGGGATTCGGGTCATTGTAACTAGAGCAAATAAACCAGACCAGATGCGAGGGGCAGCATAGCTAGGCAGGCGACCAGCCACAGCATAGCAAAACTCATAGAAGCGGGGGCTGAATTTGCCTCGGTTTAGACATTGCGTAGCTGTGTAAGCCTGTTTAAGCCTCAGGTCACGAATGATGCATGTTGTATGCAACGGTATAGCCTGGGTGCTTGGATAACGAGGAGTCCTCCATCGTGCATACCAACTGCAAGGGCTTGTCCATCATGTGAAATCTTCCAAGTGGATATCATGTCACTCATATGAGGAGGAGCAATAAAGTGAGGCGCTCCACATGCTCCGATAAAACGGTGGGTACAGCTAGACTCATCATGCTCGACGTTGGAAAATGAGCAGTCATAGGGAACGGTCGGTCGGTCAGAAAATGAAACAGTGTGAAAGTTGGATGGGATGGGCTTGTTACTGAGGGACATTCCTTCCCCAATCATCGCATCCCAGATCCGAACTGTCTCGTCACCGGATGCTGAGGCTATCCTGGATCCATCAGGGGAGAATGAGACCGAATTGACCCCATGAGTGTGACCTTCGAAGACTTTGAGCTCTTCCCCAGTCATGACATCCCACACTCGGATCGTTTGGTCACCAGAAGCTGAAGCTACCCTAGATCCATCAGACGAGAAAGAGATCGAGTTGACCCATTTGGTGTGCCCCCGAAAGACTTTACGCTCTTCCCCAGTCACTGCATCCCAGATTCGCACTGTCTCACCGGATGCTGAAGCTACCATCGATCCATCAGATGAGAATGAGACCGAGTTGACCCCATGAGAGTGCCCTTGAAGGACTTTGAGTTCTCCCCCGGTCATCGCGTCCCAGATTCGTACTGTCTTGTCAGTAGATGCTGAGGCCACCCTGGATCCATCAGATGAGAACGACACCGAGTTGACCCACTTGGTGTGCCCCCGGAGCACCTTGAGTTCTTCTCCAGTCACCGCATCCCAAATTTGCACCGTCTCGTCGTCGGAGGCCGAAGCTATTCTGGATCCATCACCCGAGAATGAAACCGAACGGACCCAGTCAGTGTGCCCTCGGAGCACCCTGAGTTCTTCTCCAGTCACCGCATCCCAAATTCGTACTGTCTTGTCACCGGACGCTGAGGCTACCCGGGACCCGTCAGATGAGAATGTGACGGAGTTGACCCACTTGGTGTGCCCTTGGAAGACCTTGAGTTCCTCCCCAGTCACCGCATCCCAAATTCGCACTGTCTCATCATGGGGTGCTGAGGCTATCCTGGATCCATCAGGCGAGAATGAGACTGAATTGACGACACGACGCGTGTGACCGCGGATGGTGTTAAGCCAACCATCGCGCACAGAATCTTGCCCTTGAACTATTGGAAGGAGTTCACGGGATGAGTTGCGGTATTGTCTTAGCCAGTCGGTATCGGGTGAATGAGACAGAGCCGAATGGGAGATATGTCCAGCCGAAGCCGAAATGACTCCATAGTAATGGTAGGCAAAGCAACGGCTCCGCAACAGGAGTTGGAGTAAAGATTTGGCTCGATTCTGATGCCGCAATTGGCGGCAATGATTCTGAAGTAGCGTTCAAAGTTTCATCATGGTTAAGTAGGGACGTCACATACCTCACACCACACAGCAATTTTATCTAATTCAACGAGAACATTTTTTGTTGCTCCTAACAGGCTCAAGACTTCCAACCACTTGAGCACCGATTCAGCGAGGAACGCCTCTAGTTTGTTGAATAGCTCCATTGAAGGATTTTCAATTTCCGCCACGTGGAGAAGGCCGTACAGAGCGGCATATTGGACATCAGGGGAGATCTTAGACTGAATCTGGAAAGCGAGATCCGGAATGACGGAGTTGAGAATTAGAGGGTTGGGAAGTTGAAGAATGTTTTCCTCGGGTAAACGGCAAAGAATATCGATGCAGTGCAGGGCGACATGAGAATGAAGATCACTCTTTTCTAGGTGAGCAGCAAGCGAGGAGCTCGCGATCCACTCCATGACGCCTTGCGGGTGATGGTGGACAGCCGCGCCTTGCGATGGGTACGCGATTTTGGAAAGAAATGTCCCAATCGAGTGAGAAAGCCACCCATTTGGTTTCGCGAAGTTCAAGGGTTGCCACAGAGGACTAAAGGTCTGTTATAAAAGTGGGAATGTTGGTTACGAAAGAGACGCTGCGTAAAGCCTACATACCCAAGTCGAGCTTTGTAATACTGCCATAATCTTCTGCTAGATTAACAACTTCCTAATCGACTGTACTGCATATGGCTTACCGTATTGGGGGTGACATGAGTTCCTACGAGCTCAGATATTTTCCCTCGGATGAGAGGTGCCATGCTTCGAGCCACCGAACCCCCGAACGTGTAACGCCCGTCTCCCGATATTTCGAGATAATCTTGCAATAGTGAACAGAACATCCAACAGTTCTCCTGGAGTGATCGCAATCATGAGCGCGCAGAATGGATCCGATCTCGTAAAATCATACCGGCCACACTTTATACTCCATCAATTCTTCGCAGATGATGCGAAGGTAAGCACCGAAATCACCAAGAAAGGGCGGTCTTTGGAATTCTTGAATGTTCTCGCGGCGTGCCCTTCCCGCGAGGACTTTCTCAGATGCTGAGAGCTGAGCCTGCAAGAATGTCAACAGAAATTTCAGCAACCAAACAACAACGATCTCACTGTATCGTTGGCGCGAGTTTTACCAAGTTTTCGCGCAAGTGAGAGGAGGTTTAATCCGGCGCGTCGATCAATCCGTAGCCATATATCCTTTTTCTCTGGACGGCGTAATTGGAAGATAAGGAAACGGTGCAGGACGAAGCTTCGGTACTGGGAATAGCAGGATGTGCTGATGATCCTGGCCGTTTGAAGCCATAGATGTTTGTCGATGACTTGTTCACAAAGACCCTTTAACGAACATGTCCCCCCAGAGCTCCGGACCGATAGAGTCGACCCGTTAGAAAAAGTCGAAAAGGCGGAGACGGTGGTGAAATCTGAGAAGGTAGAAGAGGTCCGTATGAGAGGAGGGGGTCTGCCTGTGGCAAAGTCAGTATCGTGGTTCTCCTCGATTGGTTTTATAGCATGTAGAGCATTCGGTCCAAATTCTGTGCTAAAAAAATCCTCCTGGGGAAACCATTGTCTAGTCATTAACTTGTATAAACAGGTGCTAGACAGCACTCACGGGAGGCTCGAGTTCAGTCTGTCCATTCCCTCCCTGAGAAGAGATGGCGTTCTGCCTAGACAGACGTGGACGCATCGTGGATCAGGGTTACGGAGGATCATCTAGGGACAGACACTTCGGCTTTGATTTAGCCTTCCCGTCGAAGGGTCTAAGGCCGTATTGTTGGTCGTACAAAAAGCGCGATGATGAACCTCTCGATATAGGCGCGCGACTTCTGGCTGCCCTTCTTAAGTTCTCGTTGCAAAGTACCCCCATGGCATCTTTCTTCCGAAACCCGTAGTAGTTCCTAGTTCAAAGGGGAGTCCATCACCAAAAGCCGCCGCGGCTGAACAGCACAGGGACTGGGCAACCATATTGATTTTCCAGGCCGAGCTTTACATAATTTGCGGCCGAAAGTCTCGTGATTGGGACCTTGTGCAAGCGCCGGAGTCGAGTTGCGGGTTGTTCACCTTTCATTGGCTTGGCTTCCTCGTTCGCCGGCTTTAGAGCGGACTTTGGCGGCTTGACGTTGCACTGACGTCTGACGTCGGGTCGGAAGCATTTCCCGCCCAGCAACTTTCACATTGCCTCACTCAGGTGGCGTCTATGTACACAACAGCGGATTATCGCTCTCATCTTGGGCGCTGCGGACTTTGATCTCCCGACGTTGGAACCATTTACATAAGTGTGGCATAGCAGGATATAGTGCCCTGCCGGTGCATCAACTTGCAAGAGACTGCATAGCAATGTCCATTCCACACTGAGATTCCTCTGAAACGGTCAAGAGCGTTGTGGAGTGCTGTAGAACGTTGTGGGGAGTAGCTACATTGAACCAGCCCCATTATTATCAAGGCACATCTCTTCAAACCAGATCTCCATCCGTTTCCCACTTTCGTGTCAACGCGTATCAGTTACTGATATGTTACATGTTTCACCGTTGACTGTGCTCCGCATGTAGCGCTTACGCGCGTATTTTTCCTTTATTAGTTTTGACTCATCATGTTATTAGTCTAGCTACTTATACCGCTGTGCGGTTACAATGTTACAAGCGTGAGATCTTCCCCCGTTGAGTATCCCCGCTGAGTGCTATATAACAAGATTTTGGACATCGATTGATCATTCCATTGGCTCGTACAACAAATATAACAATGAAGATAATATGTAAACCGCACATACGACCGACGACCCGCCGAATTGTCCCTCACTCAACGACACACGATCCGAGAAGCTCAAGGGTCTCTTGCATCGTCCAGAGGCCTTCTTGGATGCCGGACAAGATGCTCTTTGAGATGCACTTGAGAACCCTGGACGGTTGCCCCGCGATTCGACCTGCAGCCAGATGCGGATCAGTACGATTAGAGCTTCAGCGGACCGAAACTACATACCTCGGTGCCTTCGAGCTGCTCCCCGAGCCCGAGGCGCGTCCCTTTTCCTTTGAGATCGCGGAGAAAAGGCGTGGCTTCAGCAAGGGAGCCGGAAGATCGAAGTTCGGGGGGGGGGGGGGGGGCTTCGCGAGGTCGTAAGCCTTGAAGGTCAGCCTCACACCTGCTTGGCGACGACGGGATTTTGTGTCTGCCTTTGCGAGATGTGTGTCAGACAACGTCCATACGAAACCATCGCATCCAACCAAAATCGGGCTTACCAAATGTTGGTTCGCCGGCCACAAGGTCATGCTCACTTTGTCGTGTTCACGTCTTGTGTCCGACACGATGAGATCCGACAATTTCATAGCTAGTGACGGTGAGGTCAAAGCTGGTTGCATCCGACTTGAACGCCGCGCGTAAATTATAATGTTCAGAACCAAATTTCAACGTTTAATTTTGTACTACGTATCCAGCATCATGCAACATACCAGAATCAGGCAATCAAAGTCAAGCCACCAGAATCAGATTGGAACACGTAATTATTTGAAGGGTTGCGCGAGTGTTGTGGCGTTCCGCCGCCGAGCAACCCCCTTCGAATGAGAGTGGCTTCTCTGCCAGTTGGTCGTGAAAAATAACATCTTGGCACACGTCACACAGTGTGTCAACCCATTATGGGTTATAATTCCTGCACTACACGAATACAATCGAGTGGTTCTTGATTGGATACTCGCAGACTAAATCCGTGCCGGTGGCTCTCGAAGCCGTTGTTCACGGGGAGACCCTTCGATATCTGCTCATGAATCGGGATCGATATCTTTTACGCCTCTAATGTACTCCAGCGAGCCATTAATGCATGTATCGCCCATCTGCTTCACTAATCTAACACCCCTCCTTGTTAGTCAGTCAATCTTGGGGTCGGAGGACTCATGGCGGCCAGGAGCCGTAATGAGTCCTGGTTCGCCGACCACAAGGTCGACTGTGCGGTTACTCAGGGGGACAACGGGGGTTCAAGTTCAATTTCTATCAATAGATGCTGTCCTTCTCAACACATTGTTGATTCTTAATGTACGTTTTAGAGGCAAAAGACAGGAATAAAATCGCCTTCCATCCCTTTAACCCTCAAACGTAAAGCTCGCCCCCGATTTTGTACTGCAAATTCATGGTACCGCCATGGATTCGCCGTATTGTGGCAAGTTATGGTACCTATATAATTAGCTGAAAAAGCCGAGAACGGCTATAAGCGGTATGGGGGAGTAGCTGGATACTTTCAGTTTGCCATGTGCTAACTTTGAATGCGTCTGTTCAAATCAGACCTCCTCCATCTTTTTTGGTCCTTGCACATATATATCTCGGGGATTGGTTGCAAGATCTCTCAAATTTCTCCTTCTCACGTCACTCTCAATCACTTTATAACAACGATTCTGACGATCAATTGGAACTTGGACTGTCGCTTGTCCACCCCACTGCAAGAGCTTATCGACGGTCGGAGACCATACTTACACCTGAAACACTAGTTCCCCCCCAATTCAAGATATCCGATGTCTTCTAAGTCCAAGGGAACGACGTTGTTCACGTCTCGGTAGCGCGCGGAAACTTGAACCGGAGAACCTACTTGGATCGAGGAATACGGGCGTTCTGCCAACTTGAACGGGGAGTGGAAGGGATCAGAATGTGGACAGAATAATGAACAACCTGGCGAGGCTGAGAGAAAATGAGTGTGGAGTGTTGACCGAGGGATTGAAAGAACCAGTGGCGATCATAAACGATCGTTCTGAAATCGCGGTCGTCATACCAGTAAGATGGCATTTGTCTCCGAGGGCGGTTGCATTGCATCGGCCGAGTGTCTGGCAGCTATAAGTCTGGTACACGTAGATAATGTCGAGGATATATACGTCAAAAAAGACTGACAATGCATCGCCATCGTCGGAACCTGAATCGGAAAAAATGAGTTCTGCGAAGACTGCACACTCACCGATAAGTAGCTCGCTATAGCTAGAGTCGTCCACTTCTCACCTCAGAAAAAGTAGGACATACGGCCCCTTTTCGTAGGGGTTTCCTGTGGGGACGTTTTCTCAATGCGGTGCATGTTCTGGAGCTAGGTCATTACAAAATGAACAATATAACGATGAGACAAAATACATTCGGCCAACAACGGATCCCCATTTTCGATTCAAGATCAATGCTTTCCTAATTTGGTGACAGTTAGACTATTCTTCACAGCACCCTTTCTCGTCACATCTAGCGTGAGAATTGCTTCGGAGCTCTCCTGAAGCAGCCTCGACAATGTCGTCGTCCAGGTCGTCCCACATGAAGATGTTTGATTGTGCGTCACTGCTCGTACTCGAGGAAGGCTGCAGCAAATAGACATCCGTTCCAAAGCGTCACTCCTTTGCCGAAGATCCAGGTATTCCTTCTGGCCTTCGCGTCGCTGTCTGGTCCTGTAACTATCGCTTTTTTTTATCAACAGAGTTGGACCTTTCCATGTACGCTGTGGCTTGGAATCTTGATATATTACATAGGGATTGGTGATATATCAAGCTCTCCTGAACAGCTAGCTCGTTGGTCCTAACGATGAATTACTCATGGCGAAGGATAGTGTATCATGATGGGGGGCATTGTCCGATAGGATTGTTTCTTACGATATGCACTGTTTCAGCTGTCGTGTTCGGGGTTGTCGAGAAATATTGGCAAATGCTGCTCTCAAGGACGATAACTGGTACAGAATGTGGCGACGCCCCGGCAGTCTTCTTGTTTCTCTGCTGCTGATAACCGACTTTTCAGAGTCATCCGAAGGTGATAGAATCTGTGTGATTTAAGTGCATGCATTCTGAACCTTTTCATTTCGCCAGTGCAATGGGTGGCGTCACCGATTCTACTTATCAAGCAAGGGCCCTTCATTCATCCCATTGTGTTGGTTGGCTCTCCATCCTATTATGGAAGCACCGGAATGACTAGGCCGTCGATACGGCCTCTATCCCTGTCCGATAAACAAAGAGCCGCGGCATCTGCTACACTTCCTTCCCAGCCCAAGGACCGTCTGGCAGGCTCTCAAAGATCCTATCGTGCGCGGCGTGGTATTATCCTATGGTTTATTGGCGATGATCTCCACTTCGAAGAACGACTACATATTCGTACTCTAGATGTATATCACAGTCGATCACAGGGGGATAAGTTTCACAGTGAGGACTTGTTCTTCCGGAGTTCATGTTGTGTGCTAAAAATGGTACCGCCGTTTAGCCTGCTCAAATTGCAACCGCTCTTAGCATATGACGCTATGCGCACTTTTGTTCCATCTCCATAAAACGGGACACCATGAACATACCGGGACATATCACACTTTTCGGGCCCAACACACGATGCATACCGGGGCAAGTCAACTTATGGGATAATGTTCCTTTCTGGGTCAAACATTTGGAGTAGGTGTAATGCTTGTCGTGAAAGTCTTACTACCCGGGGTGAGTGACTTTCCGCAAGCAGCACGCCGCGCATGTCATTGATGTTTTGCAGTACCTTCGTCCACGGGTCTAATGTGATTCTCGTAACCGTTGCAGCCCCTTCTGTGCACTGTTTCACAGTCTCGCCCAGATGACCGCCAGCGCAGCTCGAACATAGGACCGCCAATGTACACGTACGTGTCATTATAAGTTCCCTGTTCTGGCACACTTGCTCAAAAGCTCTCTTCTAGTTCGATGTTTGCGTTTTCTATGAACCGACACATTCTCGGAGGAACTTGAGTTTTTTTGGCTTTGGCATCTCTGACGGTCGTTTCGTGGTAATCGACCATGGAGGCATCTAAACCCCGGCGACCAGGCACCGTTACACTGTCCGGAGTAGTGTGCTTCCTATGTGCCTCTTTGTTGTATGCGTTTCCCCTCCATAGATACCTCACCCTTGCCACTAACACTAATTGTCTGCGCATGACTTCATGCAAACTATCATGCACCAACGCACCCTTCAACGTTCGACTGCTTTGGCGTTAAGAGCTGTTAGAATCAATCGGACACAAAATTAGTCCACGAAGACCAACTGGACGTTGGAGCACTCACATCCTTTCCCATAAAAGCTGCAAGCTCTATCGCAATCACCTCCGCTCGATTATTCGGATCCTCCATCTCCTCATACCCGGTCGTATTCTCCAACTTGGCCTGCAACTCCGCCAGTTGTTCCTGCTGAATCTTTTCTCATCCCCTCACTCGTTCGTTTTCGTAATGGTGAGGATCGACCCGAACAAAGTAGGGACATTCGTTCCGTTTTGAATCGTGATGACAATAACGATCGTCTCCCCCCGTATGAGTTCATAGAAGCTGGCTGAGTCTCCGTCACCTTCGTGCTCTCCTCGCCTTGCTTTCCTCAAGATCCCCGCGTCAAGTCCTAGGAACGGGCATGCTAACGAAATCAGCAGGCTGCACTCAAGTTCCAGCCCTTAAGGGGATTCTTGTAGCGAGTTCAAAACACACTCAGATAGAAGCCAATAGATATCATTGCTCGTGTTACTTAATACATGACCATAATGTGCAACAGCAGATAGCAAATCTCAGCCTAGACATTTGCCCGTCCCATAATCCAACTCGTCAAAAGCACATCTCAGAAAAAAACTCGAGGATTAGTCGCGCTGACCTCCAGTCGTCAGGGAAAAAAATTGGGTCAGGTCAAGGATCGCAGGCGAGAATTTGAATGTTCCTAGTTTCGACCCAACAAACAAACTCCTGCAGCATTCTGGGGGCCCGTCTGATGGGGGGAGGATGTCACGAAGTCAAGGTAGGTTGAGCGGAAGCAAGAAAAGCATCACGCGACAAGTCAACTGGTTGTGATCGAACTGATCGTACGGGAAGGCGATCTCCTGGATTTCCCTGGCTCTTAAGTAACTGCGATGTCCACCCTTTTAGAGGGAATCGATGTACATGGCCAAGTGGCCCTGGGAGAACCATTTCACTTCCTCCCATTGATCACTCTCGCCGCTACGCGAACAACTCCGCTTTGTCCAGTGGGCATAGTGCCTCCTTTTCCAGAAGTGCCATCCCCTCCTGTCAATAAAGACATCGCTGAGTTTTGCGCAATGGTCGGCGAGCGTCATCACGGCCGCCAGTTCCTGCCCTCGCCGTTCCTCCAAACATGCCAGGCGATGGCCCGAGTGCCTGGCCATATCCGGCACGTAGGAGTACGAACAGATCAGTGCCTTTAAATCCTTGAAGTCCCCCAAGGATGGGCAGGTCTGTTCGGCGAGCGGCCACAGACTGGCTTCGTGGTCTGGCCAATCAAAGCCTTCCGCAACCATCATGGCATTTCCCTCATCGCTATCATCCCGATCGATTGGCCACACCGGTTCAGAATTCGATCCCCAACGCCCAATGCCGAGCGTAGAAATTGCGGGGAACAGACCGTTCAGTCCCGAGAGTACGTCTGTCAACTCCGGAATCCTGATAGATCTCGAGTCCAAAGAAAGCATCTTGAATGTCTTGACCCCCTTCAGATCTGATGCCATCGCTGCTCTGGCTTCACTCGAAAATTCCGAAAAGTGGTGAGACTTTGCCATGATAGACGTGGTAATTCTCCTAACTTTGCTAACTGCCCCGTCCTTAAGAAGTGTTAGCCGAAGGAATGGGATGATGGAATCGATGTGCTGCACATGAATAGATTGGAGCTCGCTCCAATCGGACTCCGGGAGAGGCGTGTATGGCTCGAGAAGGCCGCCAGGAGGGTTCTGCGTGATCATTTCTATGGAGCGCAGGAGGCATTTCGATGTGGACCTCAGATCCCTCCTTGTGATCTGATTGATAAACCTTGTGAGCCCCCTATTTGTGCCGCGGAAGGCGCATTCCTCCAACCCGCCAAACCTCAAATCACCAGAGCTGACACTTTTCTCAAGCTCACGGAAAAATATTTGTGCTGGCTCGGATTCCCCTCCGAGGGAGAACTCGAGTCTCCGAAGCCTGGGGCACAATCTGATGCCCTCGACCAGTCGCTTGGCTTCCTGCACGGTGTCGAGACGTTGATGCTCCTCCCCATTTTGATCCTCCCAATACCCGATCGTAATACATATTGATCGGACGTATCCTCCGATCGAGCGATGCGGTGGGGGTGTCAGGAGAAGCTCTTTGATGTCTAGATGTCGGTGTATTGCGCTGCCATGCAGCGATAAGGGCATCGTGATATGCCTCCAAAGTAGTGCGTCTGTCATGTTGCCAAAATGTTGGTTGGTGGCGTTCAACGCCCTGAGAGTTGGGCGGTCGGGCACAGTTTCACAGATGAGCCTCTGGAGTTCAACCGGGAGAGTTGTGAGGGATGAAGGTGTACGCATTTGAGTTCTGGTTGGATGGGGATATCGAGACAAGTGGTTATGTGGGACTGGTTTTTTATTCGCTTGAGCATTCCGGATCTTGACTCGCGGAGAGGCAATTGTGACACTTACTATGTTCATCAACTCAGACTGTAGTTTTCAACAATCCGACAAACCAAATTAGAGAGAGGAAGCTTGTCGCGGCTAACCAACTGGAGACAGTTTTTTTATGTTACCTGAGATCGGGTGGGGATAATAGGGGCAGAGCTAGAGGCAATACGGCACTGAAGACCGAAAGATATCGGGATAGGGCAGGCCGAACACTAAGCTGTTTCTGACCGTGTCTCGAAAGCAAGCACGCAGAGGAAGAAGAGGAGAGAGACAGCGGACTACCAATTTCATGGAGGGACTTATTAAAATGACCCCAAAGCCAATGCCATGATCCCATAAATAATTTAATTCTGTAGTACAATACGCTTCGGCGCTGAAATCAGAATTCAACATAAAGAGAAACATGGACAGCGGTCCCCGTTGACCTTTGTTTCCCATCGCTCTAACCCACATCAGATTCCCTGCAGTCAGAAATCAAAAATCCAAGGGGCAAAACAATAGATTAATATTCTGGTGTTCGTTTCGTGGCTGTTTTCCCTGAGAGTGGGAAGTGATCGATGCTAAATCAAGAGATACACAACCGAAATAGGTCAGTCATTGCCCAACTGGAAACTGCACCCTGTCCGCACGATCTATCATAGCATCTACAGCAAGGTTGCCATCCGAGTTGTCGTGTAATTCGGTTGATGCAGCATGCATGCGCGTTCAGCGTGTAAAAGAATATTGTTGTTGACCTGTCATGACAATGCCGGTAATGATCTGTCAATATATCCTATATGATTCCGAATTGAAATCCCAAAGCTTTGAAGGGACCGGTCACAATCCCTTGTATCATCCCCATTCCTTTTTATGTAAGCATCTCCTCGAGCGTTGGCCGAATTCATTTGTTCATTTGTTTTTTATCCACTCCCCTCTCAACATGATCCACGGAGATACACAGGTCCCGGAAACGTTTTTCGTGCTTTAGAGTTATCTCACCTTAGATTGGCCAGATGGTCTCATTGTCCGCACTTCTACCAACAATATTTACGTCGGCTCTTCGGTACCACATATATAGAAGGCCATCAATAGCGAAAACTAGCCACGCCCATTTTTCGTCATTGCCCATGTCAGGATACCTGTGAATCCTCCCGGCTTATCGTGTCGAACGACGTGCGCTCATCACTCTGCGGTTCTCGTCCGCCGTGCCACTCACTAGACCAGAGTTTGAGGCTGCCCCCCTCCTTTTCCCCACCCGTTGTCTTGGCCCACAATTTCGCAGTGGCTCATTCCCCGGCCTATTTGTGGCTAGTACAGTGTCTTCGAGTCCTTGGGGCAGGGTGGCGAACGGGTTTTGCCTCTGCCTCTCGCTCTCTAGATCTTTCAGTTTCGTTGGCCCCTGTGGGGTGACCCGCATTACCTCCGAATTTCCGTCCTGGTATCTGGTTCCTCGCACTGGAGGTCGGTACTGGGTTCTCCCAGTCAATCTCACTACAAGCTTACGGTTTACGAGCTACTTTTGAGTTATTCTACAAAGGAAAGCTTGTCTCGACCCGTTGGCAGTCGTGCCTTCTGCTGGAAATACCCCCCGCCAGGACACTGTTGTCTGCAGTCGCGTTGCTGTCACAGGTCGGCCGCTTGACACTTACCATTCGATACTCCAGCTTTGGAATCTGCGGCGCCATTCCTCTCTCTGCTCGCCTCAGCAGCAAGTGCGTCGACTCCGTCACTGCTGGTGGTTTAACAGCCGCCGAGCCATCGTTTTACAACGCTGTTAGCTTTTTTCAATTTATCACCGTCGGCCAGTGACGCGAGCTCTCTTGATATCTTAATGTTTTCGTGATTTCCAACGCGAATCCTGCCCATACCCCCCTCGGAAACCCGTACAGAAAGGGAATTGCTGTAAGGCCCCGCGTAGAAACCTTCGGTTTCGGTGCCCTGGGTTTGGCTCGGACACGCTGACGTGAGCGAGGGCTCATCATCTGCGCCGTTGACACAATCGAGTAGTAGCGGTTGTATCGTAAAGCATCTTATCCTACTCCACTACTTGGCTCGCTATCGCTTCTGTCATGCGTGACTCAGACGGTTATCCCGTACCAGGCCATGGGCGCCCTCTATTCACACCCTGCCGTTGCCTGCAATAACTTCTTGAGGGTTACTGGGAGTCCAACGGAGTCCAGCTCGGGATCCTCTGCGTTCTTAACGAAGAGTGGCACATTGGCCCCAAGCCTGACCTAACCCCCACTCCCTTGCAGTACATCATCCCCGCAAACGCAGTGCCCTCTCTTCAATTTTAGCGAGGGATATCTTCGAACGGCGTCTAACGCTGCAGTAACATGCAAACTGGTGATAATCAACTCTTTCGCCTGCCAGAAATTCTTGGGCAATCGCTTATTTGAGTCCGTCGTGTTAACAAACAAGCCAAGGGATACTTGCACACGGGACGTTTGACACTGCTTGCTTTTTGGACTGGGGTTTTCGTCCCTTTATCCGGGGACGCGGATGGACTTCCCTTTATGGAGAATGAAATAGTTGGCCGTGCGATCCAAGTCATCTGAAGGATATCTTCGCTGTAGCTCATGCCAAGATGACTCTGAATTGACACAGCCAGGGCGGTGACAATGGGTGTTTTGCATTCTTCGTAGTACTGGAAACTCATATTTCGATTCTTCTGTTTTCACTTCCCCACCAACTTCACCTCCCCCGCTGAATCGAGGACACAAATCCCTCCATAACGTGACCTGGGAAGCATTTATTTTCTGCCTAACGACAAAGCCTCTCTTGTTGCAAACCGACACATGCATCATCTTTGCTCCCTTCGTTGCTGGACATTCCTGGCTACACCAAGCCCGCCGAGCCTGACCTTGGACTAAGCGAAGAGATGGATAGATTTCAGCATTTCCTGATGCAAGCCCCATCAACAGCGTTACTCTGTGAAGAGGGCGCTGATTCGCTGCTGAACCACCTTCCCGGAGCACACCCCTCAATGGTTGGGGAGAAATTAATAAGCGTCCATTTTCGTGGATTGTTGTTTGCCGAGTGCGATGCGGGGAGTACACACCCATGAATATTAGCCCCGATAAACAAAACGAAGGTCCACAGAGTACGGGAAATCTTCAGTTCTATAGGGAGCGAGAGGAGAAGAGACGCGTCGAAGCTTCCGCCGATATGCGAGACCGATGTGGACTCCAACACCTTTATGCAAAAGGAGACCCCCTGAAAGCATTGGTGAGGATCCTGTTGCGGCAGAGAAAAGTATAGGCACAACTGCATCAACAACCCATTTTGATGAGCAAGGCTGTATACATAGGCCAAACTTGCTGAAAGCCCTTCGTACCTAGAACTGTGAAGTGAAGTGTTGAAGAATACAGCGATCACTGCATGTGACAACGACTACTGCGCGCTAATCACTGGGGAACAGAAGCACACGCTGCAGCCCGCTCTATTGTGCGCTGGAGGATCGGTACCGAGTGAGAGTTGAATGGGGGGTGATGTGATGTCAACGCCATCGAACTTATGATGCATGCATTCAGTGTCCCCCGTGGCCAGCTTGATTCCGTTTGAATTCGGGTCAAGACGTTAGGACTAATTGTCAGAGGAGTGAGATGATGAGCTCAGGCTAGATGGATATATCATGAGTTAGGGATCTAAAGCTTCGAACAGTCGAGCACAGAAGTCTGGAGTGACGCATGGCAGAACAATTGGAGCGCGAAACATGCTCATGCATGATGCAAGGATGCATGAGGAAGTTTTTTCCATCCACGGAAATGGCTATGTCATGCAACCCACAATTATCCAAACGACACCCGAGCCAAGCAGCGAGATAGTCAGGATAATCATTAGAATCCCCCCAATATCATTTGATGATGCGGGTGGTTAAAATGTAGTGTGTGTGCTAGCTGGCATGACAAGCTAGTATAGGAACGCCCTTTACGCTGAGGAACGATATCTTGGTTCACATACGAATTAGTCCAAAAGGGCAGTTCTGTGACGATCGTGAGAGGCAGTGGAATGCCAAGTCGCTCTATTACTCACAAGCGCCCTAAAGGCGACGGGAGGGTAGATGCATGTGAGCTTGCACTGCTCGGATCAACGACGTCATTTGAGGCAAATAGGCAAGTACCTTCGCGCCTGAAAAACACGTGGGACACCCCCTGAATATTGATGTCCATTCCGGATGCATCCCAAGATGTGGCAACTATACTTCTTGACGAACTAACGAAGGTAGACCCGCGCAACCTTACCGACTTGGTTAACGTCGATCTCGACCTCAATCGCAGAAAGAGTTGGGGAGGCTTTGGTGATGTGTATGTGGGCGAATATCGCGGTTCCGTGCGTTTGCTGCCAGGAAACGATAGCGCTCTCTAACATGATCCGCACTTCGGCTTCAGAACGTCTGTGTGAAGGTGTTGAGAGAGGTCCCTGTCATCAGCACAGACTGGGTTGGGAAGTTCGTTCGGGTCCGTATCATTTCCCTCACAGGCTGTGTGTTCCCTTGCCTGGCTAGAGCCGTTTTTCGTTCAGCGACTCAGACGAGAGGTTAAGATTTGGCATGACTTGCGACACGACAATGTTATCGTGTTCCTCGGCTGGACGCTGGGGCGCATTGGCGATAAATTACGCGTGGCTCTGATATCAGAGTGGGCTGAAGGTGGAAACGTGAAGGATTTCTTGCGCAGTAACCCACTTGGAGACCGCCCTCACCTCGTCAGTTGGTTGCGAGTTTGTACCGTCAAACTCCTTCGTTAATTACTTCATCAATCAGGTTCGGGGAGCATGTCGAGGACTGGCGTATCTTCATTCATGCAGCATAGTTCATGGGGACATCAAACCGGTGTGTTCATATTTGTTTCATCTTTTCCACTCTGCATTCTACTGGTGATCGTGATAGGAAAATATACTTGTTCTCGGAGCGAATCGTAATGCCCAACTCTGCGATTTTGGGCTCTCCTCTATCCTCGACGATTTCACAACTCACGCAGAGACGTCAAGCGTGATGAGCACTCCTAGGTACGCTGCCCCGGAACTAGTAGGGAATGTCATCACCAGACGAAATGAGGGCAGCGATATTTGGGCCTTTGGGTGCACAGCTGTGGAGGTGAAGTTGTGCCAAGAAATATGAGCCATGTAATTGACATGCGATTTAGATCCTCACCGATCAGATCCCGTATAAGTGGGCGTCAGGTCCGTTTCAGCTTTCTTCGGCTATCTGCAAGGGGCCCCCGTATGAATCGTATGAATGGAGCAATGTCGATTTCTTTAAGTTTGACAAGTGCATTTCGGCGTGTTTCGAGTCTCATCTTGAGCTGCGGCCCAGCGCTGCTAAACTTAGCCATTTGCTTGAGTTAGTGCTTTTTTCATGATCCGAACCCAGTATAATGACCTCACAAATTCAGGCTTGCGTCTGATACATCGCCCCACATCCATTTGAAGGGCCACCACATCCCTCATCGATTGCCCCCTCCCGCGCCCCTTACCCCGCGCCTGCACCCCATGCGTCTTCAAGCCGCGCTGGAAGCGTACATGTCGTCGATCCCCTGCAGCCTCCTTCCATCGATCCCCCGCCGCCCCAGAGGAAGCGTCCAAGATATACGCGCAGCAGAGCAGGATGTCTCACTTGTCGAAGAAAAAAGATCAAGGTGAGCCTTTGTTAATTCGTTCAACATCCGCTACGTATCCTCTTTTCTTATCTGTCCCAACTACTCACATTCCACCCTCGGTATCGTGACCCCCCCCCCCCTTACAACCATTTCTCCTTATCAAAGTGTGATGAGGTCAAGCCGTTTGCACGCGTTGCGACCATGCACAACGCGAATGTACATGGCCGTCGGAGATGCAACGCAAGGAAATTCCGCGTTTCCGACCCTCTTACAGTGCTGAACATGATTTGCGTTCATATCGGGCTCCTTCTTCCAGTCCTCCCTCCTACCCTTCTTCCAGTCCTCCCTACCCTTCGTCCAGTCCCCCTCGGACGCAGGAAGCATGGTTTCAGGGACATGATGACAGCATTGCCGGCCCTAGTGGGAACGAATCGGGGGATGAGTAGGCAGTCCTCTGTTTCCGGAATGATTTTCCACTAGTCTCATTCCATCCACTTTCATAGCTATGGCCGCATGGCTGGTTCAGGTTATCTTGACTTATCATATCTTCCTCAATCCCTATCTCATCTGGTCGGAGCATACGGAAACATCAGTCTCTATCCCAACCAAACGAATGTGTACCGAACCGGGCAGCAACGCAATTTGAACCCTGATGTGTCCGGCTTGCAGCCGCTCGGAATCGACCACAGTAGTTTTAGCCTACCGGCCCCTCCGCGATGCGGTCAGAGTCCTCTCTTCCCCCTGATTCGGCACCCTCTCCTGAGGAAGCAGCATTAGCTGGGTATAGCTCGGCTGGGGCACGCACAGCTGCTGGAGACAAGCAATGGAGCAATTCTCTGCCCATGGTCAATTCCATGCCTGACCCTATCGAGCCGATGTTCAAGACGCTCAAGGAAAGAGAGTTGGTATGTCATGTTCACAAAATTGCACTCCGGGAATATATGTTCCCGTAATTGCGAGGAAGATCATTGATGATTTTTATTTATTCTAGATTCGTCATTACGCAGGGAGCAGCACAGAGCTCATTATGGCAGTAAATACGTCAGCAGCGCTCAATCCTGTTCTTTCCACTGCTCTTCCCATCGTTCTCTCTGTTCCTCCGCGCACGAACGCTCCTGTCGAAGCGCTCCGTCTTTCTCTTCTCGGTGTCGCCGCCATACACCAATCATTCCTTCATTCACACTCCAACTCGAACAGACAACTACTTGAGAAGTCAACTGTGACAAACATGCGTGCTGCGGAGAAGGGTGCACCGTTACCGTCAGGACTCTTGGGAGACGAAGGCGAACAAGATGCAGCTGAGAATCTCAGGTTGGCGCTTTTGCTTAGGCAGAACGCCTCCAAATGTTTATATTTTGCGTGCCAATCGCTGGAAGGGTCGTTACACGATGCGGCTTTGGCCGCTAGTGCTTCGATTGCTTTGATAGATGTCTGTACTGCATAGTTGCATTTTGGACCAGTTACGTTCATGTTCTGACGTTTTGATTCAATTTCAGATCTTCGCTGGTGGGAATGACTATGAGTCGAACTTGGCTCTCGCGAAACAGTTGATCGCTATTCGGGGAGGTCCAGAGAACATCGTCGCTACTAATACGCCAGCCAGAACATCCTTCGGTGGAGGCGTGATTGTTTCTCCTGCAAGGCTGGCACTGGAAATCATTGCAGTGTACGATGTTTTTGGCTCTCTGACCACTGGAGAAGAACCAGCTTATCTGGGGCATGGCGATGTGCGATGGTGGTTGGATGGTAATGACCAAAATTACCATAAATACTCGGTGGAGAAAACCTTTGCCATGTCAAGGATGTGCATTCACCTTGTAGCCAACGTACGTGCCTGGTTTCCTACTACTTCATCTTTGTTGATGAACATTTTGCCTCCGTCTTCTAGGTCAGCTCTTTACTGTCGCGCCTGAGCGCTGTTGAGGGGACGGAAAGTTTCACAAAGATTCCTCCGGATCCTAAGAACGTCCCTGCCAGTGCTCTTAATCTTCATACTGAAGCCACCGCTCTCCTCGGGAGATTGGAAGAAGAGGCAAACAGCGATGCAGCCCGTGCCCCCCGTTTGTGGGAATTGGTTCGGACGAAGGAACTGCCACCGGTGGTGCGAGCGGGAGCCTCGGTGGCGGAGGTCTTGGAGAGGACGAGATTCCTCTCCCGCCGAACGCATCTCCCGATTACCCTCAGACGACTGCACAGCGCATTGAACATGGAACTCAGGCTCACCTGCTTGCTTTCCAGGTACTGCCGCTAATGCAATCTGTCAGGTCAATGTTACTGAATATTTTGTCTGCAGATCGTTCTTCTACGTCTCGTGTTCCACATGGACCGTCATGATCGTCGTGTGCAGTCCTTGGCGAACGAGATAATCACTCGTTGCCACACAAGCGCCACATCACTGCAGATGCCAATCGAGTGAGTCTTGGCACATGTGCTTTGTCATTCCTGTCTCTTCTATCTTTCATACAGTCTCACATGGCCCGCGATAATTGCGGCCTGCGAGTTGGACGTTCAGAAACGCGGTTTAGTGTCTGAGATTTTCGAAGGATTCAGGTGGGGTTGTCTAGGTTCTGTTTACAAAATTGCCCTCGTTATTGATCTTATGTCTCCCTCATCTGACTGAACAGGAAGAAAAGTTGCTATGATATTGATACTGCTGAACAAATTGTCAATCGCGTGTGGCGGCGCGTGGATCAAAACCAACCTCAAGCAAACTGGAAGTCCGTGCTCGAGGACGACCGAATGAGAGTTCTTCTAATATAACTATCCGCTTGTCAACATTCACATCTCATAACAACAATAACAATATTGGAACTCAGTCATCCATACGCATTACATGTTTAAGCCGAAAAGAACCTGAAGACTATGAAGGATGCATGATATTAAAGGAATTAAATACATAATTGAAGGGAGTGTAGGACCTGATGGGCCCAGCGCAGTGGGCGACCCTATGTAGGCACTAGGGTGGATCGAATAGCTTCAAAGGCGTAGTAGGCGAGTACTCCGTCTGCGGCAGCCAGCATAGGAACACCATCCACTTTTACTTTGAAGAGTTCTCTGCCTGGAAGCTATCGTAGTAATATTGATGGGACCCAGCACTCCATGGTTGCTGCGCGTGTCCCTCTAAACCAGTAGCCAGAGCCTTTCTAGTTCTAGCTTGTCGGTTGGGCCGTCGCAATGTACGTCAATAACGTCAAGTTTCCTGCTTAGTTTGCCGCTGTATCGACTGCCTTAAGTTTCTTCAGGCGATCTCTGATAGGTGGCTTCCAGTTAGACGGTATGATCCATCGAGCAGGGTGATTTCAGCCGGAGGGCTGGGATGATTCTCAAACCCTTTCTTATCATGCAGAAAATATGCGCGTTAGGCCTGACGGTAAAGAATGTATCATTTGGTCTATGAGGTCCCCATATCGTAGCAGGACAATGAGTGCTGGAGGCGAGTGCTGGAGGTGATTGGGGTTGGCCGGAAGAGCACGAGGGACTAGTACTTGAAAGTTTTCGCACCTTCCAGTGTAGCGAGGCCTTCGTCATGGAGATCGTGTCCACTACTAGTAGTATCCACCAGCAGCCTCACGGTTCTGTGTTCGGCATTCGCCGTTCCGACGCCTCGGAAAGATCATTCTGAATCCCCGTGATCGTAATCGGAACCCACAAAGTTCCGGCCCACGACCTTTGCTGAGCCCTCACCACAGTGCGAGCGTTGAAAGCCATGTCTGCTCTGAGCTCCCTAATTTCTGGAGCTGATTGTGGCCCATCTAATGCATTGTCATCAGTAGTCAAACATGCAGAAATAGATCGAAGTTTGCAGAGGGTGAGCTGTTTGCCAACCCACAATTTGTGTCCACCAACACAATCGTTTCTTTCAGGACAGAGTTGGTGGTCCTTCTCAGATGAATGTGCGGAAACCGCTCTATAATAGAAGGAATATGAAAATTTAACCTCAAACGGCACTTTGTAATAGCTGCATCATCTCCCTTCAAGCTCGTCCCAAGGACCGTCTGAAGCTGATCAAGCATTGGCACGACAATTCTTCGATGGAAATGCAGCGCCTCCGATACCTCCCTCCCTTTCAGCCCCCTTCCCTATGATTCTTCCGAGTCAGCCGCTTGCGCCAATCAATCAGGCGCAGCTTCGACGATCAGATCCAGCAGAAATGGAGAGGCTCTGGAGTACAAAAGCTGCCGGAGAAAGGGCGGTACAATCACTCGCAATGGCTTCTGCGCCACGCAATGGCCAGTGGTTAACGGAGTTCAATACGATGACCCCTGCTCCCATTGAGGCTTCACGACCAGGTAAGGACCCGTCATCGGCTACAACTTTTTGATTTCCTCATCCTCATTATTCCCTCTAGCTGGTCAAGGCCACGACCCGATGGCTCTTCGATCTTCCGCTTACGCTGCCGGGATGCTGTATACCCCTCAGATGTTTAGTCCACAAGCGGTTGTTGTGGCACCTGCCACTCAGGCTGACTGGGAGAAAGAGTTCAGCAGACTTAGCGAACTTAAAGGCGACGAAAAAGGGAAGGGCAGACTTATCGAAGTCGACGATGAGGGAAAAGCAATTGATACATTGGAGGAAGCCTTCAAGAATGCGACTCTTGAGCAAGATGGAGAAAAAGGTAATTTAGACGACTATATGAAGTCATTTGAAAAGTGGGTATCCAAGTCGACTCTTCAGAATATTATTGACCAAGCTTTTGCTAGGGTCTGGGAAGAAGTTAAGGTAAACAATAGTGATCACGATCTCGACGGGCTCGCAGCACAAGAGGCCGACTATCGCCAACTAATGCAGCAGATGCATGAGCTGGATGGAACCGATCCTGATCTCCTCGCTCAGGTGAACGAGTCCATGGCCAACCCAGATGACGATCTAGTCGGTGATTTCGGGCTGAACGATTTGGACGACATGACGAAATATGATGACGAGGGTGTTCCTATACTTGAAGCCTATGAATTTGGTTCGTTCTTTCTGGAAAAATATTGTGCTACCGTTGATGATGGAAATCAGAACAAAATAACCCGTACCTCAATGATGCTTCTTCGAGTGGTCATCTCGCAAGGGCTAAAGAGCTTCTGGCTACAAATGGATCGCTAGATGAGGCTGCCCTCCTCATCGAAGCCTCGATACAGAAAGGAGAATTGGGGAAAGGAGGGTATGAAGCCTGGCTTCTGCTTGGAAGAGCCCGGAGCATGGATGAAAGAGAGGTACAGGCACTGAGAGCACTGCGCGAGGGCACACGGATAGCGCAGTCGACTGGGGATGGGACCACGGGCATGCTTGTAAGTTCCGATCTAATGATTCGAGATCATCCTATTGGACGTTCTACATCAGGATCTCGCCATCAGTTACACGAATGAATTGCATGACCTTGCCGCTCAACATATCCTGCGTCAGTGGATACGAGCTAAGTACCCGGTGATGAAACTTGCCCAACGGCCACAGAATAGCTATCGCAGTCCATGGTCTTCGCATGAGCTTACGACGGAAGATTTCCTCCTCGTTACACGGTATTTACACTCTAAAGGCCAGATGGATCCAGAAGTTCAAGTTGGGCTCGGTGTGCTCTTCTATTCTAATGCGGAATATGACAAAGCTCGGGATTGTTTCGAAAGCGCATTGCAAGCCCACCTGATGTATGTGATTCAGCGTGGGGTTTGGATGCCCATTCATCAATCAATCTAGGACTATCTTATGTGGAATCGGCTTGGTTCGAGCCTGTCTAACGGATCGAAACCCGAAGAAGCTCTTGGTGCCTACCGTGAGGCACTGAGACTTAGGCCAACGTATACGAGGGCGATATACAACGTAGGCGTTGCCTGTATGTATCGATCTTTTCCCGGTGTTTTCATATGCTTATGTGCTTTCACATCACTCCAGGTTTGAACATCGGGGCTCACAAGGAGGCAGCCGAACACTTCCTCAGTGCACTTACCCTACGGAACCCTGATTCAGCAGTACCTGGTGGTCCTCCGATTGGGGGGCCGTTGAAAGACAAAGATCAAATATGGCAAACCCTCAAGCGCACATTCACCGGCATGGTACGTGATTTGCCTACTCAATCAACCGGCAACAAATTTTATTCAACGACGAAACTTGGACACAGGATCGTCCTGATCTAATAGAACTCGCAAATATCGGGGACGTGAACGTCTTCCGTGGTGAATTCGATTTTTAAATACTCGCGGACTTTGATCGTCGCATTTCGCCTAATTTTTTTGTTCAAGTTCATGTCGATGTATTTTAGACACCAACCTCGTCCGCCCAATGAATGGACGGATTCAGTTTGAATCAGGCGGTGTGCAAGAATGTTGGTTCCGTTGATTTTGATGGCATAAAAGATACAGGCAGGGTTAGGGGCGAAGTCACCCAAAGAGTGTCTGATCGTGGGGCGTTCCAAACAATCCTTGCTTCCAACTACTAGGTTCTTTCCATGCTGGAAGTCACAGCACAGTTAGTGGAGAACTTGAGGCGACAAAATTGAAGATGCCTACCAAACTCTGACAATCCTAATACACGCCCAACAATATTGGCCATCAGGTAGGCGTCTTCGCGATTATCGCCTTCTAGGACGTATTGAAGTATGACACCAGTGGCAGGAAAGCCGGTTGGTGGGAGCGAGCGAAGCAGTTGCTTCGTGATGCCCGAGGAAGGTAGATGTAAATCTTTAAGATCAGTCCTTCCCGTATATGCAGGAATGAGCGCTGATAGTGTAGAAATTGGTCCTGATGATGGAGCCAGTGATCTGTTGTGTGATGGTAATAGGTGGTATACTGGGGTACTAAAACAATGTGAATTACCGACCGGGGAAATAACGAGGCATCATTTATGGCTTACATCATGTGTGCATCGTCTCGATGCGACAGGTCAAGCCCTGATAGAATGAGTACTGAGGAGAATTTTTGCTTTTGGGCAAAGTCAATGAGGGCGGATATAAATTCTGACTTGCAACTCTGCGGAAGGAAGGAAGCGTCGCATTCGTGGAATAAGAATAAGACCACAATAAGAGGGAAACTTGGCACCTTGATAACAGGGGACCTTTGCTGCAAGAGGTAGAATGGATGCCCTTCTTTCCCAAAGAGTTCCAGAGGAGTCGTAATCCCAGGCAATCCATCCTCACGTCCTCCAATTACAGGAAACAAGTATTCTGAGTCGAATATACCCACACGCTGCATCCCGACAGAGGACACAAGTAGGTCAACCGCCAGTTGTCCAAGGTTTGCGGCAGACACGATTGGCTTTAGGATAATGAAATGGACATAAGTATGGTTTTGCTCTCTAGTCAATATGTGCCTCTGGAAAGAGGCAGTTGGCGCGTACAATGACGAGCGTGGTGTCCTGAAATGGTAAAGGCACGGTGGTCGTGGCTTGAAATTCCATGGAATGATCGTGAGCAAGCGTTTACTCGGTGACAATGTCACTGTGACTATGACGCTTCCAGATTTGTATCAAGCTTGGCCTAGCTTGGCCTCCACCATGTCGAGCATGAGGTTTCTCTCCCTCGAGCCTCTCCCTCTGGATATTGCATCTAAGAAGTCGGAGTACCCAGAGACGCATAATCTCAGCAAAAATTACCTCGCATTGAGCGATTTAGACTTTACGAATCCCCGACTTACAGCACCGAGGGCGACATCACATATCCTGGACGAGGTGCAGCATATATTTGATTGCTTTTTCCGGGACTCAGATCTTACATCTTTCCATGGAGATCAATGCTTCTCCCTTGAACCGGACAATCAAGAATGCCCCTCTTTCGAAGGGTCCTTCTCTGCTGACCCAGACTTCATTCTCTGCTTCAATTGGGACAACGATAAAATTTATTCTCGGCCTATGTAACCTACAAATCCCTTATGTAGGGGAGGCAACACGAATGAAGGATCTATCAGCTACATGTATGTGCTAATGATCGCGCCCGGTTGCGGACGCAATGATCGGTTCATTAGTACAACAGTTCGACGTACGAGGGGAGCAGGCTCTCCTGCTACCAAAACAGTCTCTAGTGTTGCAAAGACGTGAGCAGGAAGACCTCGCCTTTGCTGCTGCCCAATACATCAGGTATCTAATCGCCCTATTGCCTTCGCGAGGTGTCGCTTAACCTCTTCTGGGAGCTTCTACAACTGTATTTGGCTGGTCATAAACGATATCATTATCGGTGCCGCGTTTGGGAAATTTCTTCGTGACAACTGCGAACCCCTTGCGGAGTTGCTTAGCTATTATGCGCAGGTACGAAATAAAAATTCCTCCCGCAACGCCTCCCAACCGAAATCCTCAGCGCTACGTTGTGGAGGATGTTCGTAACACGCTCATTTGGCTAGACAGCTGGCCAGTAGGGCTGAAGCTGAATACTCAGCTCAGTCGGTTCTTTTGTGTTTCCTTCATGGGTATAGGAGATATATGGGGCAGTGAGTAATTCACAGAACTCTCGCTTTCTTGCATTGATTGCGCGTTGGATTCCCTTAGATTTTCTCCATGCGGTTGCGCCGTCTCTACCATGGGCCATTTTCGGTATTGGCTGTATGGGCTTATTAGGGATGACAATGATTTTCTCTCTTTTATCCGACACCCTCAGCATCTTTACTGGCTCCTTATATTTCTGCTACCTTGTCTCGACCAAAATTTTCAGCGCCCAACTAGTTGTCCTAGGATCACTTTTCAATCTCTTCAGAGGTCAGGTCACTTTGCCCCGTGTGATCATATCGCGGGCAGCTTATTTGTCGGTGGTTCTCAGGAAAGCGGAGAAACGTTCTAAGAAACCGTACCGATTCATGGGACTATGATATAGACCAGTTAATGCTTGGAACAATCCTTTTCACCCTTGTAACTTTCCTCTTTCCAACCGTCCTTGTCTATTATCTTCTTTTTGCTCTCGTACGTACCTTCAGTAATCCTATCATTCTCTCCTTGGAAACCACCCCCCCCCCCTCCTAGTGCCGCCTGGGGATAATTATGATTCATGCATGTTTGGAAACCGCATTGGCATTCATGAATCATTTTCCTCTTTTTGCAACGATACTTCGTTTCAAGGATCCGGCCCGTCTACCTGGTAGGTGTCCGATCCGAACGAACTTTTCTATTCATCGACAGCAAGCCTTAGGGGGTGTCTATCTTGTCTTGAGCCCCGGTCCGCCACCGAGGCTGGTCCCAAAGGTGGGTGCATTTGCCCAAGCGATTCATTCACCACTTAACACACTTTGAAGAATTCTCCGGTTCCATTTTCTCAGATCTTCTTCCAGCATCGTACGTAATCTTCACGGTTCATCGCGCTTTTGCTGAAAGAAAAACCTCTTTGCCCCCCCCCCCCCAGTACGTGTCTGGTCGAAATTGTCACAACATTATAGTCCATTGCGCCTGCTTCGGTGCGTCGTCGCTGGCATACTTATCATGCCCATTCCACGATACTCAATCCGATATGACATGGTTGGGATTGAGGAGCGGACTAAGAAAGACGAGTGACTTTGATGCATGAGGATGTTGTTATTTTATTGGCTATTTACTTTCGGGACAATTGCTTCAGCTTGCCGATATTCCAGCGAACGCCATCGCTAGGAAAGACTTGTATTATCGGTGAAGCTTGGCAGATTATCTGATGTTCTTCTCTAAGTCGTTGTGCCTCGAGTCCAGACACGGTTTCTCGATTGTGTCACAATGTGAGAGGCTGATGGCGTGTGTTGCGGCTTGAACAATGGTGGCTCACTCCCCAATATTTCGGAGGGGCATGAAACCCCAGCGTATAACTCTGCCACTGAACGAGTAGACTCTCGTTCTTCCACACTCGTTTGCCTACCGGTTACTTTCAGCGATGTCGCCAATCGAATTATTTCAGCGGGGGCGCAAGTGTAAGGCGTAACCCGCTTACATAGTCAGCCCGACACGGGTATATGAACTAGATAGTTCTTTTGTATCTAGCCCCTCCCAATCAAGTTCCTTGGATTTTCTACGCGATTCAATGGGTTTGCCGGCGTGAAGCTAGCTCGGTTGTTGGCATTAGCCAATCTTGAAGAACTCACACTCTTCATTTCACAAATACACTCGATCAACAACCTTGAACTAACCTCGACTTCCGATCGGGCTTGGAACTAGCCACCCTAAGCCTTCAACCTCTTCACTAGCCTTTATAGAACAAGTTGCAACAAGATGATGAGCTTAATTCCGGAGCGGAAGAAACTACGTGCTTTGTACGTGCCTTTGGTAGCTTCTACCTACAAACCTCTGATTGTCGTCTGATTGCTGCCTTCGGTGCCACGTGTCAACTAAGGCGGAGCACCCACGCCGACCTTCCAAAGGCATGCAGTTCTCCTTGCTCCGTCTCAGTTGACACTTTGGCCCCAGGGACAGCAATCACGCAACAATCACCGCGCATCGGAGGTCTGTCAGTGGAGGCCACCAAAGGTACGTAGTTTCTTCCTCCATCATCTCGTTGCAATGGGTTCATGCTTAGGATTGCCAGTCCCAATCTCGGTCAGAGATCGAGGTTAGTTCAAGTTTTTGATCAAGGAAGTGATAAAATGCTTTACGGCGACAGTCGAGCGGAGGGTCAGTACTGAGATATTTCCCTTCGCATACGCTAGTCGCTGTAAACGTTCATCGAGCTTTGATCTTACTCAACACCAAACAGACCTCTAAGGACCTTATCACACTATTCACTGCGCGATGGCCATGACGGACACAACCCTGAACACAGATGCTTCCGATGCTCAGGATTCCAAGACTGGTAGAGTTGCTTGTATGGCTGAACTAGGTTGGGGGTGCACTATGCAGGAAGAGAGGTACAATGACGTAGTTCCATATGGCTCCGGTTGTTGCAACCATTTCAATTAGGATGATTATTAATATCGTTGAATTCTCATATCGCTTCTGGGCTCACGATCGCTCGCAGCCACAGTTACACCGTAAACGTAGAGTTCAAGAACCCACAGCTAGCCTAGCAAAGTCCTCATAAGCGATTATATTTTTAGGCTGACTTGTATGCATCACTACACTGGATATCTTCTCATTTACAGTCGATGCATCAAGACAGAACCAACTCCGATTGCAATCGCTCAATCGATGACCGCAGGGACATAATCGGAAATCGGTCCATATCTGAAATCTGTTTCAGTGACCAGCCATCATGTTCATGTCCACCCACGTAACTTATCTACTTCTACATGTCTGTCATCCCGATAGAGTTGGAAACACCTGGCTGCTTTGATAAATCGGACAGAGAGGTAAACAATCGCTGGCCTCTGGTAAGTCAGAGAACATCGCGAAGAGGAGAGTGGGCATGGCTACGGATTCGTGCTTGAATATATGGGCCAGCGGGAGAATATGGGGGACATGGTAGCTGTGGTGCAGACCTGTAGCTAGACTCCGTTTGTAGGTTGTTCCACCTTTCATCATAGATTTTGCATGAGAGTGCGTATATCCGCTAACTGATGACCCCTTCCAAGACCTTCCAACGGAGCAGCCATAGTGGCATATGACAGTCGAAGATATTTGCATAGATGTCAGGGTATTCAGAACGAAGCTGACGAGAGTATAATTTCGCTTCTTCACCCATATCAAATGCTTCTGCATAGCGGCTCAGGCATGGAAGTATCCTGGATAGATCCCGCAATGCCCAGGCTAAATCAGCAGCATATGGGATTGGATGAGTAACGTGTATAGAACGCCAAAGAGAAATGGATTCTTCGATGAAAGGCACTGCTTCAGTGGGGCAATCGAGGTAATCGAATGAGAGAGCGAGAGTGTGGAGTGATCGAGCCAAATCTGGGTTGTGTGACGTGGGATGAACAGCAACGAGCTTGCGCAAGAGGCTGACACTTTCTTCAATCACTGGGAGTGCATCGGAGTAACGTCCCAGATTGACCAATGATATATTAAGATTGATGAGTGATTGAGCCAAGTTGGGAGTGTATGACGTGGGATGAACAGTAATGAGCTCGCGACAGAGCTTGACGCTTTCTTCAATCACCGGCAGTGCCTCGGAATGATGTCCCACTTTGCGTAATAATTCATTAAAATTGTGGAGTGATCGAGCCAAATCTGGGGTGTATGACATGGGATGAACAGCGACGAGCTCGCGCCAGAGCTTGACACTTTCTTTGATCACCAGGAGTGCCTCAGAGTAACGTCCCAGATTGTCCAATGATATCGTAAGACTGTCGAGCGATTGAGCCAAATCAGGGGTGTATGATGTGGGATGAACAGCAACAAGTTCGCGCCAGAGCTTGACACTTTCTTCAATCACTGGCAGTGCCTCAGAATGACGTCCCACTTTGCATAGTGATTCATCAAGATTGTGGAGTGACAAAGCCAAATCTGGGGTGTATGACGCGGGATGAACAACAACAAGCTTGCACCAGAGCTTGACACTTTCTTCAATTACTGGGAGTGCCTCGGAATGACGTCCCAGATTTCCCAATGATATGTAAAGATTGTTGAGCGACCGAGCCAAATCTGGGGTGTATGATGTTGGGTGAATAGCAACAAGCTCACGCCAGAGCTTCACACTTTCTTCATTCACTGCAAGTGCATCAGAATGACATCCCAGGCAAGTGAGTGATCCATCAAGATTGTGGAGTGACAAGCCAAATCTGGGGTGTATGACATGGGATGAACAGCAACAAGCTCGCGCCAAAGCTTGACGCTTTCCTCAATCACTTGCAGTGCCTCGGAATGACGTCCCAGATTTCCCAATGATGCATAAAGATTGTTGAGCGATCGAGCCAAATCTGGGGTGTATGACGTGGGATGAACAGCAACAAGCTCGCACCAGAGCTTGACACATTCTTCGATCACTGGGAGCGCTTCAGAGTGACGTCCCAGATTGTCCAATGATACGTAAAGATTGTTGAGCGATCTAGCCAAATCTGGGGTGTACAACTCTGAATCCGCTGACACAAGATAATGTGAGAGGGCTACGGAATCCTTTGCCAACTCATGTGCCTCCTGAAATCTTGAAAAGAATGACAGATTCCGTCTCACTTTGTCAAGTACTCGGACCAACTTTTGAATGTCTTTCTTTGAATGCCGATCAACGCTCAACTGAAAGAGAACAAGACTGAATAAGAATCCCTTATAAGCCACACTGATATTTATGTAATACCTTAGCCCACTGGGAAATGACAACACACTGATGTATCCTTCTGTTCTCACACAGACCTCCACCCAGCGTGTTATATGCTGATTCAGAAATGTGAGAACCGATCCACTGAGTGCCTCTAGCGGCTCCAGAACTTTGTTGAGGTGGTACACGATATACCGACACGAGTAACGGAGTTGTTCCGACAGCATCTCTTGATGGATGTGCGGCAGTACGTCCTTTCGGCCCAAATATTCGATCAGCCCCAAACCCTCCACACAGCAAAGATCTTTATTCAAGATCTCGGTAAGGCGCAGGGCCATCTGGGCATTCACCCTTATCGTATCCACCATGTGACGATGATGCACAAGTGATTCAGGACCAATTTGGCCATGAGGAAATCACGGAACGACTGATGAATGATGCGGATTGGTGTGTCGGAATGGGAGACTCCTAATAAGAGCGGAGCAAGTTCAACTAGCGTGTCACGGATGGAGGAGTTTAGGATGGGCGACAAAATTGCATCCCACGTTGCAGTAGACAGCGGTTGCTCAGCAATCAGGATCGCCCCCATAACGATGTGGTAGTCATGCACGAAATCTTCATCCTCCCAATCACATTTGTCCAGAATGGCCGTATACAGCGTACCCATCACTCCTTCAGGAGAACCCGTTGATCGAGAGGCACCTGTATTGAGCAGCCTATCCAGCGTTTTCCTCGGCTTCTTGGCCAGCCTCACATAACGGAAGACGGTGCTGATCCAGATGAACAAGCCACCAGCTTTCTCCGACATGTTTTGAACCAACAAATCTTCATCGAATTCGTCTCCCTGACCCAAATGATCATTCTTCAGACAACGCAGCTGCGCGCGGATGTAAACAGAGCAGTCTTGCTTATTGGCATTATCTAAGATGTCAATGCCAAATCGGTCGATAGGAAAATTGGGTGAAAGAAGACGATCCACGAGGTAAGTTTGTCTTGACGTGACAAAGAACTTGATGTTGGATGGTAATTTTGGCACTTCATTCCGAAGTATATTGGCAAGGCGTTCCAAGTCTCGCGGCTCACACTCATCCAAAGCATCAACAATTACTACCACAGGATCGCCGAAAGCCTTCCGAAGGAGAGGTCCAGCCACGAGCTTCTCGAATTGTACTGGGAAAGATGCAGTGGCAAGGGTTGGATCGTCCCTAAGAATGGATATGATGGAGGCACAGTATGAGGGGTCGCGTTTTGCTAGAGATCGAGCCATGCCGCTGAACAGGCGATCTGGCCGCGACTGTTCGCCTGCTTTGAAGAAAAAGGACAACAACAGTGACCCTTCGCTCTTGCACTTCGCCGCGATTGAATGGGCAACGGATGTCTTGCCAGCGCCGGCTACGGCTGTCAGTAGCATCACCCGCTTCGCGTCGTCCTCCATGTTGTGACACCAGCTCATGATACAGTCGACAAGATCTGTTCGGGTGCCCTCCATGCATGCCTCAGCTGGGTCATGGTGGGCGATGATGGGATATCGCAGTTCACTCAAAATCAAATCGCTCTCTGAACGGTCCTGGTTATTTGCTATGTCTGTTAATTTGGCGCCGGTCGTTAGGTTAGTTCTCAGCTACATGATGCCAAACAGTCAGGATAGTAGAGGAACAGCAATGCGAGGAAGAGTTACCTGAAATGATGTCAACGCTTTGTCGAGAACTTTCTTGAAGTCATCAATCCTGCCCGGATCCTTCAACTGTGAGAAGTAGTTGATAAGAGCGTGCCGCTTCTTCATTTTTGTGAGGATCGGTACGATTTCGGCGACGATCTGTTTTAGCGCGCTGTGGAGTGGCGCGTAAATGTGATAGCCGGGCCGACCAAAAACCAATGATACGCACTCGTCCAGCTTCTTGGCGTTCTTTAGCCAAGGTTTTGCCTCTTCCGTTGAAGTGTCATAGGATTCGATGGCCGCTAGCACATCCGCTACAACATCAACCACATATTTCCCAAATTCCTTCCATTCTTTCCTATCCGACTTGAACTTCTGCGTGATACGAGTGATGAGCCTTGGTTCCTTATTCATCGCAACCCATTACTTACTTCGACCTCGCTGAAGATGAAGAGGGCGGCGCTAGTGGGACCTTTTAGGGGAGGGAATGCATCGGATGCAGCATTGATGGCTCTGAGAATCGGGACGGCGATGTCACCTCCTGCTGTTAGAAGGCGATCAACATCCCGTCTGAGAGCGTTGGCCTTCTCCTTGAGCGACATCGTTGGTGGGGGGGGACAGACCAGCGTAGATTGGTGATAATGAGGTGGCAGTGAAGCAAATATATGCCGCACTTCCCAAGAGCCATGTGGACGGCATGAGGTACCGCGCTTTTCATTCGGTCACATATGGAAAATGAACGCACCGAGTTGACATGCATTCACCTTGTTGGGGAGTTTTATGTAATACTCAAGATATTGCGACCCGCCATTGGGAAGATGAAGCATGTCAAACTCGATCATCCTAGTTGTACAATAGCAGTGATCGTGTGAATCCATGAATGACTCGAGACAGTCATTCGGCCGGGCCCGTCCAGCACACTTACACCGACGACCAACATACGCATCTACTGGCGTTGTGACTTTTGGATCGATCGCATCGGAGTCCCTATCCCCGGGTTTCTCCAGACGAACAATGAGCGCCTCTCTTTTCCCACTTTGACTCATCCACCGCCTCTTCTCTCTCCAACGTGACCGTACCCTCCCACTCATCTCAACTCTCATAGCTTCGCTCTGCGCCTCTGACATACTCCACGCTGTTTCTTACTTACCCCCAGGAAGTGTTTGATTCCCTCAGGGATTAGGAAACAAACAACATTCACCTGTCTGCGTTCGCCCAAGCAACAAAATCGGAACCCGAAGGACACGGCTGCGAGAACTGTTTCCTCTCAAGGTCTAGCACTAATAAATGAATCAATTCGCCAACAACACCCGGCCTCAGGAACGAAACGACAGCTATGAAATCTACTTTGTTTCGATCACACCTATTTGGTCTCTCGTTTTATCGTGCTCATCCTCTGGTCTCTCATGTAATGGACGCTGGTGCTCTCCCAGTGTTCTCTATCGGGTTGTCAGAAGCTTAGGAATCATACCCCTAATTTGCAATGGCGACAAGTCCTGGTGATTCGGAGCCTGTTTAGTTCACCAGCGACAGTGGGATGTTATCCTTTTTTGTATAGCCTTAGGAACTCTTTGCTCGTGTCTATCCGGAGCCAAGCGTCCCATACAACACCTCTTATACAAGTGAATGTGTTCACACCTTTCTTTCTCGATCCATTTTGCTTCAACCCAACGGAGAGCCAAAATAACGTATAAGATTCACTGATTCATTCTTTTTTTTCTTATCATACGTCTCTCCTACCACCCTTTGTTGGCTTCCTTTGATTCCTTTACTTCCAATTCCGGCCGCTGGCGTCATCGTTTTACCAACTCATCACATTCACTGTTCATCCACGGTCATCGGACGCGCGCGTGTAAAATAATTATGCGGACTCTGTGGATCGTTGAACAACGAGCGTCTCGCAGCTCCACTAACTCCTATCTCGTCTCCGTTCTTGCTTCACTGTCCACTTCGAACATACCCATTGTTCTGCCAAGTCTTGGGAGCAATTCCCTTCTCGTCTAAAACTGCTGATGGTGGATCTGAACTCCCTAATGGCAATGCTGGTAGTTGAACCCCTTCATTTAGCATTTCTGCTCGCGATTCGGCAGAGATTATCGACCCAAGGGATTTCGTTGCCTCAAGCAACGGTGAGTTTCCCAGTGCGCTCCGGGTCTCTGTATTGTGGGGAATATCCAGTTATGTTTTGCTTTCGAATCCGATTATGCAACGCCCTACAGTACTCCACAACGTTGTCGACCGTTGCAGACCAGTTCTGGACCACGGAGCACATAGATGAACCACGAAAGTGCGAACCAATGGGAGGTGCGGGAAAGCGAAAGGCCAGCAATGATGTTCACATCGCCCAACATCCATTTGGAATTCACTGCCGCGTAATGGAGAATACGGACAGATTATGGGCGCATCTGACCCATGACTTCAATCACCAACCTTACGGTTTCCCACAACCTGCAGTCGAGGACCTTGGTTGTGATACTACTATATATCCGAATTGGGTAGGACTGTGGCTTGTCAGTTTTCCTCCTTTCGCACTTTCCATCGTCTGCCGTCTATTCTAGTGCGCCTCATTCCTCCGGGAGATGACGGTCAACCCCTTATAAGAAACCCTCGGCCGACATGACGGGAATTTGAGGTTGTGATATCCATTGTTCCCATTGTCTCAGCTTCCGCATTCTTCCTTCTCTTCGCGTTCAGTAAAGAAGCTTACAAAAGAGTCTGGACTCGGATCAAGACTCACATTTTCCAGGCGAGCTCTTCTGACACAGCGGTTGAGAACACAACTCACCAAGGTCCTACTGGGTATGTTGGTTTTCTGGGAAGGGATGCTTAGGCCCTCGTAGCTGGTACTCTACAGACAATCGTGGGACTCCGCCGTGTGGGGTATATAGTCACCAAAAGGCTGTTGAGCTGGCTAATGATCCAGCCATAAAGATGCAATGCGAAAGGCAATCTTGGATTTCTGGATGGTAACCGAAAGTGTATACTACACCCCTGCTGAATGCCATGGGCAGCATCGTGTTTAAATTATACCTATATTGTCCATCATATTCTCATCAAAAATGCGAACCTATAGTGATCTACACTCCGCTTAACACCCCCCTCTTCGAGAAGCCGAGAACACACCGATGTGAAATACGCGTGCGGTATCCTGAAGCCTCCCGGTCGCAACTTCAGGGCCGTTCTTCATCCATTGAATTGAAAGCCTTGCGCCACATCTCCCACGATGATGATGACTGGGAAGACCATGACAACAGAAACGCAATCCGAATCGCGCTTCGCGAAGATCAACATTGGTGGGAACTGCAGGTTAGTCAGAAGAGGGCGTAGTCGGTGGGGGACTCGGAAAGAGATCTGAGAAAAAAGCAAAACGTGGACATGTAAGATCAAGAATTTAAAATGGAAAGAAGCCTTGCCAGCATCAGCGTGGCGAAGATGAGGTCAGTAACTCGCCAGCTGCAACCCCACTGGTTTCGAAAGTGAGAGTAAACCCAGGATTGTTGATAATAACAGTGTTCCTCACATCGTACAAAGCAATGAGCTTAACGAATTTTTTGTTGGGCGCAATACCAGCCGCAGCGTCGAAGACGGGGACAAAGTCAGTCGAGTTGACAGTGCTCATCCTCAGCGTATGCGGAAACTCCCTAGCGGATAGTGAATTTGCCTCCCCTTAAATAACAGGGTCTCTGATCACCAAAACTCCATTCGGCCGGGGGGTGATGCATCAGGCCAAGCACACAGTCTGTCAGTGAGTGGCCCGTAGAATCGCAGAGGACCGTCATAAGTTGCTGGCTTTTCGACGCGAGCGATGAAGTCGACCACCAGCACATTATGAGTTGGAACACGGGGCCGTCTAAGTAAAATAACACCGGCGACAAAGTCGTCATACACTGGCACCGTCATATTGCTGATACTATTGCATCACTAATATCACTCACGTAAGCTTTCCGTTCAGTAGAAATAGCCTTACCACGACTTTGACAGCACCGAAACGAAGGAACGATGTGCCGCCGACAGACAGTTGTCATAAAACCTTCCACAGCACTAAACTTGTCACGGATAACCTTAGCAAGGGTAGCAAGGCAGTTGGTGGTGCAGGAGGGATTGTAAGCATCCAGATTAACGCCGCTACGAACATCGGCGTAGCGGTCGAGATGATGAGCACCTTGGCGCCACCCTGCAAGTACTACAATTAATATCTCGTCACACAGACAACAACTATGACAGCATTTTTCTATAGTTGCGAAGACACTTTATGGAACGAAGGATCTCGTCCCGATGACAGTAAAGGCGAAACTTCCGAATTTGATGGTGCTCAGAAGCCAAGGAATAGCAGAGGGATCCTTCTCAGAAACCGCTGCGATGCATCAACGAGTTTCCCGTTCTTGGCTTCAATAGGAGCCTTGAAGCGCCAGTACCTTGAGTCAAAAAATACAGATTTCTGAAATGACGTGGGCGTGAGTACTACTCGCATGTACCAGAGATCGATAAGAAGATCGGTTGGGGTAATGCCCAGCTGGTCAGACCGCATTAGTGACGAAATCCGTGCTCACCTATTGACAGCATCTACGTCGACCTCGCTATGAATCAGAGCGCTACGTCGGGCGATGCGCTTAATGGATGCCATCTGAGCTGTCTACGGTCAAGACCCACTACATTACTCTAAAATGAGCCCACGAATCTGAAAAAATGACCCATCAACTTGCTAGTCAATAGGTTTGCACATATATCCGTTGATTCTTATTTTTTAACCTGGCCTTGCGCCGAAGCTTCTGTGGAAAGTACGCAAAGGTGCGTACGTTTGGTCGGAAATAGACAAAACGACGAATAGCGTGACAGAAGAAAAGGCGGCTGCAGTCCACCTGAAATACGTATCAGCATGACCACCAAAATCCTCAAGTAAAGATCAGAAGGAAATGGGGGTGTAATAACTCTAAATCCAGGGTGAATGAATTGCATAAAGATACACATCATCATTTCCAACTTGGAGCGTTTCCATTTTTATTAAGGCCAATAGGAGCATAACTTGGAGAAGTCGCACTCGCAAAATACCGAGTGCGAGGCGGCGCCCGTGCGCAATCCCCACGCGGAGGCAACCCTCAGCAAGTTGCCTTGCAAAGAACCACGACAAATCCCTTTTAAAACCTCCACACGCTGGCGATTAACTGTCCTGCTCGTCAATATGGCAATAGACTGGCAACAACCCTTACCCTATGTGCCCAGACCACAGTGTTTATCACATGATAAATGTTCTGGGCGAAAGTCTGCACCTTGATATCACGATGATCTTGGACAGCTATTGTGAAGGGAATGGCATGATGCCCGAGACAGCTGCAACAAATGAACAGGATGGAGAGCCATTGCGCCAACCAAGGTACGAGGCGCTCGGCGAGGGAGGAAGGATGCTTCACATGGTCTGTGTCTTTATGGTATCTTCCTCCCAAAGATCAAGGACCAGAAAGATGAAGATTCCTGCTTCTGCGAGAAGACCATCCGGGCTTGCAAGATGTTACGGCATACTATTCAGCAGAGAACTCGCGCACGAAGCAAACCCTCCCCGACAGCGTATCTTCGCCGTCAGTAATGATTAAATCACCATCACATCAGCTAGAATCCAAGCACCTCATGGTAGGGTCCCCTAGTTTGAGAAAAGCCGGGAATTGAACCACTGGGACATAAAGAGACCCATGATTCTTTGACACGAGATAATGGCCTCTTTGACGAGGTCTGGGTCAGGTCTTGCCCGAATGGGGAACCGTCTTATCATGGACACCAAAATATTGATCGTGGTTTTCAGCACAGCATGCACCACATGAAGCTAGTCACTCGACTACTAAGAGCCTGTTCCGACTCGGACGCACAGGCTCCTATGTAAACAAATAAATCACAACAACCAAAACAACCAAAAGCTACAAGCCTGCGTTCGATTCCCAATGTGCCAGTTCTCTCACAGCCGCCGCTTACGGATCAGAATCTTTACTAGTACTCAATTCCGTCGCGTTGTGCACCCCTGAATGTGCAATGTGGGAGCCGAGATGACTGGACAATTTTCTTGTGATTATCCCACAACAGTGGACGAGAAAGATTCTGGATGGGATGTTTGCCTTAACATCTTCAAAGGGCACTCCGATGTAGTCAACTTAGTTTCGTTCCTGAGGTCCAGGGTAACTTCAGCATCTGGTGACGAGGAATTGGTGACGGGAAAAGGGCTCACCAACCTAGTCTCATCTAATGGTCCAGGGTTGCCTCAGTATCCAGCGATGGGACTGTACGAATATGAGGAAGTGACTGAGGAAGCAATTTCCCCTTCCCAATAACACTATATCCACCTAGAAGACTGAGCAACTCAAACAAGCCCGTACACCAAGCAATGTCTAAATTCATGACAACATGATTTGCCACCTTTTCGGGGGCTCATCGTGCTGCCCACATCTCATACAACTTCTCCGTCTTCGCGGCAGTGACCCCGATTCCACTACGGTAGAGGCGCCGACCAGTTTCCTGGTGTTCCACACCGCATTTTCCGCGTACCATCTCTCCCCACCTTGGTTCTCCGTTCTGGATTGTAGTTCCACGAGTCTGAATTGTTTGGTCTTGCGTTAGCTGTATATACGCAAAGTCAGCCCATCTCCAGTCAATGCCCAGATTCGGATTTCAGTCACCATGACCCTTTCAATCGATCCTAGATTTCCTTTTAGATTGGAGTTTAGTCGATCCATTGTTAGGGAGACCCTTCATCATTTCGCGCCATGATTGATCTCTGTTCAGAAAGCTCGATGTTCCGGTGCTCCGCCCAACTTTTCGGCTTTCTTCTTGGATCAGATGGCCCCTTCGGAGACGAGCCCTGACCGCTGTAGAGGTAATGAAAAGGATCCTCGTCTGCGTTTCTCTTCCTTCCCACCTGGCTTGAATCTTCTTTTACTGCACACGAGTCCCCTCGCATCTCGCCCAATGGCCCTCTACTACGTAACAGCCCTGTCATACATCGCAGCCGTCTTGGTCGTGATACCATCCCCTTCTCAATGGCGTACCAAGAACATTCCAACCTTATCAATCATTGCGTGGTTATTTATAACCAACGTTTTCCAAGGGACAAACACAATAATCTGGGCAAATAACGTAAGGGTTGTAGCGTCAGTCTATTGCGACATTGGTGAGCAGAATGAGATTACTACTAAGTTTACGAAAGCTCTCGGAGGGCTGATAGAGGACGTGTCGCGGCCCCTACAAGGTAACATGCTATGGATGGCTAGTACTTGGGGATTACCAGCAAGCACTGTCTGTCTCACTCGATACCTTGCGAGCGTAACTTCTCCAAATTATGCCCCTATTGGCATTAACGAAAGACGGAAACGTTTCTGGTTCGAGATGATAATGTGTGTTTTTATGCCATTCATTTTCAGTGGTCTTCGTGAGTTATATCCCAGGTCTGAGTTTACTGCTAATGACGATTATATCTGAGCAGACTATATTCTGCAGTCCCACCGGTTCTACATTGGTGAGTGCATCTGATCCATGGCTTAATTACTACCCTGACATTTTCTCTCAACCTGCAGAGGAAGATTTTGGTTGTAAGAGTGCTGATCACGTGACTTGGGCAGCAATCTGGCTTCTCCTTGCCCCTACCTTTGCACTTTCCATCGTTTCCGCAATCTTTGGTGGTGCGCCTCATTTCTTCACTGGGCCGCAACAACCGAGCCCTGACGATCCGGGCTAGGCATTTCGGTATACCGGTTGGCGCGATGCCGCATGAAGTGTCGCAAGTTGTTCGCTAATTCGGCTTCTGGGCTCGCCACTAGCCAGTACTACCGACTCATGGCGATCAGTTTGCAATTGGTCATCACTGACCTCATTATGAAGCTATATGTCGAGATTTCCGAAGTGAAAGCCTATGGTATATACCCTTGGGTTAGCTGGGCGTATGTCCACGAGCATTACGACGAAATCCCGACATTCTCCAAGGGCGATGAGAGCCGGGTGGGTTGGATCAACAAAGTTGTAGGATCTATTATTCCCGTTACCTACGCTTTCGCGTTCTTCTTTCTCTTTGGGTTTGGTGAAGAGGCTTTTTCCGATTACAGAAGGATCTGGGCTTGGATCAAGACCCACATTTTCCGGGTGAGCTCTTCTGCCGCGGTGGTTGCGGAACGCGGAAACATGACCCACCCAAATCTAGCTGGGTATGTTGCTTCCCTGGAAAGAATGCTGAGGGGATTGTAGCTGACGTTGTACAGAAGATCGGAGGACTCCTCTGCGTAACGTATATAGTTATCAAGGGCTGTCGAGTTGGCTGAGGACCCAGCGTAACATTGCGGTGCGGAGGGCAATCTCAGATTCCTGGATGTATTGCTGAATGTAAAGAACAGTATCGTGTTTGGGGAATATTAAATATGGTCCAGGATGGCTAATGCTACCTAGTCTCACATCACCGTCGAGATAGCGATTTACACTTGACCCACAACCCGCCAAAAATCTGGACCCACCTTGGAGTTTCGATCATACTTTGTCGCTTAATCGAATTTCCAACCTTCCTGTCAAACTTCTCGGGGACACATTCCCGGGAACATCATCGAATCATGTACATGCAAGAGTTGAATCAATCAACGGATGCATGACAGAACACTATATATGTAGTACAACTTGATTGCAGATGCCATCAATATATCATTGTCCTGATCATCAGAATTCCTCCATTCCGCACCAGGAAATGACGCATCGGACCGGTAGCTATGTAACCTCAACCGCATCGTGCTGATGTACTATGCACTCGTGGATGGTCAAGTACACCGAATGACTCCCGAGGGCCTATATAGAAGCAAGGAGCCTGTACGTACATGTAAACTCAGGGGAAAACGATGATATCATTATTACACATATCTAAAACAGTACGAATTTCTATTTTCAGGTACTTTCATCCTGCGTACTCCTTCCTCCCAGCATTCGAGAACGTTCCGATTTTTTTTTTTAAATCCCGGGCCTGAACGTCATCCCTCGTCCTCGTCGTCTCCTACAAGTTGCTTTTTCTCGCTTGAAGATGCAAATGGCACATTCAGCAACGCGTTCGTATCCGTGCATGATGAAGCGTTAAATTCGTGTTGCGATTCGGTCGGTCGGTCGGTCGTGGAGTCGATCAATTTTTTAGTCGATTGTTTTCATACGGTTGGTACATGCAACACCACCATGATCATCATCGTGATAGAAGATGGAGCGCAACACATAGGGAAGTGCAGTTTCCGTCATGATGAAAGGATTTTTTCGAGGTGGTTCAATTCAACGGACGGATAAATACGGGTCAAAAGAGAGCGCGGAGCCGATCGGGAAAAGAGATACGAGAAGAAAAGCAAAACGTGAACATCTAGTATCAAGAAGAATGTGAAATTAAGCCTTGCCAGCATCTGCCTTGGCGGCGAAGACGAGGAGATCAACGACCCGTCTGCTGTAACCCCACTCGTTCTGAAGAAGTAGGATAATGGAAACCATCAGATTCCTGCCCCGTTAAACCATGATAACGTTCGAATACTTACATCGTACCATGCGATAAGTTTAACAAAGTTCTTGTTGAGCGCAATACCAGCCGCAGCATCGAAGACGGAGGACGAAGTCTCGCCGACAAAGTCGGTCGAGACGACGGCATCTTCAGTGTATGCGAGGATTCCCTAGTGGACAGTCGATTTGCTTCCCCTATCTCCTTACACGTAGTCAAGCGAAAACATACCTTGAGCTCATTCTCAGAGGACTCCTTGATGGCGGCCTTGATTTCGTCATAAGTCGCCGGCTTCTCAATACGGGCGACCAAGTCGACCACCGACACATCTTGTGTCGGAACACGGAAGGACATGCCGCTAAATTAATGCTAATAAAAATAAATTACTAACCCACTGAGAAAGAACACTCACGTAAGCTTTCCGTTCAAAGTAGGAATGACTTTGCCCACGGCCTTTGCGGCACCGGTGGAGGAAGGAATGATGTTGCCACCGACGGAACGCCCGCCACGCCAGTCTTTGTTCGACGGCCCATCAACAGTCTTCTGAGTGGCCGTCGTAGCATGGACAGTTGTCATAAGACCTTCGACGATGCCGAATTTGTCGTTGATGACCTTGGCAAGAGGAGCAAGGCAGTTGGTAGTGCAAGAGGCATTGGAGATCTGAAAGGCGACGTAAAGCAGTGAACATCATGTTCAGTCAGCAATACTTACGACTTGGTACTTGGGGTCGTAAGCATCTAGGTTGACACCGCATACGAACATAGGCGCATCGGCCGAGGGGGCCGAGATAATGACCTTCTTGGCGCCACCCTTCAAGTGAGCCGAGGCCCTACGTAATCGTCAACATCTCGGCACATGAACAACGATTACAACGACATACTTCTCCACGGTTGTGAAGACACCCTAGGGAATGAAGGATTTCGTCTAGTTGGCATAGAGAAAGGCTGGAACCTGCGTACTCACAGTCGATTCAACGATGTACTCAGCACCGGCAGAACCCCAAGGAATAGCGCCGGGATCCCTCTCAGCAAACACTGAGATAGGCTTTCCCTCAACGACGAGCTTTCCGTCCTTGATTTCGACAGAACCCTTGAAGCGTCCATGCGTCGAGTCAAACGTGAACATGTATTTCTGAAATGATGTGCCAGTGAGTCTCGTAAGACCAGGTCGTGCCCCTGGAAAGCGCTACTCGCCATGTACTGGAGATCGATGAAAGGACTAGGGGAGATCGGTTGGGGTAATGCTCAGATCGGACCATTATCGACGATGATACAGGTTCGCTCACTCGTTAACAGCAACAACGTCGACCTCGCCATGAATCAGAGCGTTACGAAGGACAATACGTCCGATACGGCCTGATGGAGGGTAACGAAGCCGTCCAAATGATCAATATTCATCTTATGACTCGAAGATGAACCAACGAACCGAATCTGGACGGGAAGGATTGTAGTGAGGAAGCAAGCAACTTCGCGATCGATAAGGCTTGTATACATACCCGTTGATTCCTACTTTAATACCCATGTCACTGGCTTTGTTTTCGAAATTTTCGAGGAGAGTAGGTAAGAAATTGGGTTAGGTTTGGTTGGGGGGGAGAGAAAAGTAAACCGGTGGGACCAAGATAAATACTCCTACCTCAGGCGGCGATTCCCACGCACGTGCGTCGCTCACATAGACTCGAATGACTCCCCGGCCGATATTCAATAACGAATTATCGGCGTGCTAGATGTAGGCAGATGACCCAGCGGCTATGCTGGATGGTTCGCTAGCACCGGGGATTTTGGTCATGAAGGAATCATGGCTTGCAACGTAGGGATTCTGTACAAGGCAATCCGCTACCTAAGCGGCTACTAGGCAGGCGGCCAGCCTCTATAGTATAGAAGCGACTATAGTACTCGCGCGAGACCAGATGTAAGCTAGAGACAAAAACTGATAATTTTTCTGAACGCGCGTCCGTCTGCGTATTTATATTTATACAAAATGAAACAGCGGACCCATTGTGCGGCTACGCGATTAGTAATGTCCTCCACATGAATCCTCCACATAAACGTTGCACAATATTCCTAGCTGCGGAACGCTAGGGGTGCACCATGATGCCGCATCGAATGGGTATCCACAAGGATATAATATGAAGTGAGTTACCGAAAAAAATTGCTGCAATGTCAAAGTGCACATGCTGCCATCGGCAACTTCCCATGCACCGCATGTGTCACATAACAGACTTTGCAGACTTTGCAGACTTTGCACACATTGCACACATCACACATCAGGCTCTTTTGTATTGGGAGCCGGCAATTGAAATTACTGTATTGTAGCGAACCCTGACTCATTGTCTGTGCACATTGCTTGCTGCTGTCCAGAAGGGTGTCAAGACTGTTTCCCACGGTCTAGACACACTTTACATAGTTGGATAGCCCCATTGAATAGCTTCTAGAATATATAATTTGAGACTAAGTTGACCAATAAATTATCGAGAAAAATGCAAAATACTTTTTTGGACGCGAGTCTGCAAATACTTGTGGCTGTCCAAACTCACTGTCCATGCACAATGCTGGCAACTGTCTAGAGGGGTGTCAGGACTGTTTCCCACGGTGTCAACACACTTTACACCAATGGATAGCCCATTTGAATAGCTTCCAAATTATATAGTTTGGGACTAAATTAACCAATAAACTATCAAGAAAAATGCAAAATACTTTTTCAGACACGAGTCTTTTCAATGTCTGTGCTCATGCTGACCACAGTCCAAAGGGGTGTCAGGACCCCTTTCCCATGGTGTCAACACACTTTACATCAATGAATAGCCCATTTGAATAGCTTCCAAAATATATAATTTGGGACTGAATCAGCCTGTTAGATACAGTGGGTTTGGACGGTTCCGGAATGGAATCGGAGACTTATTATGGAAGGACCTTGGTGTAAGGCCGGTTGGGGTGCTGGCCTTGGTGACTCCTCAACCCTCAGGCTGTCAATAATCTAGACTGTATGGAGCTAGTATTTCGACAGGGGGGGAGGAGAAGAGCTAAGCCCCTTTTCCCGACCCCAGACACTATATATGTACATACAGGTGTATTACATTGTTTAGTCCAAAGATTATTAGAGAATAAAGAATAAAGAGAATGCATGCCAAGCATGCATCATCCATTCCTGACACCCATCCTTACACTCTCCCCTTAGAACAACCTAGGGGTTCTCCCCTTAGAGCAACCCATAGGTGTTCTCAAAGAACTCCAGAATGGATGATGTGCACTTGGCATGCATTCTCTTTATTCTTTATTCTCTAATAATCTTTGGACTAAACAATGTAATACACCTGTATGTACATATATAGTGTCTGGGGTCGGGAAAAGGGGCTTAGCTCTTCTCCTCCCCCCCTGTCGAAATACTAGCTCCATACAGTCTAGATTATTGACAGCCTGAGGGTTGAGGAGTCACCAAGGCCAGCACCCCAACCGGCCTTACATGTCAGAAACTATGTTCGAGGGGATCGTGGGAAGCGGGGCGGAGTACGGTGGCGTAAGTGGTCACTTAGCTAATGAGCTACTCCGTTGCAAGGCGTCGAGGGGGTTGGGACTTCGGCTTCAACGACTTTGCCAGAGCGTTGCGCCACGCGTTCTAGGCTGTCCCGTATTTCACGTTAGCGGGAAAGACCTTGCGGCGACGTTGACTTAAGCGGGATGAAGCTGAGGGGCGAACTTAAGATGAAAGTACTTGGGGGGAATTCTAGTCGATATTCGAACTGAGGTACATCGACAGTAAACTACAAGTATAAATAGGAAAGGAGAACAGAGAAGGGACCGGTCGGTCCGGCGCGGGACGGGAACGAGATGATAAGTACGACAGAACTAAAGAGCGATGAGGACCAGGGTAATGGAACAGAAGAGATGAATGGAACAGAGAACGGCGAAGTTGGGAGGCAGAAAGGATAAGCCGACAATCTAGGCGCGCGGATCAGAATGTCAATATACGTATAAATCAAATATCAATAAAGGAATAATCAATTGTCAATAAGGAATGTCCATAAGGAGCGGATCAACGGCGACCATAACAACCGCTAGTTAGTTAAGCGAGTGAATAGAATAAAACGATACCGGCCGAATGGTTGAGGAACCCAAGTGGTGGCGGGAAAACGAAGGAGGCGCTGCTACGGGGCCGTAGAACGGGAACCACTATCGGTGCCGCTAAGTGATGGGCAATGGCGAGATTAACGGGCGCGAGTAACGGCGTAAGAATGGGGGTGCAGAAAGTGGTAGAGGGGCGGGGACTTTGCGGGGCCGTGACATTACACCAAGGTCCTTCCATAATAAGTCTCCGATTCCATTCCGGAACCGTCCAAACCCACTGTATCTAACAGGCTGATTCAGTCCCAAATTATATATTTTGGAAGCTATTCAAATGGGCTATTCATTGATGTAAAGTGTGTTGACACCATGGGAAAGGGGTCCTGACACCCCTTTGGACTGTGGTCAGCATGAGCACAGACATTGAAAAGACTCGTGTCTGAAAAAGTATTTTGCATTTTTCTTGATAGTTTATTGGTTAATTTAGTCCCAAACTATATAATTTGGAAGCTATTCAAATGGGCTATCCATTGGTGTAAAGTGTGTTGACACCGTGGGAAACAGTCCTGACACCCCTCTAGACAGTTGCCAGCATTGTGCATGGACAGTGAGTTTGGACAGCCACAAGTATTTGCAGACTCGCGTCCAAAAAAGTATTTTGCATTTTTCTCGATAATTTATTGGTCAACTTAGTCTCAAATTATATATTCTAGAAGCTATTCAATGGGGCTATCCAACTATGTAAAGTGTGTCTAGACCGTGGGAAACAGTCTTGACACCCTTCTGGACAGCAGCAAGCAATGTGCACAGACAATGAGTCAGGGTTCGCTACAATACAGTAATTTCAATTGCCGGCTCCCAATACAAAAGAGCCTGATGTGTGATGTGTGCAATGTGTGCAAAGTCTGCAAAGTCTGCAAAGTCTGTTATGTGACACATGCGGTGCATGGGAAGTTGCCGATGGCAGCATGTGCACTTTGACATTGCAGCAATTTTTTTCGGTAACTCACTTCATAATATAAGGTATTGCTTGGGAATCGTTCGAGGTGTACCTATAAAAGAATCTCTAAATTACAAACCGTTCCCATCTTCGATGACGTGACACAATCAATACTAGGTTCATATGTGATCATCTATTGGAAGAGAATCTGAGCAGACAAGCGAGTTATTGATACACCGCGTCAAGAGCAAAAGGTATCATCTGAGATAAATCCCGTATACATGTAGTACAAAGAGTGCGCTCCTTCCATTCAGCGATCCAAAGACAAAAAAAAAATAGCACTGAGGTAGTGAGAAGGTATCCGAAAGTGCTTGATCACAGCAAAATAATAAAAAATTCTAGTGCAGAGAACGGTTTTATGAAAGAAGGGAAAATGTAGAGTTGCAATGCACCAGCCATCCGAGGTTCGAGGGGGCGGTAGCATGGTTGGGGTTGAGGGGGGGGGAGGTGTCAAACGACGAATTTAAGGAAGTAAATGAATTTTAAGGTAATCCAAAGATTGTGATGTGGGCAAGGTTAACATACTAACAAAGGGAGTGGAGTTGAGGGGAACCGGGGCGGGGAGAAAACGGACGCCTTATACTGCACGGGGCGTTGATTCAGAAAAGTTGACATGCCGCCGAATCTCAGATTCTGCTTCGGACATGTAGAGGGAATCCCGGCCTGTTTCGTCGGCATCATTTGTCGAGGCTCTTCTCGAAAAGGAGACGTGGATCGCCTTGGCATCCCCTGTTGCGTCTAAGTGCGGCGGGCGTGATGGAGCAGGGATAGGAAGTCGAGGGGTGGGGGATGCGTCAGATAATGAGGCACGGGGAAGTTCGGCTGGTTTTGGAGCTTCGATGTCAACGTGAGGTGCAAATAGACTATCGTCATCGTCATCTTCCAGGCCACGCGCAGACTTGGACTTCCATTCCGTACTACGAGTCTCCGTCGTTCGAGTAGACATCTCATACTTGCCAACAGAGCCGATGGTTCCCTCCGATTTTCTGTGAAGGAATGTTCAATCGCATAATTCTCGGTGGCTATTCGCGGCAAAAGCACGTACGCAATAAAACTTGGAAGAGCGCTCCCAACCATGGTCGAAGGATCCTTCCGGAAAATGTGAACTTTGATCCAAACCCAGTTTTTCTTGTATTCCGAAACTGCCTCTTCCCCGAACGCAAAGAACAAGAAGAAACAGTAGGCTGCAACGGGGGCGATCGTAGACGTCCCCTTATTGCTGACTTGCAGCTCAGGAACAATGATAGCTTTGGGAAACTGATGGATTGCCAGAAAGTGCCAGTGGACGTACTCCCAGCTAACCCAAGGCTGTATGCCGACAAGCCTGATCTCAGTACACAGGACATATATGTTTAATCCTAAACCCCCAATGACTTCCGTCAAACCGAGACCCATGAGTCGGAGGTATCGGCTAGTGGTGAGTCCAGATTGAGAAGCAGCGAGCAGCTCACGGAACTGCGCACGACGTTGCATCAACCAGTACATTGCAATACCTGGTACAGAAAGTCTGAATCCAAATTTCCACCTTTTGGCCGGAATGTAACTTACTGGCATAAATCGCGGCGATGACAGAAAGAAGGATCGAAGGAAAGTAGACGAGCCAGACCGCTCCCCAGCTAAAGTATGTAGTGACTTGACAGCCAATTTCCTCCACTAAAGCACAGCAAGAAATAACTATGAAAAGGAAAATTCTGAGTATGTGAGATGTACTTACTAATATCGAACCGGTGTCCCTGATTTATGAAATCTATTCACAGAAAACTGTCAGCGTGCGGGAAACTCAGACGAGCCCGGACGCAACTCACGAAGACCAGCGTAAACGAACGGCATAAACACACACATAGTCATCTCAAACCAGAAACGTCTTCGCTTCTCGTCACGACCACTTGGCGTAAAGTTCGGGGAAGTTACACCCGCAAGATGGCGAGTGATGCAAACAGCACTCGCTGGCAGTCCCCAGTAAGATGCAGTCCAGAAGAAAACCCCTTGTAGTATCTCTTCCATGAGCCTCTCCGATTTATCCCAGATACTAACTACACTCACCAATGTCGCAAAAGACAGGTACTTTCACGACCACAGTGTCCGCCCAAAGGATAGTATTTATCCCACGGAAAAGGTTGAGTATGAACAACCAAGCCATCGTTGTTAATGTCGCAATGTTCTTAGCCCGCCAATGCCATGGAAGAGGTATAATGACCACAACAGCAGCGAGGAATGACATGGCCGTAAGATCGTAGCGAGCCATCTCTAGTCGGGTTTGGTAGGGAGGGGCTTCGCGTGATACTGAGAAACTGGGGGAGAGAGGAAAGATGCTTCGGGCACGCCTGCATCGTGCTATCTCTTTATAATGCAGATTTCTTTTCAGGGAGAAAGGATAAGAAGAAAGGGCAATTTCCTGCCTTTTTGAGGGTACCTTCTATTGGTGACATTCTCACAAATTCATCCATCTCTGGCACACTGCCTTTCTTCGCTGTTGACGATGATTGAAGAAGATCTCTCTGCGCGGGTTGCAACATCGAACCCAGCGTCTCTCGCTCCGTTGTTTTATGGTTATCAAGGAGACAGTGCTGATATCAAAAAAGACACTGCCAAACTGTTGCACGTGGCATGCAGGGAATCAGCTTACATAAGATGATGAAAGCGTGCAATTGTGACTTCCTGTTTGGAAAGAAAGGGCCTATCGGTGTCGAACAGCTCGTCATGCTGATAATCTTCCCTCCCCGTATTTCGCACCGGCTCACACTAACATGTTTCCCTTGGTTATCTGGGACTTTGTACGTGCGCAGGACGTCGTTCAGATGCTCTACGAGACCCGAAAGCGGACCGGTCAACCCTTCCGACAGGAGTTTGCTGCTTATCATTCATTTGCTCAAAGAATTGCTGGGGCGTGTCAGCTGCTCACTGTTTGATTTCGCGGGCATGCCCGATAAAGCGTTCTCCGAGAAGGCCTTACCTGGACAATTTGAATTATTGTTCTGGAGGTGGTCTCAAAATAGATTAGATCTGAGAAGGGTAGACGGTTACCAAAGTTTCAACAAAGGGGAAAAGAGAGTCTTCGGTCTACCGTCGCCCGGTTACCGTGGATCTGACAGTGTGTCAGGATGCTTCATAAGAATTCTCCTCATATTGGAAAGGATCTTGGGGTTGTAGGAGCGTCTGAGGGTGATCAGGAGGCTGGGTCATTCAACCTATCTGCGCAATCATTCCATCCAGGTCTCGAGGCAGGACAAGGTTTCGCAGCTGGCATTCGCACTGATTAGGAAGGATTGACGGTGCAGAAGCTGAGCCCGTTCCTCTGCACTCTAACTAGTTTGTTGATGTCATTGGTTATCACTATGGTTGCATGTCGTTTCCTCCAAGAAAAGAATTTAAACGCTCTGTGGCATCGTTATAAAAACCATAGCTTTGACGACAGTATCTTGAGAACAGCGCCTAAGGATAGACACAGGAGTCCCGACGGGGTGCTGGTCGACTAGGAGGCGTGCAATAAGAAATCAATTGAGAATTGTCTAATTTAGTAGACTATCGAAGCAGCCTAGCTCTCGCCCCTTTGTAGTGCAGTTTGTCATGGCGAAATTGCCTTAACTGTAGTTACGGCGACAAACTGGGGTGAACGAGTGGTTTTCCAGCCCAGCCGAGAAGCTCATAAATTGTGTATGTGGACTCGACAGGAGCCGAGGCGTTGGGGGCCAGTTTCGGGAAGGGCTCGGTCATGCATTGAAAGCGTAGATAAATTGTGATGATAGAGCCACTGTTGTTGCACTATACACTGCTAGGCCCAAGGCTGATGAGCTTCGAAGAAGTCAACCACTACCCGCTTAACAAGAATGTCTATGTTAAGGCGCGGTTCCTAGAAGGCGAGCATTATTGTTTCAAAGTGGCACGGAGGGCGGATGTGAGGGAGCACACTCAGCAAACAGGTTGAGTGATACAAATGCCTTGGACCAGTACAAAGGTTGTAGGTAACCTAAGAGACATGCGGCGGTTACAAGCTGCGAGGGCTTGCCTAATACCCATAACTGCGTGCGCTAAGTATCCACAGAAACAACTAGTTTTCCTTGTAAGCGCGAACCGCCTGTGCTTCCTGAGGAAGCAGTTCGGAGATGAACTGCGGTCGGAATGCAGCGAAAAAAGGGTTGCCGTGACTATTAGGTAAATAAACACTTTAAAGAATCCGCTACAGTGGTCAGAGACTTCCGGGAGATGTACAGCAAAGGAAGGGGTGGCAAGGTGTGACAGCGCCGATGGGCGGTGTCTAGACGCGAAGGGAGACGAATTGCCAAATTAATCATCGGTCCCGCCCGTTGGAATTGATGTGATCTACAACTTCCAACAAACTTTGACAGATAACGACTCTACATCCTTTGGACGTCTCTCATTCCTCAAGGATTGTCCGCAAGAGTCACCTAATGGATGCATCATCTTCCCACTTGCTTCTGCCGGCAGTGCAAACACTCAAAGTTGCTGACGAAACTCAACAGTTGCAGGAGTCTGTAGGACCTCGTATAATCATCCAGGAGTCCGTACAACCCGATCCTCCGCGACCAATCATTATGCCTGTTAATTTTGGCTCTTCCAACGAAAGCGAAAACAATGACAAGGCAGGCTCTTCGTCCTCTCGTACGAAACAACGTCGCGTCTCGACTTCGGCATTGCCAACACTGTCCAATCCTGCAACCAGCATTAGTGGCTCGCCGTTCAACTGGACATTTAGAGACGAGATGGGGATAACCCCACGAACGAACCCGACCTCACTGCAGCCTCCCAGAGCTACATCAGAGCGCAGGGAACTGGTTGGAGGCATCAAAAAGTTGAAGCCACGCAAACCCGTCAACAACGATCCGGATGCGAATCAAGCTTCTACTTCATTTGCTTTACCCAATCCCCCGAAACGCGCGAAAAGGAATATGTGGACAGAGAGGGAAACTCAATATCTGGTCGAAGGTTGCAACATCGTAAGTTTGCTATCTCCTTCAATTTTATCTCAAGCTCAAGCCATTTTCGAATTTCAGCACGGAGTTGGGAACTGGAAGCTGATCTTGGAGGATCCGGGGTTTGAGTTTCAAGATCGCAGTCCTGTTGACCTAAAGGACCGGTATGAGAAGGAGACTTCTTCAAATATTAAGTTTCCTCAATCTTCATTGTAGATTCCGTGTTTCCTTCCCCGAGGCATACAAAAAATACTACCCGAACGCGAAGACCCACCTTTCGAACAAAACGTCTGCACTTGCCCTCGAAGAACCAGTCTTCGAAAGGGCGCGACAGAATAAGCGCCGGCCATTCTCGCCTGAAGAAGATGAAGCTTTAAGACGAGGTTATGAAGAGGTGTGGATTCATACTTATCACTAAATAAGATCGGATGACGGATTGCATGAGTAGCATGGAACTGTTTGGTCTGCCATTGCCAAAGACCCAATTCTATCATCTCGAAAGAGTACGGATCTGCGGGATAGATTCCGTAACGCATTTCCAGAGCTTTACGCTCAGGCGGGCTACAAGCCGAGACGGAAGTCAAAGAAGACATTATCGGAACCCTCAACTCCCGCCGAAGATCCTGACGCTCCACCACCGATTCTTTTCCCCGCGTTGTCTGGGAGGCAGCGTCAAATGTCTGAGGTTGCCTCGAGGCCTCTGTTAAAACTCTCTCGCCGAGCGAAATCACACAAATCTGTGGACTTTAGTGCCCCATGTTCGGATACTGATGATAGTTCAGGAGAAGAGGACAACACCCGACAAGTGGCCCCTCCGTTGACTCGAAAGAACAACGAACAACCACCTGAGCCCGCAAAAGGGGACCAGCTGCGAGAGAATGCCGGAACACCACTTCTACCTAAAGTGCAGCTGCCGCCTGGTTTAGAGCCAAACACTCTCGACCTGACATCCGCGCAACTCATTAACCCCCTTAGTCCGCCATCTGTGACACAGCACTTGAACAGTCCCAGAATCCCAGGATGTGTCCCTTTGCCTTCAAACTCCGTCGTTTCGTCGCCGTCCAACTTCATTACTGCTTCTAATGTCCGAATCGGCAATTCCCCATGGGGTCCATCCTGGCTGTCCACCAATCCGAAGCTCGATAATCAGTTCAGAGATTCTTTCATGGGTTGGCCCACTATCCCAGAGCACGGCGTATTCGACAGATATGATCTTTACTCTGGCCAAGCCGTCGGCCATGATTTCGCTTCTGAGGCGGGGAATAAACCGTCACACTCATACCCCCATTCTGGGGGAGGTTTACCTGGTTTTTCTCACCATCACTATGCTGGAGATCTGATATCTGGTGCCGGAGCATTTGAAGGACAAGATTTCGAATACCTTTCAACCACATCTGGTACATCTCATCTTGACGTTGGGCAGCTCAGTTTACAGGGGATGGATGAAGCCAGTGAAGCCTTCGGAATCGAAGATGCACTCAATATTGAGGATGACGGCTTGTTTTCCGTTTCACTCGAACGTCCCCAGACGGCGGAGCCTGGCACTTTTGGGAAACAGAGCGCCAATGGCTCAAATCTGGCTAAGAGACCGTCAACAGCGACGGGACCATCGCATACTTTTGGGGCTTCCCAACAAGGCGGCCTCACAACCTTCGGCAGACCGACAACTCTGCAGATGGGTTCCACGTCCACATCCTTCGCGCCCTTGACACAACTGGAAGGGTCACATCTCGCCCCTGCTTCCAGTGTCACGTCTTCGCCATTCTCATTGCAGTCTTCTCAATCCACATTCAGCAACCTTACATCTTCCTCTTCCGTCACTTCATTTCCGTTACCGCCTACATCGTCTATCTCCCCAGCGGCGCTATCAACTATTCCCAACCATGTCCAGCAATCATCATTTCAGCAATCGATATTTTCCCGGCCCACATCACACACCATCCCCACACCTCATATCACCGATCTGCTTCGCAACCCCCAAGGGAGCACAGACAATCACCGTCTTCCACCCACGCCAATCGACCCGCTTCTTTGTACGACTTCTTGCAACTAGATGGTTTAGGCACCATTCCATCATCCAATTCACCAACATTCAATTTTGTTGAACCCCTCTCAACCGCTGCGCTGGACCTTCACTATGGCCTGAATCCTTCCGCCAGGCTTTCCCCTTATTCAGGGAATCCCGACTTTTCGCGATTCTTCCACACAGAGCTGGAAGTATCACCAGTTCCTGAGAAGGGAATGTCTCTAGCAGAAACGGACCCGAATATAGTGTCCTCGCATCCTACATCGTGCGATGTTGGCTCTGTTGTAGAACAAGGATCGGGGTCCGGCCATCGACATGCACGCGGACAGTCATTCAACGTGGCTTCTACTGATGAATCCAATGGATCCACTTCCGTGGGGAATAAGCGAAAACGCGCCAGCTGGGATGGGAGGACAGCTTAGAGAGATATGCAGTCGTGTTTACCATACTTTTGTTCTTTTATGAGTTCACGGGTATCCATCGATGACCTTTATGCTTACTGCGTGTTCGGTGTTCCTAGAATCTACATTTTAGTACTCGTTTTAAAAGGTTACAGCGGTCATCCTACCAATATAATGATTTCGCCCGTGTGCACAATAAGCCATGATGACAGAACAAAAGACAACTGGCACATTAATTGGATCAAACACGCCCCGTTCTTCAGCTGTTTTTCCTTTTGTTCATGGTCGTATATAAGATGGGGTGTCCTACCAGAAGATACGTTTCCTTACGGGTTCCCTATTCTAATTATATTCGACCGACAACAGTATGGATTGCTTCAACGCTCTCGGTAACTTGTTGTCCCTCGACTTCACCGTAGACGATGAAGAAGAGGTCATCCTGGTCGACTCGGAACACAACCCCACCACTTCGAAGTCCAGCTTGTGCATCATTGCCTAGGAGGTATTGGCTCGCCCCGCTTCTGTTCTCATCCGTTTGCCTGTTGGCTGATCACCTTTTTAGTTATTCAGCAGAGTTATTTATTATCCGGCCAGAAGGTCGAATCTAGGCCCAGCGCCAGCACAGAACTCCTCAAATTCGTTCTTAATGAACAGTCCGCTCTTTCGAAAGACCTCTCGGTCACACTCAAGATGGGAGCCGGTCTCGCCTCAAGCATGAAGGAAAATCTAATATAATTACCATTAATCGGACAGCACGCTGCATTCTTCAATTCCTCGTTCTTTTTGTTTTCACAGATTGTACAGGTCGACACATTCATTTACAGGTTCATCCCATGTCGCATTGAAATTCCATCTTTTTTTTTGCTCGCTTGTGTCTGTTCGAATGAATTGATAACAATTCGGCCAGCTCCGGCTAAACAATAATAATGATAATTGAATTGAAATTCACATCACATGCTTACATTGTCCTGCTAGCTTTTGTTCAACGACTCGAACAACACGTTTCGATTGTTCTCGTCGTCCATAGTGTTGTCTTCATTATAAGGACTGTGTATAAAGGCGCTTAGTCACAGCATGTGCTAGCCAGCTTTCCTCTCGCTCTCATTTCCCATGGCTGCCGAAAACATTGCATTCGTTGCTCTCACCAGCATTTCGTTCGTTCTTGTACTACTTCCCTTCCCATGGCACTGGAGTGCTAGAAATTATGGAACCCTCCTGTACATGGCCTGGGTTTCGCTTGGATGTCTTGTATACACAGTTGACGCAATAATATGGAATGGCAACCTTTCAAATCCTGCTCCTGTTTGGTGCGATATCTCCACCAAGATACAAATTGGCATCAGCATCGCTCTTCCCGCGGTTTCCCTGTGTATCAATCGCAGACTTTACAATATTGCCACGATGAAGCATGCGACAGCCACGCCTCGTGAGGTGGGACAATGGGTCTATTCCTAGGCGTATGCTGTATTGCTCACAGTGATTAAACAGCGGCGAAATCAAATGTTCATTGATCTAGGCATTGGGCTGGGAATACCTCTTCTCGTTATGGCTCTTCGTAGGTCACTTTTTGCTCTGGCCTCACCCACCTAGGGCTCATTGCGGTCCACAGACTATGTTGTGCAAGGACATCGCTACAACATCGTGGAGGACATGGGCTGTGTTCCGTAAGTGTCTCTATTGACATTTTATCGGACGATGATCTCACTATCGCCTTAGAACTTTTTATATGACTCCAGTCACCGTAGTGCTCATTTTGCTCTGGGCCCCATCACTTGGGTTAATATCCATGGTCTATTCTAGTACGTTCATCCTCGATGCAACCCAAAGGGCAGTATTCCTGACTCCTGGTTCTAGTACTGTCAATACAAGCCTTTCTTCGGCAGCGCCGGAACTTCAGGAACGTTCTTGAATCCAACCCAGGGTGCCTTCACACCGGTCGATTTATCCGCCTTATGGCTCTGGCCGGCGTCAACGTGTTGTTTGACGTACCTCTCAGTTCCTTCGTTCTTTGGTCAAACACACGGCAAGGACTGAACCCTTGGATCTCCTGGGCAGACACTCACTACAACTTTTCATTTGTGCGCCCGAGTTTTTATTCAATCACTTCAGCTACTGACAACCCTTCTCAGATTGAATATGTATCATTGGACTTGACCCAAATGGATCGAGTTGCTTGGGCGTCCCTTTGTCTTTCACGATGGGTCTTGCCATTCGCTGCTTTTTTATTCTTTATCTTCTTCGGTTTCTCGGCGGACGCCGTGGAAGGATACAAGACCATTGGAAACGCTATATTGAGGCCTTTCCTTGCTTTTTCCAGGAGGGACAATGCTATTCGTCGTCCGGCTCCCTCCCTGGCTGGTTTCCACGGCATACGCATTCAACGAAGTCTCGATACGGACGTGGAGAGTGTGCCCGAAACAAAATTCAATCCATATGTAGAACTTCCGTCCCCTCCATTGGTTTCACAGAATAACTGGCCACCACGAGTCCCCAACAACCGTAAGTCCCACGTTCACTTTTTGGCAGGTTCCGCTAACACATGGTTCAGCATCACGTCCAGTTTCATCTTTGTCCTCCGACGGCTATATACTGCCATCCCCGCCTCTTCCACGCTTCCCTGTCACTTTCGATGTGACAGATTTGGAGGTTGATGAAGCTGATGACAGTGTGATCCAATCGTCCCTGTCGTTCCCCTTCCCAATCCCTCGTCAAGACCAGTCATCTCCTCATGGTGTAATATGGACTCGCGTTCGTTCTCCTACATCTATGGCGTTTTCTTTTGAACCTCGAGCGAGATCGTCGTCACTGTGATACCCCTTCAGCATGAGTATCGCCGCGTATAATCTTCCAGCTATTTCCTCACTTTCAATTGATCATAATCTGCTTCTATACCCTCCCTTCGGACTCAAGTAGCAGGTGCCTTCTCTTATGACTTCGATATGAATGTATCATGTGTAGCACATTGTCGATTGCTGTTGTATTTTCATGAATAGATGTTGTGGCTGTGTAGGAACAACAACGGAGGATCCCGATAGAACGCGCGTTCTCGTCCTCGACGCGTTGAATATTGGCTGTCGTGCAGACCAACCCATCATGTCATCGATCCATGTCGACAAAGTAGATTTGGCGACATATCTTGCCACCGTCGCCTCGACTGCCCCAACAGATCTCCAACCTTATTTTGAGAAATTTCGAACCCAGCATGATCGAAAGTATGATTTCCCAACTTATCGTTGAACCTGAGAATAATAACCGAGGCTCGTGGACCCGTTGGCAGACTGTGGCATCAGTTGACTTTGACTTTGGAGGATTTCCTTAATCAACCGGCTTCTGCACCTTACCAAATTGACTTGTTCAATAATTTTGTGCGAGACTTTGAATCGAAATTGAACCAACTAAGGTTGGTCCAGATAGCGGTGAAGTCGAGTAAACAGTTTGAACGTTTGTTTTATTTTTATTTTTCCTTGACTCTCCGAATGCGCTATCTTATGATGCTGTGCGGTTTGCAGGACCAGATGATATGCTAGAATTTCTCACCGATTTACTCTCCCGACTATCGAAGACCGATGCTTCTGAAGCATATGTTATGCTCCTTTCATCTCTCGCTCATGCCAAATTGCTTTTTGGTGATGCCGAAGGAACGAGAGTGGACATTGAAGAATCTGGCAAAATTCTTGACCAGTTGGATGACGTCGATCCTATCGTACATGGTGCATACTATAGTGTATCTGCAGACTATTATAAGGTGAACCGTGTCCCATGTGTTATAGTCTGTATCCCCCTACTGAGATGCTCACTGCAGGCTCGAGCTGAATATGTTCCATACTACAAAAACTCCCTCTTATACCTTGCATGTGTAAACCCTGAGGCGGATCTCTCGGTAGATGAACGTGTTACCCGTGCGCATGACCTGGGAGTTAGTGCTCTGTTAGGGGAGACCATATATAACTTTGGCGAGCTGGTAAGCTTACGCACCCCACGATCCTGGTGGAATGCACTAACCCTCCCTTCAGCTTATCCATCCCATTTTGGATTCACTCGATGGATCACGGCATGCTTGGCTGAAAGAGCTTCTCTTCGTCTTCAACGAGGGCAACATTGGGAAGTTTGAAGCCCTTGGACCTCAACTCCCACGGGAAGTAAGTCAAGCATCATTCCGCATACCTTTCACTAACCAGGGGTGATAAGCCTCTTTTACAAGAGAGCTATTCGTTTCTACGGCAAAAAATATGTCTAATGGCGCTGATAGAGGCCGTTTTCAAGCGGAATGCGCATAAACGGACGATGACATTCCAGATCATTGCGGAGGAGACCAAATTACCGAAGGATGAGGTTGAACATCTTATCATGAAGGCACTCAGGTAATTGGCGGTGCCTTTGACTTCTTCCAGCCCATCGTGTTTACGTTTTGGCTGTCTAGCTTAAAATTGATACGAGGGGAAATTGACCAAGTCGACGAAACAGTGAACATTGACTGGGTCCAGCCCCGCGTTCTGTCCCGCCCACGGATTGGGCAACTGGCCGATAAACTTACGTTGTGGATCGGGCGCTTGGAAAAAGTTGATGGTACGTGGAACTGATTTCTTTGTAGTCATTGCTAATGTATGTGTGTTTTTTGGGCACTCAGAGTTCGTTAAATCGAATAGTAAGCTTTTCTCTGCATGACACCTATCGAGGCAGCATTGTATTACCTTTCCTCAGCATTCGTAATCAAGCATCGATGCATCAATAATAATATAGCGGTTATATGGACTGTAGATGCCAATCTACTCTTCAGTGCCAGCGTGTATCGAGGTCATTTGACTGGAGCACCGTGCGCTAAAATAGCAATTTGCCATCACCTGACAGACACTCAGAAGGCACGCAGCCGACTCTGCTACTCATCACAGCTGCCCTTGGACTTGGCTGTAGACTTGCTGCCAATCTAGGGTTTGTTCCCCTTGGTGAATTCTAGCCCAGTACCTTCATTGCGGCTCTGGGGAAGCTAGCCAGGGTCCACCGAAGTGCCCAGTAAAACTCTGAGTTTGTGTCTCCTCTTTGCGCGCTCAGCACGATCCTGCGCTACGTTCAATCAGACCATGAGTTAATGGTAATTTGAAGCTGCGTGGTTGGTTCGCTCCAATTGGGTGAAGCGACAAACGAGCAGCCGTTAGCCGAAGTCGCACTCTCATGTTCATTTAGGTATGATAGCAAGAAGTCGATTTAGAGAGGTTCGCATTAGGAATGATTATGTCTAACTGTTTCGTTGGACGATCATGAACCGGGATCTATACAGGTGGCAGAAGTGGAATATCTCATATTTGCCGCTTGGAGTCATGCCATGTATTTTTGCTTCAACGTTTCCGACACGCACGATATAAACGACGGTTCCGTCCTGGCTATCAACAGACCCAGATATCTGGTGTACATATTGCACATGCATACACTTGACTTGCCAACTCCCCAGGGTGTTACCGTAACTGGGAGGACAATAGCACTTCTCTGCAAATCCACTTGATAGACAATAATGCCTATACGGAGATAGTTTGATGAACCCTAGATTACTTCTGCACTGACTTGCGGGCTAGTTAGGGTCTTGAGGGGGGATGGACATGGCTGAACCCAGCTGCGCCGCTCAAGTGGGCCTGTACTTCGCTCAGGGTGGACCATTCCGGTCAGAAGACCTAATTATTCGCATGAATTATGACACCCGTTGGTAATTTTATCAGCTTTCCAAGTCAGTGGCAAATACTCGCCTGATGAACAACGGATCCGGTATCAGGGTAGAGATGATGCTGCGTGCACAATATTCTCACGGAAGTTCTTTTGTTCTCGCGGATGGGCTCTATTTAAAACTTGTAGGACACTCAGTCGCATATCTGCGAAGGATCTGCTTCATTCTATATGCGTGAGGGAGGTTGTCGGTTGGGGAAATGGGCCCGGGACCCAGGCGGCCTTGTGAGTGCGGTAGCGCTCCTTTTTGTTTTTATATTGGGTTGGGTGCTGGTGTATCCTGTGTTTAATTGGCCGCTCTCGATGCTATATCTGCAGTGCGATGTCGCGAGGTTAGCAGAACTTCTTCCTCCCCCAGCCCTCAGGCTTTTATGACTGCAGAATTGACAGCATTTTCGGTGCTGTCTGGTGTTTCGATCTTTTTACTCCTCGCATCCCTTCCTGGTCATCTAGCGGCTAAAAATCATGCTGTTCTTCCATTCGCTTGCTGGTCACTTGTTGGCTGTTGTGTTTACTTCATAAACTCTCTCCTTTGGCAGAAAAATGCCCGTAACTTTGCACCGGTTTGGTGCGATATATCTTCTAAACTTCTTGTGAGTTTGGAGACAGGTCTTTCTTCCTCGACGCTGTGCATCAGCCATCAACTATTCGACATTATGACCAAACCATCACTCTTCCAGGGTGCCCGTGAGGTTCGCGTTCATCTAGATATTCTCTCGGCATTACTGACGTCAACTAGTTTCGTGGGGGAATCACTTATTGTGTTGGTTTGGGCATTTGCGCCCCCTGCATGGTTATGGTCATTCGTATGTATGCCAGTCCCTCGAAACGTTTAAACCCACACCACCATTCTAGACTTTGCCATCCAAGGGCATAGGTTCGACATACTGGAGGGCATTGGATGTGAACCGTAAGATTTACATTAACTACTGCAGTGCCAAGAAATAAGTATGAACGGGCTGAAGGCAGGTCGGCGCCAGCTAATCGGCTGATGACATCTCTACTTATCATCTGGCCCCCGGTAACAGGGATAGTCTCAATCGTCTACACTGGTATGAATATCTTATACACTATTAATGTTCCCAAGAATGATCCGTTTTAGTGCTATCTGCCAAAGCGTTCTTCATACGAAGGCGCATAATTCCATCGCATCAGATCTTGCGTCTCCCAGCTGGAAACAGCGCTCGTTTCGTTCGGCTTGTATCTTTCGTAATTATTCAGACTTTAATTCTCATCATTTCGACTCTATCACTCGTATACGCCAACTTCAAACACCGTTGGGACACTTCAATGTCTCAGTCGGAGCTTTCTACCGTGCGGGCTTTCCTGAGCAGAGGATCTTGGGTCTGATGGCTGATTCTCTAGGTGGTACTAGTTCCCCGCGATTTGCTTAAACAATATCCATCGGTCTGGCTTGCGATAAGGATTCATCGATGGCTACTGCCCTTCGGCAATCTGCTCTTCTTCCTGTTCTTTGGCCTTTCATCCGAATCCTCCAAATTGTACTCTAATATTTTAGGTACAATGTCAACGTGGTTATTTCGTAACCGCAACGGAAATGATGGAAGACCCAAGTATGTTCTCCAAATACTTTGTGTGCCGGAATATACGATTGAGAGAGTCAATGTTCATCAATAGCCCCGTTCTTGTGCAGCCGCTTCGTACTCTTGCAGAAATTAGGAGCTCTGCACACCTTGAACTAGGATTTTCTAGCCAAGATATCCTCATGGAACCGTGGAAATCAGCAGACAGGCATTTCCCCATTCCATCACAAGCAGCTTCAGGAGGGGTGCTCCTCGATCTGCCAAGGCAGGAAATATTCGACTGCTCCCAAAGTACAATATGCTTAGATGAAGAGATTCAGTTTGCCAATCATCCTGTTAACCGCCACCAATTTCCCCACGGCTTGGATCTTTCCCCATCTTCACCTTTCATCAGGAATTGTTAGTGGATTCCAATTCCTTTGGTTTTGCTTCATTACCCTTCGTACGTTCACCCCTCGTATTCGCGGTAATTGTATTATGGCTGTCTCTTTGCTTTTCCTAATGTTTTCGAGCGCAGGAAAAACCTAGCTTGAGAGTTGGAATTGTGTGATCGTTCGCTTGACTTTACGGTCATTTCCGGCTGACATAATCATCTCACCCTGATCTGGTTTTGTGCTCACCGCGAAGTGGACAGTGACCCGAGTGCCTTGGTTGACGTGAGGTTGCGAAGAGATTTACCTCGTGTGCTATTTTTCCGGGTTTCACGCCTAAACTTCTTGAGAAGCTTGCTTCGCGCTCAACCTTCATCCGTCATTAATCCCGACTAACGAGACTATCACAATGTCCTACGATACACTAGTTCCAACTTCTTTGATACCTTCACGACCTGCACCCCCCATTCCCCTCAAACGGGCTGGTGATGGCCCTTCCACTTCTTCTGTGTTCACTGCCCCGTCGTTCACGAGCCCAGGATCTGGTTATCACACTGCTTCCAGTGGGATCGGCGGTTCCCCTGACCGTCCTGGGTCCTCTTCAGCAAATGAGGCAGTCATTCGAAGCGGATATACTAGCGTTAAAGAGGATGGGTTCGCCAGCTGGCTCTGGATGAAGCGGTGGTTGGTGCTCAAAGAACTAGCCCTGACGTTCCATAAGAGTGAGGTAGCACAGTGACAGTCTGCTGAATGAGGATTCAACTCTGATGTCATTTGATACAGACTTCAGGCATCGGTTCAACTGTACAGCTCAAAGACATCACGAATATTGAACGGACGGAATTGAAAACATACTGTTTGTTGATTGAGACCAAAGATCGGCGAATATGGCTTAGCCTCAAGAACGATGAGGAGTTGTATGCCTGGCAGGATGACATATATTGTCGCAGTCCGTTGATGGGCGTGAGCAACCCAACAAACTTTGTTCACAAAATTCACGTCGGATTCGATCCCGTCACTGGCGCTTTCACTGTGAGTCGATTTATTGGTGTTGACAATCTGTGAAAATGCTCAGTTTTACCTAAAGGGCCTCCCCGAACAATGGACCAGATTACTGACATCCTCCGCCATTACACGGGAGGACTACCAAAAGAACCCCCAGGCCGTACTGGAGGTTCTCGAATTTTACACCGATCACCAAAAACGAGAGTACGAAGATTTTGGAACCATTCCAGTCCCCAGGGTCCCCGGCGGCCCTTCCAATTTGAGGGATGCAGCACTTACCGCTACCATCCCACCTGCAGCGCGTTTCAATGCTGGGACAGGCCTTGCTGGTGCTACTGCCCGTGGCGAGGCTTCCACAACAAAGAGCAGTGTAAGCCCTGCCACCCGACCACCAGTCAGCAGGGAACCCTCCAGATCTGCCATCACCAGGCAGGAGTCCGCCCCTTCACTCACTGCAGCTACCAAAGAGCAGAAATTACCTGTCTCGCAGCCAGCATCTAGTTTGTGTCATACTCTTAATCTACATCGCTAACCTTGATGGGACTCATTATCTTAACAGGGAATCCGCAGGCGACTCGTCCTGCGCCTCCACGACCCCTAGATGCGAATCGGAATGCATCAACAACCCCTAAACCGGTTGCCGGATCCGTTCCCACTTCCAACCTCCGTCGTCCGCCAGCCGAACCGTTCGCTTCCTCAAAACCCCCTCCGGACAGTCTGGAGCCAACCGTTCGTCCAAATCCCCCCGTGCGCAAAGATTCAATTCCCCAAAGCACCAATCTCTTGTCGAAGCCTGAAGCAGCTTTGGTTACGCCCTCTGAACTCCAGCGTCCACCACCGACCAAGAGTCACGCCCCAAAGAAACCGTCTGTTCCTCTTCCCACCGAAGATGCACCGCCTCCACTCGCTGAGACTTCTAACACTCCTAAACGCCCTCCAACACCCAAAGAGAATAAGGAACGCACTGCGCCGGAGGCTCCTCCCGTTCCTAGTGGTCCTGCCGCCGCGGCCCTCGCTCTAGAAAAGCCTCGTAAAGTACCCGAACAGCGGTACAGCACTATGTCTGAGGCTCAGATAATGGACAAGCTGCGATCCATTGTCAGCCATGACGATCCCAAAGAACATTATTCAACCATCAAAAAGATTGGTCAAGGGTATGTGATTGTGTTTTTCAGCATTCCCGCGATTGACATTTGCCAGTGCTTCGGGACAAGTATTTGTGGCGAAGACTCATGCCACAGGCAAGAAGGTTGCCATCAAGCAAATGGACTTGTCAAACCAGCCACGGAAGGAACTCATCGTCAATGAGATTCTTGTAATGAAAGAGTCGCAACACCCTAATATTGTGAACTTCCTTGATGCGTATCTCGTTCAGGGTACGAATCTTTGGGTGGTGATGGACTATATGGAAGGGGGTGCTCTCACTGATATCATCGAGAATAACCGTCTGGAAGAGGATCAGATCGCAAGCATCTGCCATGAGGTATAGTTGCTGCTTACCGTCTCAAGGATTTGACTTAGTGTCCAGTTCAGACTTGCAAAGGGCTCCGTCATCTTCACGACCAAAGCATAATACATCGGGATATCAAATCAGACAATGTTCTCCTAGATGCGCAAGGTCACGTTAAAATTAGTGCGGAAGCTTCGCCCCTTCGCGAACATGTCCTGATCATTCATCTTAGCCGATTTTGGTTTTTGCGCCAAACTCACTGACCAAAAGTCCAAGCGTGCAACGATGGTTGGTACCCCGTACTGGATGGCACCCGAAGTAGTCAAACAGAAAGAGTACGGTGCCAAAGTAGACATCTGGTCGCTTGGAATAATGGCCATTGAGATGATCGAGCAAGAGCCTCCATACCTCGACGAAGAACCTCTCAAGGCGCTTTATCTCATTGCTACCAACGGGACGCCTACACTGAAGGACCCAGAAAACCTCAGTAAGGAATTGAAGAGTTTCCTTAGTGTCTGCCTCTGCGTTGATGTTCGTAGTCGTGCCTCGGCTATGGAGTTGCTAACGGTAAGCGCTAGCTTGAAATCATTGGAATCACGCTAAAGTTTTGATCCTGACCCTCATTAGCACGAATTTTTGGGCAAGGCATGCGTATTATCTGGGCTTGCACCTCTGCTCCGCTTCAGGAATAAGCCGCCCCAATAAGTGCAGGCGACTACACTTTTCACTCATCCCTGTAATTTTATTTGGGAGTCCATTGTACTTTTTGTGTGTTATATCCCTGCATGATTCCGTTACGTTTCCTCCGTAATAACCTGATGCTACACATGGCTGTGATACAATGAACAAGGTGACACTAGAGGGTCAATGATACATCCGATTCCCTGTATGTCTTCTAGCCATTGTGCCGTATAGCGCATTTGCCTCTGAGATGCGCGAGTTCTGCAGGGCAAAATTGGTCAACTCGATGTCTAGACCCTCATTGAACGCATGGACAATTCCAGCGGATTCGACCCCTGCTGCAAGAGTGTCATTTCGTATGACGGAGAGGACAAACTTGCAAAGCTTAATGACGCGGAAATACTGATGAGGTGCACATGAGATCGTCAAACAGTCACATCGTACATACCAGTTGGACTGTCCGAGCGTAATGACCCTCGATATCGAGGTCCTCAGCGGATTCCTCGCGCTCCAATGCATATACATGTTGCAAGCAGTTGCCTATAAATCGAGGAAGAACGTGGAGTGATATAAGGTTCTTCGGAGCACTGGGTGAAGAAGCGGCTGAAAGGTATCTTAGCATATTTGGCAAGAAAAGCGAACGCTTGGAGAAGGGATCCACCAACTCAAATTATCTGTCCTCCCGTTCAGTAGCAAATTACCAATTAGATCAAACGATCCAAGGGTCGGAGGAAGGGAAGATAGGGCAACGAAATATGGTTCGAGTTCCGTGATGAAGTTCGCTTCGTTAGCAGAATGGTCAGTGGCATCAAAAATTCGTCTGATGACTTGAACGCAAAGTCGCTGGTTTAGACTTGATAGCTTTGGAATCGATGCGGGGCCAATTTCGCCCCGTATTGTGTCGGAGGATAGAGAATTCAGGGCAGCAATAAAGTACTAAGCTTGGCACATAAGACTCAGGTAGGACAAGGAACACCAAAATAGTGTACTGGACAACAAAGCTCACTCTTTGTTCGGAAAGGGAAAGAACACGAGTCTGGCATTCTTCGAACAAGCGAGACATCCTTTCATCATCCAGCACTTTTGGCGGTGATGTGGGGGTGTCCCTTTGTTTGGAAGATGAAGCAGCAAGAGAACTATCCGGCTCTGTCTTTGAAGCATCCGGCGATACTGTCTCAGCTGATTCTAACCCACCAGGAATCAAGCCATCAAGCTTTTTTTTTAAAGGTTGGCTTCAATGAAGAGTGAATTGACAGACGAATCACGCTCACGGTGCTTCCTTGGTCCGCTAAAATGACTTCCAAATACCGAAGAAGCATCATATCCCCTAGAATGCCGTCGGCTTGAGATGGATGCGAGGAGGATAATGCCCGAGCAGTCGACGACAAAATGGTATGGAAAGGGTTCAAGGATATGGGGTGTGGCGCGTATAGAGCATAGATCAAGTATAAACTGAGAATACGACGAGATGATCTCGTCCTCGAGGATTCCTAATTTCATTGCGGGATTGACTCAGGGTCGTAGCTTGTCACAAGTGAGAAACACCTCACAGAGATTAGAGTGTCCGAAGCGCCCTGCACGGTTGGCAGTAACTGAGAAAGAGCGATGTGAAAGTACTGATCCTCGCTGTAGAGACCCTTGAACTCTGCGAAAGCATCGCAACATCTTATCAATGCCCAGGCCGTTAGCGATTGTTGGAGGTTCCGATCCATGATTGGGTCAACATTCGCCACACACAGCCACAAGAGCACGAAATCAACATTTCAAGTCCAAGGCTAATTACTGTAATGCATTAGTATGGGAAGGTAGACAATTAACCGAAGCAGAAATACGGGTAATGTTCGAATTGAAAAAAGTCGAATGATTAAACGAAGATAAGGAAGTCAACGGCGAATAATCAAGAGATGGATGTACCAGCCCGAAGTGCAAGCACTTCTAGGAGGATAAAAAGTGGATCGTGATCTGCGGCCAAGGGGGGGAGGTAGAAGGTAATTATCGAATCGAGGACAAGAACGAGATCGGGTGGATAGTTTGAGAGTGACCGAGGAATAGATACACAGACAGTGAGGAGGCGGCTGGAAGGATATAGAGCAGTAAAGGAGGATTAATGTGCATGTGTGATTGGGATGTGGGCGCAAAATTACCGCCAATCACTTGCATGGATGGCAGAGTATCGTGGAAATCTGAAAATCGTCGCTACAGCACCGGGTAGTGAGCCACTACGCCCGAAGGCATACCATTCCCTGCGGGTATATCATGAAGATAAGGATTTGATGAATCATATGTGGTGTACCCGGTGTCCCAATCCGAATAGTTCGGGTTGGATGACCAGGTTTCAGTGAGGCGTTGATTGATAGAAGTTTGAGATACTGGACTGTAGGAGTAATTATGGTAGGCGGGATAATTGGGGGGTGTGGTGTTAGTGGTGTGGGCAGGAGGAATGGTATTATTATTGACAGGGATAATAATCGACGCTTCAGGGTTAGTAGGACAGGAGGACGGGTTCTCGTCGTTGTTGCATGCGGCTGGAAAGATAGAGACCGTATTTGCGGACATGTCTTGAGCAGGCGGCAAGATGGGTCGGGTGCCGGATTGGTCAAATGATGGCTGTAGGGCCTCACCGAGGAGCGCACCGTTTTGGTGTAGCTCGACTCCATGATATGACTGAGACGTCGACGGTCGGGGCGGAAGTGCGGTGACGTCCAAAAGGTTATGACTGTGTGGCTGATATGGAACAGAAGCGGACCGGGGACCTCCACTGTTTGGCAGCATAAAACCACCAACCCTGTCACCCAGGGGCGAAGATGAGGTTCTGTGTAATCCCTCGGCTGAAGCTGTATGGTGGATGCGGCGGAAGGGTAGCTCCTTAGTCGGTCTCATCTTGCGAAAGGAAGGACTTGAAAGCAGACCAGCGTGCTCCACAGCAGGAACCCCCGTACGAGACCCGACAGATGGGGTCTGATGGAGGTACAGAGATGGGTACAACCCACCACTGCTCTGAGGAGTATTTGGATACTGTGGTGAACCGGTGTGGGAGAGGTTAGTCGTGCTCAGACTATCCGAGCTTGCAAAACGGTATACAGGCGAGGGTTCCCGGCTGTGGCTAATTGGCTGCGTGTTGGTCGGATTGTATACCGTAGAAGCAGAGCCTGATGCAGGGGGCACACCTGCTGCAGGTGGGAAAGCCGCCGTGGTCGAACCAGTGATCGAAGCTGGTGTAGAGCTTCGTCGAGAATGGGAATACTCTGATATGTTGCCCACGCGGTCATCGGCAAGCAAGGGAGCTTCGGAGCTGAGCGGCCGAGGTTGAATTCGTGCTTTTGGTCTGGCCTCAATAGGTTCAGCAGCGGGCCGCTGCATTGAAGATCCTGCTGCTCCTGCTGTATGTCCTTCCGCTACGCCGCCAACACGTGAACCGTCCTGTGAATTATATGATAATGGTATAAATGGTGGATGTTGTAATTGATGTACCTGCTACAAGATTGTCAAAACGCACAGAAAAATTACAATGAGTTACATGGAATCAAGCTTCTGAAGGTTGACGAAATCGACGAACCTCCGCCGTTTGCATCTGCGGATGCTGCAGCATGTGCTCGCGATTCGAGAAACCTTGGGGTGAAATGCGCACCCTTGACATCACTGAATGATGGTAATTTCCACCGGTACTTCCTGCCCTGACTGTTGATGCACCATCAGATGTGAGTTCAACCACTGAGTCACCTCGGTAGGCATGTCCGTTTCCGTGATCACTGAAAGTAGAGGACGCATAACCGTCAGATGCTACTTCGGATTTCACGAAATCGGAACTGGAGCCACGGCAAGGCGATAGTGCACGTTCGGGAGAACAGTGTAAACCAGAGGTATTTGGCCGACCCTGAGAGCTAGGCAGCGGCTGCACCGGCGATTTTCGCGGCGTTGCGGTGTTCCCGACGCCGCTCCTGCCCCTTCTTCTCTTAGGTGCTTGGCCGGAGTCTCGGAGTGGGGCACAGGAGGCTGGACTCGATTGTCTAAATGCATGGTCCGAAGATGATGCGTTCTCCGGAACATGATGCGCTCGAGGGATATCATCATTTGCAGATCGTTTCCCCAAATGCGGAGGCGGAGGCGAAGGTATACTGTTGGGATGTGGATGGCTGATTGAGTGCACCGGCGGTGCTGGTTGCGTTCCCAACGAATTATTAAGATCCGTCGAAGAGTTGAGCTGACGCAAAATCATCTCCAGTTCCTCCTCCCCATCGACAGCGCCGTGAGCGTTCTTGTACTGCTCATAGAGCGGTTGTCGTGGATCGTATTTGAAGCTACGGGCAGGTTCTCCCACGACCACGGTGGTCGGTTCCTGTGGATAAAGATAATGAACATCGATACCGTTCTCCTCAGACACTTACTGGGAGAAACCTACCTGACCAACCTTCTCGCGTTTCAAGTCCCGCTCCAATGCATCCAGGAACAAATGGTCATGATCAACAGTGAACCTTTGAATTAATTGATGAACGGGAAACGCTGAAGTTAGCTTTGGCTTTGAGAAGCGCGGACGATAATTATCATACCAGTAGAAGACCTTCTGCTTCTTATGCGTCCTTATGCAACGATGTTTAAATAGAACATCAAGAAATTGTGACTATAAAGGGAGATGGTCCAGGCTTCAGCTATGTGAAGCGAGAGGCACAACCCAAAAAGAGGACTCGCCTTCGCTTCCTCGAGGGTAGCGTGGATCCCCGGTTTCAAATTTCGGAGATCAGAGAAGACGCCTTCCTCGAATTTCTTGAAGTTTCTCACAGGCCGACCGAAGGCTTCGAAGCGAAAGAGTAGGACTCGCACGATATCCGTACCCGTTATGTGGAATATCCCGTTCCAGTACACACAAGAGACGGATTCTCCGTTGGGTAAGAGGAAGGAGTTGAACCTTGGGGTTCGGTCCGGGTCATTGACTGGCGCATCCACCCAGTGTGATGGAGCGGTGGCCAGGAAAAACTTGAGACGATTAAGGGTGTCCATAAGGTCATTCTGATGGGTATTTGTCGTGAAAGGGGTCGCAGTGGACTCAGTAACAGTCGGAGTGGGGAGGATGACAATGTGAGACGAATTTGATGATGGATTGGACTGCCCAGAGTGCATGGGGTTGGCTTGGGAAAACCGATTCATTGCTTGCGCATGCGCGAGCGAGGGGGTTGCGAGTTATGAGTTGAAGCAGCTTTTTGGGATACAAATGTTTGAGGTTTAGGTAGGCAAGGAAAGGGTCCACGGGGCGAGACGAGTCAGAGTGCGAGGAGTTTGTGAGGTGATAGCAAGTTTCGTCAGTACGAATCTGCGCCTCTATTAACGCGTTCTCTCCGTATATTCCTCAACGCGTGTATAAGGTGAGGCAACTCTCGTCTCCGAGGCCACTTGAGGTATCTGCCGGAAGCAAACCCTGACACGGAAACTGCCGATTCCTTTCTTTTTCTAACTTTCTCTGTTCAGTCCTTCGAGTCAGAACACAGAAGCATAGCCCGCCAATGCCTCGCATACTCTACGTCTCCGGTTTCCATCCTTCGACACGCGCCCGCGACCTGGCCTATGAATTCGAAAGGTGCGTATCAAGCCGCCGCTCGCTCGAGCCTCACATAGCCTCAATTGAATTTTTGCTCTTTTTCGCAGGTTTGGGCGCCTCATTCGTTGTGACGTCCCCGCACCTCGAGGCAGCTCTGGTCGTACCCCGTAAGTCCAAATCTTCACTTTCCTTTTTCATCCCCCTGTTATCAGCTATGCCGCATATGGCGTGTACCCCACCGTTGCGTTTTTCTTTTTTTTTTTAAAAAAATTTGAATACGTCCGGACGTGGACTCGACGATAACGACCGACAGACGGTGATCCTTCAATATCGTTTCTTCGACGTTTCGCACTGCGTTCCTCTCGAATTCGTACGACTCGCACGAACGATTCGCTCAACGACACTCTTCCGCAATATTACATCACTACGACTCGTAGATATGCTTTCATTGAGTTCCGAGATGAAAGGGATGCAGAGGACGCGTATTATGAAATGTATGCAAAACTTTTTTCATTAATACGTGCAATACCCTCACCTCCCTAATCTAGGCACAATCGAATTTTCGAGGGCGAACGACTGAGCGTCCAAGTAAGCGCGAATCGAACTTCAATATACGCACCCTAACGATCATCACCTAAACTCATCCAGTGGGCGAAGAATCCTCCTTCAGCAATCTGGAGACACGAAAGACGCCGTTCGCCGCCCCCTCGCCGTCGCGATCATTCTCCTCGAGGTGATTACCGCCGGAGTGACCGACGTCGCTCCCGAAGCCCCGACCGTAATAATACTAAGCGCAGGAGTCGAAGCCGCAGTCCCATCGATGAAAAGCGCAGGCGAAGCGCAAGCCCCGACCGCAATCGTGACCGTGACCGTGAAGGTGGAAGAACTCCTCCTCGACCTGCTCGTGACGATCTCGAGTCAGGCCGCGACCGTGAGCGCCCTCAGACCCCTCCGTTTGATCGGTAAATTGTTGGGCAAAAAGGTACATTCGGAGCTGACAGCTTATTGAAATTTTGGTATTATGCAAACCATCGTCTTTTTTGACTATAACTTTTGAGACTCCCCTTCATACGCTATCTCCTACTTGTTCGCTGTGCTAGCCTTTCAATATACTATTACCCTTAGCAGTCAGATGCGCCCGAGTCGTTGACAAAAACCGCGCGAATGAGTTGAACTTTAGCCAGGCACGCCAGAAAAGGAAATAGTCCTTTGTGCGGCAGTTGCAGGCGTGGTGTTCCTTCTCCGCGCTTAGAGAACGCTGATCTTGCAACTTGAGGTTCAGCCGCGCGAGTGCACAATCTACACTGCCCGGCGCCCGCCGTCGCGCGCGCTTACAGAATTTGGAAATCCAGCTGTGCTAAGTCTGGTCCAGGCCACAAAGTGGACACGTGACCGTCCTAGTCACTTTCCTGTCGACTTCTCGCCGCTCTGAACCTCGTCGCTCTGAGCGGCTCAGCTTAGTACCCATAGCACGGCCAAAAAATGGCATCAAGTTCGGTGCCGGATTTGGTTGATATCGATCCATCTACATTACATCCTCTGAGCCCTGAGGTCATTTCAAAACAGGTAAAGCACATGTTGTAGCGATGTGGGAATCATTGAGACGGATCTACTTTCCTAGGCGACCATAAATCTAGGTCAATATTGGTTTTTGAGGCGTGAGGACGCGTATCTGATGCGATCGAGTGCTCATGCAGTCGTATTTTCTGTGTAGGGACTATTGGGCATGTCGCGCACGGTAAATCGACCGTGGTGAAAGCTATCTCTGGGGTCTTGACTGTACGGTTCAAGAATGAGCTCGAGAGGAATATTACGATCAAACTCGGATACGCCAACGCAAAGGTGGAATTGCATGTCAATGTCAAACGAGCGTGCTGACGAGATTTTTGTCTGTGTCAATTATGAATGAACTAGATTTACAAGTGCGAGAATCCAGCATGCCCTCGTCCAGGGTGCTACCGGTCGTATCGGTCCGACAAGGAGGATAATCCACCATGTGAACGACCTGGATGCGGTAAGAGGATGCAGCTATTGCGGTGAGTAGGATTGCACAACTATATGATATCAAACTTTCGTACTAAGACCATTCTCCTATTGCCCATCAGGCACATTTCATTTGTTGACGTAAGTTTCTACAGCCTTTCATCGAACAAATCAATGACGTGGACATCATGCGTCGATTTTATGCGCCGTTGTGAATCTTAGTGTCCTGGTCACGACATTCTCATGGCCACCATGTTAAACGGTGCTGCCGTCATGGATGCTGCACTTCTCCTTATTGCTGCCAATGAATCATGTCCTCAGCCACAGACATCAGAGCATCTGGCTGCAGTAGAAATCATGAAATTGGAACACATCATCATCCTTCAGAATAAAGTGGATCTCATTCGAGAAGATGCTGCCCTTTCACAGTACAAAGACATTCAAACTTTCGTCAAAGGTACGTGTCTGGGTTTTCCAGTCTACTCAACGAGTGTTCTGAGTTCATCGTTATCTCCATCCGTCCTCGTCAGGAACGGTCGCCGAGAATTCACCAATTGTACCCATCTCTGCCCAGCTGAAGTATAATATTGATGCCGTTAATGAATACATCGTCAAGCGCATCCCAATACCAGTCCGCGACTTCACATCTACGCCCCGTCTCATCGTTATCCGATCGTTCGACGTTAACAAACCCGGCTCTGAAGTCCACGATCTCAAGGGGGGGGTTGCCGGAGGCTCCATTCTCACTGGTGTCCTGAGACTCGGAATGCAGGTTGAGGTCAGACCAGGCATCGTCACGAAAGATAATGAGGGCAAAGTTCGGTGCCAGCCTATCTTCTCAACCATTGTGAGCTTGTTAGCAGAGAACAACCAGCTCAGGTTTGCGGTACCGGGTGGATTAATCGGTGTTGGGACGTTGATTGATCCTACGCTCTGCCGAGCAGATCGATTAGTGGGACAAGTGCTCGGAGCAGTTGGGCAACTACCAAAGATCTACACTGGTGAATACAAACATGGAGCGAAGCTAAATGCGTAGTTTGCTCACTTGCGATTCAACAGAACTGGAAATCAGTCTCTTCTTGCTTCGACGTTTACTGGGTGTCAAGACTGATGATAAAAAACAAACGAAGGTGAAAAAACATACCTTTATTCCACTCATCCCAATGACGCGGTTCCTCCATCTAATCAGGTTCAAAAACTCGCAAAGAACGAGGTATTGATGGTCAATATCGGCTCAACATCCACGGGGGGGCGTGTGTTGTCGACGAAAGGAGACCTAGCAAAGATCATCCTCACGTCACCCGCTTGTACAGAGATTGGCGAAAAAGTCGCACTTAGCCGGAGAATCGACAAGCACTGGCGTTTAGTTGGCAAGTTATTCCTACTGCAGTCCCGTTGACAGCTAATCTTTGTCGATGCTATAGGCTGGGGAAGCGTGAGGCGAGGGACAGTGCTGGAAGTGGAGTGATTGAGTGTATTCTAATCTAAGGTCTTGCCTTTAGACAGCATTTCATTCCCTATATTCACCGCAGAACCCTCCCATCCCGTGCTCTTCATCACCGTCTCATCTGAACTGTAGGTTCAAGTCTCAAACATATCTGTGCGGGGCTTCAGATTACTTGGGCTAGCATAGTGTGGGTACATGAATGGATCATTACAAGACTTGTGCTACACCGTCCATCTCGACATTAACGATCAAAGGGCAACTGACTTAATCAATCGTCGACAATAAGATCAAGCCCGGAATAGTCCACTCCTTGGAAATCACGATCTACTATTCGTCTTGAGCGCCGTTCGCGAACCGCAAGCCAAAGATGTAAAAGAGTGGTGGCATCTGTAAGTACAACAAAAAGTGATATTCCAACTGCGTTTCTCCACCTATACATCAAAGTCGGGATGAGGCAGTTGTGTTCATCATGCAAAATGTCTGTACTGACCATACTGGGTCCATTTCTCTTGATCCGTAAATGTTGTAGCCCATTGGAACCAGTAAACCTGCCCAACCCGCTTTGCGCATGCCCAACCTACCGGAGGGGCGGCTTCGAGTAGAGTCTATGCCGAGGAATTGCCTGAGAATCGGGGAGTGGTGCGAGAGTTGTTTAAGACCCCTCCCGAGGAGGTTCGATAAGAACGGCGAGAAAAATGATGACAAAAAAACGCGCAGGAGATAGCCCTCGGTGAAACGGATGACTTCCGCTCGATTTTCGCCATTTCCTCCCTCTCTTTGTTCATTCCCTTGTCCTCCATTTTGTTCATCATCTGGTAGATCCTCAAACTCAGGTTCGTCCTCTACCTGCTGGTTAACGTCTAGCGGAGCGATAGCACCGTCCCGCTCGTTATCCTCATCCCTTTGTATTCGCAGTATGAGATCAATGCCGTCCCATATCGACCGCTGCCGGCGCTGTGACGGTTTGGCTGTTATCCACGAAGCTAGCCTTGACCAAACTAAGGGCGTCATGTCATCGGGTGGGAAATAACTACATTTGTGATCAGGTGCTTACCGTATCTGTACCCCATTCGGATATATGGCCATAGTAAGAGCGTGACCAGCGGGCCCGGAGGGTACTCCCGTAGTTGAAATTCGTTGATGGGGTCTGCTAGGGTGCGGAATGTGTGGGGAATGTAAAGGATGGGAAGGAGCTGTCATAGCACACGATCAATATCGACGCAGGAGTAATTTGACGGCATTGCTTACTAGTGTTACTGTGTTAAATAATCCAGTCGTTCCTAGAATTAACGTCATGGGGACAGAAACAAATTCCATCCCGTGTGCCGCTAGCTCCCATAAATCCTCTCCATAATAGTAAACAAAAGCTTCTTCCCCAAGGGCAACACGAAGAGCGGTAGCACCATATAATCCTGCACCAAGAAAGAACCCGCCGGCGATTACTAGATCGGGCGTTAGCCATGTGAATCGAAAAAACAGTGAATGCGTGAAATCGCACCAATATAACTAGCATAGCGATAGATTTTGGTGACTCTCCTGTAATTTCGATTCATGAAGCATAATAAGAAAGGCTTATTGCTCCGAATCATGTATTTTGTATTGCATTGTGGACACCGTCGACCCTTGGAAGGGTTAGCGTCACTGATATCGGCGCTTGACACCCAGGTAAGCAGGCACTATGGCACAATATGGGTTAGGTTCCCGGAGTTCAACATCTGGAAAAACCATACGGCCTCATGGGCCACGAGACTGCAACGACAGGCGTGGACCCATCCTTGCCTGCTTTCTGATCGCTTCGTTTGAGGCTCTGCTTCCCCGAGACATATCCTGAATCTGATTAGAAGTCATAATCAGGAAAAGATAGGCAGCCGCATACCAGCACGATTTGGTCTTTCAAACGAGGAAACAATGAGTTAGGCTCGCAATGAGTAAGCCAACTCGCCTTAAGATCACGGATTGTGGGCGGCCTGTCGTATGGCCAGAGTTTGCGTGTGCCCTGATTCTCTTGTGCCGACATCATACAATAATACACAATCAATTCGGCCAACTCCGAACGAGTTGGACAAGCATCACGTGGGGTGACAAACACTGCAAAACTTCAATCTTTCTTAGTGCATTCTTGGCATACCCTTCCTTTTTCTTCTCACCACTACCTTTTTGGGATGACGAGCGCGATAGTGGCAACGCCAATGGTGACCTCCGTAAGCCCAGACGGGACTGGCCAGAGGACTGTGGGTTCAAGTCCCACCGTCACCCCAACCCTTCCTTCTTTTTCTCTTCTCCACTACCTTTTGGGATGGTGAGGTGCAATAGTGGTAGCGCCAATGGTAGCCTCCATAAGTCCATGGGCAGGCCGGAGGAGTGCAGGTTCAAGTCCTGCCATCACCCCAACACCCTTCCGATTCATCTTTCTCTCCACTACCTCTTCGTGACGAGGCGCGATAGTGGTAGCGCCAACGATAGCCCCATATGCCGACAAAAAGTTGACTGCAAGGAATGCAGGTTCAAGTCCTGCCGTCACCCCAACACTTTCATTTCTCTCCACTACCCCTTCTACCAAAGGCCTATCTGCCACATGCCTTTATTCAACAAGCATGAGCAAGATGCCACCAACATCCATCGCCTTTCGCTGCCACTGGAACATTCACCAGCCTACCGTGACATAAACCCGTGAAAGCACCCTCCAACTCACCCACCCGCAAGAACCGCGCACTCAAACATTGACTTAACCATAGGCACACAGCAGCAAAACATGCGACCCCAACACTGGGGGTCGCGTGTCCTTTTCTCTATCCAACCTCTTTCCACCTCCATTCTCCCTCACCCGTTGTTCAACCTCAGTGCAGGGGTCGCATGCCCCTTTATGTGTTATTGCTTCATCTCACTTTATTCTCCTTCACACCATTGATTACTCGATGTCTCATACTTCCTAGGTCAAACAAATTCCTTTCTTCACATCCTTATGTTCTCCAAACTTTTTTCACCCGAGTCACTATAGTACGGCATATGCCGATAGGCACGGTTACGTACTCTAAAATGAATCCATCCATCCATCCATCCATTAGTGCATTCTTGATTTTATCCTGCCATTTATTTTCCCTGAATGGACCAGGCTCGTCAGTTACGCCTGTTGGAAATCAGCTTCGAAACGTGTATTTACACACTTATCTGGTGTGATCCCTAAATATGTATCGATGATCTGCCATGTAAAAATGAGGCCGCAGGGTAATAAGATAGATCTCTCAACACTGGCCCAATGGTGGCATAACCCTATGCATGTGTTATTATGACTGGCCCGATATGGACGTAGTGTGCTCCGGCACAGCAACGCAAGACCAAGGTACGTGCGACCAAAAGTTAGACAGTAAGCATAATTATCATTAGTTGTGCATTCGGTACTTATAAGCAGTATAATGAGGCTATACTGGAGGGGTCAAGCGACGCACAGATGCGTCGGAGTGTTCCAATAGAGGCTGGTAACCTGCTTAGTCGGAGCGTGGGATACTGCACATCTGTCCTGTGGGAGCATGTTGTCAATGACTTGTATTCCAACAGTATGTTTCCTTCACGATAGCGGAGTTTTCCCTGTTACACCAGTACTCAATCTTGACGGCGATAAGATGACTCGCGTTATAGCCCCAGCCAAACTAATCATTATGTATGAGTAGGTGGTTAATATGATTCTAGCAAGAAACCATAGCCTGAACGCTATGCCAACACGGACGATCCACGCACACACATTGAACCGTTTAATCGCCAGGAGAGGGACGATCATCATGATCTGATCTTGGATGCGATCAACGCCTGGATCTGCTCTTTCTGGAACGCTGGTTGATACCCTTAGAGAGGGGCAGACTCAATACAGCTTGCTTGTTGAGAGTGAAGCGGCATCCTGAAACAGTCATGAGTACAAGTAGCCCATGGATTGCAATATACCTGCCTAAACCCATCATAAAGCCGCGCAGTCTAAAGGAGATATCAGTCGAGGCCCAGCCAAATACACTGCCTACGCACTTGGGGTAGTCAAGAGCAAGGTCAAGGGACAGCGCTTCAAGTGGGAGTGTGTAACGGTTTAAGCGGAGACAAAGCGCAAGCAAATGCGACGTCAACCGAATGCCCATCGTTGATGTTAGCCTGGGTATACAAACCCAAGTTATGAAGACGTAAACAGGTTGATGGGTCAAGAACATACATCCTGCGTGATTCTGATTGTTCAGTAAAGCGATCAAGAAGACCGTGGATAACGAGGCTCGGTATTCCATGCTGTTCCTCCAGTATTGCTCCTATTTTCCTTCGTCCGAATCCCACTTTCTGTAAGAAATGGCTTCTGAACGCCATCATCGAACAAGCAAACATGAACTCCCTCCTGCACAAAGCCTCATCAGCTGTACATTTTGCCAGTCACAGTCATTACACACGCACAGTGTGCTTTCATCGGGCGCTCCTGCGCCAAACAATGTTTGTAGGCAGTCTCTTGCCCAAATTGAACTTAAGTACGGTAACAGTTGAGCACGGTCGGCATTCGTATGAGCGGAGAGGATTGGTTTCACATCGAATGACTTGAGTTCCTCCGGCAGTGCAATATCGTCCAAGTTGTACACCTGAACACCCCCACGGATTAACACGGCAACCAAATAGTCCAAACAAATTTACAACCTCGCCTGGAATAGATGCATGAAGATTGGCACGAGGAAATGGCATGTGCTCATTAGACACTTTTCGGTGTTCCTCTGCATAATCATTGATCAACCATTCCCTGACAAACCCAAGTTACAACGCACCTTCAGTCGGGAGACTTGCGGTTCTAGCGTCCACGGTCTGCTGGAGATGTGTTACGTTTTCCACGGCGGACAAGTCCACTTGATTGCGCTGTGCTTGGCGAGCAGCTTTAACAGCTTTTGCGGCGCCGAATGCTTCACTTAACTCGTGCTTCTGCTGACCGGTCGTTAAAGATGGAGAAGTGGAATAAGTCAGAGCCTTGACGCGCTTTACAGAATGGGCCACAACATAGTGCGGAGCCGCGTGCAGGCGAATGACGCTGTTGTCTTTATCATAAATCCCGAGCATGTACCTGGCGAAATTTTATGCGTGTCAAAAATGCTCAGAAGAAATGGGTCTTACTGGCAGGTTTGATTCGTTGCTGAGCCATTTCCAGCAATGCTCTCAAATTCAACAGACTCGCTTTCTCCCTTGACGAAGGTGAAAGGCTTGAGCGGATCTCCTGCTGGAGGGGTGGATTTGAGTGCTCGAAACGAAGTGTCGGAAGGAGGAACGACGGCAGAATATGTGACTAATCCAGAATGTAAAATGAAAATATGAGCTCACAGCGAGGGTCCGGTTGGCATCAGGCCACATACCAAGAGCGGGCCCTAGCTCGGCTTTATCAGAAGGCACGATTTGTAGCCTAACATCACGTTTTCTCTTCTTTGAAGGCGATTCCATCACACCCAAACGAATGAGCCACTTGAAGAGAGTTCAATCTTTCAGAGTGAGCGGCAAGCTCCCCAATTCAGTCCTTGACGCCTATATTTCGACAGTCCTGGGGTGACAGGCACAGATTTCTTCTTTGGGCATTCGTTTGCGTTGCTTTTCATTGTGCATTAGTCTAAACTATTCGTCTGGGTTCTCATTTCCGCGCACTGCCTTGAAGAGACTCCTTGAGTGTCACATTTGATGCCTCGCAAGGTGCCTGCTCCGCCAGTAAACCCAATTCTCATCCCGGACCTCCCGCGGGCAGATGAACAGGCGCTTTCTAGCTTCATTGAGATTCCTGGGAACATCTACCAAAACTCTTCCCTTGGTAGATGGCAAAATCAGGACGAAGGAACCAGTTGTGACTGTGTTTATACCCCAGGTTCGTGCTACACTCCCATCTATCCCTCTTTCCATGGTTCGTTATACTCACTACGATGCCAGGCCGTAGTGAAAGCTATTTAGCATGTGGGGATGGTTCAGATTGTATCAATCGCCTTACTCTCGTCGAATGTATCGAAGGGGATTGTCCCTCTCGTTCACACTGTCAGAACCAACGGTAGATCATCGATGTGCCAACCCTTTTTTGTTGCCTAACGTTCAAAGTTCCGCGATAGGTTGCAGAGAAAGTACTATGCCCCGATAGGAGTCGTGCTAACCGAGAAGAAAGGTTATGGGTTACGGGCGGAAGAGGACATCGCGAGGTACGTGTCTCATGTCGCCACTTAAACTTCGGCATATCCTCAGTGCACGTAAACCGGCTCAGCGATTCTCTTATCTACGAGTACATCGGTGAAGTAGTACAAGAGAGGGAATTCCTAAGACGTATGCAAAAGTACGCCCAGGAAAGCATACAACATTTTTACTTCATGATGCTCCAAAAGGATGAGGTGAGTGCCAGCCTCATACAGGTTCTGAAGGGCTTTTATAAATGTTTGCATAGTTCATTGATGCCACCAAGAAGGGAGGTATTGGGCGGTTTGCGAACCATAGTTGCAATCCAAACTGCTATGTATCCAAATGGTTTGTTGGGAACCATGTGCGGATGGGAATATTCGCGAAACGTCGTATCTTCCAGTATGAAGAGCTCACTTTCAATTATAACGTTGATCGTTACGGGTAAGCGATAATCATCGTGTTCATCTGTAGCAATCTGATTTGCTGTTGTAGTCACGATGCTCAGGAGTGTTTCTGTGGGGAACCCAATTGTGTCGGATACATCGGTGGGAAAACTCAGACAGACATCGGAGTAATGGATGATCTATACCTTGATGGTAAGTTTGGCTCCTGGTCTGCCTATTAAATCTGATGGACGAGCAATCCTCTGCAGCACTTGGCATCACTGAAGATGTTGAGCAGCTCGGCCTGAAAGGGTCGAGACGGAGAAAGAGTAGGAAACTCGACGAGGACTATGTTGTATGTCTCCTTCGCATGTTACCTAAATGCAATCGTATCCGAATTATGCACAAACTAGCCCCCGCTCAAACCAATATCGGAAGAAGATGTCCCTACACTATGTCAGGCGATACGTGCGGCTTCGAGCTCGAGCAAGAATATGCTGCCCCACCTGCTAAATAGGCTTAAGGTGCGTTTTCGCCCCGTTGGCGCTCATTCATGCTTTCCAATCGGTTTTATAGGTAACGGAGGACACAAATGCCCTACGCGGAATGATGCGATTACGTGGCTTCAGTCTTATGACTACGTTACTTGGGGAGAACGAACACGACTTGAATATTTGTAAATCAGTGAGCACTTCCCATCATCTTGTAACTTGCAATCGTTAATGAAATCACCGCCTCAGATACTGGAGTCTATAGAGAGATGGCCCTTGCTGAATCGAAACAAAGTGGAAGATTCCAAGATCGAGGAACCCGTCAGAAAGTTGACAGCTTCGGAAGACAGCGCGCTTGCAGAAAAGGCGAAATCGGTGCGTTGTTCCAATTCATGGCCTCTATAGTCTCGGGAGTGAACTAGGTCGTTTTAAGCTTCTTGCTCTATGGACTTCATTGAGCACTGCGTATCGGATACCAAGGCGGCCGACAAGGATTGTGAGTGTCACGTCTTCCACCAATGCATGAAAATTGAGCTCATCTTCTGTCCAGCAAGATGAGGATGGGGAACCCATTCGGGTCATTGCCGTCACCGAACGCCCTGAAAAGCGAGTTATCACTGACGACGAAGCCTGGCAAGCACCAACGTTTAAGTTGACAAAGCTTGAAGAGCCTCAGCCATCCCCACTTCCGCCTGAAAGCCCAGCATATTTACCTACGTTCACATTCCCCACACTCGCGGGCCCGTCAAAAACTCAGTTGCAGGAGATCATTGCCCAGGCTACTCAGGCTGCTGCACTAGCTGCCGAGGCAGCACAGCGAGAAGCTGAGGAGGCTGAGAAGGAGAAACTTGTTGCAGATGCTGCAAAGGCCAAGGCAAAAGAGCGTTACAAGAAGAAGAAAACAGTAAAGAATGACCCAGGAACTCGGTTACTCAAGCTTGTGGGCGAGGTGGTGGTGAGGTACATGTCACGATATCGTGATCTAATGCACCATGACACCTTCAAGAAGCACGCAAAGGAGGTTTGTAAGCATATATTATATCGGAGTTAGTCGTTCACTCGCTTCCCACTCCAGTTGACGCACCTAATTACGGGCAAGGAGATGAAGTCATCTAGCTTCAAGGATGGGAAAGTGGAGTCTTTATCCGACGAAAAGCGCAAGAAGATGAAGAAGTACATCGAAGAGTACGTTCAGAGTGAGTACGATCCATATCTCTCATGCATCTGCTACGTACACCTTATGTCACCCACTTACTTTCAAAGAGCTCCTCAAGAAGCTAGAGGCAAGAGGGAAACTACTCAAACCGAGATCTAATGGTGATTCTAGGAGCATATCGTCCTCGAAAGATGGATCCACTCCAACCCTGAACGGACATGACTTAGTCAATTGTACCGAGTATGACCTGCAGAATTTTGTAGATGATCTGGTAGACGACGAAGGTGAAGGTCCCGAAGGTGAGGAGGAGGGCAGCTCCACGTCGGCGCCGCCCCACGATCACCGCACAGTCTCGAATACGCGTAGTCCTGTGATGTATTCGGGGTCATGACAGTAGACGTTGGGGGGATGTTATTCTACATAAACTTATTCGTGTTTCATACTATGGGTGCGTGCGTTTACGGTGCTACAATACATTGCAAGATTAAGGTATCTCAATGGTGGGTGTCGAAGGGTCCATGTGGTTTGGAACAGATTAAGTAGAGAATAACAAGTTGTTACTCGAATAAGTCCAATGGATCGTCCTCGCTCCCAGGATCTATTTTTCGTGCTGATCTCTTGACAACATTTCGGACCGTTCGGGCTGGACCATTACCACTTGGCACCGCTCTCGGCCCATTTGCAGCGGTATCTGGGGATGCGTGCGCCTTACCCTTCCGAACCTGCCACATTCATGAAAGCTAAGACAAGCATACAACGATAACGAGCCCATTGACGAACCTTGCTGCCACGGGCTCGAGGGACAGGCGGGCTAACGGTGTTCACATATGAAAGGGATACGGCGTCGGCCTGCCGGTTTAGCTCCTCCACCTCCTGGTCTTCGATGTTGTCATGAATTTCGATAAACGATTTTCTTTTCTTTTTCGGTGCTGGGTCAGCATTTGATATGGAAGAGGACCTGTTTCCATTCAGAGAACTTGCCAAAGTAGACGACACGCTAAAGGCCCTATTTAGTTTCGCCACGAAATGGAAGGGAAGATTGACTTGCTTGAACGAGGCCTTTCGATCAGGACCAGCTTCCACATTCGTGGCACTCGCCTGAATGGGAACAACATGGCAAACTTTATCGGGTTTCCCTTTCCGTGCTCTACTCAAAGCTTTGCTGTTGTTGCTGTCTGAGGCTTCCAAATCCGAGGTCAGTCGTCGGCCTCGGGGCGGACACTGTTCGTTTAATGACGGGTTATCTTGTCTCGCCTTGGATGCCTGGCTATTTTTCCGGCGTGTAACAGCTGCTTTTGGGACGATTACAGAATTTTTCGGACAGGCTTCGTTCTCCTCTTGGACAGGAGGGTCTGTATTACCCAGTGCTCTTTTCAGTCGCTTCGGCATTGGGATTATTCTAAAGTGCAATTTCCTCCGTGTTAGTTCCTTGCGATGTGTATTCGTCGATGGGCTCACATTGCATCCTCGTCGGAATTTTCAAGGTCCACCACGGCAGCCAAGTTTGGCAGCGCTTTTTTGGGCACGATGTGTTGAACTGAATCTTTGGACGATGCAGAATAAGCTTTCTTGCGTGGTGGAGGGGGGAGAGATAGAGTAGTAGAAGCGGAACGAGATTGCTGTGCCTTGGGCTGCAACCGTTTCCGGTGGCGGTTCCGAGTGGTGGTACTTTTGGCTGCCGTGACGGCTAACGGTTCAGGAGAAAGCTCATTCATGTGCCCCTTTCTCTTTCCCAGAGTCCGAGATGGTGGGGGATCTCGCGACAAGTGAGGGGCCTCTGAAGGACTAGTACTTTCCGCAATGGGCGAAAGTGCTTTCGAAACAGAAGGTAGGGATGAGGTAGTCTTAGTTCGCGCTGTCCTTCCAATAGACTTAGTATCACTAAAGTGGTTGGAAATATTGTGGTTGTCTTCGAGGGACGAACGGATTTGGGCTTCATCGTCGGAGGGTTCATTAGCGACAACGACACGCCCTCTCGTCTTGGGCAACGCCTGAGTCTGTCGCTTCTTTTCATTAGGGCTTCCTTTCCCTGAATGAAAGTAACAGAAGATGAGGCGTCAACAAAGGGAGTAGCCTGCTACTGTGGAGGTAACTCTACGAGGGCTTACTGTCTTCATCAAAACTGACACTTTTTCTGGAGGCCGCCGGAAGAGATGCGGTACCGGAGGGACCGTTATTCTTACCCGTCTTAGACTTGACGGTTAGCCCTATGCTCTTAGACAAGCGGGGGCCTCTAAGACCTCCGTAGAATGTTTGCTTGGAGTAACATGGTGACAAGAAGTGGGGGAAGCGGCTTCCACGATAGGCGAGAGCTGCTGGCAAGAGAGGTGAGAAGTTTTCGTAGAAGACTTTTTTCCCTTTCCCCTGCTCTTGGAAGGGCCCTTTATATTGAGATCGTCTTCACTCGTGCATGAACTTTCATAGTAGGAACGCGTCTGTAATGAGTTCCTTGCATGGGACCCTTGTTCATCGGCACCTAGATTGGGTTTCTTTGTTTTTACGGCGTCTTCTTCGTCAATATGGACAGGACTGGTGGAGTGTAGTGGCTTCTGACTGCGAGACCGTCCTCGCGGTGCCCTAGGAACAACTGCAACACAAAGTAGAAATTTTCAATTTCCCATCTAAGCTCAAGAAAGAAAGCCCCCCACAATCGCTGTCCGAAGTGGCGGTATCTGAGGCTGACCTGGCCGGGCGTTTCGATGAACGTGTAGCCTTCGATGCAGCCGGTGCAGCCTTTCGCCCAGTGATAGAGGGCGATTTCTTGGGGACTGAAGCAGAATGACCCCCCTTTCTCGTAGGTGGCAAGGGCTTTGTACTTTCCGAGGCTAAAAGTGGATCGTCAGACTCAGAGGGGGGGAGGTCACCCCTTGGTTTCCGTCGACCTCTTCTAGTCCTGGGTTGTTTGGAAGATGCATTCGTCTCATTGTCATTTTGAGATCCTCCAGGCTGTCGTTCTGAGGAGGCTTCAGCAGGCACCGTCGTAGACTTCGCCGGAGGAGGTGATCTCTCGGGCGAAGACATCGTCATGAGTCGTTCTAGCAAAGCATTCGAAGCTGTCGGCACAAAACGTCTGAACACCTTATCAGAGTCCTGCAGAACCACCTATTTTGTAATAACCACAGAACACTGACGAGCCAACTCTATTACGCATCTTGAGGGCATTGCGCTCTCTCCAAGTCAGCCCTTCCGACGGAGGAGGCTCTAGCATAACTCGATCACGCTCCATTGCTGTTCACCCAATAGCTCAGGCCAGATCACTTAAAGATTTTCCTCTAGGAAATGGTTAAATTCGATTTGAGTCTCGGCTTCGCGTCTGGCCATGCGCATAACAAGGACGGTTCGCTTGTTGTGGACGAGCGTGAGTTACTCTAAAGTGAGAGAGCAGGATCTTGGTTGCTTCAGACGTGTCTTCAGAGGTGCTGAAACACCTCAGGTCGAGACCCAGAGCAAGAACTCAAAAATGGAGGGGCTCAACTAAGTTGGGAATTCAATCTCGTGTTGATCACGTTACCTTGCTTCACAGAGCACGTCACGTGCCCACTCAGAGAGAGAGACCGGAGTTGTTGCGCTTGAACTCTAATAGAGGCTGGTAACCTGCCTAGCGCTGAACTTCAGTAACGCCCAATAAAGGGCTGAATTTGACACTCGTGCCGTCTATAGATCTCGCATTCCAAGTCTAATGGCCCGAGGAAAAGCGCGCGGACCAAGGAGGGGCGGAGGACATGCTTTTAGTAGGGAACTTGTACTCGGCGAAGATGGAGTCGCAGTCTCAAAAGACAAACGGTTGTGAGTTTGATTGGCACAACTTATGCTCCATATAGCAATGCTGAGCGCGAAATGATTTAGCTCTAAACGACGAGGTGCAGACGGCAGTGAGGGGGAAAAGGTGGAAGAGGAGGATGAATCTACTGAGGAGACCAGTGACGACGACGATGGTGTCCTCAATCCATCCACTTCCACTCCTGCGGCCTCCAAGGATTCAACATTGTCGCGCTCAGAAAAAAAGGCAACTAAACATGCGATCAAGAAAAAGACACAAGGTTTAGATGAAGAGGATGAGGACGAGGACGACGCAGACTTGATCAATCCAAACCGGCAACCCCAGAAGAACCTGAGAGCGTCTGATTTGTCCGCCCCGGAGAAAGAACCTTCTAGAAGGGAAAGGTTAGGGAGATTCCTGACTTGCGGGGGTAAAATAATTAATGGCCCTTGGTGTTTGTCTCAGAGAAGCGAAAGAGAAGAAAGAGGCCACAGAAAAATACAGGAAGGTGCGGATTTAAGTGTTTCGTTGCTTTGACAGCTTCTTACCTGTTTGGGTGACCTGCGCTCTTAGCTTCAGGCTGCAGGGAAGACTTTTGAAGCAAAGGCCGATTTGGCCAGGCTTGCTACAATTCGTAAAGAGCGGGAAGCGGCGGCGGCGAAGAGGAAAGCGGAGCAAGATGGTAAGCCCATCCTACGCGAAGGTGGAAATGCGTTGCCTTAACCACATGTTCAATAGCCAAGCAAGCGGAGCTGGAGGCCAAGCAGCTAGCATCCAAGCAGAAACGTTAGAGTCCCCCAGTCGCGTCTTTCCGCCTCAATGTATAATTAGGTGATTTCACGATGTATTTACTCAAGAACCTATACCCCAATACGTCTCGGAAGATTAGAGAGTCGATGGAGGAACTTTTGTGGGAAAGTGGATGCGAACAATCACAAACAGCTGCTAATTCGTTCCTTTATTGTCCGCGTCATCTGAACTCGCAACCCTGTGCAAAACGCCAGAAAAAGCAGGAGAAATAACTCCTTGCACAGATTCATCGTGCTCTTCTAATGGAATTGTCCCAGGTTCAACGACTTGCTCTTTGAATGCCAATCCAACTGTGCGAAGCGTGTCAGTGCTCGTGGGCTTGGCAACCAGGTGTCAGCGACTTACATAGCTCAGGCTTATACTTCCTTGCGGACCAATAGGAGGCAATGAAGCGGTCATAGTAGCCTTTACCGTACCCTATCCTATTTCCCAGAGAGTCGAAGGCAACGCCTGGCAAAATAATCATATCCAGGGTTGAGTTCAAGGCTAGTCATTTCATGAAGGCCATTTGTTAGCTAGCCGGTTGAGGGATAATGGCTGCGCACCATTCTCTCTGGGACCGTCTCCAGTATTTGATATCTTCCCTGGCTCCCGTATGCCCCACACACCAGGAGACAATTTGGACAAGTCGTCCAGGCTATATATTCTGAGCATCTCCATCACCCCAGAAATTTTCTCCACGCGAGGCACAAACAATCGCTTCCCTGTATTTGCACGAGGTAAAAATGTAAAGTACTACGCTTCGGTTCATGATTACCTCTTTTCAAAATATCCTCGATGACACTCGATGTGTCGACTTCTCCGTCGATCGAAAGAAAGCAGCTAATGGACGAACTTTGTTGGTACTCGGGGCAAGAGGTCAGCGCAAGAGCTATTTCCCGGGCTATTATAGAACTGTTAAAGCTGTCGTGGGTCGATTTGAGTGAGTCCCTGAGCATACGGTACATTGCAATTCTCTTTCATTGGGCGGGATGCGTTTTCTGGCCTCAAGGATAGTTGACCGTAGGGCCTTCTTTGCGAAGACAATTGACGACATCCTCATATAGATTCAATTCTGCTGAGTCCCCCGCAATTAGAAAAATGGCAAGAGGTGAACGAGATTACCGATGTTGGTGTGTATTTGAATACTGTACCAGTGGAAGTTGCCGCTACATTCCAACATTTGAATTGGCCAGGCTTTTAGGACGAGGTCTGCACACCACTGGTTTCTCGACCTATAACAGTCCGTTCTGTAACCCGAACAACAGTGGCGGAGGGTAAGGACTAAAAAATGACAAGACTTTTTAAAGCCTAACAGGTCCACACAATCTCAGCGTTGAAATGAAGTGCGGAAGACCTTAGCGAATGGTCATTTCTTCCTGCAATTATGGTGTGTTAGTGAGGCGGCTTCAAATCCACTGGTTTTCCCGTGCCCGATCCCAGCTTGCTGCGTCAATCTTTCGCTCTTGTGGCGTGCATTCAACTCCAAATAACCCTCATGTCACCGTCCAGTCCCTTGTCAGCATCTTCTCCTCCGAAGAATATTCAACCCGTCCTGTGTGGTCATTGGCAGATCTCATTAGTAAACCCGAAAGACAGAAGGAGCTACGATCTTTCCTAGAATCGTTGGCTGTTGATGAATACCAGTTTCTGCGTTGGCGAAATGCATTAGCTGCTCCTGATATGACTACTGCTCTCAGCGCCTTGGCGCATAACTTAGTTACCACCCCGAGCCTGTTTTCACCAAACCACAACAGCCCCTCAGCCGGTAAGAAACATTCTGCTTCACCCTTCAACCAGCCTTCCTGGCTTGCTCTTGCCATAGTCAATTCAAAGATACGAGGACCTCAGCATCTCAGCATAGCATATGAGTGGTTTCGATATCTCATCTCCAGAGACCATCACTCTAAGGCGCATGGCTCATTTGTCGCCGCTCTCATTGAAGCTGGCGCCAAGATGCAATTTTACTCTGGCCTTCCCATCCTCGTGAACAGTTACGTCTCCCTACGGCGCTCAGCATTCACAGTGGAGGATTTTCATCGGGTCATTATTGCCCTAGCCAACACTCAAAGCAATGGAGCTGCATTGAAATCCTCTGGCGGTAGCGTACTCACCGCAGTTATGTTCGACAAGGATACCCACCTCATTGATATCTTCGAGCGTATGAAACGCGCAGGATACGACGTAATGGGAGAGGATACGCAGAAGGTCGTGATTTCGATCGCTAGGCATCTTGGGTTGCGGGCTATTCGCTATCTCAGGAGACAGGGATCAGAAAAGAGTGGGAGACTCTCGTATTTGCTTTCTCGGCAAGCTTTATCTCAGTATGCGTCCATTGGAATGACTCGCCGAGCTGCGTCTGAGTTGGACTCTATACGTCGAGCAAGAATAGCAAGAAAGCATCCTGTTGTACCCGTTTCGTCTGGGTTCAACAAGTCCGCTTACACGGAGCAGCCGAATTCGGCGTCAAGTGCATCGGCGGTCAATATTAAGACCCGCGGGAAGATCAACCGTGAAACCATAACTCCTCTTAATATTTTATTTATTTCTTCATTTGCCCGTGACTCTCGATCTCGGGATCTGCACCGTTTCCCCCACCCATTATTTGCTTATCTTCAGCGCCTTCGCCTTCATGTCGACTCCAACACAAATATGGGGAGAAGTTCTGAAGAGCGACATCGTCTCCTCTCCACCTTTTTGGCAGCGTTATCCATGCAAGATGGGTTCTCGGCAAAAAAATTGTTCGATGTACTCGAAGGGCTTGACAATACACGTCTAGATCCCGCAGCTCTAGCATCCATCGTCAAGGGACTGGCACGACGGGGTGATGCTGCGGGCGCCCTGCGAATATGGGATACGTACATAAAGCCCCAGATACAGCAATCGTCGTCATCCGGCCCTCATTTTGCAAGTGCCGCTGTTCACGCTTTCACGGCTAATAACCGCCTTGCCGATGCTTTTGACATTTTAGATTCCTGTGGCAAACAGGGTTTGAACGTCCATGTTGTTTCAGATTTCGTCCGAAAACTGGCACATAACGGACGTCCCCATCTTTGTTACTATCTTTGGGACAACATGGAAGCCATGTATGGCATCCGACCTAATGATAGCATTCTCAACACCATTCTTATTACCGCCTCCAGCTTCAGCTCGAGGGAGCATGCAAGCAGAATGGTGGATTTGCTGGGTTTTGGTTGGTCGCGATCACGATCGGACTCCTCAATGCTAGCGAAAGAGAGCAAATCTCGAAGCCCCCAGGACCATTCCATCTATGTACAATCAGTGTTGAAAGGAGAGGTCGAGAGCGATGGTTTCTGGTGGCACGGCAGGCAGGCTTGGCAGAGAGCGAAAGATGTTTTCCGGGACGTTATACTAGGGAATTGGCCCGAACTGAATAATGTAGAGATCCCCGCCGTGGCGAACTTAGATGGTATGGCGCCTTTCATGCCTGGACGGCCGTTCTTCTTCCCAAGGATGCCCAAGTCAGTAAACAGAGTAGGCACAAAGGATCAACCTCTTCCCGTTGGACCATACTACGACATCATCCCATCTCGACGAAGCTTTGACGCATATATGCGCCTTCTCTGCGCTCATAACCTTGCGGACGAAATCCCCGAAACATTGGCATGGCAGCGCGCTCTTGGGATCGCACCGTCACGCCACACGCTCCGCCTTGCGCTAACCCGATTCGCTGAAGTCGGAGAAGCCCCTCCCATTTTCGAGGACGCTAAGAAACACATAGGTTTCAATTTTCAATCCAGCCCAATCGAGAATCTCCGAGCCTGGATTATTGATTGGGTTGGAAGGGATAATTGCCCCACTGAGAGGGAGCTGGCGATGACGAGGACGATGATTGGGTATCGGGATGGCGCAGGTACGCAGGGGAAAGAGAGTGATGAATGGAGGGAATATCAGGAAATGCTAGAGAAGACGAAGACTGCGTTTAGACGGAATAGGGGTGATCTTCGAAGAAAGGAGAAACGCGTGTCTCGGTGGGTAGAGCAAGGCTTGTTGAAAGCAAGGGCTCGCCGAGCAGTACGAAAAGCAAGGAAGCGTGAACTCACGATCAGGAGGGCGACCCTTGGGTGATGATCTGTGTGACCATGACAAGGTGATGACCGATTATCATTCTGTGAGTAAGGACCCGTAGATGCATCATATTGTGAGTTAGATGTATAATACAGTAGGGGTGTAATACGGGGACGTCTATGAACCCGTTGTAGATGGCGGAGTGTAGTCTTTTGTGAGGTCGATGTTGGCAAGATGGGTATTTTGGATCTTGACATGCCTAACTCGAGTAGTGTTCTTCGACTTCTTGCTTTTTGAGTTCTTGTTCGATGCCAATGCTGCCGTTCCACTGGTCTGTGCCACGGTTCGATTCATAGACGTCAGGACTCTTTCCAAATCACCCTCGGCGGGCCATTTGAGGCTTTGCCACATCTGTTGGAATTCTATTTCCCAGCAATCGAAGATTGATGATAAGAGCACAAAGGTCATTGAGAATAGTCTCCACTCACCAGACTCGATCTGCTTTCCTCCCTCCTGCGGAGGGATATCGTTCCAGAAAACCATTTTCGGCTGGCCATCTTTACTTGATCTGGTGACAAGTATAAGGCCTTCGTTCTCAAGCTCTTCTACCACAGTGGGTGCCCCATTCCATGTTGTCTTCAAGTGGTTGAACGATAAACCTCCGCCCCGCCGTGAGTGGGACTTTATTTCTTTGAGTAATTCATCTCTTGAAGCAAAAGATTCATGTTGTTGCTCTTGCTTCATTATGTGGGATGTGAGGGATATAGCGCTTCACTGTGATACATATGGAGTGAGGACGTACTCTATAGGTGTACAAGCCGTTCGTTGGATTCTTGACTACATTCTCGTGGGCTTCGAAGCGTTCAAGCAAAGTAGGATCCGTTTCTAATATATTATTTGTCATTATAGATAAATCCCGAAGGCTCATAGGCCCATTCCGTTTCTAGTAGATCATCGTCATGAAGTTGGGTTAAAGATCATGAAAGGATAAAGACTAGCCTTCAGCGTGCCAAGGACAAAGAACAGCTGCGTATTCGCATTCTTTCCTATCCCAGTGTCAAGGGGTTGGGAATAAACCGTATCTTAACGGTGGGGTAAGCATGCGAGGCTCAAGTCCACGTAATGACTGAAGCAGATTCACCATGCTTGACGCGTTTCTTCTTCTTGGGTGGTTGGTAATTGGCAGACAGTTCTAAAACAAGGCCTCCTGTTCGACTGGGGCCTGCACCTGAGTCATCATAGCCAGACATCACGCAGGACCTGCGCCTGAATCGAAGGGCGTGCTCTGAGACGCACGAGAGTCACGAGGGACATCGGTTTATGTAAGCGCCGCCGGTGCTTGTGACGCAATTCAGCAGACACGTCTCCACAGTCACTATAAAGCAGCGAGGTCAACCTCCCAACATCATCGTTTCCTACTTTCTATCTGAGAAGATTTAAGCATGACTGTGTATTATACGTAAGTTTGCTCAACATATCGTCGAGAGGACACTGAGCACATGCACTGCATCTCGACAGTCTCACGTTCTTCCTCATGGTTGCGGAGGCATGTTAAATTCTGGGACTGATTTCCACCCGCTAATGCCAAGATTTGGTTAAGATGGCGACGTTCTGTCTACTTGTGCTGCCGCTCCCATTCGCAGTTCGCAAAAAGATGTTCAAATTCCTCAACGAGAATGTTCTTGTTGCCAAAGTAGGATGATTCTTGCTGCCAAGCCAACATTTCTTTCTTACGCTTCCCGAAGCTGGCTTATGGTCTGAAGATTGCGTTCATGTCCGTCCTTGTTACCTTCTCATACATGCCAGGTTCTGATCTCACGATATCCCAGATTCGTTGGGATATTATTCGTTGGTACGTCTCCATTCGAGGGGCTGCGTGGGACAACAGTTTGATATTTCTTGAAGATGCTGTTCAGCGTATGTTACGTCTTCAAGGGGACGGGCAAGGCGAGGGTACGCGTGATGTCCGGACAGAGACTAACGTTGCCGCCCGGAAATTCTAGTACGTCGCTCATGCGGATCTGTATGTCTGATAGAGCATTTCTGACCCGTTGGAAACATTCACAGCGCCCAACGAAATATGTACCTAACTGGATTCACCCTTTTCCTCTCCATCATCCTCACCCGTACATTTTTCATTCTTCTGGACCTTGTCCATATCGAAGAAGAGTACTCGAAGTTAAAGAAGGCGGTATGTTTGGCTCAATTTCCATGCTTCTATCCAGAGTTTGACCACTTTGGCGTTTGTCAGACTGCTAACAATTCCAAGTCCGCTATCGTTTCGCAAGAACAAACCAAGCAGATCGACGAATTGAAGGCTAGGATTGCTGCCTTACAAAGCAAGGAAAGAGACTTTGGTGTGTGCTTCTGCACCATTTCACTGATTGACCGCGGTCTGATCCCATGTCTGATCTGGATCAATGATAGATACGCTAAAGAAGCAGGCTGATCAGCAAGCCGCTGAATACAACCGGCTCGCTGACAAGTACAACGAGGCGACGGGGCAAATTTCCGATAAAAGAGTCGATTGAGAGCACGGAGCTCCCTGCACTCCCTGCATTCCCTGCACCCCGAGCGCAGCTGCTCGACGAGCCCTACTTCGTGTCTAGGCCACGAACTGCCTTGACAGTTCTATAGCAATCTTTCTGAGCTGGCTTCTACTATTCTTCCATCAGATTGTGTAATTGATAGTTAATACCTACGCATGCTTGCCTTTCCATTCAATGAAGACTAATGTCCGCGACTGCTGAGCAGGCATTAATTGTGACATAAATGGTCTCACCTAAAGATACCTGGTTTTGCCCTGTTGGAACAAAGCAGAAAGGGGGAACGATCCTGCCACCAGCTTGTAGATGGAAGGCATCGCTAGACATGGTGGAAATGCCATTCGGCAACTTCACTTTTGCTGCTTTAACATGCAACTGTCCAGGTTTGATTATCACGCCGGCAGGGTTCGATCCAGCCGTAATATTATATAGAAGAGAATGCGCGGTTCCAAGTCGGAAGATTCAAGAAAGGAGGACTAGAGAATCCCGGAGGATTTTCTGGGAACCTTGGCAGGAAGCGGATTCCCCTGCTGGCTCTTGGTCTTTGTACAGTGTCCTTGAAGAGTACTAGTGTGGGTCGATCGGCGGGCATCAAGACCACTCGGCTATCTCCGAGTACGCGCCCTCAACCACCCCAGCCATCAGTACACGGCTTCAGACCTGGACGTTGACGGGCATTTTAGGGCGCAGAAAAACATACCTCCCTACGGTTCACAGGCGATCTTTCGATTGTGAGTATATGCCTGACCGGATCGCTCGCTCGCATCGCTCGCGCCGCGAAATAAATGCTGAAGAACGCGTTGCCTTGATCTCAGGAGAGCTTTTTGACATGTCTGTTGTAACGATACGCGAAGTCGTCTTTCTGAACAACCCTGCACGCTTCTCAGATGACTACAAGTTTAACGTTGTGTTCGAGTGCATAGCACCGCTGAAAGATGGTAAGACCAAGTTTTTTCTTCCCTTTTTCTTTACTGAGATCATCTCTCCCTCGTTTCTTAGATCTTGAGTGGAAGCTTATCTTTGTGTCATCACCCGATAAGGAGAATCTTGATCAAGAGCTCGACGATTGCATGGTCGGACCCGTCCCCGTCGGTGTTAATTCGTTCGCATTCTCCTCGCCTGCTCCCAATCCTCATCTTATTCCGAACGAAGATGTGCTTGGAGTAGCAGCTATCATCCTCACGGGATCTTATCGTGATCAGGAATTTGTGAGGGTTGGGTATTATCAGAATACCGAGTATGATAGCCCTGAGCTGAATGAGAATCGGCCGGAGAATATTGTTTGGGATAAATTGGTAAGGGATGTATCGAATAAACCAAGGGTGACAAGATTTAGTATCAAATGGTATGCGTAACTCACTTGCCTCTATTCGTTTATGCACTGGGCTAAGCCAACTCATTATTCATGCGCTACTCCTCACATCAACAGGGATACAGATCATGGTTCTCAAAATAATCACACATTCCCAAACCAGCATGCTGCCCAGCCTCCATACTCGCTCGTCTACCCGCCACATCCAAACCCACCCACACAGCATCAACAACATCCATTGTACCCTAGCGCACAACCTGCCTACATTGCCGCACCTCCTGCTAGCTCGCAGCAACTTCCTCCTAGTGCAGCTGTGCCTCCTGCTACTTGGACACCGCCACCTCAGTGATACCTGGGGCTCGTCGTTCTTTCCGGAGTCTGGTTACACCTGTATTTACTGGCTTTACCGCATTACACACGAGAATGCATGCTCTCTCTCCGACATTAAGGACTTTCTGCATGTGCACTCGTAGCACGACGGATGCGCGGTTACCAACATTTGAACAATCGATTTCCATAAATAAAAGAGTCTCTGCCTACATGATCAAGGAAACATATGCAATCATGAACCAATATACATCATCAAAGAGTGGAAAAGGTGTAGACAGAAAAGCAATTCTGGGAAATCCGATCCTTAAGCCCCAACCCCCACCTCTACCTATAGCACATATGTCTGATCACGCACAGTTCAACACTTGCTAGATCCAAGGGCTGGCCGTGTAAGGCCCGTAGCATGGTTGTGCGTACCGTACGAAGCTCAAGGCGGGACACGACGCAGGTATATTCGTATGACGGAACGGGGCAAGACAGGTGGAAAGGAAGCGAGGAGAGGAATGATTGGGTTGGGAACAAGAAAGTTTGAAACGAACTGGGTCGGTGTTGCGTTCTTCGCCGTTTCCGTTTCTGCTTCCAATGACGATGATAATTATCCGAAAGACTTGTCGACTTGTCGTCGTCGTGAAAACCATCTTGTTTCCTTCTAACTATCGTGATACATGGGCGTGTATGTGGCGATTGATCGTTCGTTTGTCTCGTACTTTCTACTTTGTAAATCCTAGCGATACATCGTGGGGGGTGAAGGGAAAGGAGATGGAGATATAATGTGGTTCGGTCCGATCAATCGAATCACAGAGGAAATTAAGTGGGTTGTGAGGGGAGAGGGGAGCGGGGAACAGAAGAAGAAAACCGGGGTTCCAAGTGAGGAAACTCCGATTAATGAGTGTATGAGGGAAAACATGAAGATACATATTTGGCGTAGGAAGGATTGATAATGGTAGGGATAAGTTGATCTTGGTGAGATTTAGACCAGGGATATTATTCCGCGTGTTGTATGTCGTTAGGTTTCGAAAGCGCAAAGCGAAGAGAGCAACAAGGTGCGGGCACCAGGCTCGCAAGATAGCGGGGGTTCCAGAGAGAGGGGTGGACGATAGAAGAGCAAGACAGCGGCAAAGGCTTCGGATCGATGAAACGGATGGATAGAGGGTTGTGAGGCGCGGTGCACATGAAGAGGCGAAGCGGCGATGTGCGACGATTACGACGGAGTTGAAGTCGACAAGATAGAGGGAAAGTAAATAATATGTCGAGAATAAAGCAGATCACGGCATAGCATTTACTAGCATTCGTGAGACCGTGATAATAGATAAGACCGAGAGAGAGAGGAATAAATAAAGGTTATGACCGAATTGAACGAACGGAAACGACTGTCGAGAGGTGATCATGGGTATTGGAGTATAATGCAGACGTGGGATGTTGGGAGGATGCAACGCCCGCAAACTATCATCCTATACACAAAAGAACAAAAAGGCAAAGGGCGGTTAGCGACCAATCAGATCCCCCATGAATGATCAAGCTAACTTACCCAGGATCAAATGATGATGCAATTAGAATAGGTACGCCCCCACTGCTCTCCGTCGACCAGTTCGGGATATTCGGTCAAAACGTTAGAGTCGAATTCGAGAGGGAGAACATCGAATTCAAGGAAGGAATCGAATGAGTCCATTGCTAGTTGTGCGATGAGGGTGTTTGAGGTGAGTTTGGTGTAGGAAGAACGAAGGGTGTACGAAAGAGCGAAGTTGCGTAGTGAGTGGATAGTTTCGATATAGCCAACAGTTGTATCTCTGCTATGAGGAGAAGGAAGAGCCCTCTAGCGTGCACGTCCTGCGCAGCATTTATACCCGGAACCCAGAACAATAAGAAAAAGGCGAGAGGAGAACAATAACTAGGAAAACAACGAGACGAAGAGGACGAGCGAGCCGTCGAGAGTCAAAGCACGTGTCTCGTGACTTTTTGCTTGTCCTCGTTTTGTGTTCAAGACGAATATCAATAGTTTTCCCAAATAAAAATGACTGTTCTGTATGAAAACAAAAGAAGAATAGCAAGAGAACGTTCTTGAACACGTTGTTGACGACGAAGACAAGAAACCTTTGTTGTACTGCACAGCCACCACACTCCCACGTCCCAATAATTCCCACACTATTGTTCTTCTGCATTGTTGGAATGCTTATTGTGTTCAGGTCGATATATCGCTCGTTCTTCTCCAACATAATGTACTTTTGCCTCTTCCTCTCCCCCTCAGCTAGCTGCATCTTTTAGCAGCTGGTCTGTCGGCGCCAACCTTCCTCTCCTGTCTCTCGCACAACAATGTCGGCAGAACAGACTGCCTTCCAGGTCTTCACTTCTATTGCCATCGTTCTCATACTCCTCCCTGCACCATGGCACTGGAGTGCTCGCAACTGTGGAACGTTGCTCTATATTGGCTGGACGTTCCTCGCTTGTGTGATCTACCTCGTTAATTCGATCATCTGGAATGAATCTGTAGTGGACGTGGCGCCAGTTTGGTGTGATATTACTACCAAGTTCACCATGGGACTTGGCGTTGCCTTTCCTGCCGTTTCGCTTGCGATAAATAGGCGGTTGTACAACATTGCGACGATGAAGCATGTTGTAACGTCATACAAAGAGGTAAATATGACTTGATTATTGTCCTGAGTTTATTGTTCACCCGCGTATATTGTCCATTAGAAAAGGAAACAAACACTCATCGATCTCGGCATCGGTCTGGGGATCCCTTGTCTTGTAATGGCCTTCCGTACGTCCCCCCTCAATTTCGATGGCGTCAACCCAACTCAATTTACGTTCTAGATTATATTGTACAGGGGCACCGATTTGACATCGTTGAAGATATTGGTTGCGTCCCGTAAGCGTCCATGATTCTTCATTCTGAACGTTGCTAACTATCCATTAGGACAACATACATGACTCCCCCGGCCGTCTTCCTTCTTAGCATCTGGCCTCCGACTTTAGGTCTAATATCCTTCGTTTATGCCTGTAAGTATGACCGCGGTCCTTCTCATAGCGTCGGGCTAAAGCGGAAACTACCCACCCTCATAGCGCTGTCCATTCGCGCATTCCTCAAACAACGCCGAAATTTCAGTGCCAACGTCGCCTATACGTCGTCGATGAACGCCTCCCGTTACCTCCGTCTCATCGCCCTCGCCATGACCGACATTATATTTGATGTGCCCCTCTCAATTTATGTCACCTATTGCAACACCTACCAAGGTCTAGCACCTTGGATTTCCTGGGCCGACACACACTCGGACTTCAATCGAGTAGATCAATATCCCAAGGTTATCCTACAGTCTACTAGCCGTCAGGCGTGGAATGTGCTTGAGATGGGTCGATGGGCCGCCCCAGCTGCCGCGTGGTTATTCTTCCTTTACTTTGGGCTGGCAGGAGAGTCCTTAGCTGCTTATCGGAGGAGTATCGCATGGATAGTCAAGAAGTTACCTGTGCCTGAGAACTGGAAACATTATATTATGCCCGGGTCCAGGATCCACATCGGCAGCTCTCAGAAGGAGGGATTTTCTGCAAGTGGGAAAGGACCGTCAAAGCCTATTGGAGCCTTACCGCTTTATAGCAAGACTTCATCCATGGCTACGTCTCCTACACTCACTAAGACACCACCTTTCAAATCCTCCTCCTTGCCCTCCCCGCCTCTGCCTCACGTCATCAAAATTACCCGGTCTAGAGAGGTCGTTCTTGATGACATGGGTGGGGAGGAACAAAAGTACAGTATGCGCCAAGTGGATGTCAAGCTTACTTCGTCATGCATTACTTATTCCCCTGAGGAAATCTGTGACAGTTATGCGACGCTTCAGGGTACAGGGATCGCCATTCCTTCTCCTGGCGTGACGATCGATGCTCCGCGTTCGGAGTTGGGGAGTGGAGAGGGGAGGGGTATCAGTCCCTCGAGATTTGCTCAACAACAACAAATCGGGACGCAGCGCGTTCCTATGGACGTTGAAGCTCAACATCCTTCCGACGCCGATGAATATGTCGTTGGTATAGAAGATAGTTCGGACTGGGAAGATGATCGTGGAAGCATGACGGAGGTGGAATGTCATTATCGTCAGGGGGATGAAGAGAGCGTTCATACGCTTGCCCATATCATCGCTGATTCGCCTCTCCCCCTTCCACCATCTTATACTCCCTCACCATTCCACCGCTCCAATACCGACAGTTATGATGACGACGACGTCCTGGCACCCCCGCCACCCTCAATCTCATTTCCCGTTGTCTTTCCGCCTTCCCCTTTCCCTCTTTTGAACACTAACTCCAACAACACCAACTTCAATACAACCACACACAGTCGATTGGACGATCAATCGACCCCACTCCCATCTCCTCTACCGCCCGTCTTACTCTTCCCTCATCCACCCTTAAGTTCAAGGGAACATAATGGGAGCGAGGAGACGAGGAGACATTCTAGTCCACCTGCATTTTGGTCTACTTTTAGGTTCTCAAGGGGTAGTTTTGGAAGGAGACAGCGATGAAACAAACTTCCATGACAACAAACGAGACGATCCCAACCACACTTACGCTTTTTGCCTAAAGGGCCACTTTCCTGCGATCGGCGGACGAAAAATTTTTTCGTCAGTTCGAAGCAAACTTTGCTTGCTCTCTCAAGACGCAAAGCCGTTTACCTCTTCTTGGATTTCCCTCCAGCTACGATACTTGTTATTTTAAGGAACGCGAGCAATATTTGCGTATGATCCCCTCAAACCAAGATCGAATTCTCTTCTAGTGGTTCCGATTTTTTGGTCCACCTTTTTTTCCTACCTCATGTTCTCTGCATGACTGAAAGCTTACTCATTGATGTGTCTCAGAGGTTCATTATTAGATATACCGTGTACAATCAAGTCGCCGGCGCCTGTTAAAATAACTGTCGGTCTTGCCTAGTCTCTCTCGAATTCCCTGTCCTCTGAGGATCCACCATCTTCATTATCCTTTCTCCTTCGCTTATTTCCTCTCTCCGTCTGTCTCGCATTTTCTTTTTGCCTTAGCTCGCCTCTAAAGGACGAAAACAAGATTTTTTTTTCGAAGCCGGAAAAAATTGCTATTCCAATTTCAAGGAAAAGGCGGTTGTCATCGACACGGCATCCTCGTCCAGTTTTCAATGGCTTTTTTGTCCCGTAGTATGTAATATCTCATTTCCCCCCCCTTTCCCGTCCCGCATGTCTTGCCTTTATCTTGACTCAACTTACTTCTCAATGTCCTATCTCCATTCTCCACTCTTCACTTTGTGCCTTTCTTCATCCCACATCCTCAAAGTCAAGCAACGTACTACTAGCAGCTTAGCCTATATAGCCAGCCTTGGGCGTTTTCTAATTTCACAATCTACCACACTCCAAAGAAAATCATCACAAAAATGTCGGGAGGCTTCTCACGGAACGGAATCTCGAAGATGCATGTGTCTATACCCGCTGGCCGAGTTGCAAACTATCGATACATATATCGCTCTGCGTATCCATACAGCGCCCTCAGCTCGCTTCTTTCTTGTGCCCTTTTAGCCGCTCTGGTAGCGAAACTGTCATTTTTTATATCAAATGCTTAACAGCAGGCATGGCCTGCAACCCAAATCTACTCGCCGCCAGACGTACCACCAGCAAGGACTGAGCGAGCGAGTGCGGGTATGTGCGTAATCAGATCAAAAACCAACTCAGATTTCTCTTCATCTACTCATGTACCGTAACAAAATGTCACCTCGTGTCAACGATGACTACATATTCAGCTCACAATGCATTTATATTTCCTTTGGCACCAATCAATCGCATCGCAACACGTGTATTATTCACGGAACTGAAAACACATGTATGTGTGAGTACAATCGATGGGAAATGAAAAGGAATAGAACATAGTACGGGGAAGTTGAACGATCAGTTTTTTTCGGTACAGGACAAACTTATGGTACATTGAATAGACAATATCCCGATTGCATGTGTTTACTCTAAGCCTTCAGCTTGGTTGGCTCGATATTCCAGATCTAGAAATCACGAGATAAATCATGGTGACCACGATCGGTAGTAATGTATATGACGCACTTCTTCCGCATATTGTATAATTGCACGGTCAGAGCTGAATTTACCCATGAAAGCCACTGGACAGGGAGGCATGCCAACTCAGTGACGTTGTTGATCCTTACGAAGCTGACGCACCAGTGCGAATCGACTTCTTGGTCCAAGATGCGCGATCCTGGTAAGCTTCGTCAACAATTTCCTGAGCTTTTAGGTCTGCACATGATGCAAATGATCAGAACAGCATACACCCCATCGAGAAAGTTGAATGCTTACAGGAGTCGAAGTCCTCTGAAATCAGGTAATAATCATTGCCTCGAATGGTGTTAAGGAGCCTGTGATGAACATGAGGAGATGTAGCCCCCGTGTTTTGATATAAAAAAGTCTGCGGTTGACCATACGTACGATTCGTATACGTGACCATCGCCAAATCTACCATTGGAAATTTCGTCTAACACTGCGGCGAGAGTTTGAGAGCGTTGCTGGATATTGACGTGATGGTATCTAAGCGCAATTTGGTGATTCGATAGTACCAGACTGCTGTACAACGTACTGATGCTGGTATCGCAGATCCTCGACTAGGGGCCGGACAATGGGGATTACCTAATTTCTCCTCGTGGATGGAAAATACATACCAACAGGCGCTGTTTGGTGGAGGTGCTAATTAGGAAGATACGTCTCATGAAGCATGGGATTCATGTACCAAGATGCCCAAACATGAAGACATTCTCTTCGCCGACCTCCTCTGCAATCTCGATCGAGGCACCATCCACAGTCCCAAGAAGCAACCTTGAGGAATGCAAATCAGCCTCAAGCGAGGGTCTATAGCAGATGCACCTACCCGCCGTTAAGACAGAATTTCATGTTACCCGTCCCTGACGCTTCAGTCCCTGCGGTTGAAATGTGCTGAGAGATATCAGAAGCAGGAATCAACAATTCGGCCAAGGAAACAGAGTAGTCCGGAAGGAAAAGGACAGTAAGAATCCCTTTCACATCGGGGTCGGCGTTCACGACACGCGCCACATTGACGATGAGACGAATAGTAAGTTTGGCAGCATAATATCCAGGCGCAGCTTTCCCTGCGAAGAGTATGGTGCGTGGTACGACTTTCTTGCGCTCCTCAGGGGTCTTGCGCTTGATCTCGAGATAACGCTGAGAATCAAAGTCAGTGCCGGAATCCGAGCGTCGAACAACCAGGCCTTACGTGAATCACACCCAAGATGTTCAGATTTTGACGCTGCAATCAAAGCCGTTAGAACTAACATATGAGAGCCTCTGAATACCTGGATGCACCTTATACTCGTGAATGCGCTTGACTTGAATGTCGAACATACTCTGTCTTAAATATCAGAGACCAACAAGCTCATCCTTGGGTGAAAACACGCACATCGGTATTCACAATAACACCAGTTGTCTTCTCGATGTAATCTATTCGCATTGGTTAGATCTATTCTTAGGGTATCAAGTTGAATAATAACTCACGAGCCAGTCTCTCCTTGTTCTGCAGCTTGACAGCATTCCACTTCTTCTGGAATCCAGGGTCATCTTGGTACTTCGTTAAACCCTTGAGCAGGTTGAGATCCTTCAACCATTCATCTTTCTTCCCTCCTAGTACTTCCGTAATCAGTGCACTCAACCCAGGGTTGCATTGGTCGAGCCATCGACGAGGAGTAATTCCGTTAGTGATGTTCCGGAACTTCCCGGGATAAAACTCAGCGAAGTCTTTGAGGATCGTAGTCTACCGAACCAAAGTAGAAGGGACATGAAGCAGAGGCTGTGGAAAGAACAAGCACCTGAACCAGCTGACTGTGAAGCTCGGCCACTCCATTAACTTTAAAGCTCCCGATGACAGCCAAATTCGCCATTCTAAGGAATTTCGGCCAAGTCTCTGCAAGAGAAGACTCAGAGATAAGAAAAAAATCCGAGGAGAAATGTGTACCATCAATGAGACTCATCCTAGCCAATCGGTCACGATCCCCTGGATACTTGCGTTCAACCGCTTGGTGTTGAGGCTTTCTCAGTACATGGTAGTATGAGCTGAAATCTGAATCGGGTCACCTTGGAGGAATGAACTGAATGACCACAGATCAGCGACATAGCATAGGCACAGTATGATTGACCTACGCATTCTGGAATCATAGATTTTGGCAATCAATAGCGAGTATGGGAAAGAAGGAAGTGGGCTCACAATGTCATAGATGATTTGCATATGTCTGATCCAAATAGAATGAGGATCAATCTGGACCACAATTGAGATTGACACGCAATTACCTCGGCAGGAGATTCTCAACGAGGGGGATAGGCCATTTCTCCAACGCCTACCCAATCGCAAGACCGTTTGTTAGCTAGCGCAGCCTGGGAAGATACGATGCTGGGAATTCCCACCTCCGGGAGAACAGTGTGGTTCGTATAGGCGAACGTGCGTATGACAATTTGCCATGCAGTGCTCCACTCTACTTCCTCTTCATCTACGAGGATGCGCATCAACTCAGGAATGGCAAGTGTAGGGTGAGTCTACACGGGAAACGCAGTCAATCGATGGCGCGGGCAGCATCAATCCAAGTTGCGCACGTCGTTAAGCTGTATTGATACATCTGCGTTGGGTCTCGTCACGTTGTGTAGGATGAGAGGGTGGATAACTTCAACTTACATTGAGGAAACTCCGTTATAGGTTTCCCGAGATCCTTGAAACGACGCATTATATCGCCCAAACTAGCGGCCGTCCAGAAGTATTGTTGTTTCAATCGTAACTCCTTACCCGCTACATTAAATCTATCGTCAGCAATGAATAGCACCTAATCGTAAACACGAGAGCATACCATCATGATTGTCATTGGGATATAGAACTCGGGTGATTGCCTCGGCTTGGTTGCTTGAATCCACTGCCCTGTGGTAATCGCCAGCTGCATAATCACAGCATTTTCGTCATTACCAAAAACCCCAGTGTCTGAGGCTCACAACATTTACGCACCATTGAAACTCAACAAATCAAAACCCGACTTAGGTCGGGCATCCCAAAGACGCAAATTGTTCGTGTTGCGGGTGCGGTCTAGCAACAATCATGGCGTGCACCGGGGTGAGATTAGGCAGCACTTACATCCGGGAACAGGTACGTCGTTGGCGATAGCAACTACTTCTTGACCAGCAGTCCAGACAGCCCTGCCTCGGTTAATGCGCTGGGCATGACCGTAGAAGCGTACGTCCACTTTAACGTCGGGACGATGGATTTCCCACCTAGAAATAAATAGGTGCAATGCACATCTCGGGGTCACGGGTACTTACGGATTGCCATTGTTAAGCCATGGATCTGGACTATCAGATAGTTATAACGCTCAAGCTAGTTAAAATCGTTGGGCATGATACTCACGCTTCAAGCTGGGACCCATCGGGAGCAATCAACTGCTGGAAGATACCGTACTTATACCTGATGACCGTCGAGATATCAGTGACACCAGTGATATTTGAAAGGTTGTATCTACCGCAATCCATAGCCCCTATGGCAATAAAGTGTGTTAGTTGATTTCATTGTCTTGCCATATCCCTGCTCACCACACGGGAAGTTCCATGCTAGCACTGGAATCTAAATAGCAGGCCGCAAGTCGGCCCAATCCTCCATTACCCAATCCAGCATCTCGTTCGGAATCCAGAAGATCCTCAAGAGTCTTAGTGCCAGGAGCGGGAATAGTTGTTGCGATCGATCAAGGTTTTAGCAGATATGCCGCAAAAGATCGGTGGAAATGACAGCGTTACACAGATAGAAGTGAGGTATTAACGCTTATAGAATTGAAGAATTAATTTGACTCACAAATCCAAGCTTTCCAATAGAGTCTGAAAACTTGTTTCTGAGGCCAAGATTGAGGAGAGCATTATCAAGAGCCCGTCCTGTTCGCAAACGGGTAACATGAACTACTTTGAACCAGATACTGCATGATCTAAGTACTCGGCCGACGCACCCACTAAAATTATGAAGGCGGTCAGATTTTCGGAAGAAGCCACCAAAAGAAACTCACTCAAGAATTCAAGTGAAAAGTAGTATGCCCTAAGATCGTGCCAAAACCACATTTTAGTACATGATTGCATCTACCGCAAGGGAGGCGAACCTTTTGGCGCGGTACGAGTGAAGTGAGACTGAGTATCATTCCACTGGCAGAGGTTAGAAAGTATGAGATGACGGCTGTCTGGGGGTGGCTGTGTAGCTTCACTCACATTGATGATAAGATCATCGCGCACGGCGAGAGCGACGGCCTGATAGGCTCCAGCCTACTCGATCCGAATTGGGGCAGCGTTGGTTAGATTTGACAAACAAAGGCGAATCGACCTCTGGGAAATGGACATACATCGTCGAGATTGTACGGTTGTCGTGCAATAGTCTAAGGACAAGGATTCAGGATAGTGGGGGATGCAGAATTATGAATTTCGAAATTGGTTGGAATGATGATCAGATCAACGAACCGTCTGGGCGTGGTGAACAATAGCATTGGAGATGCTGGTCTCATCCTCAGGAGGCTCAGTGAGCAGGCCTTTTTTCCAGGTAGCCTCGTCTCCACGCGGCCAGATCTCGTCTCCCGTCTTCTCATCGCGTTCCGGTATATAGCCTGGGAAATCGGCCGAACATCGACGATGCGATAATGGTCAGGCAACGATTAAGCCCAACGTGTTCAATTATACGATAAGAACTATATACAGAGACACAGCTCGACTAGACGCACCAGTTGCAGACCGTTTATGCGCCCTACGCTTAGGCGGCTTTCCTAGATGCTGAGGATCGAAAACAGGAACGGGCAAAGCGGCAGCCTTGGCTGCCCCACCATTGGTAGCGGCTACAGTGATAGGCATGCTTTCAGAGACCAAGGGATAGGGAAGTGGGGGAAAGGAGAGGGAACAATTTGCCTTGCCCTGCTTCTCCTACTCTGGGTATTTGACCGAAACGAGAAGTGGAACGAAACTCGTGCGAAGTAATTTACCGGTTCAACAGACGTAAACAACAAAAAACCGTGTCTTCTGTCTCAAAGTAAATACCGAAGCCACGAACATGGGAAAAGGAAAATTAGGTGCGAGAGTACGGAAGCTGTAAACTGAGAAAACGATGGTAATAGCGCCCCTTGTGGCCGCATCAATGAATCGCGCGATGAAAGAATCAATGCATTAGTCTTCCGCATCCACCTTTCCTGTTGACCGCGCGGCCTCCCGTCGTTCCCGTCGACGCTTAACATCCCAGTTGTACACCCGTGCAGTGTTTACTTCCATGATAGTCACCTGTTCCCTCAGGAATTCCAGATCCTCTGTAGTGTTCTTGAGGTTTTGTTGGGCCGCTTGAAGCTTCGAGGTTAACAGCTCTATAGCATCGTTTTGGGTATATGAGAGCATGACATTTGCCTAGAATATCTAACTCAGTGTCATATTTTAATAATACGAAGTGCTCTCACCCCCAACCACAAATAAATCTGGTCTGTGTTCTCAAGCTCCGCCTCTGCGTAGAGAGTGTCATTCAATTCGAAAGTCGTTCTTAAAGGTTTCGAGGTGTCGTCATCATCACCGTCGTCAAGCCCATCCTCAAGGTTAGCCCCCGCTTTCGACTTTGAAATCAAATACATAAGCATTGATATTTGGAAAGTCAGCTATAGTTGTTAACTGACAAACACTCACCCTTCGATCCCGTAGGAACTTGACCATGCTCAGGGTCTTGCTAATATCCGGGATCTTCTCCAAGAGCCCTGTCTTCCGTTGTTGTAGGTTCAATTCCATATACCTGTACTTCCTGGGCAAGGATGTCAGACGTTAGGTACCGGCTCTGAGCGCCTCAGTTGGGCTCTGAACTCAGGCGCGGCCATTCACTCACGCAATGGCCTCTTGAAATTGCTTGAGCGTGCTCTCTACTTCCGCATCAGGACCACCTATGTGGTCCTCCACGCTACTCTTGTTGAGTAACAATGAATTTAGTGCGCAAAAATCATTATGCGCAGTAAGAACGATTTTCTACTTGGTGATTTAGTGGTGCGAAACCCACGATAAATGGTGCTTTTGGTATCCCTCGCGGATTGGTTTCCAAAGCCCTCAGGTTCACGCCGACTTGGGGTGGTGAGGATTTAGAATCCAATGGCAATGACGACGACATTCCCTAGCACTATCACGACAGATCCAGTGCTTATTCACTGGAAGCAAAGAAATCGGGGTATCACAACGGAATCAGAAACAAGGGATCGAAGCTGGAGCCAAGTTTGTTGCGTCGTGTTGACGTCGAGGTGCCCCTGTCCATTGCACAGCTGACATACGTTCATTCGGGTCAGTACTATCGACGTGGTGCATAAGCCTCAGAACATTCGAAGATGGGTGACCGAGGGGTACCTGCCCAAGAGCCATTCGTTTTCGCGCGTCTTCCATTCGATCTGCACATGGAGATCTTCAAGTGGGTGCCACCCCTTGACATAGTGAATCTTCGTCTTGTGAGTCTCTCTCTTCCAAAAGATGAAAAATCGGCGTAGCAGAAAACTAAAAATGATATTATCAACGATTCAAAACTCAAGACATGCAAGTACTTCGAACAGTTGTCCCGCGATCGTGTCGTTTGGTTATCCCTCCTGAGGCGGCAGTGCTTCGAAGAAGATGTACCATTACAACAATATGAGTTGGAGAATATGTCTTCCCCTGAGCTGGAAGTGACGTGTCTGAGACCTCACGTATTCGAGCGCATGCTGACGCGTAAAGGTGTGGGATCTGGAGACAAGTCGCCCCTTCTGACATTAACTATAGCCTAGGCTCCCTCACTTTTACGGAGCAGATTTTGTCTTTCGCATGCCCAACCGACCACGAATTCATTAATGAATGGGGTAAATTGGAACTTGACATGGTGTGGCAATATCAGGTCGTCCCTGGCGATCGGTACATCGTCACCTTGTATCTCTCTGGATGGTTACGCGTCTGGGATACCTCTGCTTATGATTCGGATACCGAACAATATGAAATCATTGCATCCAGGAAGTTTTCGCCATGCAATTCTACCATGATTGTTCAGCGCTCGGTGGAAAGCCCCTCCATCATCACAATTGTGGTGCGGAATGGCCAGGGATTGACTGGAGACCTCCAAGACGATAATCTGTGAGTTATTTTTTTTTCGCATTTATCTGCAGGATCCTGGGTGATGTTCGAATGTGTAGACTCCGTAGGATGGACGTTCTGCAGCTGCATATCACTAACCGTCCGTGGCTGACGGATATCATCGCCTCGACCATCACTCCATTCAGTGCAAGATCATCATTGTGGGCCTGCGACGGCCACCACATCGGGGTTTCAGGCCCATCTGGAAATGCCATCATCTGGAATTATATGAATGACACATGGGTTTCGGCTTCTATTGCTGGATCAGACGATCTACTACCCACGGAGGTTTGTTATCCATTTTGCTTGAAGACTATCCCATTGACTTGAACGCCTCATCTAAGCAATGTTTCCTCGACATAGTTGGTGATATTGTCATCTATGTTGTGCCAGATGGCGGCCTCCGCCTATATCAATTTAAACTCACCAAGATGTATGCATCTCTGGAAGAGGCGGAGCGATATCAGAAAAGCTTCGATATGAAAACATTCGACCTAGGGAAAGTGCGGGTCGCACGGACATCCACAATGGCGTACTGGCGTCCGCGAGCCTTGGCAAATGACGATGCTGTTTATGGGGCGTCCGCCATAGATATCGTTCTTGGAAGCGAAGGCGGAAACGATCAGATTGTCGTTCCATTCCATTTCTCGCCATCCGTGATGCCCTAATTACCACTCAAGGAGAAGGGGTGCATAACCTCACGTCCCACGAGGACCCGGCCTTCTACCCAACACTTCCTATCTTCAACCAGAGTCAGAGGTATCTTGTCTACAGCGCTTTCACTTCGCTTGGCATCGAAGTTGTCGATCTTGCGAATAACACCCCCCAAGTCGCCCGCTCTGTACCACTTGTCGAATATAACCCAAAGATCGATCGTTTCGTCAGTCATCGACCATATGGTGTGGAACTTTCGTCCTTCTCAGCATCCATGTTCATGAGGTCCCCCGATTCGCGCACAGAAATTAAGGTGTGGCGGTTCCACCTCGACAACGAAGTGCGAACGACGGGCCACTAGGACTGCGCATCGCGGCGTCATCACGTCGATCATTTCGCCCACTATTCCAGCTCCCCAGCTCCATTTCGATGCGGGTGGTTGCTAGGTGCTGCGTTGCGCTGCGTATCAGCTCCGGGATGCGGACTCGATGAAGTTTCCCTTGGTGTCGCCCCAGTAGTCGGCGAGCAACATCCCCCGGAGGATTGTTTCTGGTGGGGACTGCATGAGCAGTGTGGAGCATTGCGCGGCCTGTGCTTGCCATGTCGTGTCGAACCAGGTCACAACAGGTTCTTTCATTGGACAAAATTTGATCTCTCAAACATGGACAACTATTACATCTATAGGACGCTTGATCATATCCTTGCAGCCAAATACCATATTCACTGTCATTACCATTTCTCCTGTATGCGCTACAACATGAACTGATGAACTGTTGGATGATCCCGCGACGCAATTGATCAATTGGCCATGATATCGGTCGGGGGCGTGTGAACAGAGGAGGGAGTGCTAACTTTGAGTAATTAGCTCCCAAATTAGGGTTAGCATGTATGCGGGATCGTTTGCGACCACCTGACGAGGACTGGAATGCCAACAAGATCATCCGTCGATCTGGTCTGCCTTTCACGTACGGAGGTGAAGCAACGTGCACGTCCTCAATTGTGGTTCTGAGGACGGAGATCTAAAGAGCGATGCCTTGACACTTAAACATGGTTGGTTTCAATAGGTGTTGGTTTGCCGAGTGCAAACTCCATATTACCTGCGTGGAAGTACTGAGGCAACCCTGGATGAGTTATGCATTGATCCACAACGATCAAGGAGCAAAGCCCTCACTATCATTGCTATCTGCCTGTGTGCGAGGAAAAGATAATGTATGAGCTCAGTCGCCAGTCCAAAACCGCGGCCGTTGGTCCTGTGTGAACCGGCATCCCCGTGGACGTTGAAAGGGAGGATCGTCCCGTGGCCGGCCACAAGTACCGGATCCGACATCATCCATTTTGGCATTCGCGTCGAGTGTACTCAAGAATCACTAGACCTAGCATACGGTGAACGCCTGTGCCTTTGCCTTGAGAAAATTTGTGGGTGAGAAAGTAAAAATAGAGTAAAATCAGGTTATGCGTGGCACAACGTATGGAAGACAACAGCTTGGATACATGTGCTCGAAGCCTTGGACAAACCGGGAGATCGGAGAAGGTAAATAGAAATTCGGCTGTATATGTATTAGTGCTGTCCTAAGGGAGGGGATGTGTGAAAGGCCGGAAAGGCCTGATATAGGGCCTGACACGCGGCTTTTGGGCAATACCTAATCCAGAAGAGAGGCGGAAGAACCGAGGGACCTTAGCTTTCCTTCATTATTCAAGGCCAACACTATTATGTAATTCTACGCGCGAGTGAGATCGTTCCTCACGTAGCCTATACATATATATGGATCAACCCAACCAGAATTCCCCCCTGAAAAGATTGTTTTGAAGAATCTCTTAGGCTATAAGCAGCGCTTGGCTATCTTGGTAACCAAAAACATGACGGTAGATATATATGGTAGTCGAAACCGCAGATGGTATGGAAAAAGGCCCCATCCAGGGATCGCCACACTTTATCTATTCCAGTTATAGTCTGAAGCAGAAAGCTGAGGTGAGGGCAAACGTCCCACCGCGGCGGCGCCAGACCCACGTACGAACAAAGATAACAACAACGGCTAAATGGTGGAGGCGTCGATAACCTGTGATTTACAACCAAGCTGACAACCATTGCGAAACAGTTCCTACGGCGGCGAACGGGCCCGGTCGATGATGAAGAGACCATGGTGCATATGCCAGTCCCGTTGACGGCGTAGTATGACTTCGCAAATTGTCATCCACCAGTGGTCACCGGCAGTTCAGGACGTTCAAGTCGGATCATCGCTCCCAAATTTTATCTTTCAGCCATGTTCATTCTGAGTCGAGACTACGGCGAAAGCAAACGTCCCGCCTGCGCCGGACTCAGACAAAGACAACAACATCGGCCAAGTTGTGTAAGCGTCAATAACTTGTGATTACCACCACGCTGACAACCATTGCGAAACAGCGGCCACGGCGGCAAACGGAAACAACAACAAAGAGACGACGGTACACATGCCCTTGTCTCGAATTGTTCCGTCGACGGCTGTGGTGATACAATGAACTTCGCAAATTGTCACTGGTGACTGGTAGTTCAGTGCGTTCTAGCCGAATCATATCGTTCTTAAATTTTCATCTTTCCATTGCGAGCAAACTAATGAGTATCTTTGACCGCTTCAAATAAACAGATCATCTTGAACAGAACTGGGTGATTGCCAACTGCGACTGCTTATCTCGAACCAGGCACAACCGTTAAGAAGGGAGGAGAAGGGGTACTTACGAGCCAGCGCTAGCCATGAAGCATGGCATACCCCATAGCCATTGTCCTCTCGAAGTCGACTTGTTAGAATGGTGGTTCAACTTTGAGGTTTGATCTGCAGCGATTTCCAGGGTGAAGGGGTAGGAGTCAAATGGCAGCATCTGAAGCTCTAGGAAATGAAAGCAAGCGGTGTCAGGGACCTAAGAAAGTGCTGGAGAGAGATGTCGGATGAGTGAGAATTTATAGTCTGTTCAGCTAACTCGCTTTTGCGGCTTGGTTACATGGAATTCACGCATTTATCCCGTTACGTTGATGTTCTGAGATCTCCGAGTTGTGGCCTGTTCGGGATGAGATTCTGATTCCATTGATGCACACGCATCAATGGTGTGATGTAGAGTTAGTTATTCCTGCAAGTCAAGCATCACCGTCTCGAAACCTTTCAACTTTCTCATCATCACACTTACTATCTTCCAGCTGTTCGTTGAGGGAAAGTTCGTTCCTCTGTTTTCCAATTTTCAGCTGCGCTCCCTCACTGGCTAGGTGTATTATATTACTGACAGTCTGACCGCACGAAATCTTCCCGTTCACTCACTTCGAACGTCATTCCACTAACGTCCCTTCTTGACGGACAGCAGACAAACAGGCATCATGTCGTACTTGTTGATCGTCTTCATGCGCACAGTGCCAAAATGGAAGCAGGTGTGCCGCGGCGGGTCCCGGTTCAGGGCACAGCTCAGAGGCTTGATGATCAAGAAGATGTTTCAGGCCTACATATACCTGGGGGCAAATTCTGGAAAACTACTGGTCATTGCGGCTTGGAGGCCCGTGATCCCCATAGCGGAGGCGGGAACGGAGAATTTCTAGCAGTGATCGGACTGCCGACTGCATAACCGCGTCGACACGTTCCTCGATGTCAGAGACTGAACAACGGTATTTAAGGATTGGAACCATGAACAAAGACAAGGTCAGGATTTCCCGAGACGGATTTGAGTTAATTGTCAATTGACGGGCAACAACTCGCAATACATAGTCCAAGAATGTTTACGCGAGTCTACCCATGAGAATTCCCATACCCGTGTCTCCAAGACTCCAAGAGAGCGCACATAGGTATATGCGCCAAAATCACGGCAAGCGAGGCAAATGAACCGACGAGAAAGAGTATGCATAAGATTAAATGGGAAGGAAAATGAAGAAACAATTAATAGCCCCGACCCAACAACTACACCAATCTGACAAGCTTCTATCCTGAGCCACCTCCATAGACAAGCGCCCAATTGGTGAAACGCAAAGCATCATATGAGTACCCTTTAGACCAAGTCTCCTTAATAACTGGTGGACGGACAAAGTGATCACCTAGTTGCTGGCCCTGGGGACGCAGTTGGAGGCCCTGGGGATGCAGTTGGAACAGCTGTGCGGACTGTGGTGCCGGGGACAGTGGTGATGCTGGGGACAGTGGTGCTGGGGGTATCGGAGCCACCAGGAGCAGTGTTTGTGGAGGAAGGCTGTTGGGTTCTGGTGATACCGAGCGTGCCCGTTGCTTGGGATGCTGCCCCAGTGCTAGTTTTGGAAGTGCCGGACTCAACTGGGGCGGGAATGTTGGTTGAAGGAGAGGTGCTGGTCGAACTAGTCGCATGGACAACATTATTATTGCTCTTTCCACTGTGAGACCCTGCTACACCACCGCCAACGGCAGCTCCAATGATGACGAGAAGAATGATGATAATAATGATGATTCCGGTTTTCGTTTTGTACCATGGTTTAGACGGTTTCGAGTAGTATTCGTCGCCATTTCTGAATTCATTTGCACCTCCCGTAGAGACAAAGTCGGTTTGACCCTCTTCCAGGCGAGGTGTGCCTTCGCGCGGTGGCGGTGGAAATGAAGCGCCCGCCTCTGGTGGAACAACTCCGGTGGCCGGAGTATATGCCCGAACGGGAGGCGAGCTAGTTCTTTCAGGCTCGAGAAGATCGAGATTGTACCCCTCCTGTCGGATGTGTTCAAAAGTGGAATCAGTAACCACAAGTTTCGGTGTGTAGGAGCCACGCAAAATGGGCAGTGATCGACCCTGTAGCTGCACCAACCTGACGGTCTTTCTTCGAAGCAAGAGGCGCCTCAGCAAGGAGTTTCTCGTCGTAGGTGCCGGACATTGTATGTGGCCAGGCAGCGAGGAAGGAGTGCCGAGGGCGGGATTCTGTTGAGGTTGGATGAAGGAGGGCACAGCCTGGTCGCCGAATGCCGAATCACACGATTTGGAAATTGACCTTATAAGTACTAATTTCTGCAATTCAATCAAAGCGCAAGCGATGCGGATAACTTGACCACAGGGGCAGTTCTCTCCTCCGTTGCTTGCACCGAGCGAAGTGTTACACCTTCGCGCGCGATATCTTCGAAATAGGAGCTGATGAAAACTGATGATGGATGCTGATATTGAGCGTTGCTAATTATAGCGCCCTCATGAATCAAAACAAGCGAAGTTCCCTGCTGCGGGCAATCGCACGGAGACCACCGTTCAATCTGATCTCAAACAGGCCGGTCACCTGCCTACAAAGTTACCCAATTGAGTATCACGTGTTGCATTTCGGAGGCAATTTCCGCGTTCGGACAGCCATTGCGTTCACAAGGTACAACGAACGGCACCCATGCATCGTCTGGCCATCGTATGTAGATCATTCATAGCTATGGATGCCACGTTTAATTTTGGTTTTCTGAATTCCCCGTGCAGCCCCTACGACGTAGCATTGTTGTAGCTGCTGCAGGGCTCGGGGCCTTTACATTGCAGTCACGCGCTGCTATCCACCTGGACGCTCAGCAGCCTTCATCGGGAAGCGCATCTCCGGCTGTGCACTCGAAGCCAGGTTCTAAGGTTGGCACAATCCCCGATTTGTCTTACTGAGATTTTCTGAAAGTGGCATGAAATTGACAGTTGTCCATATACCCCGAACCAGATCCTGAGATAGTTCTCGTCGAGACCCACAGTGAGCTCGAGCGTCAAATACGGACTACTCGACGGCATGCTACTTATTTTTACGATCAATCTCGTGCACATGTGCGAGGCATTGTTTCTAAGTGGATTGGTGTGGAGGAAGCTGTAGAAAGTTTGTCATTTTCACCAGTCTCTGCCCTCGGTTGTCTTGCATACGATAAGGGATTATGAAACTAACTTTTTTTTTTTCATTCTGGGAAGATCGCATCAAGTCACTCATACCCAAGGACGAGTCTATCACGCCTGGCATCCTGTACGTCGGTGTGGTCGCACTCACTGGGTCTGTTATAGGCAGAACAAGTACGTTCTTCTTCCCATCCCTCATGGGGCTCTCTAAAGCCAATCCTCCTTCACAATAGGATCCCTCCCAGTCCGCATCCTCCTCCCACCAACCCTTCTCATACTCGCCTTCCCACAATTGCTCCCCAAAACGTCGGCAAACCTTCGTGCCTACTTCTCTTCCCTTGAAGACCACTATGTTCCTGATATCGCTGCTCAGCATGACGCACTAAATACTCGCGTGTCAGAGACGCTCGCTGGAACCTGCAAGAAGCACGCAGAGCTGACAAAGGCTGCAAAGGACAGTATACAAGCCGGCCTGCACAAGTTGGAGGAAACGAGTGGACTAAAGCTTGGAACTAAGACCGACGCAAAATAGATCCTTTGTATAGAGAATCACAAGAATCTATCACGTTTCTGCCTGAATGGTAGCACGATTTCATGAGACTCGGCATGCAGCCTTCACCACATCAAGCCCTCGCAGCGGTCGGAATGTCGTAGGACGTCCTTCATGCTTCTGATTTGACCACATTCTGGCTACGTAGACGAAATACTCAGAGACGGGATCGGGATCTGTTGGCTTACAGGCACCGCATGCATGTAGTCTGCATCCCGAATCCTCATAGGCAAAGCTGAACAATTCACTGGATGGACATCTTAGCAGAATTAGCGCAGCACTGGCGCCTTGGCCATCGGAGTGACATCTAGGATCTAGTGCTTGGCTAGCGAGTTTGCAGTTGTGGAATATGACTAAAGCATCAGGGGATGACTGCGGAAGTTGTGGTACAACTATATGCAGCCTCATCAATGATATTGTACGGGTTCAAAGGAGCACGATTGATATAGCACATCCGCCGAGACTTACTTGACAAATACTTCATTGTGGACCTATGTTTCACCAGTATCACCAATCCCGTAAAGCGTCCCCTGAGCGAATCCGAAATTGATGCCCTCACAGCCGCGCCACGAGGAAGATAGGCCCATCCCATCAGATGAATCCTTCTCCTAGCTATGGAGTCCAGACTGGAAAATTACTTAGTACTGACCTCGGCGGTGTCGCCATTTGAATTGTGGGCTTCAATCTGGCTTCGCGCGTCTAGTTGAACGATGCAAAGCTCAGCTCAATTAAACCTGTACAAGACATCTGTTGGCAATACACAACGTCATTTGCGGTGTTGATGTAATGTCCGTCGAGAGTTACTAGAAAGTAGGCCCTTGGAACTACTTTGGTATGGTAACGAGGCTGCGATACTTGGGGGCTTTCTTGTCATCTCTCAGGCAGCAAATTCACCGAATTGGAGGACTATGTACTCAGAATTTGGTAGGCCATATGGAGGTGGCCTTCTTGCCATAGATGAATCTTGGTATATCACTGAGCAAGCGAAGCTCAAGGAAAGTGGCTACGGCCGACGCCACAAGCAACTCCGAATCTGCGCCACGGTAGTAGTTTCAGTATTTCGGTATCTATGCTTCTCGTCGAACGATGTACGGATGGGTGCCGATCAACAACCCTCCCAGACTATGCTCCAGCAAGGGCCATGCATGGGTCAGGCAATTCAAATTAATTTGGCCAAAGGGTAGCTGACGTTCCACCTAATACTAGACAAACAGCCAATACAGGGGGCAACTGCTCAGTGGTCAGCATCATTGATTAATATCCACGAGAACGGCTGGAAAAGCGGATCGTAGCTGAAGAGGCGCTTTGGACGTACGTTGTGGTAGGGAAACTCACGATGGTTCACACACTAAAACGTAAAACTGTATGTAACATACAGAAGGCGTCCCACATACGTATCAAAGTCGATCTGATTGGCCGTCGGCCAGTCATATGGACGTCGTTAACTAGATGTGTACACGATAGTGGGGTGACGTTGAACACAATTTCCGTTTGACAAAACATCTGCGCACTGTTCGGCGTTGCTTCCCTCGTTAGTTCTCCTACCTGTGTCCTAAATTTCAAGGATCTCACCTCATGTCATGACTTCCGGCCGCAGGACAGATCCCCGACAAATCAAATGCAAGGAACAACATTACAGGTTTAGAACCTAACACTCCAGTCCCTTCAAGAGCTTGGGATTTCAATAGATTTTAATTCGGAAATCATTGACAGGTTATTACGGGCGTTATCACATCAGGTCGACAATATTCTCCGCTGAAAACGCCTGCCGCATCAACCGCAAAGCTATGACAGATTGCGATTTCCGGTGAACAATGAATAACTCCTTCCGAGGCACATCCCTTACATGCAACGAGCATCACTTCCCACTCTCAGGGAAAACAGCGAACGCCAGAACGTTGGGTCTATTGTCTTGTCACATTTCCTCTTTGGGGGAATCTGATGAGAAACGAAAAAAAAGGCCAACGGCAACCTGCTCTCCAAGTGGTCACTTAAAAACTCGCCTCGTAAGATTGGTTGTCCCCTGCGCTGTCTTCGCTTCTTCCTCTACGCGCTTGCTCTTGAGACGTCAGAAACTTGTGTTTGACCTAGCCCGATACGTTTTGGTCGTCAGCGTTGTGTTGCCTCCGCCGCCTATTATCACCCCCAGACTCAGGTGAACGTAAAAGCGGACTTGCACAAGCTGTCACCACTTGGCTAGCCACGAAAAGTTTCCCTCCTTCCAATTTGGTTTGTTGGAGTCATCGTTGAAAGCTACAGTTTTGGGTTTAATTGGACGCAGTAAGTGCCTTAATAATTGCCTCTTCGCGAACCAGTCCAAGTCAACAAAATCCCTTCGGTATCTCAAGCAGCCGCCAAGAGACCAGTTCCACGTAACCACTTGCCTTGATACCTCCATCCAATCAGAACTCAAATGCGTACTCCCCCATCCCTCACAACTCTCCCAACTGAGCTCCAGAGGCTCATCTGTGAAACCGTTCCCGACCGCCCAACTCTCAGGGCGTTGAACATCACCAATCGCCATTTCCACAACGTAACGGAGGCGATCATTTGGAAGCATATCACAATACCTCTACCACTACGCAGTGGCTCAGTGCCACAATGCCAAAGTACCATACAGCTTCTCCTGACCCCCCGCCGCATCGCTCGATTGGAGGACACGTCCGATCGATTTGTATCACGGTCGGATATGGGGAGGACCACAGGGAAGAGGAGCATCGAAGCCTTGGCACCATGCAAGAAGCCAAGCGCCTGATCGAGGGCATCAGATTGTGCCCCAAGCTTCGGAGGCTTGAGTTCTTTCCCGGAGGGGAAGAATCAGAGACAGCACGCATACTGTTTCGCGAGTTCGAAAGGAGCATGACTGCCGGCGAGTTGGATTTTGGCAAATTGGAGGAGTGCGCCTTCCACGGGATAAACAGGGGACTCGCAGGATTTATCGATCAGATCACAAAGAGGGATCCAAGTCCGGCATCAAAGTGCGCGCTGCGTTCCATAGAAATGATCACACAGGACGATCCCGATCTCCGTCTCGATCCTTATGAACCTTCCCCGGAATCCGACTGGAGCGAACTCCAATCAATCCACATGCCACATATGGACTCAATCACCCCATTTCTCCGGCTAACGCTTCTTAAAGATGGAGCTGTTAGCAAAGTCAGGAAAATTACCACTTCTATCATGGCAAGGTCCAACCATTTTTCAGAATTTTTGAGAGCGGCGATGATACAAGATCCGAAAGGAGGGGAAAGAGTCGAGACGTTCAGAATGCTTTCTTTGGACTCCAAATCTCTCTGGATTTCAGAGTTGATTGACGTGCTCGCGGGATTGAACAGCCTGTTTCCTGCAATTTCGACACTTGGCATTGGGCGTTGGGGAACGAACTCTGAACCAGTATGGCCAATCGATTGGGATTGTGGCGAGGAGGGACGTGACGCGATGATTGCGGAAGGCTTTGACTGGCCGGACAACGAAGCCAGTTTGTGGATGCTCACGGAACGGGCCTGCCTATCCTTGGGGGAGTTCAAGGGTCTAGGGACAGTTATCTGTTCATACTCGTGGGTGCCAGCTATGGTCAAGCGTTCGGGTCCGGGCCGCCTGAGTTTGGAGGAACGGCGACGGGAGGAACTGGCGGCTGTGATGATGCTCGCCAAGCATTGCACGTCGCTCTGCGATATATTTATTGATAGGAGAGGCTGGCACTACTGGAAAAGGAGTCACCATGTGCACTGGACCAAGGAGATGGGTTCGCGCAGCAGCGACGGTGCCGATCTATGGAAGGAAGTGAGATGGTACTCTCAGGAGCACCTAACCGGGTACATAAATTCCCTATAGACTTCACTGTAGCTTAAGAGCCAGCGACATCTAGTGGATTTTTTACCTGGTTATGGGCTGGAGTCCTGCCCACTAGCTGATCGCAGATCAATCGATCGTCAGCTAGTTGCTTTGCTTCCGCTCAACCTCACCAACTTTCATCCTACCTTGACTTCGTAACGACTCCTCTCGTCAGATGGACCGCCGAAATGTAGCAGGTTCCGTCAGGTCGGCACCTAGGAATACTTGCTCGCCCTCCTCAACCACTTTTCACCCTAACGACTGGAGGTCAGCGCGACGAACCTTGGAGTTTTTATTTTTTATTTTTTGGACGACGCTTTTTTGACAGCATGGATTATAGAGACAGGCAATATCTATGGGTTATCTGCTGTTGCAGTTTATTTAGCAAAAAATGACACACGAGCTTTTGGTTGTCGGAGGGTCTGTGTGTTTCCGAGAATAGGTTTGAGAGCAGAGACTGCCAAGTAGTTATTGCTCCACGTGGATTTTGATTCTTATCTAATATCAACGACTTGTCCTAGCAGTCTGTAGATCTGAAGCAGTACGGAGTGTCATCTGGCAAGTGCCTCCGTCCAAAATTTCCTCGCGCTCCTCCAGAAGCTGAGTATAAGATGGTGGTGCGAACTCGGCTTCAACGGTTAAACTTTCGGTTCATCAATGAATTGTGTAACAGGACCAGGCTCTGAGACAATTCACTCATGGCAAAGTCGGCTTAGCTTACGGGCGACAACGACCTGGGCCACACCTTCGTCACCATGGTCCGTCCCACGACGATTCCGACTCCCCAAACCGGACCCCTCTCTTCACCGCCCAGTTTGGGGAGAAGACTCGGCAGTTTGCCAACTTGAAGCATCACCAACAAATACGCCACCTGCCTAGATATAAGCCGATGGTTTCACTTCGAGCAGCTGACGAGCTTGTGACACCGAGTAGGCAGTGATATCGACTGTCGATCCACCTATCCCCAATTCAACTATTCCACGGGACGGCTCTACTAGTACCACCCACCAGCATCTCAGACGATGAACTCCGCGTTTTACACCGTAAATAAAGTTACGAGTCCCAGCCAATAATGATGCCGAACTTCGCCTCGGATTGTGAAGCTAAGTTGGCGTAAAACATGTAGTAATGGACAGAAGCCTCTCCCTCAATGCCAGTTACTCAATGACAAAGAAGACTCGGGCACGAGATTGGGACGAAGGGGCGATATTCGCTGCCACTGCAGCTCTGCGCAGCAAATCTTGTCCCCTCAGGCCCATCCATTCGGATGGGCAATGACAACATCAGCAGAGGGGAAATATGTCCCCCCCAGGCGAGACCCATTCAGGACGCGGTCATTGAATGCATTCTGAGTGTGCTTAATGAGATGTGCAGATCTCATGTCGGGAAGATATCGTGAATTAATCGCACTCCAGATAGTTCCCCACCCGTCCCTCCTTGGATAGAAGCGGCCGACTCATCATGCAGCCCCGGCTTCCGCCAGTGGCATCGCAGTTGAACGTTCAGTAACCGCGAAGCTGAGAGAGCAGCATACGAACTCGCCGTACCCATTCAGATAGTCCTTACAGAGAGCATGTGCAGTCTCGTACGTCAGGCATTATCCTTACCTATGTCCATCTATGGATATATCGCGGCGCCGAAATCGGCTCCACGAGAGCAATGTAGACATGTATGACTTCAGACTTAGCAATGATGACTACACAAAACAAACAATCATTGGCTTATGACGAACGGAAGTGGCGTCTTTAACTTTGTACAAGTTGGGTCGAAGGGGCTCGTAGCTGAGTGTCCTGGATTGCAAGGTACTGGCCCTGGAACCACGGTGAATTGTGAAATACGGCACACAGTTCAAACATGACCCATGGTGGAGCCTTCCAAAGGCGAAAGATAAGGAAAGGCGACCGAACCAATGTCGAAAAGGAGACGTGGGTCGATAACAAGAATAATATGATTGCATCATAGACCATAGCCCTACTTCCTTTTTGACTTCTTCTTTTTCGATGCACTTGCAGCAGCACTTTCCCCGGCGCTTGAGGCGGCGGCCACCGGAGGCACAGTGGGTGCAGTGGGTACAGGGGAGGGTGCACTTGGAGCTGGGATTTGGACTAGGGCAGGTGGCTTCCTGTTTTGCATCTTCCTCATGAGGGAGAGATTTAGCGCTTCAAATCGGTTGACGACGGATGAGGACTTCGTCTTATACTTGATGCACTGAATAGCATCGAGAATTCATAGACTGGGCTTTAAAACTCTTGAAGACTTACTTGGAAATTGTCCGTTATCTTCAGGTCTAAAATGCCTTTCGAGGCATTATATTTCACAACCCATCGAGCCTTTCCAAGCAAATCATTAGTTAAAAAAATCATTACAGACTTAAATTAGCCCGACCCTATTTGGACTCTTCTCGTAGAGGCTCTCGGCAGCGGTCCGAAAGTCTTTCCAAGACTTGATGTACACCATGCGAAAGGTGGTGGATTGTGTGGCTGTGTCACTTGACCATGTCATGCCCAGACCAAATGTGCTCTTTGACGTTTTTTGTGTGTTGAACTCGGCTAAGGAGATTCTGGACAAGGCAGCCAGGCTCCAAGCGAAGCAATCATATACCGCCCTTCGTTCAAGAATCCGCCTAAATGAGGAGTACCCGCTAAGCCGGCGAACTGGAGATTTAGAGGCTGAAGTCCTCCAACAGGTTCAGCCTGCGCTGGAGACAAGTGAGGTCCCCAGACCGCACAGGAAGGTGCCTGAGGACCATGAAACTCCTATCGATGCGGCTTCCGTTACTACCGACCCTCCTTCAATCTTCGGGTCACCTGTGCCACCTGAAATACAAACATTCGATACAACTCGACTAGATGTCTCCATAAACCCTCTAGCGCCTTCATTTGACCCTCCAAGAAAGGATGCGAAGTGTTATGAACCAATAGCTGACATAGATCTCGGTGCCCCAGAGGTGAGTGGCTGCGAATATGGCCTAACTACCCGACTCACTCGCTGTATTATGAAAGCCTCCTGTTAAGCTGACAGCATCTAGAGTGCCATCCTCGAGAATCGGAAGACTATTCCATTACGGGAGTACGTTCCAATTTTTCGGTACTCGAGGATACTCATTGTATAGGTTAGGTCTTGGCGTTGGAATGGGTGCCGGTGCAGCAGCAGAGATGATTCGCCGGTCGACTTCAGGGTCATCCTCTGTCAATGGGTCTATTTTCCTGTCGGAAGCGAATGTGCATCGTCTCGTAGATAAGCTTACGAAGATGAGAGGCGCCGCGCTGAAGTTGGGCCAGTTCATGAGCATACAAGGTAGGACCTTTCATCCCAAGGCACATGAATTCATTCTAATGGCATGGATCCAGACTCGAGTGTATTACCTGAACAACTAGATAGAATATTGCGACAGGTGCAAAGTAGTGCTCACTATATGCCCAACTCGCAATTGGAGGTGTGACGAATTTTGCTCCTTTCCCGTGGATTGTTCATTAACCCATTATGTGTCAGGAAGTGATGGCCTCTGAACTTGGTCATGACTGGCTTTCTAATTTCTCCCACTTTAATCCCATCCCATTCGCCTCTGCGTCAATAGGACAAGTCCATCATGCAACACTGGCACCAAGCGTCGCCCCATCATCACTTTTCCGTGAGGTAGCTGTTAAAGTCCAGTTTCCGAACGTGAAGTCATCCATACATTCCGATATCCGTAATCTCTCCATACTTCTCCATGGCTCGTCCTTGTTACCGCGGGGTTTGTTCCTTGATAAAACGCTCGCAGTTATGAAGGAAGAATTGGAAGATGAGTGTGATTACGTGTATGAAGCTAATGCTGCTCGAGAGTTCAAGAAGCACTTGGAACGTGATCGTCGTTTTGACGTGATGGGCGTTGTAGACGAATTGAGCACAGAGAAGGTTCTCACCATGCAGCGGATGCATGGCGTACCGATAGTTCGCACTGCGAAACTCAGTCAACCGAAGCGGGATGAGGTATGTTCGACATCGCCATCCATTTCGCTCATTGACCTCGTTTTTCATGCGACAGATTGCTACTTCCGTTCTTTCTTTATGTCTAAAGGAGCTGTTCCACCTTCGGTTCATGCAAACTGACCCAAATTGGAGCAATTTTCTGTACAACCCGAAGACTCATGGGGTTGGTGCTTCGATTTCCCATCGCACAGTTTCCCATGATATGTTTTCATAGATTGAACTTATCGACTTTGGTGCATCGAGGAGGTATTCAAAGGAATTTATGGACTCATGGTACATGCTGCTTCAGGCTGCAATAGATGGTGACCGTGAGGGATGTAAAGATCACTCTCTAAAGATTGGGTATCTTACAGGAGAAGAAAGCCCCGTATGTCGAAGTCCCCCCAAAAGCGCCAAGTCCTTTCTGACATCTGCTGATCAGGAGATGCTAGATGCTCATATACAATCCCTTATACTTCTTGGTACACCCTTCAGTTCGAGAGTGCAGCAACCCTTCTCCTTCGCATCTTCCGAACAGAATGTAACAGCAAAGATCCGAGATCTCATTCCTTTCATGCTTAACAACCGTTTGACACCACCTCCACAAGAAACATACAGTTTGAACCGGAAGCTAAGTGGTGCTTTCCTGCTCTGTGGCCGTCTAGGTGCGAGAGTGGACTGTCGTGCTGTGTGGAAGAAGGAAACAGCTGGGTATCAGATAGGATAGGCGGTTGGGTCGAACGAGTTTACGATGAGTTGTTTCCACGTGCGAGGATAGGTATGATAGGATGACATGATAGGTATATTTCTAAGAAGTTTGCTATGATTAGACATGTGATGAAGATGGACAATCGGGATTGGGTAATGGAAGGAGTCAACCGAACATCTATTCGGTCTTTTCCTCCTTGACCTTGGCGCGAGCAGAATAGATTTCATCCGTGAATGGTCTACCAAAAACACTATTAGGACGCGTTGTGCGGGAAGGAGTAAAAGACTGACCCTTCGAAATGAAGCGCGAATCCATAGACAATATATACGAACGCGGTTATGAAAAGGCCTGCGGGGCGGCCATACCTAAAAATAGATTAATTCATCGAACCAGACTTACTTGAACTAGCAGCCTTCGATTGACATACCATAGTGCAGTCGCAGCGAAGCATATGGTACTGCCATCATACATTGGATCCGCCAAGATGTTGAATGGGAAACCTTCAACGCGGTGGTCCATTAGGATCCCAAAGTAGTCACCGAGATATGTCCCTAGGTAAACACGGAATATGCTCAGTGTTTGCGCAACAACCAATGCGAAGCATTCCATTACCTGTAAGACCAAGAGCCCATGTGGAACTGACCACCAGTATTTGGCCAGCGACGAAAAGGGCGACCGCAAGAGGTTTGGCAATGGCTGGATCGATGAGCTCATAGTATGGCTGGTTTTCTAATGCTTTGCGATACCTATGGCTCTCGATTAATTCTCTAATTACTTTTCAGAAGCAAGCCTTCCATGTGCTCACAATACGTCGCGAATTATACCAAGGCTGAAAATCGTGAAGGCCAGGGCATAGCATCCATAATAAGCATTCCCTCCGAATATTTTTGTAATAGTCTTATTTCTATGCTCTGGGGACAAAGCGAATTGAGGGGAAATGAGTCAAGGGTCATTGATGTGACACGTGTCTTAAGCCTCGTACCATTACGTGCGACGATGTTCCAATAAGTAGGATTGAAGGCTATTGACGCTAGCGCAACCCATAGTGACTTTTGGTCGATGTCTACTAGCGATTCAAAAGGGGGGATGCGGACACTCGTCATTGTTGCTTCAAGGAGTCCAGCGAGGGAAATCCACTCGAAATTCTGCTCAATTCAAACATTCGTGTCAGCTGACCACTTCCTCGTGCATTTGTTGGACGTCTGTGCACCTTTCTTGGACTTCCCGTCGCTCACGCAAAAATGCTGATCAGTTACTGTAATCTTGAGTTTAGGAGGCCAGCTGTGTCTTTGCGTGAGGCAACTTGCCGCAGCGGTTGCTCCAAGTGTTGGAAGGGAGCGCAGCAACCGTGCCGCGAGGCACGTGCTGTCATCCACATGTGACATGTTTCATCACATGGTCACATTTCTTTTCTATCACTTCGGACTTGTCCGCGACAGATATATATATATCTATTTATTTTAATCATATTTCTTTTCCTCAGTTCTCATAGTCGTATCACGCTTGAGGCTGAGACGGACTTTTCTCATAGACCTTCCATAGCCCGTGCGACTATTTCGTCACCTTCCGGCTTCGCTCATCGTGAGTTAACAACGGAAAGAAGCCGCAACAGGAACTGGGTATTTCCACCCTGAATTGTAGAGGAAGAACGGGAGTAACCTTCCATGCGGGGCATGATCTCATGGAAAGGGTCGAGGGCATGGCCCCTATGGACAATTACGTTTTTAAAACTGTGAGGAATCTAAGGGCTTTTCCCATAAAGGAGGAAATAGCTGTGTCGTTGCTTCGAGGCTTCAGTTCCCCAACGGGCGCTGAACCTACCGCAGGACTGCTCTTAGCGCCTATGGATGGTGACTGGAATATGTGATCGTGAAGAGAGTGGCGCTTGGCAAGGGCATTTTTCAAGGCTTGAGTCTCTGCGCTGCATGGGATTATAGGGTTTACTGGGTTCTCGTCGGTCGTCGTCCGGATGTGGTGCACAGGCAAAGTCCAGTTACGCGATAACTGATTCATACAGTTCTTCGATCTGTCATCACTCGTACAATACACCCTATCCCTGCAACCTCCGTCAACTGGGAAAAATGTCAAGAGTACTCTCTATTAGCTAGGAACTCCCACAGCATACCTTTTCATGCCAATTCAGGAGGACATTGCCATTCACATCAGCTAGTCCTTTCGCCCCCATCCCTTTGTAAATGTATTTCATCAGGGTGTCTTGCTGGTCTTGGTTGAGGGCCCGAAGTATTCCCGAAATGTCAGTAGCTTTCGTTGAGTTGAGGATCAGCAGAACAGAATTAAGAGCTAGTGACTAAAATGTATACAACGAATGGAAAATGGGTTCGAACGTTGGACTTCAGATAATCAGGTTGGCTGGTGGTGAAGAGGCTCGCGTACTTTGGCTTCATCCACTCCTGTGCCAAACGGCGCTTGGCTAAGTATTACGTTCAGTGCACTAGGGATGTCGCTTCTGAAATCGTAGCAAAGAGTATTTGCAAATGTCAAGCATTTGTTCCGTTGGCACGATCGACCAAAGAGACCGAATACAGCGCGACATACTTTGATAAGAATGATCGCACTTGGGCCGATTTTTGTTTCGTATCGTTGAGGATGATAGCCGCCCCCCTCGGATCAGGCTCGTATAGTTCGGATTCCACGAGGATGTCCTCCTCGAGTGCGTCGATGTCGATCTTTCTGAAGGCAACATCCATGCTGAATTCGAGCCAGAGAACACGTGATGAGACTGAAGAATTCCTTTCTGAAACGCGCGTTGAGTTGGTGAGGACTGCAGCATCACAAGCCACTCACGTACTTCCCTGCACGTTGGACATCTTTTTCTTACATATTAATGCCAGTGAGTGCAGTTCCTTGCTTCTCCGACACGTTGTGGGTATACAAGACGCCGAGCTCTCTTCCATTTTGATTTCAGAGCTCGCCCTGGTACCCCCTTCCTTCGTTCTTTCCCAACTACTTTTAAGCTTAGACTTGCAACGACATGCGGTCATTGTTTTCAAAATTTTCGCGCAATATTGGAGTGAAAAAGGAGGAGCGAAAAGAAGCGACATCAACCTCTCCAAGTACTTCACCAAAGAAAGAAAAGTTAACTTCTTTCTTGAGGCCGTCCACTCCATCTCCCACTCCACCGGGCCAGCCTCTCAGTGACGCAGGGAAGCTTTCGGGAGTATCTGGCGTTGGCTCCAAGTCTGTCCGAGGAAAAGCCAAGACAGAGGGCACCGGACTGTCCGTGGCGACCTTATTCCGGCCTCAATCGCGCGGGGATCTCAAGACTGCCAAACATGAGGCCGCCGCACCTCAACTGGACCTCAATTTGCCCTTGGATGCGTCCAATCTGGGCGCCCCAACCAATGCCAATGGGATTGATGAATTTGGAGCTTTGTTCAGCGACAACACCGCAGCTGCCAGTCAGCTTGCGGATTCGGAAATTGCAAACAAGTCATTGACCCCTGATGATGCGAATCGTCTGACGGTTGCTTCTTCCGCTGTTATTCGTGCTCAAGGTATGCTGAATGTGTAATTGATCCAAAGCTTGAATCGACGTGCTCCACCATCAGGCCTTGAAACATTGGGACTTTTCCATCCTCATTGGTTGTCGGCTTCACCTGGGAACCAGCGTAAATTGATTTCCCGGTTTATCTTAGCGCTCAAGGCAAACAACTTCACCAAGTTCGAAGCTGATTTGCGGGATGCGAGTCCCCAAGATGTAGCTCCAGTGTTGAAGTGGGGTTTGAGACATCTCGTCATTGAGAAGGGTTCCTTTGGTAGAGGAAATGCTGAGGACCAATGGGCCTGGTACCGTAGTTTCTCAGAGAAAGAGCGTGCTGCCTCGTTCCCAACTAACTCCTTCTCGAGTATCTTGCTCCCTTTACTCCCGAACTCTCATGGTGTTTTGTTGAAGAACCTGATGGAGCTCTTCGCATCCGTTGCTGCCCACGCAGATGGAAATGGCATGTTCAATACCAAACTCAGTAAGGTCCTTGCTTGGTGGATTATTAGTAATCGCACATCGCCTGGTATGAGCTTTGACAATTTCTATCGCGAATGGGATCGCACTGCTCGGATTTTAGAGCATGTCTTCCTTGCGTACATTCGGTAAGTAGGAACTCGCTGTCGTGTCGTGTCGTGTCGTGCCCCAACCCTTGACGTTGCAATCCTTTGTTAGTGATCAATCGCACTCTCAACAGCGGGTGCCTCTGAGACTCAAGCCACTCTATCAACCTTACCCTCCCGCCACCGTTTCCGATGGAGACACTTCGAACAAGGAAGCCGATTCTCGGCTTCCTCCAAAGCCCCGATTGACAACGAGAACTTTGGGTGCTTTGTTGGTCAAGCTAGAAGCACCATATGGACAATATACTCACGAGCGTGAAGTGAACCCGACGAAATTGGTAGAACATGCTTTGGAGACGACCTGGAAGACTTTCGCTGACGCTGAAGGGAAGGGCGCGGCGTTGTGGGAAGGTTTGAAGCAGGATATCACTAAAGCTCGATCGCTGAAGGCGGCGAAGGGTGCATCCGAGACGGCCAGTTTACTTCCAGTAGATAGTTCCCCATCCCAGGCTTTCCTTCCCGTTTTCTCTGACACCACCACCCATTGGCTGAAGCTAGCGGAGCCCATCGCTTCCACAACCGATGCTCCGTCACCCCCTTTGACGCCCCCTCCAGCCTCACCCGAAGCAGATGCAAGCTCTTCATTCCGTCGGCGGCGTTCATTCTCGTCCCCGGAGGCCACCCACGACCCTTCGTCTGGAAGCGGCCTTCAGGTGTTACATGAAGACCGCCAGCTGCATTCATTCGAAAAGGCTGCTTCGGCCTCAAATCTCATTTCTGGTGGTCCGGACTCTGAGGACTGGGATGTGTTCTCAAGTGCGGGCTTTGGCACCTCACCGAACTTAGGCACTGACAGCCTTGCTCAGTCATTGGTTGGACCGAAGCTTGCGAGTAAATATGTCCAACCTCGCAAATCTTACTCTTCTGCAACTTCGAAACGCAAGCAAACTCAGCCTCTCGCATTGGCCAATACACGCCCATCCTCTGATACAGTCATAATTCCGACTCCACGCATTCGCCCATCGAATGACAGTTACCGAATGATTTCCCCGTCCATCACTCAGATTGATGAGGCGTTCATTGATACTTGGGCAGACACGTTGCTTGATCCTAGTACCGCTAAGAAGTGGCCCGATTTTGGGCTATTTCAGTTGAAGGAAAAGCGTTCTGAAGTCGAATGGGTCATTGTTGAGCGCACGGTTGCTCCTCGGCCCAAGACCCCAGAACCTGTCGAGGAATCCCCAAGAGCAGTCTCACCTGGACCCTCTGTCGCCCCATCCAATCATACTAGCAAGTCCAGAAACAAGGTCTTCGGCTCTCCTACGGGTAGGAAGAGATTCAGCCTTTTTTTCGCACGCGCGACGAGTTTTTCGTCATCTCAGGTTGAATTACCACGACCTTCGATCAATCCCTCTGTCGTAGACGAGGACGTGAAAGATGCGAAGCCAGCACAAGCGGAAGCGATGGCAGCTGTGACCTCCACCCGTAAAGAGTCTAAGGAGGCTCCTTCACTCGCGGAGAAGGTGAAAATTGAAGGTGCTCCCGTCCTCCCAAGTATTCCCGGCGACCTTCTGTCATCTGCCTCAGACGACATCAAAAATGTCGTCGAACACGTAAAAAGTGATAACACTACCACCGCAGTGCCCGAAGCTGTTGCCCTGGAGCCTACGAAAGACTCTGCACTGGTGGAGGTTGATCAGATCGAAGAACCTAAGGTGGAACCGACGCCTGAACATCCCGCCGAGCCCGAGGATCTCAAATCTCCCGAAGACCCGGCATCTGCAGCTCCGGAACCTGGCGCACCGAGGCCATCAGAGAAGACCAGTGATTCCGCCAATGTTGCGGACGATACGTTAGCCTAACTGATTGTTCTGATCAAGGTATCGATCTTTCACGCTAGCTCTGGGGGCATTATTTTCTGATCTGACCTTTGGGTGGAAAGCTTCCCATCCGACATTATTCTTTTCGTTTCTTCGTTACATAGGGTCTGTCTTGGATCATCTCCATCCCCGCTATTTATTCGGTAAACCTTCCTCGGTGCGACCACTCAAAGCGCTCCTTAGTCATTCGTTAAATCGCCCTCGAACCCCTACATCTCCCTCCCCGCCATATGCACACGTAGTTCTGCTTTCTTGTCTCACACCAGCAACACACACTCTTTCCTACCATGTCTTGATTCCCTTCCAACGTTTATAGCCTCCGTATTTGCACTGATTCTTTTTTCTTTCGCTTCCTTGTGGAGAAAAACCATGACTAGCTCGATTTTTACGTCAGTTTTTTTCATACCATTCACGGTCCCACTGACAATTTTGTCAGTATGAGGATACCCATTACCATTTGATTAATAGTGCGAATTTCAACATTCAACTACAGCATATCCACGAATTAAGGCTGACTAATTGTGACTTGAGAGAGATGGGTATCTGAGTGGCTTCGCTCCGTTGCTATTGCCAATCCCGTCTGTCAACCACTGAACTTTGTCCCATCCAGCATCACCATCAACAAATTGGCATTTACGACTAGTGAATTTGAGTGCGTATGCTCCTGCTCTCCGAAGGCGGGTGCACGAAGAGCAGTAGAGCATGGCCAGGGTATTACATTTGTACATTTAACGTGAGCCCTCTAGGTGACCTGACCCATTCTGCGGCATAAGTGGTTGAGAGAACAGAAGACGTATCCCACATTGGGAAATGTCGTGGTGAGACAAAGCTGGTGTCATCATTTGAGCCTGACCATCGGAAGTGCACTATCCTCTGCTCCTGATGTGAGCACGGCAGGACACAAGTGCGAGCTCCTCTAACCTGGAAAAGTGAGGACATGTTTTGATCGCTGGCCTTCGTTGGGTTGCGGGTACAGTGCCCTACTCGTCACGGCTGGAAGTTGAAGGCGAGATTTCGAGTCCGCGGAGGACAGAGCTGTCACTGGCCGTGAGGGAAGCCGTTCTTGGACGTACAATAATTCTATTCGTGATGTTGAGACACGCGTGTCGCATAGCGTGACAATTTTGATCGATCAAGTTTCAAAGAACTCAATGAAGTGCCTCGGAGGTCAGGTGGATGTATTGTTACGTATATAATCTACGGTGACCTTGATGGTCGTCCACACACTAGTGCGACATGTCGGAATTTCCAACGTGACGCAATGGCGCACGAGAGATTGTGAACAGGATGGGAATAACTAATGGGAGCTCAGGAGGTGCCGACAGGGGTTGGAACATAATTCTAGACTTTTACCCTGCGCGTTGCCTATTTGACTTCATGACGCAAATATCAATAAACAACAATCGGCTGGGCAACCGTACGATATCAAGATTGAACGTCCGTTGAATCGGCAACGCTGCACGTAATAATCATACCACTCATTTGCGCAGTGTCCACCACGTCCTTGAAGGATGGCTGGAAAGCAAGTAAGGAAGGCCACTCTTGGCTCAGAACATGAATAGGACTGACCGTGCTTAGATTGGCAAGTTTCGCCAATGGGCTGGAGAGAAGCTCGGAAGCGCGACGAACAAGGGTGCCCTCACTGAAGATTTCAAAGTGAGTCGTGCTCTTCATCGAGTTACACCTGACGTACTTATTCCATTTCCTTAGGAATTGGAGCTCGATGTCACTTTGCGAAGCGCAGGGTAGGGCCACCACATTTTCTGAATCCTCGAGCTAACATGTTTCACCCCTCAGTGTTGAAAGGTTCTAGTGGAGTTCCGACGCTCGGTGGACGTTACACTGACCCACCACACCAGACTTTCCACCGTATCTCAAGCATATATCAAGGCGCTTACCAAGAAACTTGATATTGACATCGACTCAACAAGTGGGAAGACTCTTCCTGCTGAGGCGCTCGGCCTCGTGATGATTGGTCATGGAGACGAGTTCGGCGAAGAATCTGTGTATGGTACGCCATCCAAGTATCGTACAACAGCGCCAATTTCAATCACCCATATGCATTCAGGCCAGAGCCTGGTCAAATTCGGCCGTGCTCACTGCAAGATTGCAAACATTCAGGAAGAATTTGCAAACACGTTTACATCAACTTATGTGCATAGCTTAGAAGAACAAATCGGATCTATTAAAGAGTATCAGGCTCAACGCAAGAAACTAGATTCGAGAAGGTAATGCATCTGCCCTGTCATTTCCCATGATAATATAATCTTACATCGCGACGCAGGTTGGCTCTAGACGCTTCGTTAGCTAAAGCTAGCAAGGTTAGGAAGGAAAAAGATAAAGCTGAAGCTGAACTAGAAGTCGAGGTGGCTCGGAAGCGATAGTAAGAGTTTTTAGCTTCCCCCCTGCTTGCGCTAATTCTGGGAACTATCAAGTGATGAAATCTCAGAAGAGGTTCAGGAGCGTATGGTATCGATCCAGCAGCATGAAAAGAAGCAACTGGCAGATTTGATGGACCTCTTAAAGCTGGAAATGGAGTATATTGCAGATCATCACAAAACTTTGCTGGATCTGCAGGCAGAATGGCCCGATATGTAAGCAAACATGCATTTCTTCACGGCCGTGTTACACTTTTGAATACTCCGAATCCAGCAACATGGTTTCACAGGCCCCCACTCGTCGTCCACAAGGGGGTCCCCATACGTTCACAGACCTTAAACCCAAGCGGCAAGCTAGGCGCTCTATTCATCGCAGTCCATCGTCCTCTCCGGTCAGCTACCCCTCTAATGACACTCCTCATCGACACCCCCTCGCGGAAGATCGATTCGGTTCCCAGCGTGACCGCGCTCAGTCTGTGCCGTCAAGCCTTACACGTAACCGCAGTGACAGCACAGCTACGAGCAGTGGGTACGCTAACGGTCCATCAGCCAAAATATCCAGTTGGATGGGGAGCATGACCAGCCGCAGCCGGGGGAATAGTTTGAGCAAGAAGAATTTCCAGGAACTAATGGATGATGAGCTGGAGCGTCCTAAAATGCCTCGTTCGCGCCCAGGTTCCATTCGCACCCGTAAACCGCCCCCGCCGCCACCTGATTCTGGCATCGACAGGCGTTCATCATCGAGCTCTTCGAGAAACCGTGGTCCTTATCGTCTTGTCCAGGTCCGTGCGCTGTATGACTTCTTTAGCTCTGCAAAGGGGGAGCTTGAGTTTCATAAGGGTGACATCATCACCTTGATCGATCCTTCGCTCACCAGTGAGAAACTTATGGATGAAAGTCATAATGATTGGGTGGACGGTGAGCTCAATGGGGTCACTGGCTTGATACCCCTCAGCTATACGGAGGTTGTCAAGGATGATCATGGTTCCCAGGACACACGTCCATCGCTCGACCGTTTCCATACGAAGAGTACTATCAAAGCTAATCGATCGAAAAACGTATTTTCTGATTCTGAGGACGGTGGGAACTTAACTCAAAGTGCATTGAGCGATGAAGACGAAAAATCTGCGCTCCGACCCAATGCATATGTCCAATCATCGTATTTTCTGCCAAACCCTGACTCTAAAAATCATTTGAATCGCCGAAGTACCAGTTCCCCCGAGCTTGTGCTTAGTCCTCGCGATCACTCCTCGTTCGCAGATATTTCATACCCATCATCCCCTGTTGATTCGCACCTCCAATACCACCAACAGCTCCTTATTCAACAGTTCCAGCATTCTAGTAGAAACCGTTCCGGACTTAATAAGTACACTACAGCACCTCATATTTACAGCTCCGCAGACGAAGGCGATACTCCGTCTATACATCACCAAGAGTTTGACGTCCGAGACAACCAAGATGCACTCCTTCGTGCCCCTCAGCGTCGACTCTCTGACCTTCCGCCTCTGGATCTCAATACTCTTTCTTTGAATAGGGCAAATGGCGCACAGGAACGCCCTGCGCTGGCCCTTCGCGTGAATACCTCTTACCGAAAACCACCTCCGCCTCCGCCACCTCCGTTCCGGCCCCGAGCGCCGACTCGTGCTCAGACTGTGGCGGCATTGGGCCCTCCCCCTGTTCCACCTCCACTCGGGCCTCAGCAGGTTCAAGCCGGAATCGACACAAGTGGGTCCCCCTTTGGCAATTGAGTGAGGGTTGGGTGGAAGTCCTATGTATACTTGTCTGGGTGAGTTACGTGATGATGGGTGTGGGTGTGATCGACATGTCGTACATTGGCAGTAATTGTACATTCCCAACGCTACTGTGTACATGTGTAATTTTTGTGCCATTAGTATTACAGCTCAGTTTTAGCTGCATACCTTGACTTTATAATATGTGTGAACCATTCCTTCGGCGGCTGAGACCATCAATTCTGGTGTTATGCATGTATGCTGTGTTTATGCCCCGATCAGAAGCTACCCATCGGTGAAATCCCCCAATGTTTCTTAGTGAAAGATTGATTCTGATCAGGGCAACCGGCCAGAGCTGCCAGCTGCAGTTCCCTAGGTTGAGAGAATCAGCAAAATCGAACAGCCCAGCATATATTGTAGGCTTTACTATATATGGCAGCTCGGGCCTTCCAATCGAGTGTTTATTGTTAACTACGTCGGGTTTCCAATCACTGGTCCTGCTGTCACCTAGCCCGAATCCCCGCCTTGGCTCAGATCCGCTCACGTGGGTTGGGTTGTTAAGGTCTCATCCTTCACAGGAAGGCGTCAACACTCAAGAGGTGTCCATTCCCACCTGGCAGGCAACCCCAGTCGGCTGTGGCTCTCCTTGGGACCCCGACCCCGTTCCTTCATGGCAAGCAGCACATGCGAACTGTCAATACTATAGGTCCCATGTTAAATGGAAGGGCAACTCTACCCTTCACTTTGATAAGTCGGGAACTGCCATCAGCAGGTGTTGGGGTTGTCAACTTGTTTGATGGATCGAGATCACAAGTGAAGTTCGAATCGCTCGCCACGAAGGAAGCTCTGCAGGCGGATACCTAGTTACTGTGGTATTCGCTTGCGTTAGACTCGTTTCTAACCTGCCCTTTCGCGCAGTGGTGGGCTTCGGATGCTTCTTGTGGTCAATTGCACGGTGTACATTAGCCTAAATTGGTGTTTGCCTTCACTAGCTTCAGGTCTACAGTGCCTCTATCACTATCATAGGCGGCGTGGAACTGGAGCAATTCCGCATCGCAAATTCAGTACGACATATTCGATGTGATACATTTCTTCCTTGGGAATGGAGGAGCGCCACGCGTAGGACTGGCCGTTTTCGAAGGCTCACTTGGCGGTCCCCGAGAGCCGTCCAAATTAGACTGCTCGGGTCAGCAGTCCAACTCACTCAACTAGACAGACACATCCCATCACTTGTAGCAGAGATGGCGATGCGTTGTAGGATAGAGCGGGCGATCAAGATGGATTGATTCGCGGGAAACGCAAAGTTAGCATAAAAGGCGGGGACTTGGGAGCGAATGTAGGCATTCACGGACCCCAACCTTTTTCTACGTTGTTTGTCTCATGCCTCGCTATGGCTTCACTGTCCTCTCGTACATTGCAGCCGTCCTGGTCCTCATGCCTTTCCAGTCCCACTGGCGGGCGAGGAACATTGCGACGATAGCGCTCATGGCATGGCTATTTATCGTTAACCTTTTACAAGGGACGGGCACTATAATTTGGGCGAACACTGCCAGGATCGTGGCACCGATCTATTGCGACGTTAGTGAGTTGAACCGCCAGCTCCAAGCGGCTTTGTAAGCCATTAGGAGGCTGACGGAGGCCTCGGGGCGACCGTTATAAGGTAACCTGCTGCGGGTTGCCGGTGGATGGGCGTTACCAGCAAGTGCATTATGTCTCACTAGATCTCTTGCGAATGTGGCTTCGCCAAATTATACGCCTACCGATTTGGATGGGAAGCGGAAACGTTTTTGGTTTGAGATCACGATGTGCGTCTTCATGCCCTTTGTTTACGCCGGTCTACGTAAGTTGCCTCCCGGGATTTGGATACACGCTAAAGGATCTATATGTCTAGATTACATCACCCGGGAAAATCGATTTCATATCAGTGAATCCGTCTGACCCATGCTTCGATTCACTGCTCTGACATTTTTCTGCTCTTCAGTTGAAGATTTCGGCTGTCAAGTTGATACATATTTCAGCTGGGTAGCGATCTGGCTTGTCTACATTCCGTCTCTCACTATTTCCATCATCTCGGCTGTACATGTTGGTAAGTTGCGGTTTTCGCCTAAAGGGAGTGCCAAACTCGCCAATTGGTGATAGGTATTGCGATGTACTGGCTAACGCAACGCCGTGCACAGCGCGCAGAGCTATTCTTTGTTTCCCATTCCGGACTCACTACCACCCGGTATTTCCGGCTTATGGCTCTTGGTTTGACGGAGGTCATCATTGATCTCGGTGTCAACTTATACGTCTTTATCAGCAAAATTTCGCTTAATCCCATACAACCTTGGGTGAGCTGGGAGTATGTTCGCCACCGCATCAGCACAACCTCTCAGTCCAACGACGCTTCCATCTCTCCCGGCGTAAAGCTCCGACTTGTTGCAATGTCCACTATCCCCATTACTACAGCATTCGCTTTCTTCATGTTCTTCGCGTTTGGTGAAGAGGCTGTTGCCGATTACAAGAGGAATTGGACACTGGTCAAAATTTACATTTTCCAGCTTGAACCTTCAATCACCCCTAGAGAATATAGAGGTCCCACATTTTTTCTGTGCGTACCTTTCTCCCGTGAGCAAGGATTTAAATTCGCGTGGCTAACGTTATGCCTCATTATTGAGAAACCCCGGGGAAGGTGTTAGCCCTATCGAGACGCACACTCATACACTGGAAGCTCGCGGTGTACAGTTGGGACCCGGACTCGTAGGAGATCTCGACGACGACCACAATAGCGTGTTTCTCCCTCCGTGACATCGAGGATCCAAAGCTCACTGTGCCTGATCCCAACCCCACCACAACCGCCGAACCCGTGGATCAGCGATGGCTGACAAGATTAGCGTCTCGCTATTGAGGACGTTCGCGATATGTGATAATGCTGGGAGTCAAAGTTCGATATGTATCCCGGACACACGGAACAACCAGAACCCCAACAGCAAGTCGCTGGATCGACGCCACATGCTTTATAAGCGCAATTTAAAGGAGTATCAGATGCCAGATCGTGAATGCTCAAGGCTGTTGGGTGCGAAATGATTTCTTTTGTCTTTCCCCCGTCATGTACCCATTCTATTCTACTTATCATTCCAACGAGTGTCGTGCCAGCCTCGAAGAGAAACGCGACAGCAGTGTGTGATAATGTTTTCTTACTGGCGCAAGCATCAACAAGTCACACGGAGGTACCCGGCGCGGCACCCACAAATAATGGGAACCAGACTCCACCTTGCTTTGGGGTGCCGCCATGCGAACTCACGTACTAGGACTCTGTGTGCAAGCCCTGGCATGCGCGCCCCTCGGGATCTGCACGACTATATAAGGATCAAAGTAAGATGACACCTGCTCTTGATGCCATCAGTCATCATTTCCAACACAATATGAACAGCTCGCTTTCGTGAATCAGCTTGTAAAATTGCTATGCAGCCAACAACAACTTAAGTCAGTGAGACTGGACTAGTACAGGCACGAAGGCAAAAATTGGAAAGATCAAACCTATGCACTTTCTGTTGATATGGGATACTATTGCGAGCATGTGGTTCGCCCGCAAGAATGGTTCCGATGGCCGATGACCGAATAACACGTCCCGAGCCGTTGCTTATTTTCAGCGAAGTCGGTGGAATTAATAAAGAATATTTAATCCTTGTCGATAGCAAACAGCACACACAGATCCGATTGCTGGGGGACGCAGGAGAATATTGATTTATATAGTTCATCCTCAGAACTGCATGTATCACCCAACTATTTTTCTCCAAGTTGTTTGTTTGCTATTTACTCTAGGCATTTTGCCTGTAAACTGCACGCTCATATCCATCTCCTCTGTTTGTTGGTGTCAGTGTCCACCATGAGTTGATGCAGGTGGAACTAATAATGAAGAAATTGGTTGGGTTTCCTTTTCTCATCCGCTTTCGTTCAGAAGAGATCCGCACGTCAATAGAAGCTCTCAGTTAAACATATTGATCCATCTTCGCTTCAGTCTCTCTACTCCCTAAGAGGGGCCGGCCAGGGCATGCCGATATGATGGTGATGCAAGCTTGCAGCCGCGCTCTTCGAAAAGAAGGGGTGCCCCTAGGATTGTAGTGCAACTAGCAAGTTTGAAGTGGTTCCTTTGTCCCTCGAGATGTTAGGATCTTGATTGGTGTCATGAAATATCTGATTCGAAGCAACAGGACACAATTTAAACATGTGGCGCTGAAATGGAAGGGGGAAAGGAGACAGACAACGGAGATTATATCAGAGGCCTTTAGCCATTGGAGAAAGCAGGGAACATGTGATATGGGGGATGGCTATATTGGAAAGCACAGTTTGGGGGCGGTTGAGTAGGGCTAAGTGGCCGATATCTAAGCAAAAAAACTCCGAGTGTTCCAAGCCTAATTTGCGCGCGATGTTGATTTATAAGATCGATTACCATCAAAGCTTAGGGGAAGCCCCTGGGTTGATTCCCGAGGCCAATGTTGGTAATGAGATGTGAATGTCGTCGGCATTTATCGATGCGCGCTGGCGTGGGTGTGACGTAGCAGGTATGAGGAATGTGGGGGGAGGCACGGCTAATGGAGGATGAATGAGTTCGGTGGGCTTGGGGTTTTCAATGTCTGCGAGAGACACAAAGTCGCTGTCATCATCATCGTGACAATTCATACCCCTCCTTGACCCAGACTTCGACTGGGTACTACCATCCAACGCTGTGTGAGCAGGCATCTCGTGCTTCCTATCATCGACGCCACTCGATTTTCTGCACAACGTCAGGCCTTAAGCATTCACTTCCAGAAAAGCAACGTACTTGGCAGGAATCCGAACAATCGTGTGTTCATGTCCCATAACTGTGGCAGGACGGCCCATTCGGAAAATGTGAGTCTTGATCCAGGCCCAAAATTTCTTGTAGTCCGCAATCGCCTCTCGACCAAACCCAAAGATACAAAAGAATGCGAAACCCGAGTTAATGGGGATAGTGAATATCACGGTATTAAATGTCTTTATCTGCGGAGTCATGCTAGCGTTGGTGGCCTTCCCGATTACACCATAGTGGTAGTGAACTCGTGCCCAGCTGACTGAATGTTCTATACCGCCCAACTTCAAATCGGTAATGAGGACATATAAGTTCATCCCGAGATCGGTGGCAACCTCTGCCAAACCGAGAGCCATAAGTCGGATATATTGGCCTCTAGTGAGCCCAGAAGGCGAATCAGTAAGCAACCTGCGGCATGTCACGCTGTATCGCGCCAGCCGATACATTGCAATACCTGGGATGGATGGTCAAAATCCGATTCTTGCGCCCCAGTGAAGACATGAGGCGTACCAACATAGACTGAGGAGATGAAGGAAAGGGCAACAGAAGAAGCATATACGAGACAGATTGCTACCCAATTGAAGTATGTATCAGGCTGACAACCAAAATCCTCCACTAAGGATTGAGTGGGATGTGAGAATGGTTCTTCAAGTCATGGGTCAGATGCACCCACAGATGTCGAACCTATCGCCCTGCACAACATAATCTATCCATAATACTGAGCACGCTGCAGTGGAACCAGACTCAAGATATAACTCACGAAGGCCAGCGTAAACGAATGGCAAAAAGACACACATCGTCATCTCGAACCAGAAACGTTTTCGTTTTTCTCTGAGGCCACTAATAGCATGGGTTGGGGAAGTTATACTCGCAAGATATCGTGTGAGACAGACAGCACTTGCTGGTAACCCCCACATAGCAGCAACCCACAGTAAGTTGCCTTGCAAGAACCAACGACAAAGTCCTCCGTCAGCCTCTCAAGCACCAATCTGAGGCTGATCATTCTTACCAATGTCACAATAAACCGGCGCCACAACCCTTACGTTATTTGCCCAAATTATCGTGTTTGTCCCGCGGTAAACATTGAGTATGAACAACCACGCTATGATTGATAAAACTGAAATGTTCCCCGCCCGCCATTGCGAAGGTGATGGTATTATAACCAACACAGCTGCGATGTATGAGAGAGCTGTGAGCCGGTAGCGAGCCATTAGGAGACAAATGCGATATGAGAAGAGTTTGTGTACAGGAAGAAACAAGTTGGAAGGGAGGGGGGATGAATTTACGGGAGGAAGTACGTTGTATGGTTAAACATTTTCTAGTAGGCTTGCCCGTAAAGATTGGACAAGGACATGAGGACCGGCGCTCCTCATATCCCAATAATCAATATGTTCCTTCTTCAGCTGGAGAGGGGGTACTTCATCACCGCCAATGGCAATGGAGACTCATTCACCAATATCACAATATGAGTTAAGGCACCATCCACCGCCGTCGCTGGATTCGGGTGATCCCTCAAGCCACACGAAGGCAGTCGAGTCCCACGATACGTTATGACACTGTCCTGCTCGGCCATGAACGCAACACCGCCGCCTCTGCTTTCAGTTTTCTGAACTCCCACGTAGTGTGATCGAGGCGGCTGAGCAGTCGTTGGCAGTGTGGCACGTTGTATAAGCCAAGGAAGGCCATCAACTCCCGTTTGTCGTTACCAGCCCGAGTAGCTGGGCTCCAGATATTGCTACTTCGGGCCACATGTAGAGTCGCACTGGTTTGATTCCACACCTTCCTGTAACGACCAAAATGTGACAAAGTTCTCATCTCAGTTCGATTCCCACACTCACGTGAATTAACGGCCGTCTAGAATCACCGGGTATCAAAGACAGAATTGATAATCATCATCAAGCCGCCACAACACTACCAACATGACCCCCCTGCACGCCGCAGACACAGCTTTTCAGCATGGGCCGGCGCACCCTGTGCTCGTAGGCTTTTTTATCTTGCGTTGGCGAGAAGGCGGAAATGTGTGCGGGTGAGCTTGAAAGAGATAAGAGCGAGCATCAAATAAATCAGTTGGATCCCCTTAATTTCTCCAGCCCATCCCGTTCGCGTATCAGCACAAGCTCTTAGATAGGTTGACCCATTTTTCGCCAAACATTGATCAAGTTCCCATTCGATTTTCGGCTCCTTGATGAGAGGGCCCGGCCATATGCCGATATAATAGCGATGTAATCGGCACTAGGAGTGCTGCCCCGCCGTCTGAAAGGAGTTTGGTCCTCGAGATATCAAGAAAGACCCATCAGCTTCAAATTTGATTTGATGATTCAAAGCAAGAGCATGCAGTTCTGACACGTCCCAGGGAGACAGGAAGCAAAAATTATGGCAATGAACAACGCAGTTCTCCAACGATTCAAGAATGCAGAGACCATAGAGTTCCTGTGGCATGGGGGGTGAAAAGAAATATAGACCACATCACGCCGGAAACAGGAGGGGGGCTAATTGATGGATGTTCAAGGCGAATATAGACAACGAGCCTGAGAGGGTATGAAGCGCAATTACTTTTGTTGATCTACAAGATCCACTGCAGTCAGACCTCAGAGCAGCCCCCGCGCTGTTTCTCGATGCCGTTGTTGATAACGATATATGGATCTCGTCGACATTCATCGATGCGCCGAGTCGATGTGGACGCAATGCAGCAGGCATGAGGGATATGGGGGACGAGTGAACTCGCTGCCACCATCACCACCATCACACCTCATTTCCCTCCCCGACTCAGAAGTCAATTCGATACTTTGATCCTCCGCTATGGACGCAGATATCGTGTACTTGTTGATAGGACCATCGACGCCCCCAGATTTTCTGTGAAATGTCAGCTTCAAGCCCTTACGCATTTGCTTTCAGAGAGCAACATACCCAACGGAACTTTGGGGAGTTGTGTGTTCATACTCCCCGACCATGCTGGAACGGTCGATCCGGAAAATGTGGAACTTGACCCAAGCCCAAAGTCTTTTGTAATCGGCAATCGCCTCTTGACCAAATGCAAAGAGGAAAAAAAATGCGAAAGCCGAGGTGATGGGAATAGTGGATGCGACGATATTGGCAATCTTTGCCTCTGGAGTCATGATAGCGTTGGTGAACCCCCTTATTTGGCCATAATCGGCGTGAACATATGTCCAGCTAACCGAAGGTTGTATATGTACAAGCTTCAAATCGCTAATGAGGACAAATAGGTTCATACCGAGATCGGTGACGACCTCTACCAAACCGAGAGCCATAAATCGGAGGTATTGAACATTAGTGAGGCCAGAGGGTGAATCAGCGAGCAGCCTGCGACATGTCGCGCGGTATCGCACTAAACGATACACCGCAATACCTGGCATGTATGATCAGTCCGATTCTTGAGGGACAGTAACGAGATGAGTCGTACCAACATAGACTGCGGAGATGAACGAAAGGGCGACGGAAGGAGCATATACGAGCCAGATTGCTAGCCAATTGAGGTATATGTGAGGCTGGCAACCAAGATCCTCCACTAAAGAGTTTTTGGAGGGGAAGGGAATGTGAGAATAGCTCTTCGAGTCATGGGTCAGATCCACCCACGAATATCGAATCGACGACCCTCCACAACATAATCTATCCATAATACTGAGCACGCTGCAGTAAAACCAGACTCAAGATATAACTCACGAAGGCCAGTGTAAACGAATGACAAAAAGACACACATCGTCATCTCGAACCAGAAACGTTTTCGTTCCTCTTTAAGGGCGATAATAGCATGGGTTGGAGAAGTCACACTCGCAAGATATCGTGTGAGACAGACAGCGCTTGCTGGTAATCCCCACATAGCAGCAACCCACAATAAGTTGCCTTGCAGGAACCAACGACAAAGTCCTCCGTCAGCCTCTCAAGCACCAATCTGAGGCTTATCATTCTCCTCACCAATGTCACAATAAACCGGCGCCACAACTCTTACGTTATTTGCCCAAATTATCGTGTTTGTCCCGCGGTAAACATTGAGTATGAACAACCACGCTATAATTGATAAAATTGAAATGTTCCCCGCCCGCCACTGCGAAGGCGATGGTATTATAACCAACACAGCTGCGATGTATGAGAGGGCTGTAAGCTCGTAGCGCGCCATTTGGAAACAAAGAGGGGCTTGCTCACCATCATCCTCCACCCAACCTCCTCGGTTATTTGAACACTTTCAAGCTCAAATATACCGTGACTGATGTGCCTGAAGAGTCGATGTGCAAGTGAAGATAGGCCATTCAGTGATTTACCTGGGACGCCGCCGCGTTCAGTACAGCTTCCTTTATCAAGTGTCTGGCTCTCGTGACCTCTGCATGTTGCAATTTCTCGGTGTTGTGTAGCCGATCTTCGGGCAAGGCTGAGCTCAAGGTGCGCCGCTCCAGGTCCCTGTGCAGAACTCAGCTTTTCTAGTATGGCTTTGCCTTTACATTCCCATTTTTGAGGGGAACATCTTGTCGTAGATTTTCGTTGAGGACTACCCGTAGGGTACGAATGTTGTGTTATACGATGATGATTATTCTATGCTGACAAGTTAAGAGATATAGTTTCGTCGAAACCAGCGCAAAGTATAGTATCAAAGGGCCCTTTTGCGAACTAGTACGACCCTCCACCGCGGCTTCTTTGCCCCGACGACCGCGGTCCGCATGCAGACCTCCTCTTTCGTCTTGAAGGAGGCCTAATATTTACACATTGGTTAAAGCACACAAAGCAAATGTCGTGCGATCCCTCGCAACTCCGTCTAAAGATGCAGTCAATCATCCCGAAACAATCGAATTGGGTGATGCGTTAGACCCTCGTTTACCGTGCTGATCAGTCCCATTGCATGCATCGATCGATGGGCTGCGACTGAGCAGTCATTGGCAGTGTGGCACGTTGCATAAGCCAAGGAAGGCCATCAACTCCCATTTATCGTTACCAGCCCGAATGGCTAGGCTCTAGATATTGCTACTTCGGTCCACACGTGGAGTCGCATTGGTTTGATTCTATCAAGACAACAATCATCATCAAGCCGCCACAACACTCCTTGCAACGCCGCAGACACAGCTTTTCAGTCTATCAACTATGGACCCGGTGCACCCTGCGCTTGTAGGCTTTTATATTGCGCTGGCGAGAGGCGGAAATGTGTGCAAGTGAGGGCCCCAAAGCTTGAAAGAGATAAGAGCGAGCATCAAATAAACCAGTCGGATCCCCTTAATTTCTCCAGCCCGTCCCGTTCGCGTATCAGCACAAGCTCTTAGATAGGTTGAGCCATTTTGCACCAAACATTGACCAAGTTCCCATTCGATTTTCGGCTCCTCGATGAGAGGGCCCGGCCAGGATATGCGGATATAATAGCGATGTAATCGGCGCTAGGAGTGCTCCTCCGCCGTCCGAAAGGAGCCGGGGCTAATTTGTTCCTCAAGATATCAAGAAAGACCGATTAGCTTCAAATTTGATTTGATAATTCAAAACAACGCAGTCCTTCAACGATTCAAGAATGTAGAGATCATAGAGCTCGGGGGATAGAAAGAGAAATACAGACCACACCACGCCGGAAACCCTCATCTGAAGCGCAGTTTGCGGGTTTGTTAGAAGGGGAGGGGGGGCTAATTGATAGATGTTCAAGAAGAATATAGGCAATGAGTTTGAGAGGGTGTTACTTTTGTTGATCTACAAGATTCACTGCCGTCAGACCTCAGAGCAGGCCCCCGCGCTGTTTCTCGATGCCGTTGTTGATAACGATATATGAATCTCGTCGACATTCATCAATGCGCCGAGTCGATGTGGGCGTAATGCAGCGGGCATGAGGGATATGGGGGGACGAGTGAACTCGCTATCACCACCACCACCATACCTCATTTCCCTCCCCGACTCAGAAGTCAATTCGACACTCTGATCCTCCGCTGTGGACACAGATATCGCGTACTTGTTGATAGGACCATCAGCGCCCCCAGATTTTCTGTGAAATGTCAGCTTCAAGCCCTTCCGCATTTGCTTTCAGAAAGCAACATACCCAACGGAACTTTGGGGAGTTGTGTGTTCATGCTCCCCGACCATGCTGAAACGGTCGATCCGGAAAATGTGGAATTTGACCCAAGCCCAAAGTCTTTTGTAATCGGCAGTCGCCTCTTGACCAAATGCAAAGAGGAAAAAAAATGCGAAAGCCGAGGTGATGGGAATAGTGGATGCGACGATATTGACAATCTTTACCTCTGGAGTCATGCTAGCGTTGGTGAATCCCCTCATTTGGCCATAATCGGCGTGAACATATGCCCAGCTAACCGAAGGTTGTATATGCACAAGCTTCAAATTGTTAATGAGGACATATAGGTTCATACCGAGATCGGTGACGACCTCTATCAAACCGAGGGCCATAAGTCGGAGGTATTGAACAGTAGTGAGGCCAGAGGGTGAATCAGCGAGCAGCCTGCGACATGTCGCGCGGTATCGCACCAACCGATACATCGCAATACCTGGCATGGATGATCAGTCCGATTCTTGAGGAGCAGTGGCGAGATGAGTCGTACAAACATAGACTGCGGAGATGAACGAAAGGGCAACGGAAGGAGCGTATACGAGCCAGATTGCTAGCCAATTGAAGTATATGTGAGGCTGACAACCAAGGTCCTCCACTAAGGATTTTTTGGAGAGGAAGGGAATGTGAGAATGGCTCTTCAAGTCATGGGTCAGATCCACCCACGAATATCGAATCGACGACCCTCCACAACATAATCTGCCCATAAGACTCAGCGCGCTACCCAGTAAAACCAGACTAAATGTATAACTCACGAAGACCAGCAAAAACGAAGGGTAAAACAACACACATCGTCATCTCGAACCAGAAACGTTTTCGTTCCTCTTTAAGAGCGATAATAGCATGAGTTGGAGAAGTCACACCCGCAAGATATCGTGTGAGACAGACAGCGCTTGCTGGTAACGCCCATATAGCAGCAACCCACAGCAGGGTGCCTTGCAGGAGCCCAATGAGTCCTCCGTCAGCTCTTCAAGCACGGATTCGAGGCTGGCCACTGTTCTCCTCACCGATGTCACAATAGACTGGCGCCACAATTCTTATGTTATTTGCCCAAATTATCGTGTTTATGCCCCGGTAAACGTTGAGTATGAACAACCACGCTATGATCGATAAAATTGAAATGTTCCCCGCCCGCCACTGCGGAGGCAATGGTATGATAACCAACACAGCTGCGATGTATGAGAGGGCTGTAAGCTCGTAGCGCGCCATTCGGAAACAACTGAGAGGGGCTTGCTCACCATCATCCCGCCCCGACCTCCTCAGTTATTTGAACACTTCCAAACCGTGACTGATATGCCTGAAGAGTCGTTGTGCAAGTGAAGAAAGGCCATTCAAAGTTGACCACTGTTTACCTTGGCGTTCACTAGCACAGCTCCCTTTGTCAAGTGTCTGGCTCTCGTGACCGCTTGCACTTGCAATTTCTCGGTATTATCTTCGGGCAAGGCTGAGTTCAATCAAAGTTGCGCCGCTCCAGGTACTTGTGCGGAATTCAGCTTTTCTAGTAATGGCTTTGCCTTCACATTTCCATTTTTGTGGAGAACATCTTGTCGTTTGATTTTTCGTTGAGGACTCCCCGTAAGGTTCTATTCCAATAGAGGCTGGTAACCTGCCTACCGTAGGGTCTTCTTTGCGTCTGTGGAGCATGCATGCACGGTGACACATGCAATCCTCTGAGTCGTTTGCGTTTTCGTTCAACCATCATTGCCTTTAAATATTGTTCTCTATCTCAAAGTAGGAATGTTATACGATGACGATTATTCTATGTTGACAAGATATATCGACCTTGAAGCCCGGGCGTGTGGTGACAATGGAGGGTCGGTCCTTGGAACAGCAGTGAGGGGGGGGGTGTATATAATTTCATCGAAACCAGCGCAAAGTATAGTATCAATGGCAGTGTCGAAGAGCGGGCCCGTCGATGGCCGGCTTGCCACCCCAACGCTGCAGACTAAGGGGTCCACATGTACATACCCCTCCACCGCGACTTCTTTTAGGCAGGACTCCAGCCTCTATGGCGACTTCTTTGCCTCGACGATCGGACCTCGATCCTTCTCTTGCCTATTTACAAATTGGTTAAAGTACACAAACGCAAATGCATGCATCGATCGATGGGCTGGAAGCATAAGGGATCGATGGCACTACGATGCGCGCTTACCATACGACCATACGAGCGGGCTGTGACGGCATGGGCAGGAGAGAAAAAAATTGTTATTTAATGGAGGTACGAGATTAAAGCTTTATCTTATGCGCCGTACCCGCTGTCGGCCTTACGCATACTGTGCCTAGGTTACAGTCATGCCGATTCAGGTTTATTGGCGCTGCATTCCTGGGTCGATTTCTTTGGACGAATCCTGTGCGTGTTCTTCGTCCGCCTATGCTACAGGGCTCTAGCCCTCTTTTACCTCATCCTCTGCTGAAGACGTTTTCCTTGTTTTCCTTCCTTAGTCTCATTCCTTTGGCCTGTGAGCTGTTTTTTGTCAAAGTTTTTGCTTGTCTTCCTTAAGCTGGGGGTCGGCAACAAGGTTGTGACCTTGTGATGTTTACATAAGCTGTCATATCCGTGCATACCCGACCCCGACCTGACTTCCAGACCTCCACCCTCTTCACCTCCAGAGTCATAACCTACCGCTGCCGTTCCGATACTCACCCTCGGTCCTGGCAACTGTCACGGCCGTGCATTCCGGCCCATTAGCCGCCCGTCCCGATGCCGCCCGAGCCCGTTACCGCTATGCGAGCGTGAGCGCGAGCCCCGACCTCAGCCCTATCCTCCCTGAGGACCCCCTGCTCACTTCCCCGCTTGGCCCTAGGCTCCCCTGCACCTGGCCGACTCCCCCACAGCCACACCGACCTCCCTGCCCCGAGTCCGCCTCTGGTACCGACCTAGCGTGACTCCGCGACATCGCCTACTCCGCTATGATACCATCGCCGCTATCGTGGCCCTACACCCCTTCGTTTATTTATCTGTTATTGTTTGTTTTGACCCTCGGTCATTGCCGGCCGCGGTGTGGCCAACCCCGCTCTTTGTTCCTATTTGCTTCCGGACCCTTCGGCCTTCGGCCCGGGTCCGCTTCTATTCATTTCACCTTCATATATATATCCTGTATACTACATTATAGTACCTTAGCTCTAATATCGATTTGACCACGACCCCTAAGTCCTGACCCCAACAAGGCAGCCCCAGTAAGTTCGAAATGAGGGCCAAGAGACAACTAGGGGGCACAGCACTCCCTTTAGAGTTGCTGAGGCCAAATGCCCTACCCTCGGGCCTTGTCTGAGGCATCGCGGCCATCGCGGCCCTTAGCGGTCCGCATCGGCGACCTTCGGTGCCCGACCCCGGATCAGTATCTAACAGCAACACACCTCCTCCTTACCTCTCCGACCCTATCTCCGTCCGCTCCGATACTCATCTCGGACCGAACACCACCCCTCTCGCCACCCTCCTACTACTCCGCTCCCCCTTCACAACACCTCCACCCTCCCGTCATCCTCCTACGCTTCCCCCGTCCGCTCCGATACTCACCTTCGGACCTGACTACTCTTCTTCCGCCACTCCTCCTCCCTTACCTTTCCCCTCTCTCCTCCCTCTGTTACTCCTCCGCCACCCTTCCGCCAAGTTACGACCTTCCACCGCTGTTCCGTACTTCGCACTTGGACACCGCTCGTACCTTACTCCGAGCCTCCATCATAGTCCCTACCTCGGACTTTGACTCCACCTTGGTCTTAGTCCATTGCATTGGTGACCTCATACTACGTAAACACCATTGCCAATATCCCTCGGACTTTCAACCCCGCCTCCGTAACCTCCGTAAGCTCCGCAACCCCCGAGCTTCACGGATCACCTTCGGCCCTCTCGCCGCTTGTAATGTATTTCTCGCGTTTTCCCCTCACCCCTATTTGGACTACTGCTTCTTCCTATTCTAGCCAGTTAGTCATCATCCCCACTTCCCCTCATCCTCCTGCCCCTCTGGGCCTCGCCCTCCCTACCTCCTTTCAGATGTATCACAGGTCCTGCCTTATGACCTTCGGTACCTCTCCGCTCCTTCTACCCTTTGTTCCCGTTCGGACGTCTTCGTTCCGATTCGGTTACCCTTTGTTTTCCTTGTGCTTTTGCCCCTTCCATTATATATATCGGCGCTTGTACATACTCGTTTTGGTTTAGTCCGAAATCGACCTGAAATGCCCCCAAGAGACTTCCTGCTCACCTACTGTGAAATTAAGGACCAAATGGACAAACAGCAATGGCACAGCGCTCTGCTTGAGTCGCTGAGGCCAAGGTCCCTCCACGCTAAGTCTCCGATTCCACTCCGGAGTCGTCTGTTTCCGCCCGTTCTAACATAAGCGAAACTTGGCTCGATCATGGCCGCGCTGTCCTCCCTCTCCCAAGACCTCATCCTTAGGTTGCAAAGTATGTTAAAACTCGGTGAACAAGAACAAAATGTTGATCGTTGGTTATCTACCTGAAAAAATGACTAGGTCTTTGAGCCGTGTGTAATCAAGCATGATCACTCTCAATCTCCATCCATGCAGTTGCTGGAGCTGAGTACTTGCTGGCTATTCGTGTAAGTACTTCCTTCTGCCCTTCAATTAAATGGTAAACAACAAGTTGAAAACAAAAGCGCAAAGCGCAAAAACAAAGAGTCCAAGAGGTTTGCTGCCGTTTGTACCTCAAAGCGCCCCTCCCCTTCCCAAAGCGTGAATGTCCAGCCCGGGTGACTCCCTTGACCACCAGTGGGGTTGGGCTGCAACTTCTAACACTCCCCCACAGTCCAACGTCCACGCATCTATCTAGGCCACGAACTCCATCCCAAGCATCAGGCAGAAGCGATCGTGCTTTGCCTTGACTAAGGACTTCGTAAGTATGTCGGCCGCCATATCATTCGTTCCAATAAGCTTCAAATCAACCGTTCCATCCGCAACACATTCCCGTATGAAATGATACCTGACGTCGATACTTTTGGTTGCGGCGTGATTGACGGGGTTTCGAGCGAGTAGGTTTGCAGCTCGGTTATCAATGTGTAACGTGGTTGAGCCGGGCATTCCTTCATGTAATTCCTCCAGGAGGCGTCGAAGCCAGACTACTTCTTTGGCTGCTTCGGCTGCTGCAACGTACTCCGCGTGTGTTGAGGATGATGCTACGCCAGCTTGCTGCTTTGACATCCACGAAACCACTCCCCCAGATAAAAGAAAGGCATATCCGGATACTGACTTTCTGTTTACCACGTCGTTCGCCCAATCTGCATCGGTGTAGCCTACGAGGTCCCCACTCCCGGCTGTATATACTATCCCTTGGTTCATAGTCCCCGCAAGATATTTCATTATGTGCCTAAGTCCCTCGATGTGTTCTTGTCCGAAGGTCGATGCAAATGGCGCCAGCGCTCTCACGGATGCGCAGATGTCTGGACGGGTTCCTAGAGCAGCATACATGAGAGATCCGATGACTTCGAGGAAGGGGTACGAGGAAACTCTCAAATGGTCTTCCGTTGGTACCGGTTTGTAGTGTATCCCAGCGGGTAATGGCGTGGTGCATGGCGCGCAGTCTGTCATGTCGAAACGAGCGAGAATATCCTTGATATACTGCGACTGGTCAATCGATAGCGTGCCGGCCGATATGTCTTGGTGAACTCGGATCCCCAGGATCCATGATGCTTCCCCTTTGCTTGAGACTTTGAAACGGTCCCCGATGGTGTCTTGGATAGATGTAAGCAGTTTCTCGTCGTTTCCAGCAAGGAGTTTGTCGTCAACGTAGACAGGAATGATTACAATGGATCGTCCTCGTTTGAATACGAAGACCGAGTGGTCAGCATGTGTTCGACGAAATCCAAGGTGAATCAAGAAGTCATGTAAGGTTGCGTACCACTCCCGTCCAGCTTGCTTCAATCCATAGAGCCCCTTCTTAAGTTTTGCAACCATTTGTTCCCTCCCCTTTTCCTCATATCCCTTCGGTTGACGCATGTATATATCTTCCGAGAGCACCCCGTTGAGATATGCCAATTTGATATCCATCTGGCGGACTCTCCAACCGTGACGGGCACATATGGCAAGAAAAACGCGTAGGGAGGCTGATTTCACAACGGGGGCGAACGTCTCTGAGTAATCGATCCCCTCCCGTTGACCAAAGCCTTGAGCCACCAGACGAGCCTTAAAACGGGTTACCTTTCCATCAGCGCCACGCTTCTTGGCGAGCACAAATCGACAGCCGATGACGTTACGGA